ACCGCGCCAAATTTACTAATGAACGAAAACAATACCCTCAATCTAACCAAGGTCAAAGGTGAAGTGTTCCAAAAGCTTCACACCTGGGATGTCGACTCGCAGGTATATTTACCGAATTTCTAGTAAAAGCTTGTCACTCTACACAGTTTAAATAGTGAGGACATCGATAGCTGTTTTTAACGGAGAAACTTGTTCGCAGGTTGAAGTTGAGCCATCGTCTCGAGCCCATGCTCAGCTGTTAGCAAGACAAGACTGCTCTGTCGTGGAGTTTGAGATTCAAATAACTTTGTCCAACCCTAAAGGTAAACTCTTACTTCCTTCCTTTCATTATTTTTTTTAAAATATAACAAATATTTTAAAATCTTTTCTTATAGAATCTAATATTTTTGTGAAACTTGCTTTCTCTAGTAAAAGCATTCGCTGCTAGCATATGTATTTACATGACAGACCAATATTTTTACTAACGAAAGCAAGTTTATTTTTTTGTATTTGCACTGAGTTAAAAAGTTTACATAAAGGATGTTTATTTTTACTTTTCTTTTTTTTCTGATTTTTAGCAGTCAAAATTTTTTTAAAAGTAAAATATTAAATCGACATTTAGGTTGTTTTTTTTTCTCTAAAAAATCAGTGCTTTACTTTTTGTATCTCGTTTGTTCTCAATGAAGTTTACACATTATGTGATTTAAGATATGTTTTCAACAGCCGATTTGATTGCTAGCTTAACTTAAAAAGGTATTTTGTTTCCGCCTACTAAAGTCCTTGACGAACTCACAGATATGAAAATATCAGTGAACACTGATCCACCACGGAATGTGTAATGCTAGTACTTTGGTTATTGATGATAGTAATCTATTCATCATTTTTTTAATGACCAATTTAATATTTAATTAAGTTAAAATTTAAAATACCTGCCATGTCTTGAAGACAAATGTATCCGGAAAGTAAAATTAAAACTGAATTACAAGATCTGCCATAAACAGAGAACAGACAGATATTGGGCACTAAAATAAGTTGATGAAAATAAATATGCATAAGATAGAATTACTACAATGCCGGCGTTCATTGTATCATTATGTTTGATTGTGTTTTTCATCAGGTGTAGTCCCTGTTACCTTTCAACACAAGAAGGTAGACATCTCATTTGTGGTATTCATTGAAGACTTCCAAAAGGCGTTTCAGCTTGTGGAAGAGGGAGGGGTTCTCTTTCAAAAAGATAAAGTGAGTTATCCGTCTTTGCTAGCCAGCTACATTCGATTCGTATTTCTGTTGTTATTTTTCCTTTTGCTTGTTTGTTGTTGTTTTTGTTTTGTTTTTGTATCAAAACAACGTTCAGTCCCTGCCTTTTATTAAAAAATATCAACCGTTTCACCATCAACAAAACCAGTAGTTTGCTGTGCTAATAGCATCATCATCATCTTTTCCCGTTCGTGCCCAAGACACATAGGGCAGATGAAGAAGAGTTTGTCTGTTTCAGAGACCTCGGCATTTGAAACTTTATGCCCAGCCACCTTTACTTTTCCTAAAGTGAGTTAGATGCCCATCAGAGTTGGGTGGACATTCTACCGACTTAAACCCGGGTTCGAACTCGAGACTTTCGGTTGAGCAGTCAAGCGCTCTACCGCTAGACCACGGCTTCTGTATTAATATACGAACTAAATTTACTGCGTCGCTACATAATTAAAGTTTACAGCGACATAATAAAACATATAATTTGAGTTGCTCTGGATTTAGCCATTTTATTTATCAATTACTAGTTTAACTACACACTCGCACGAATTCCGATGGTAAATTACTCCATGAAACAGCCACACACACACAATGCTGTCAATGTGGACTGTGTTTTTGACATTGTAATACAACCCAAAAAATGTTTACAAAGTGTTCGCAAATAGTCAAATTCTCCAACACAAACATACATATGCGCACAAATTCCCAAATACACATTAAGACAACCACTCATACAGAAACCATTAACTAATGAGATAAAACACCTATTTTACATCCCCCACCTTTCAGATGTGTGTGGAGTTGGTTGAGGAGAAGTGGCTGGACAAAGCTGGCGTGGAGCACTCGACCTCCCACCCCCAGATCATAACCCGGGGCACCTGTGTCTGTCTCAGCTGGACTGACCAGAAAGTGGACATCAAGACCAGTCCATTGTCAATGGACGAGTCCACTTCTGATGGGGACCACAACATGAACAAGACGCCTGTCAACGACACCGAAGAAGACCCAAGCGTCGACTCATTTGTTATGGTTGATTAGTCAGATATATTTTCACAGCTAGTAGAGATACAGAATATACACTTTACCTACCCATTATAAAATTCATAGGTCTTTATATATATACATATATATATATATATTTATTTATTTATATATTTATATACATGGAGTGTTGGTTCAGATGTCATGTGTGAGTGACGTGCATGTGAAGTTGTTTAGGCTATCGTCTAGTTTTAATTAATTCTAATCCACTCCACTCACACATACACATACACATAGTTTAGTAAATAATCTTTTCTCTAATATTTTACAAGTTAACTCATACTAAATTTAATTTAAAAATTAAAATAAAAAACCCACTCACAAATCTACCAAGTAATGCATGGTGTATTTACTATTTAATTGTGTTAATATTAAACATCTGTATCCACTTGCAGTGTAAATAAAAATGTGTTAATTTAACCACGTGTCTGTTGTTGCTATTATAATTTACTGAAAATGACATCTGGGTTTAATGGATATCCAGAGAAGCAGACAATGTCAGATTTGGATTTTATAGGACACATACAGAGAGAAAGCTCGAAAAATATTTAAACACAACTCGACCGTAGCAGGTGTGTTCACGCTCCATTGACTTGACAACATCGACCAACTGTGGTCACAACCTCATCTTATTTCTCGCTCAATCAGGTTGCCGTTGGAGACCAGTTCATGGTCTAACATCTCGTATCAAGCAGATTTAATTTGTTACCCTTAATGACCTGGCTGAGACTGGCGTGTTAATTAAAGCATGAACAAAAAATATTTCACCCAGCCGGAAGTAACTGGCTTAATGTAGCACCTCCCTGAGTTCGCCCAGCTCTAATTAATGCCTGGCACGAATCGGCAAAAGTAAAGGCTACTAGACATATTGCTGACCGCAATTTGGTTTAGACAAATATCCCAAACAAAATGTAAAATAACTATTTAATTAAAGGTAATTTCAAGAAACTATGAATAGGTGTGTTATATTAATTTTATCATTTTAAAATGTAATTAGTAGCATAATATGCGAAGGTTAAAATACATTTTCCATACACAGCTTATATGGGCTTGCTGGGCATGAGGCAAATATATCTCATCAGCTGGACGAAACTAAGTCAAATGAGATTACTCAACTGATGACCCTTTCACTTGTCGGAGACATATCGCACGTGTTTTGACAATAGTCCTGAGAGCATGTGTCCCTAATTTTTTTACTGAGTTCATTCGTCCGTAACATATTTTGTCTGGGATATTTTTTCTGAGATTATTCGTCCGTGGGATAAATTGTCCTACTGTATTTTGTCATGAGATCATTTATCCGTGAGGGGTCGGTAAAGCTCATGATTGCTAAACCAAAAAGTCTCGAGTTCGAACCCTCGGGCAGATGAGGCTGGGGACAGCCACTCTTCTAGGAGAAACAACTCCAAATCCAAAAAGAAAAGCTGGCTGAAATCGCAGTCAATGTCCTCAATGGCGCATAAACAGTTGGCACGTACCCTTAATTGTGATGGAGGCGTGGTCGAGTCGGCAAAAGCTCATGGTTGATAATTTCGAAAATGTCTCGAGTTCAAACCCTCTGGCAGAAAAGGCTCGATCCCTTCCAACACTAAAAATTAAGAACGAAGAAGAAGAAAATTTATCCGTGAGATATTTTGTCTGTGATCAATTTTTCCATGAGATCATTTTTCTGTGAGATTGACTATCCTGATGAATTTTGCCATAGATTATTTATTGTTGAGATATTTTGTCTGCGATATTTTGTCCATGATATTTTGGTTAGGGAATTCCCGTCAACACATTGCAATACAGTGCGCACGTAACAGCACATCCATGGTGTCGTCTCTTAGAGACTCTTTTCTCACCATAGCAAGAACGTCTTATACTCTTAAAAATACTCTATCAAACTCCAGCCATGAAAGAAAAAAACCAAAGTAAGAATCTTTGTTTTAATTTTTTTTTTCAAAAAGGTGTGTGCTCAATGCAATCGGCACAAGGAAATCTCCAAACGGAGATTTGTGATTAAATAAATTAAGTATTGTTGTTAGAGTAAAAATATTTAACAAGATCTAGATTTATTTAATTCTAGATCTACTCTATTGTGTAGTTTTTGTAATTATTTTCTGATGTTTATGATCTGTTATATTTTTACTATTTTATTATAATTATTAGTAATACGCATTTTAATGTAATGAATTAATTACTAATTTATATCGCTGTTGACTTATTGTTAGGTCTTCATAACAATTTTATTATTTGAATTCCTATAACTTTCATTGATAGGCTAGATCTAGATCTATATGCAGTACACAGACACGTATTCATTGGACTTACCCTCATCTTTCTTATCAGTATTCATTTTGCACTTATCGCTGCGATAATTATCTTCATGATTACAAATAAAATATGGTACCTTGCCGGGCAGAGATCAAGAGACAACGGTCATACACACAAACAATTATTCCGTGGTAAAAATGGGACCCTTCAAACGCTGAATACTGCTACTGTTGTACTGTGAATACTGCTACTGTTGTACTGTGAATACTGCTACTGTTGTACTGTGAATACTGCTACTGTTGTACTGAATACTGATACTGTTCTACTGAATACTGCTACTGTTGTACTGAATACAGAACAGATTTCATGTTCTAGTGTTGACATGATAAATGCGTGTACATTTTTTGTTTTCGTTTTAATTGTATCTCACACGACCTATAATGAGTTTAAAAACAAACGTTTTCAAAGGCTACAGAATAAAATATTTACAGGAGGATTGGGTACTTAGCACACAAATAATAATGACCATGGTTAAATAATTGCCAATTAATTTTTTTTAAATGAGTTTTAATGTGCATAATTTTAAAGAAAGCAACTTTAATCTGTTCTTTAGAACTAGTGTAACTAAAGCCATTGTGCTTTGTGACATTTGTGTATTTCATAAGTATTTCGGCTCAGTCATTATTTAATTTCCGTTCGTCGTAACGTACTTTTTTATTACAAGCTTTTATTTAACTCACTACCTCTGTCGACAGTCTGTCGACAGTCTGTCGTCAGTCGTCAGTCTAGATCGAAACGCTGGAGTGAAAATTCGGTCACTTCTACTTGACCGATACGATTCACATTTGACACGTGGGTCAAGACATGAAGACAATGCAATCTGAAATTAAATTTGACTTAATTGGTTGCCTAATTAATTTTTTAAGAATTGATTAAAATTTGGACCGAATTAGTAGGCATGTCTATCCAACCACACCACACACGTCATCACGTTCAATAGCTGCACCATCACGTTCAATGGCTGCGCCATCACGTTCAGTAGGCGCGCAATGGTTTTTAGTCATGTAACTCTATTGTAAATAAAACATGTAAAGTACTGAAAAAATTCATAAAAAAACGTTTTAATAACAAGCTTTTATGTAATAATGCACTAAAAAGTAGAACATAAATTATAGACTACTATTTAAATAACTATAAAGAAAAGCGCGGTTGTCTTCCTTAACATTAGTAAAGGTATCCAATAGATAATTAAAGTGACCCACGCTTTTCTTTATAGTTATTTAAATAGTAGTCTATAATTTATTTTCTACTTTTTAGTGCATTATTACATAAAAGCTTGTTATTAAAACGTTTTTTATGAATTTTTTTGTGAGATTAAGGTACAGCTTATTATCTCTTAACGATACCAGTGAACCTCCGAATGATCTTATGTAACCATACCAGTGCAGCCTCCGAATGACCTTATGAAAGGTTATCTTCATGTTAATGAAACTTGAATTTAAAAAAAACAATTTTAAAGAAAAGACTTTAAAATTTAAAGTCATGGATAGGCTCCTCCCCCCCCCCCCCCCCCGTTACCACCATTCCGTACACCAGACCCCCAAACCTACAGGAAAACTTACCAATTGTGGGAGGGCGCAGTGTGGTGATGGCTTCCCCTGGGCCGTTAAGATAACTGCCAAGGTCAACCTAGACCGATAAGGAACCCACTGACAAACGGGGTGCACTGTCATGACAACATGACGTCAGCCGGTGAACGTCTGCCAGAAGTCAACCAACAGAGAACCTGAACTGAAACGGATGTTAAGAAAATATCTACCAAACGATTGTGTTAGCTTAACATAGCTCGCCGTGGAAATAAAACAATACAAAACCTGTAATAATGAGAAGCTTTTTCAATACCCATTTTTTTTTAAAAGAAGAAAATTTCTTTTTTCAAGAGCGACCAACATCTATGCTAATCCATGTTCTTTTTTAGTGCATCTAAAAGCTTGTTATATTTTTAAATAGGCTTTATAATTATGAGATTTTTAAAATATAATAGTGAGTTAATATTGGATTTTAAATAATATCGAAAAATATGTTTGCTTTAATCCTGTTCAGTTATCTACCCCTCATTAGCTACCCCCTTGGCTTTAAGATATGTAAACATTACTCAAGATTATTAGCTCATACGGCAGATCAAAGATCGCGACTTGCGTGTTCTTTTTTTCAGAATAATAGTAACAACTAAGGAGATTTAAAATCGCATTGAATGGTGTTGTTCCTGCCACCATATAGCCCTCCATGGGAGGGAGTAGGTACATATCATACCACAACATCACTCTAGCCTTCCCAACATCTGCACACCTTTTCCCCCTCACACAAACACTTCCGTCCACAGCACTTACACTTACACCCCCGCCTCACTTCTTATTGTCCTTAGCCCCACCCACACTAACACCCGACTCTCCTTACATTCCAGACATAGATCCGGCCTGCCAAAAAATAAATGTATCATGGTTGGACAGGTTGTCCATGGAAATTCAAGCTATTGCTGAAAATGGATTATGTATTCTTTTCGGGAGCTGCATCCTATTTTTCTTTTTGATGTTTCTGTGGATTGCGGAGTGCTGGATGTTTTTTACATATTTTCCAATCAAGGTGAGTAAAATTTAAATCTACCTATTTGAATATCAATTTCTTTTACTAAAAATAGTTACGGTTGTCTATAGTTTACAAAAACATGAAACACTTTTCTTAACTTAGGGTTGTTGGGATAACAGACGCTCCTATAAAAACAAGTTAATTATACAACTTAAAAAAATGTAATTGATTGTAAAAGGATCATAGTGCCTCTATTTTAAAAAGTGGGACAAAATATTGGCTGATTTATCTTTGAAATATTGCTGAAATTAAGATCAAGTTGAATGTTTGGCTTACTTATTTAAAAACGAATGTAATATTATGCAAAAGCAAAAATTGAATTAATAAGTAAAAAGGTTTTCGTCGTTTCAGATCGATAACAAATCGATGAAGTTGATGGTTGTGTCCACCTTGTGTTTGTTGGCTTTTGCCGGACAATTGGCGATCTTTGAAAAGTGCTTATGCACGATAGTCAGGTAAAAATAACCCGTTTGCTTATGTCAGTGGTTCGGTAGGTTTATCTGTTAGTGGTTGGTCAGTTTACTTGTCAGTGGATGGTCAGTTTACTTGTCAGTGGATGGTCAGTTTACTTGTCAGTGGATGGTCAGTTTACTTGTCAGTAGATGGTCAGTTTACTTGTCAGTGGATGGTCAGTTTACTTGTCAGTGGATGGTCAGTTTACTTGTCAGTGGATGGTTAGTTTACTTGTCAGTAGATGGTTAGTTTACTTGTCAGTGGACATAACAGCAGGCTGAAGGTTGTTATGTGGATATTCCTGTTAATTTGTCAATAAATTGGTCAGAGAATTGATATACGGGTGTTCTGTGGATAAGCTGGACACAAGTTCGGGCTGTGGATTTGGTCTCGGGAACGGTCAGGTAATCGTTCCTTCTTATTTAAGTCAGGAAATAGATTTTTGTATGTTAATCAGTAGCGTACGCAGGGGGGGGGGAGAAGGGGGAGCGACCGCTCTCCCTACGACTATGAATCAAAGAATTAAAAACTGTCATGTTATGTACTCCAAATATCATATATATATATATATATATATATATATATATATATATATATATATATATATATATATATATATATATATATATATATATTTATATATATATATAAATGGCTCCTTTTTCTCGACTCGCCGCTCCCCCTAACCCGAAAACCTGCATACGACTCTGATGTCAATGGTTGTGTTTTCTTTTGTCCTGTTTATTTTTTTATTGATGACCTAAACAGCTTTAAATGATTTAATCATAGAAACCTCCCTGTGATAGATTGGGAAGAGGAGATGAGCCGCAAATACGGCAGGAGCCTGGGTAAAGGAAATAACTGTAAAAAATTAACTTTAATTTTACAACACAAACTGTGCTACATCACATATATTAAAAGTTTGTGTACCATTACTCTATATCACAGTATAATATAATAAAAGGAACTTTATCAACTTTTCGTGTTTAACATGTTTACACGTTTCCTTAACAGACAAGGATAAGCCTACGCTTGACCTGAATGTCGTCATAAAAAGATTCGCCTGGCAAAAAATACTCAAGTAAGTTCTTTAAAAATAGCTTTTCTTTCTATTGTTCAATTTTGATTGATTTCAAAACAATAGAGAAAACATCATCGTCATTATCATCATTCATGAGGACCCTTTGTGGAGCGACCACACCTCTCCACCGTCCTTGGTACTGGGCGGTACTTCCAAGCTGGGTCCACGACATTCCGTCTGCTTCTGCTTCACTGACACCTGGACTTTCCCATCTTTTTTTTTTTTGGCATCCTTACTTTCATTTTTCCTTGATGATTCCAGTCTAGTACCTGTCTAGTTTAGTTGCCAGTTGGTTTACGCATCGTGTGTCCAATTCATCCTTTTGTATTTTTTTCGCCAATGGGGTCTTGTCCAGTTTTGTTTCACAGCTTAGCATTGGTAATCTTTTCAGGCTAAACAAAGAAAACGGAACCATGAAAATATCGCAAGTTTCGTCTAGGGCAGGGGTCGGCAACCTGCGGCTCGCGGGCCGCTTGTGGCTCTATTGATGTCAAGATGCGGCTCTCCAGCTTTTTGCACAAATATTAATAGTTATATTATTTTATTTTCAAAACTCATAACAAAAGTTATACTGTAAAGAAACGCAAGTTTAAACAGAAGATTAAAACTCATCAGAGAACAGTGAGAATAGGTGCACCAGAAAGTATACGGACAACCGCGTGAGTACCAGGTCCAGCACTATATCTGTGTTGTGGCCAGCCCCGTGGCGACTACTCCACGCTTGCCACTGCCCAAGTGCCGACTTTTTCGAATATCATTGAATGGGGAATATTATTTTATTCAGAATGTATCTCCCTGTCTGTCGGTAATCATTTTAATTTGACCTGAGTGACGTATTTATTTTAGTTATTAGTTTCCTACTGTCGAGCCGGGTACTGGACGGTGGGGTTCGAGTTTACCCTGCGTTCAGTGGGATGGAAGATAAGTCTGGTGAGAACCGAAGGACAGAAGTGACCGATACACGGTAATCAAAAGGGTATCCAAGCCAATTAGTCGGCGTTTGCCGTGTTGAGGCCTGCCTGGCTAATGAGACACCTCCTGAGCCGGTGATATCCGTAAAGAAAATTTTAAAAAGCTAACTGCTTCTAAAAAGGATTGAGATAGTCCTATACTTTTATTTTTTTATTACTAATTTCATTATTCTGGCGAAACAAGTGTATGTTTTTATATGAAAAAAATATTATTTCATATTTTAAAGCTAATTATTTTAAATAACAAATCAAATTTATTTACCTATTCCTAATTTAAATAATAAAATATTGAAATTTTTTAAAAATGTTAGTGGCTCTTTAAAAACTGGGAAATTTTAAAAATTGTAACTTTTGGCTCTTCCGTCTCAATAGATTGCCGACCCCTGGTCTAGGTTATTTTCAAAACAACAAAATTACAACCTTAGACTTTTTTCTTAAAGTATTCAATTACATTTTTTTTAAATTTGTAGCCGAACTTTCTGGGTCGAACATTTCATTTTGTTGTGCTAAAAAAATTAATTTCATTTAGGAAAGCCCCTAAAGACGTCAGGGACTATTTGGTCATGCAGGAAAACCGCTTCTATTGTGATGTGGATACCACGGTCCTGACCTTTGACCACAAGGTCACCAAGTTTTCTCCCAAGGTGGAGGACAAAACTGGGCACAAAACCTTCATCATGGAAACCGAAAAATCAGGTGATTTTTTTTATATAGATCAAAATGTCTGTTTGTTTGTGGGTTAATGTCCAATCGCGTAATTCAGTTTTAATTATTCAGATACATTCGTCTCCGATGAAAATGCAAGAATATCTCATTTGTAATCCAATTAGCCAATAGATCATTCACTAAAATGCAATTAAAAGATACTAAATTCAGTAATAAAAGTGGAAATAGCAAGATTAAACCATAGCGATCTCTAGATCAGCTAGCCGACGAACTGTTGGTCAAAGCTGGTTGGTTTCATGTATAAAAGTCGATCACTGGCTAACACTGGGCTGATAATTTTCTTTTAAAGATCGCAAAGAATTAAAATAAATTTTTAAAATAAATAAATAAAATAAATAATGGCAACAAAAAACATCCTCCTAGTATTATCTTGTTCTATCTCCCAAAATGTAGTTTTCAGAAAAACGCATTTGAAGTTTCACGGAGTCTGATTTACCTATTAAAAATATTTTAAACTCATTGATTTTTTGGTAGGAAGCAGATGACTTAGAGTCACGTAGATAAGTGGAGATTGAACATAGTGCTTTTCTACATCATAGGGTCGAGAGTTTTTCGAAAAAATCAAAATGTGTAGTTAGAACAAGATAATACTGATTGATCAGTTCCATATTGAGTACAGTCTTGCCTACACCAGCACCCCCAAACAGACCTGCCATGAATACATAAAATAAATGTAAGCGAAGAAAAATGGACCAAATAAATCAGTTAAAAAAATTTCATGTGAATAAGGTAATTCACTTTCAAGACTAATGCACATGTTTGTTTATCCCAGGCGCACAATGGGTGAAGCTATTCTCAAGTTACTATGACAACAAAGCTGAGAGAATACAATCTCACACTTTTAAAGGATCACGTGACACGACGTCCTGGGTGAAGGTGGCCCTTGAACAATATTACAAGGTCGACCGACAGGTAGTGGTCGACACACGAATGCGTGTGTGTGTGTGTGTGTGTGTGCACGCGCGACTCTGCGTATGTGTATGTGTTTGTACGTGCGTGTATGTGTGTGTGTGTGTGCGTGCGCGCGACTCTGCGTATGTGTATGTGTTTGTACGCGCGCGCGCGCGTGTGTGTGTGTGTGTGTGTGGGTGTGCGTGTGTGTGTGTGTGTGTGCGTGCGCGCGACTCTGCGTATGTGTATGTGTTTGTACGTGCGTGTATGTGTGTGTGTGTGCGTGCGCGCGACTCTGCGTATGTGTATGTGTTTTTACGCGCGCGCGCGTGTGTGTGTGTGTGTGTGTGTGTGTGTGTGTGTGTGTGTGTGTGTGTGTGTGTGTGTGTGTGTGTATGTGTGTGTGTGTGTGCCGATATACAGCTGATAAAACCTCGAGGCATCTAGCACGACATTTCTCTGGACATTCTATGTGTAGTGCACAGAAATCAAGAACCAAGATTGTATGATTGTATGAGATCCAAAAGCTTGATATATGTAATGGTTGTTACTTGATTTTGTTTTTCACATTGTTGTTTTCTACCGTCCCAATACAATGATTCCTCTATTCTTCGTATTCGAGAAAGTAAAAAAGAGCACGGACGGGAGTAGTGCTAAAATGAACTTTAAGTATGTTTCACAATGGTGAATACAAGTTTTTTACTATATGCATGTAATCCACAAGTCCGCCACACAGAGACATAGAATCGATTATATATATATATATATATATATATATATATATATATATATATATATATATATATATATATATATATATATATATATATATATATATATATATATATATATATATATATACGTTTATATATATATATATATATATATATATATATATATATATATATATATATATATATATATATACACGTAATATACGTATGTATAGGTATTTCTGAAGTTAAACCTTCCTGAAACCGAGCATTGTTTGGAAGGGAAAAAAGATAATACCCTGTTTCTATTTTCGGACAAAGACATGGTTTTCAAAGAAATTCGCACCTGGAATGTGGAGTCACAGGTATGTTCCCAAAACTTTTATATACCTTAAGCTGTCACTTTACGCTATTAAAAATAGGGAAGAATATGAAAGAAATGATTTACTGTGCTAATTTTTCGCAGGTTGAAGTTGAGCCATCGTCTCGAGCCCATGCTCAGCTGTTAGCGAGACGAGAGCGCTCTACATATGACTTTGAGATTCGAACCACTTTGTCCAACCCTAAAGGTCATACCCAAATTTCTAGCTGTAACAATCAAATAGTTATGATAGCCCTAACAACGTTTCTCTATCCAAAATCAGTTCTAGCTCAATACAATGTTAACTTACAATGCCTTTTTTTTACAGGATTTGTCTGCGTTGACTTTAGTTTCAAATACAATGGTTTCTCAATGAGGATAAACGTGGAAAACTTACATGAGGCTTTTCAGCTTGTTGAAGATGGAGGAGTTCTAACACCTGAAGAAAAAGTGAGTTGCCTCCCTTGTTGTTGTTTTTTTTTTCATTGTTGCTGTGTTGTAGGCCTACATGATCAACCTCAGTGGGTCGAGATGGCCGGGAAGTAAAGCCAACGACTGCCAACCCTCAGGTCTCGTATTGAGAGTCCGTAGAACGTCCTTAGATTCACGAAGATTCAGAGGAATACCGAGGGGTGGGGGTGGTGCGGGCCACACTTGGTGACACCATTTAGGGGGTGACAGCAAGGCAAATTATTGCAAAATTTACAAAAGAAAAATGCTTTTTTAGCCAGTTCAATTAATAATTAATTAAAGTTATAAAGCCGTTTAAGTACAAGTCTACAATTATTACAAAGCGGTTTTGGTGACAACATGGCGTAAACTTGCTAACTTTACAGAAAACAACGCTACATGCAAGTGTATTATTAAGTGACTATAAATAAACATCGTTACTATTACTGATGCAGTAATTAAAGCTTATAAACATACATGTACGCGTATGTGGCATATATATAAGTTATAGGCCTATGTAGATCGATACAAACAAACACACACACACACACACACACACACATATATATGGTTCCATGACAAATGATCTCAGGACAAATGATCTCAGACAAAATATCTCAGACAAAATATCTCACGGACAAATGATCTCAGGACAAATGATCTCAGGACAAATGATCTCAAGGACAAATGATTTCACGGACAAAAGATACCAAGACAAAACATACCAGGACAAATGATACCATGGACAATTGATCTCAGACAAAATATCTCAGACAAAATATCTCACAGGGAAATGTTAATAGTATGTACGATGATTTTAGTTGATTTGAACTTTTTTTTATTGACTGTTAATATCGGTTTGTTTAGTTTTTTACGCATAATAATTGTGAATAAAATGAATTTGTTAAACATAACAAACCATCAAAAGATTTATTAAACTTTGTCGTAGCATTTGATTCGAAAAAGTAAAAATTATAACAAACGTACTCCTTTAGCCTGAAAGGTATAATAAATGATAATGTATAAAACAAATATAGTAATGGTTGTTATACAACATTAAGGTTCAAAACAAGCGAAATATTTTTCAAAAATGTGAATGGGTCTTCAGGTTCGTAACGTTAAACTATTGTTTTTATTGCATCATCAGCACAAACATAACGTTTACGTTTCTTTGCTGGCAGGTACATCAATATGATCACACCTCTCAAATACTATGTGATCATCTATTGTGTGAACTCTTGCTCGACATGTCCTAATTTCACATTTCCAAATCTCTTTGCCTGCTTATGGCAAACATAAATTCACCAGAAAATAATGTCCTAAAACCTTTCCGCGAGGTAACGTAAGAGGCCATAACTGAGTAATCACCACTAATACGGCTTTGTTTGATGCACACTACGACAAACGTAGCTCCGCGATGACCGCTGTTTGTTTAAATAAACATTTGTCACCTGATCACTAAGGTGTGACCGACGCATAACTATTGACTGTTGATACTAGTTGTATTGTCCACGGAGGGCGGATGTCTTTCCCTTAAGGCATGTCTATGCCATCAAAGCAGGCGGCCACCGTGACACGAAGGTGTGTCTTTATTGTTATTTCATTCCCTTTGATCTAGTTTCGTCCACTTGACGTGGTAGGATTGTCTCATGTTTGGCAAGCCCACCTACGCTGTCTATCAGAAACAATCTTTAATCTTCATATACTATATTACTAATACTAACTTTGAAATGTTTAGTGCAATATGACAAATTTATACGCCAAACATATCTTACAATTGATATATAGGCCTATAAACAATATTAAAACATAATAAACAAAACCATATGACAATCAATAAAAAAAATTCAGATCAGCTAAAATCATCAACTACACTATTAAAATTTAGGTGTGAAATATTTTGTCTGAGATATTTTGTCTGAGATCAATTGTCCGTGGTATCATTTGTCCTGATATATTTTGTCCTGGTATCTTTTGTCCGTGAGATCATTTGTCCTTGAGATCATTTGTCCTGAGATCATTTGTCCTGAGATCATTTGTCCGTGAGATATTTTGTCTGAGATATTTTGTCTGAGATCATTTGTCCTGAGATCATTTGTCCTGTCACCCATATATATATATATATATATATATATATATATATATATATATATATATATATATATATATATATATATATATATATATATATATATATAAGCTATATACCGGTGCTTCGCCACGGTGAATCTTTTTAAGCTAAAAATAAAATAAAAACTAAAATAAAATTCACTATCAAAGTATACACATTCCAACACAAAGATACATGTGTGCACATGTTACTACATAAAAACAGAAACGTCCGTAATTTTAAAAAAAAAGTTACTTTTATCTGCCCTTGTACACCCCCATCCCCTCTCCTTCTCTTATAAGGCATGTGTGGAGGTGGTGGTGGAGAAGATGCTGGACGAAGATGGCGTGGAGCACTCGACCTCCTACCCCCAGATCATCACCCGGGGCACCTGTGTCTGTCTCAGCTGGACTGACCAGAAGGTGGACATCACGACCAGTCCATTGTCAATGGACGAGTCCACTTCTGATGTGGCCAACGTGACCTTGAGTCACTCTGAAGAGAACGCAAGCGATAGAGCATTTGTCTTCGTGGATCAGCTGCTCACCACAAGAGCCATAATATAATAAGACCTGCTCATAATATATGCCGTCACAAATATAGAGTTTTATATCCTAAAGGTTAATCCATAACCCCCTTCTTACTTTGCTGTTTTCCACGATCACAATCCAACATATTTTTTTAAAAGATTAATTATTTTTTTTAATTACCTTCAATAAAAACAAGCAGTTCAATATATACATTTTTTGTATGCTAAACAATTGACAGGCCGTCATACACCACTGTAAGGGGGTGCACTAATAAAAGATAATGTCAAGGTACAACCTATAAAGTTACAAAATGAATGTATTGTCAAATATTTTCCAATTGAATTAAATAGAAAAAATTATTGCTGAATCAACTGCAGAAAATAAACATTCAATAATGTTATAACAAGCAGTGTCTCTGTTATAATTTATTTTTTGTAAATAGTAGCCACTGAAATATGTAGAGAAACAGAATATGTATGGTCTGGTTTTCAAATCTCTATCAGCAAGAGAGTCTTTACGAATTATAGGCTGCTAGCTGTAGTGCTAAACTCACAATTCCTTGATTTAACCAGGTTAAACATGTCCAGGTGATTGAAACAAAAGAACAGAAAGGCGGTGTCTCCTAGCGGTAGAGCGCTAGACTACTAACCCTAAAATCTCTTGAGTTCGAATCCGGGTTCAAGTCAGTAGATCGTCCCCGAGTACACCCAGCCTAGATGGTACCTAACTCACGTTAGGGGAATTATAGGCGGCTTGGCATAATGCTGACCACACTCCATTCGTATACTTTGGTCACAGAAACAGATAAACTCTACTTTACTTGCCCGATGGTCCGTCAGGTTCAAAAAGGAACTTTATTAACGGCATAAAATACTAGGACGAGTAACAGATTTAAAAAAAAAGAATTTTAAAAATTAAAATGTTTTAATTTAAACAATATAAACCTTTTCTTTTAAAATGTAACATGTAGTAGCTTTCCATAATTAGGTTTCTACATTGATTTTGTGGTGCCAAATATAATATATTCTATATTAAGAATCAAACCACGATGAATCAAAAGTAAGTGTTATCAAAAGTACGTTTAAGACATTATTAAATCTCTTGACTTTGTTAGCTGTTTGTAAATAAGATTCTATCTATGATTCTTGTAACAGAGTTGTCTTTCCAGCGCAGACGATACAAGTGTCTGTAGCGATGAGTAAACTAACGCCACATAAAAGACAATATTTGTTTTTATGTGTTTTAATTTTTTAGTTTCAACACTCATTTGCTGAAAACATTTTTGTTGTGACGAAAAAGCAATATTTTAAAATCGAGTACAAGATACAGAAACACAACTTGAATCAACAAGAATGTCTTTTTTATCCGTTGTGATGTTTATCTAATTTTGGAAAAAACTTAAGATCCTTACATACAGAAATCTCTTTAAAATGCGTTAATGGAATTGACGATGAAATTAGGTGCATGCTTGTCAATTTAGTTCATGAGAACAAGATCAAAGGCTATCTCATCAACACAGAAAGCTGATAGTAATTAGTAAACAGTTTTCATGTCCAGAGTCCAGTTGTATCAATAGTATTCTACACAGAGAACATCCCCCCAGTTGTATATTACATTGTGTCTTGTCATTTCTTCTAGTTTTTACCTTAAAACACATCAAGTGACATTTATTTTGCTAAATTATTTCACAACTTCTCTAATCGTTTCACACAAACAGTCCGAAATGGTTTTAAAACTTGAGACACATAAAAATCCCAGGTTACTTTGTCAGTGGAAGTTCGACTCGTAGGTTTACAACTAGTTTACAAATAGTGTTGTACGATACAATGTATGAACGTAAAAACAAAGGTATCAGGGACTATTAAAATTTAAAACTGTTTTATTAGCAATTACAACGAAATAAAATACATAATTAACATATTAGATATAGTGTTGTAGTACCAAAGAAGGCAAGGATGTTTGTCATAGAGTAGATAGAAATAAGACTAGACTGATAGAGATTACTAAAGACGGTGTAAACTTGAGTTGGTATTGACGGTTGTAGATTGTTTGTGGGAAACTATAACGCATACATCCCCGCCCCTCCACCACAATGTTTGTTACAAAAAAGATTTTAATTTAATTCAACATGTATAATTTATTATATATATATATATATATATATATATATATATATATATATATATATATATATATATATATATATATATATATATATATATATATATATATATATATATATATATATATATATATATATACAACGTCATCCCTAAAGCGAGCATACGAGATAAGTCTAAAATCTCTCACAGCCTTTTTTCCACAACACGTACACACGACTTAAATCACACCATCGTGACAGTTTGGTTCTGGGATTCCCGACAACGCAGTGCAACACGGTGCGCACGTAATTTCGGGTTCAGTCTTTGGTTCCTTAGAGATTGGGTTCTTTCCACAGCAAATGGCAAACAAATGCTACAAAGACCATCTCCTTTTGCGGTAGATACTTGCTGGACGAAGGCGGATTTATTCATCATACGATGAAAACAGATAAAACTACCGGTAAGATTTATGTTAATCCTTCCTGTTGCTGTGTGTGTGTGTTTTTGTTTGTGTGGGTGTGTTTACAACTTAGCTCTATCGCTATCTAGAGTCTATCGCAGTAAGGCTGAATTGCTTGCAGAAAAACACCCGATTCTAATCGTTGAGATGGGCGTAAAACATGTTTTTGTACATGTTTCTTCTAATTAACCTTCCACTTGGAAAATATATATATTAAACTTGCAAATATGTAGAAAGCTTATATTTTAAGAATTTCTTCCTTGATCTAGAATCTAATTAACAAGATTTATAAATCCAATGATCTTTACAATATTTTTACTTTAAGGCTAGATTTCACAGGCCAATTTCATTTCGTCAGGAGCACATTTAATTTTCTGTTACAATAAATTCTTCCTGTATTTATGATAATCGAGAGACCTCGCCATAACATCTATACATCTCCCGTCTTGACACCTCCCAACATCTTAACCCCCCACCCCAACACCTCCAAACTTCACACCTCCCAACATCTAAACCCCACCCCAACACCTCCACTCTTTACACCTCCCAACATCTAAACCTCACCCCAACACCTCCACTCTTTACACCTCCCAACATCTAAACCCCACCTCAACACCTCCACTCTTTACACCTCCCAACATCTAAACCCCACCCCAACACCTCCACTCTTTACACATCCCCGACATCTAAACCCCACCCCAACACCTCCACTCTTTACACTTCCTAACATCTAAACCCCCCACCCCAGCACCTCCAATCTTTACACCTCCTAACATCTAAACCCCACCCCAACACCTCCACTCTTTACACCTCCCGAACATCTAAACCCTACCCAACACCTCCACTCTTTACACATCCCCGACATCTAAACCCCACCCCAACACCTCCACTCTTTACACCTCCCGAACATCTAAACCCTACCCAACACCTCCACTCTTTACACTTCCCCGACATCTAAACCCCCACCCCAACACCTCCACTCTTTACACTTCCTAACATCTACCTCCCCCCCCCCCAACACCTCCACTCTTTACACTTCCCCGACATCTAAACCCCACCCCAACACCTCCACTCTTTACACTTCCTAACATCTAAACCCCACCCCAACACCTCCACTCTTTACACATCCCCGACATCTAAACCCCACCCCAACACCTCCACTCTTTACACATCCCCGACATCTAAACCCCACCCCAACACATCCACTCTTTACACCTCCCCTACATCTAAGCCCTACCCCAACACCTCCACTATTTACACCTTCCAAACATCTAAACCCCACCCCAACACCTCCACTATTTACACCTCCCCAACATCTAAACCCCACCCCAACACCTCCACTATTTACACCTCCCCAACATCTAAACCCCACCCAACACCTCCACTCTTTACACTTCCCAACATCTAAACCCCACCCCAACACCTCCACTATTTACACCTCCCCAACATCTAAACCTCACCCCAACACCTCCACTCTTTACACCTCCCAACATCTAAACCCCACCCAACACCTCCACTCTTTACACATCCCCAACATCTAAACCCCACCCCAACACCTCCACTATTTACACCTCCCCAACATCTAAACCTCACCCCAACACCTCCACTCTTTACACCTCCCAACATCTAAACCCCACCCAACACCTCCACTCTTTACACCTCCCCAACATCTAAACCTCACCCCAACACCTCCACTCTTTACACCTCCCAACATCTAAATCCCACTCAACACCTCCACTCTTTACACCTCCCAACATCTGAACCTCACCCAAACATTCTACTCTTTACACCCCCCCAACATCTAAACCCCACCCAACACCTTCAATCTTTACACCTCCCCAACATCTAAACCCCACCCAACACCTCCACTCTTTACACCCCCCCCCCCAACATCTAAACCCCACCCCAACACCTCCACTCTTTACACCTCCCCTACATCTAAACCCCCACCCCTACACCTCCACTCTTTACACCCAACTCTCATTACTTCCAGCGACCCAAACCAGCGCCCCCCGCACCGAACCAGCCATGTCGCCCCCTTCCTGTCAACCCAAACGGCCCTCAAGGCTAGAGCGAGTTCAAGTCAAGCTCTATACGCTCCTGGGGATCCCAGAACTAACACCCGTCCGGGTCTTGTTCTTTTGGGCCATTTTACTAGCGTTTGCACTGTGGCAGTTCTTTGTGACCCTTCACTACTTAGAAATATGTAAGGTGGGTAAAATGCGAATTTTCCTTAATGATTTGTCAGGTAACTACATGGATCTATATCCATAAACATTGAATCGGCTTGCTGGAATATTTAATTAAGTGAATTCTGAATGGGTAATACTATAAGTGTGTAACGAAAGTTGTTTACACTATTTTACAAGTCACTAAAATGACAAACGCGAGAATCCTGTCTGTGAAATCAATGCAATTCGGTGGGATATAGGCTGAAAAATATATTTTTTTATAAAGTTGACTGTATCGAAATTTGCTGAATTTTTACTAGATGGATTTTATGTAAACGCAAGAAATAAATAAATGCTGTTTTTAAAAATTGACAATGAGTGCATCTTCTTGTTTTAGCTCCTCTGTGAAAAGGAAATACCGCTGCGCAAATTAATTTGGAAGTTTTGTCTGGCAATCCTGATGTTTCAGGCTCAGTTTTACGTGGTGATTAAGCTCATTGAGCAATGGAAAAGGTAAGAATACTATTCGCACGGGTTGATTTTTCTTCTTTGTTCTTAATTTTAATCTTGGAAGGGATTCCCTCCAACACAACTAAATATACGTGTCAACGTCGTCATTTGATTGAAGTTTGATTCTGTTAGTGTAGCAGTCAGTTGTTGTACCAGTTGGTGGGTGGGTGGATTTGATCATTTTCTTGGCCAGACTATTTGTTAATATGACCTTGTTATTTTTATTTATTTATTTGAGGGTCTCATAAAGTTAAAATGATTTAATCCCAGAAACTACTACAAAGGTTGGACAAAGGAAGAAAGTCGAGCACTTAGAGAGGAAGGTTCCCGTGCTCGGGACATGAGGGTAAAAAGAGGTCAGTGAATCAACCATTACACGCCATACAAACCATAACAAACCATAACACAACATTACAAACCATTACACGCCATTACAAACCATAACAAACTTTAACAAACCATAACAAATCATAAAAAAATCATCGTAACAAACAATAACAAATCATTACAAACGTTTATAAATATAAGAAACCTTAACAAACATAACAAACATTAACAAATCAAAACACATCTTAACAAACCATAACAAACCTTAACAAAACATAATAAACGATAATAAACCATAACAAACCACTACAAACCAAAACAAACCATTACGCGACATTATAAACCGAAGTGTCAGTACCTTCTTGCACACAAAAATTTTTTCCTTTACATCGGTTATGTAAAGCCGATCCGCCCCACCCCTCCCCCACATACAAACAAGTTCAAATATTTTCAGCTTAAATTAATCATACCGTGGACATTAAAAAACAATATTGCAAACTGACATTTTGTTAAGAAAAAAAAATTTCAGCCATCTTAAATTTAACCAATACTATTTTTCCACCATGCAAGCCGTATGTAACAATACTTTAAATTAACCATACTCCATTTAGCAGAATATAAAAAAGAAATAATTCATGAACTCCTTAGTGTTATGCGATAATGTCTTCGTTTCCTAAACAGCGAAGAATTTAAAGGACAATCCAGTGTTAACCTTTCAACTCGATGAAGTCATTCGGCGCTACGCCTGGCAGATGATGTTGAAGTGAGTATCTTAAACACAACATAACCATACACATAGATGATGTTGAAGTATCTTAAACACAGCATAATCTTACACATAGATGATGTTGAAGTGAGTATCTGAAACACAACATAACCTTACACATAGACGATGTTGAAGTGAGTATCGTAAACACAGCACAAACATACACATAGATGATGTTGAAGTGAGTATCTTAAACACAGCATAACCATACACATAGATGATGTTGAAGTGAGTATCTTAAACACAGCATAATCTTACACATAGATGATGTTGAAGTGAGTATCTTAAACACAGCATAATCTTACACATAGATGATGTTGAAGTGAGTATCTTAAACACAGCATAACCATACACATAGATGACGTTGAAGTAAGTATCTTAAACACAGCATAACCATACACATAGATGATGTTGAAGTAAGTATCTTAAACACAGCATAACCATACACATAGATGATGTTGAAGTAAGTATCTTAAACACAGCATAAACATACACATAGATGATGTTGAAGTAAGTATCTTAAACACAGGCATTCTTTCTAGCGTTGAATTTCTGGAGTTCTCACAACAAACACAACAACAACAAAAACTGTTTAAAAAATAAATGACATGTTTTACCCGTGCGTAATAATAGAAATTCTTTTTTATAATCGGATGCATTTTTACTATATATATATAGGCTACCTGAGTTGTAGTTTTTATTTATTAAAACAAATATTATAAAGAGCTTTTAAATGTGCACTAAGTGAGAAGAAGCCTTACTTTAAATATCTTATTATGTAACACTATTTTTAAAAGCGGAGATCGCTTATACAATTTTAGTAAATTTCCCTTTCAAACTTGACGGTCTACGGGGCAAGAGAAGTAGAAGTCCACTTGTTTCTGTGACCTCGGCATAAGTAGAGATGCAGTGGTCAGCACTATGCTCAGCCGCCTTTACTTACCCTGATGTGAGTTAGGAATCAGAGCTGGGTGGACTCAGGGTTGGTCTACTATTTTGAACACGGATTCGAACTCGAGACTTACGGGTAAGCAGGCCAGCTCTCTACCGCTAGGCCACTCCGTTTTAGTAACAGCATTTAATACATAACATAGTGACCCTCATTTTATTTATAATTATTTTGTATAAAATTATGTGACGGCTAAAATACATTAACTGTGTAACCATAGAAACCAAATTTACTTCTCCCATATTGTATTAAGTGCGGTACTAATTTAATGCAGGGACTGTGGCGAAGACGAGCGATTCGAACTGGAGGTACAAGAGCTCGACTTCACCTGTGAGTTTGACTGGGCGGTGCTGGACATCGAGCACAAGGTCACCAAGTTCTCTCCCAAGGTGAAGGACGGATCTGTGATGGAAACCCACCGGGGTGAGGTAGAAAAAGGTGATCGTATAATAACCTGAGACGAGGGCTTATTTTTTTTTTAAATACTTTACACTTGAGTGGCCGTGGCGCAATCGTTATAGACAGTGTTTCTTCCAGACTTTTTTCTCCAGGGGGGCACTTGAAATTTTCGGGGGGGGGGTGGGCGGACACTGTAAAAAGTATATATTTTCTATATAAATTATATAAATTTCATTTCATTCCGGGGGGGGGGGGGGGGGGCAAGCCCCCCCCCCCCCGAAGAGATGCCTGAAAGAAACTCTTTTTGTAGATTGCAGGGTGGGGCGGACAGTTTAAGGGGGCCGCAAAACTAAAGTATTTTCATGTATATTTTTATTAGAGTCCTGCGATTTTGAAATTTCGATTTCAATTTAGTTAACTTTCACAGTCACTAACACCGAGTTGCTATCTTAAAAAAATAAATAGATATAAGATACACAAGTATCTAATAATGAATTATTGTGCTGTGTATAGACAAATAGGGGAACAGTGAATCAACTTTAAACATTGTTAAATATACCTTGTGTGAAATAGCAGTGGTCAGGAGTCACATATTTCAAGTAACAAGATTGTTTTTATGAAACTCTATTTTACATGCACATAAATAAAACTATATATATATATATATATATATATATATATATATATATATATATATATATATATATATATATATATATATATATTTATTATATCATTTATTTTTGTAAATCAAAGTTACTACCCTACACTGTAGACAACAGTAGCTTTCAAAACATACAAAAATTCTAGCAATAACGGAAGTGGAGGCATATATATATATATATATATATATATATATATATATATATATATATATATATATATATATATATATATATATTGCGAATATGTATTCCTACTAGGTAAAAAATGGATGATGCTTTGGGAAAGTTACTATGACAACCAAGCTGACCGTAAACAAAGTTACGCTTTTAAGGGATCACATGATACGACCACGTGGGTGGGCGTGGACCTAAAACAATGTTACACGGTCAAGAAACAGGTAGCGGCCAGCAGAAGAAAATTTATGGGACTCATTAGACATTAATCATTTTCATTGGGTGTCGTATGCTCCAGGTGTTATGTTTACTGTTATACACACCTTGAGTATACAAGGTTTTAACACTCACTCAAACACACAAACATATATATATATATATATATATATTGATATGTATATATATATCGATTGCTTGATATATATATATATATATATATATATATATATATATATATATATATATATATATATATATATATGTATTGATATGTATATATATTGATTGCTTGATATATATATATATATATATATATATATATATATATATATATATATATATATATATATATATATATATATATATATATATATATATATTGATAGATGTGTAGATATATTGATTGCTTGATTGATTGATTATTCGTTTATTTATGTATACGTTTAGGTGTGTGTCAAGTTAAATCTCCCTCAATGTTTACAAGTCGGCATAGACAATACCCTCAATCTAACCAAGGTCAAAGGTGAAGTGTTCCAAAAGGCTCACACATGGGAGATCAACTCGCAGGTATGTTTTCAAGTGTTCCTGGAGTTCCTGACGTGTGAAGACATGTTTTAACCTTCCTGAAAAAAAATTTTCAATTTTAAGTGCCCACCCAGAAAAAATAAAAGTCTGGAAGAAACGTTTTTAGACCAAACTAATTTTAACCATAGCACACTTTAACAAAGAAACATCTTTGCAGGTTGAAGTGGAGCCATCGTCTCGAGCCCATGCTCAGCTGTCAGCGAGACAAGAGTGCTCTGTATATGAGTTTGAGATTCGAACCACTTTGTCTGCCCGGAAAGGTAACTTTCTTGTTCTAAAATAGAAGTAAAATTTTACAGATAGTTTTTCTATCATAAAGATTCCTACCAAAACGTGCTTCAGCCCTCTAAAGTATCCTGTTGTATTGCTTTTGTCACAGGAGTCCTCCCAGTATTGTTTACTCCAAGCAATGATCGAGCGCTTCAATATGAGGTGAACATTAAAGACCTACTGCAAGCGTTTAGGACAGTGGAAGAGGGCGGAGTTCTTACACCTGAAGAAAAAGTGAGTTGTTTCTCTTGGCTTTGTTTTTTGTTGTTTTTTGTTGTTGTTTTTTTGCCAAAAGTTTTTACTAGATACAGCATGCGCATTAAAAGCATAATATATATTATATTATTTTTTAGATGATTGATTTTAATGTATTTGTATTAAAATAACCTTCAATTCATGATAAAATATCCGCTACCAAGCCAGCTTCAAATTTTAAATAATTTCATTTAACGTTGCTTCGTATTAATTTTATACTATTATTCGTTGCGTCTGGGTTTGGTTCAACTCAGAAACGATTCGTGACACATATAGTGTACTTTTATTTGGTCTCAACTCTCCTCATTACAGAGTAGCCCTCGCCCTAACCGCTACCAACTAACCCCCTTACAATCATTAACTCCAGCTTTTATACCGCATTCGACCTTGGGATAACAATACATAAACACACCGGGGTTAACTACACAGTAGTGCGAACTCGACTCACACGCGCACTCTCCCATAGCTCTAGATTATTCTGCCTATTTCTATCTAACCTTCGACTGAACCGTAACATTATTGATGACCAACTTCATTACCCGCGTCGATGTGGATGGGAGAAAATGCTTTCCAACGGTAAACCATACAACGAAATACTTTACACTAAGAGCTTTTGTTGTTTCTCTGGTTGGGGCTGTGAAAACTAAATCAATCGATAGATAATACAAGATTTGACATCCGCTGAAAACTAAATCAATCGATAGATAATACAAGAGTTGACATCCGCTGAAAACCAAATCAATCGATAGATAATACAAGTTGACATCCGCTGAAAACTAAATCAATCAATAGATAATACAAGAGTTGACATCCGCTGAAAACCAAATCAATCGATAGATAATACAAGAGTTGACATCCTCTAAAAACTCAATGAAACCATTGTACACACTTCAGCCTTAAGAAATGCAGTTCGATATACGAGTGCCCTGACATACGAGAGTTTTAAGATACGAGATGTCGAGCGAGAGATTTCTCCGCTTTGAGTTACGAACAAAAATCAGAGCTACGAGGAATCGCATCCACGGGATTCACTGTTCCAAGAAAAGACACACCCCGAAAACGTTCCATTTGATCGTTTATGGCAGCTATTTAATTATACTTATCTATCGTTCCCCTAACTCTCTGAAAGGGGAGGGGGGGAAGTGACAAAGCTCTTATACAGGTTTTGTTTTACACCGCCTGCACTTGAAAGTGAGTAAAGCGTGTTGAAAAGGCAAAGATCAGTGAAGAGAAAAGCAGGCACAAATATTTATCGAAGGTTATAATACTTTATGAAGTGACATTTAATTCCAACTGTGTTCAGTGAATTATAATTAAGTTCGTTTTAAGTTTAGGGATAAAGTGTAGCAATATGTTAAGTTTAGGGATAAAATGTAGCATTATGTTAAGTTTAGGGATAAAGTGTAGCAATAAGAGTTTTAGCGTGTTACTGAAAGCTACTTTCTTTTTTTATTCCCCCCCCCCCCCACAGGCCTGCTTGGAGTTTAAGGAGGAGAAGTGGCTGGACAAAGATGGCGTGGAGCACTCGACCACCTACCCCCAGATCATCACCAGGGGCACCTGTGTCTGTCTCAGCTGGACTGACCAGAGAGTGGACATCAATACCAGTCCATTGTCAATGGACGAGTCCACTTCTGATGGGAACAGCAAGATGAACTGAACGCCCGTGGGTCACACTGTAGGAAGAGCCAAGCGTCGGTTCAATGTTTGTCTTCGATTAGCCAGACAACATTAGCAGCTGGTATTGATACAGAATATCCTCTAAACTTTACTCTACCCATTAAAAGAATTAACCTTCTTGATCCTAATTAAGCCAAACTCTTAGCAGATATTTACATCATTTATATCTCAGTAATCTTACAATATTTTGTTGTTTTTTTTTCTCCTTTTTTCAAACGTTAGAAATTTTTTTAAAATTCAAGAAAATTCGCATGATTTAAAGCAAGTTTTCAACATCTACATCAAGTGAATAATAACTTAACTATTTAAAACACCAAAATCTCCTTGCCCTTTTTGTTTTTTTGAAGAGGGTGAAATCAGAACTAGGAACTAAAATATTTTAAACTAATTTTTTTACAACTCCCTATCATAACAGATAACTGAAGAAAATATGTCATTTCTTATATTGTTATCTTGTCTATGGGAATAGATTAAAACATTACATTTTTCCCCAACAGTATTGATTACATCAAATTGATCATAAATTGCTGATTTTTTTTAAAAATAACTTTAAATTGAAATTTTTATTAAATTACATTTCTATTTTTTTATAATTTTTAGAAAAAAGATTAAAGATGAGTTAATTTAAGCACACAATGTGTCTGTGTTAAAATCATTTATTTAAAATTATTGTTTCTGAAATTTCAACTGCATTTCTTAAGGCTGGTTTTCAATGACAGTCTGAAAGACAAAAACATTTAAACACAATTCAGTTTTGTTCACGCTCCATTGACTTGGCCACACCAACCATCTCCTGTCACAACCTAAGCTAACTTATGTCTCGCTCTATTTGGTTGCCGTTGTGTGACCCAGTGGCTACAAGGCCTTACGTCTAATATGAAGTCAAATTGTTACACTTAATGACCTACTTGGGCGGGACTGTTTGCTTGTAAAGAACAAAACTATTACACACAGCTATTGGCTGGTTCCCGTTGACCTTTCAACTCTGTAGAGCGTCTCTGAGTCCACTCAGCGCTGGTAGGTACCTGGCATCAATCGGTGAAAGTAGGGGTCGGTGTGGTCGAGTCGGTAAAGCTCATAGTTCGAGCCCTCGGGCAGATGAGGCTCGTTAGCTGGGGAGAGCCACTCTTCTAGGAGAGACAACTCCAAAATCAAACAACTGCTGCCTTGTAGTTTGTTCTTGGTTGGAAGCAAATCCAAAAAGAAAAACAGGCAGAAATCGGAGTCAATGGCCTCAATGGCATAACTAATTGACACGTAGAACGCAGAGGCAGAAAAGAAGGTGAAAGTAGAGGCCACTAGACACAGCGCTGACCACGCAATCTATGCTTTAAAAAAATCATCTGAAAATCCACGGGTGTTTAAAAGTAATGTTATGCTGATACATACATATAATACACGTAAATAGTGCATATGCGCATGGGAATATTGCATATGCACATTGGAATATTGCATATGCGCATGGGAATATTGCATATGCGCAGGGGAATATTGTATTTGCGCATGGGAATTTTGCATATGCGTATGGGCTCTTTCCGGTTATTATTTTCGGTGGGTGTATGTGGGGAGAGGGGGGGCATCAGATCATCCTAAACCTACAACATAATTATCTTTTTTAAAGTAAAACTTTAAAAAGGCACACATAGAACTTTGGCCAATGTATGACTTGCAAGAGACTGTAGACATTAGCGGCTCCAATGATAGTCTCGTCTCTGGTGGTGGTTTAAGTTATGGCTACAGTTGTTTTTTTTTTTATCACTAATACATTTAATGAAAATAAAAGAGCATTATCAGTATAACCTAATCTCATGTTTTACGCTAATACGTACACACCGCATTAAACACACCAGCTTAACAGTTCGGTTCGGGGATTCCCGTCAATAAAGTGCAACACAGTGTGCGCGTAATTGTGCGCCCGTGACTTTGCCCCTTAGAGATAGGTAGATAGGAGATTCATGTAGAAAAAGGACATCTTTTTTTTTTTTTATTGATATTAGTTACTAAAAGGAAGGGCAGCTTCCATCATCAAACGATGTTTGTGGAAGAAGAGATAAGTAAGTGTCATGTTGAGCCTTTTTAATGTTGCTTGTATATGTTGTATATGTACCATTGGTGAGAGTAGGTTCGTGTCACTACGTATCCTTGGTGAGAGTAGGTTCGTGTCACCATGTACCATTGGTGAGAGTAGGTTCGTGTCACCGTGTACCATAGGTGAGAGTAGGTTCGTGTTACCATGTACCATTGGTGAGAGTAGGTTCGTGTCACCATGTACCATTGGTGAGAGTAGGTTCGTGTCACCATGTACCATTGGTGAGAGTAGGTTCGTGTCACCATGTACCATTGGTGAGAGTAGGTTCGTGTCACCATGTACCATTGGTGAGAGTAGGTTCGTGTCACCATGTACCATAGGTGAGAGTAGGTTCGTGTCACCATGTACCATAGGTGAGAGTAGGTTCGTGTCACCATGTACCATTGGTAAGAGTAGGCTCGTGTCACCATGTACCATTGGTGAGAGTAGGTTCGTGTCACCATGTACCATAGGTGAGAGTAGGTTCGTGTCGCCATGTACCATAGGTGAGAGTAGGTTCGTGTCACCATGTACCATAGGTGAGAGTAGGTTCGTGTCGCCATGTACCATAGGTGAGAGTAGGTTCGTGTCGCCATGTACCATAGGTGAGAGTAGGTTCGTGTCGCCATGTACTATTAGATGGAGTAGGCTCGAGTCACCATGTACCATTGGTGAGAGTAGGTTCGTGTCACCATGTACTATTGGTGAGAGTAGGTTCGTGTCACCATGTACCGTTGATGAGGGGAAAGGAGTAGCTTCGGGTGACCATAGCGGGAGTATGTTGGTACCACCACTTACTATAAGAGGTAGTAGGTTCGTGTCACCATCTACATCGGAGGAATTAGATGCGTGTCAGAGGACTTGAAATATAGCAGACAGCGTTTCGCCACATTTCCCAATCCTCTGCTTCATCCAAACAAACACACACACCACCTCATCACCTCCACTCTTCACACCTCACCCACACTAACATCCAACTCTCTTTACATCCAGCGTGCGATAAGATCTACCCCAGAGATAACGAAAAATGGATCAACCACCCGAGGTTGCCACGAAAAAGTGAGCCATGGATATACCGTCTGAGAACGGAAGCGTACATGGAACTGGGCATCCCATTACAGCTGCCTATCAGGATCCTGGCCTTCTTCCCCATTTTAATAGCTTTTGCGTGTTGGCAGGTCAAGGTGACCCTGGACTACCTAGACATGTTCGAGGTGGGTAAAAATATCAACCGTCTTATTTTTAGTACACTATGCGTTAGGTGTTTGTTACGTAACTAATATGGTTAAATAATTTACACATTGTTCTTTTAGTTGACTGCTGGGATAAAAGATGTCTATTCACAGAGGGTTAGTAACCTATTCCGTCGCCATGGGGCTCACTTTCAATTTACGCCCCTCCCCCTGTCTATGTGCTTGTGTGTGTGTAGGGTTTTTATTATTTTTATTTTTAAAAGGCAATTAGTACTGCACACAGGATAGTAGTATAGAATCCCATAAAGCATCGCGAAATCCCCGATAAATTGATCTCAGTTGTTGATTACATCTACGACTTAAAACGCACATTATATTACATTATTAGAACCAGTGAAAGTACTAATTGGAGTAAGACAATAGTGATATTTTTTTACGGCTGGTTGAATGAATAATGCAACAAACACCGAACCAGCTATCAGATCATTTCTGCCTTCTCGCACAACAACAAATAGAGAACAGATTGTACTCGTTAAAGACACGGTAAAAATCGGACGAATTAGGCTGGCACCAATCTTGAGATCCTGACTAGAATCGCCAAGGATCAACGACACTGACTTGTTAAAGCTAGGGCGGAATTAAATGCATTGTCAAGAAAAACTTAACTCAGACTCTTTGGCACAAATGTAAAATGAGTTAGTAGGTATCATAGCGAGACAGGGAGTTAAACAAGGACAGCAACATGCCAACTACAGGGATTGGTACACTGGCGTTAAATGAAGACCGTAAGACCACATTGGCCGGACAAAATGTCTGATTTTCGTCTGTAAGTTTGCATAAATATACCAGTGGAGGACAAATTAAGAGAAAAAAGCTGTTGGATAGTGAACTCCCTGAGAAAGTTAGACAATGGGCGGGCGCTAAAGGGGTTGGATAGTGAACTCCTTGAGAAAGTTAGACGATGGGCGGGCGCTAAAGGGGTTGGATAGTGAACCCCCTGAGAAAGTTAGACATTGAACGGGCGCTAAATGGGTTGGATAGTGAACTCCCTGAGAAAGTTAGACAATGGGCGGGCGCTAAAGGGGTTGGATAGTGAACTCCTTGAGAAAGTTAGACATTGGGCGGGCGCTAAAGGGGTTGGATATTGAACTCCTTGAGAAAGTTAGACAATGGGCGGGCGCTAAAGGGGTTGGATATTGAACTCCCTGAGAAAGTTAGACATTGAACGGGCGCTAAATGGGTTGGATAGTGAACTCCTTGAGAAAGTTAGACAATGGGCGGGCGCTAAAGGGGTTGGATAGTGAACCCCCTGAGAAAGTTAGACATTGAACGGGCGCTAAATGGGTTGGATAGTGAACTCCTTGAGAAAGTTAGACAATGGGCGGGCGCTAAAGGGGTTGGATAGTGAACTCCTTGAGAAAGTTAGACATTGGGCGGGCGCTAAAGGGGTTGGATATTGAACTCCTTGAGAAAGTTAGACAATGGGCGGGCGCTAAAGGGGTTGGATAGTGAACCCCCTGAGAAAGTTAGACATTGAACGGGCGCTAAATGGGTTGGATAGTGAACTCCTTGAGAAAGTTAGACAATGGGCGGGCGCTAAAGGGGTTGGATAGTGAACCCCCTGAGAAAGTTAGACATTGGGCGGGCGCTAAAGGGGTTGGATAGTGAACCCCCTGAGAAAGTTAGACAATGGGCGGGCGCTAAAGGGGTTGGATAGTGAACTCCTTGAGAAAGTTAGACAATGGGCGGGCGCTAAAGGGGTTGGATAGTGAACTTGAGAAAGTTAGACATTGGGCGGGCGCTAAAGGGGTTGGATATTGAACTCCTTGAGAAAGTTAGACAATGGGCGGGCGCTAAAGGGGTTGGATATTGAACTCCCTGAGAAAGTTAGACAATGGGCGGGCGCTAAAGGGGTTGGATAGTGAACCCCCTGAGAAAGTTAGACATTGGGCGGGCGCTAAAGGGGTTGGATAGTGAACTCCTTGAGAAAGTTAGACAATGGGCGGGTGCTGACGTGGTTGGATAGTGAACCCCCTGAGAAAGTTAGACAATGGGCGGGCGCTAAAGGGGTTGGATAGTGAACTCCTTGAGAAAGTTAGACAATGGGCGGGCGCTAAAGGGGTTGGATAGTGAACTCCCTGAGAAAGACGATGGGCGGGCGCTAAAGGGGTTGGATAGTGAACTCCCTGAAAAAGTTAGACAATGGGCGGGCGCTAAAGGGGTTGGATAGTGAACTCCCTGAGAAAGACGATGGGCGGGCGCTAAAGGGGTTGGATAGTGAACTCCCTGAGAAAGACGATGGGCGGGCGCTAAAGGGGTTGGATAGTGAACTCCTTGAGAAAGTTAGACATTGGACGGGTGCTGAAGCTCAGGGGATAAGGAGAGAAGAAGGGTGTTGGGGCAAAACATAGAGGAGATTTTTTTGAGAGAAGTATGGGAGAGGCTGAATTGTCATGGCCTTGCCACACATCGAGTTCGTTGGTCATTTGTCGTCTCGGCTCAACGCTCCTTAGGGAGCTGCAAGGTTTAAAAAGAAGAGGTTCCATTGGCTGATTTAAGGCTGAAATATGACTGATGGTGTAGACAGAAACGAACTGAGTTTAGTTTTTTCCAAAATTAATTTAGTGTAAGTGAAGAAACGGGTTCAACAAACGTACTGTTTTTGTTCGTTTCAGCTCTTTGATCATCCAGAAATTTCTCCCAAATCCGCTGGGAGGGCACTGATTTCTTTGGTCACGATCTGCGGCCACATCTACCTGTTTTTTCAGTTTGTGGACAGGTGTGAGAGGTAAGGTAACTTTTTGACCAGGTAATGATCGGTGGGCTGGTTGGTGGGCTGGTTGGTGGGCTGGTTGGTGGGCTGGTTGGTGGGCTGGTTGGTGGGATGGTTGGTGGGGTGGTTGATGGGGTGGTTGGTGGGCTGGTTGGTGGGATGGGTGGTGGGGTGGGTGGTGGGGTGGTTGGTGGGCTGGGTGGTGGGGTGGTTGGTGGGCTGGGTGGTGGGGTGGTTGGTGGCGTGGTTGGTGGGCTGGGTGGTGGGGTGGTTGGTGGGCTGGGTGGTGGGGTGGTTGGTGGGCTGGTCAGTGGGCTGGTCGGTGGGCTGGTCAGTGAGCCGTTGGATAATCCTTTGAGATCAGTTGGTATAGGATTGGTCAATAGGTCAATAGATTGGTCGGTAGATCGGTAACTGGATCTTTTAATATGCTCAGTCAGTTGATTTTAAAGTCAAACAATGTACTGTATATTTCCTGGCTTATTTTTACACCTTAATACCTTAATTCTTTGATTACATCAGTATTTTTTTATTACACCTGTATTAAAAGATGAGTGTTTTGGATAGTGAAACCCAATACAGCAACTTATCTAGGATAAGAGTCACTCTGATTCTAAACTCCCGGAAAGTAGACCTCGACGTATAGGCGATAGTGTTACCAGCTCTGGTCTCTTTATAGGAAGCTTCTGGTACTTGGTGTATTGTCCAGCATCCATTAGGACTGTGACAACATGGTCAAGAGAGAGATCCTGAGCCATGGGTAACACGTGATCTTAGACCAAATACTACTAACAACTATGATATGCAATAACTGTAGAAGAAATGGCATGTTCGACAACATCATAGTCTACACCAACAACACCATAGCCTACACCAACAACACAATATGTTACCTCACTGGGCGTGTGCCTATTGTCTCTTAAGTCAAAAGAGACCAAATGTAAACAGGCTGGTATCGGTATATGTTGTATTCCCCTGTACTTGTTTATACATTATCTTATTTGATGGTCTCAAAAAACATGCACTGATTTCATCTTAGACACTACCGTAGAGAAACGACAAGGGAAGAATGTGATGCTATACACAAGACTAATGAGCGGCCTAAAGACATGAGAAAAAAACGTGGTATGGGAAACAACCGTTGAAAACATCAAACAAATAGTTGTCATCTCTACACTTACACAATACGAAGTATATGCTACATCACATATATTAAAATGTCTGACCCTCCCCCCTCCCCCAATCTCGCACACGATATTAGCCACCTGCGAAGCACATAGTAATAAAAGCTTTAACACCCTCCCTCTACGCTAGGCTCATTTATCAACCACCCTTTAATACGAAGTATATTGAATCGAGCGACACCTAGCACAAACCAAACTCTAACACATAACACCCCAAACCTAAACGTAGCACAGCACGCTCTATCCATTTAGCACACTATAACAAAAGTATAGATCATCAACACTTCCCCGATTTAAAATATTGAAATGATTTTACACATTTCCTTAAAGCAAAGAAAAATGTAAAGGACGGTCCGGTTTTATCCATCGAGCTGGTTGACGTCATTTATCGTTACGCCTGGCAGAAGATGATCAAGTGAGTACCTAAAACAGCATTTTTTTTTCATTTGTTGAAAAAAGAAAGTACTCACAACAAAGTCAGACTATGGCAACATGAATACGTATATAATCGGTCTTCATCTTTTTTTTCTTTGTATTCAACCAACTATACCTCAGCAGTTGGATTATAAATGTACGAGCCGACCCGCAGCGTATCATACGCCGCTATTTAGTTGTTTGATTTTCTACTTTTCAGTAATTCATAATTTGTGAATTCGACAGTACCAATGCTGCCACTGAAAATATTTGCTTTAAAACACTATCAGTAGGTCAAGAACGATACTACCCCCACCCTCCTTTCCCCCAACCCCTACCCTACACCCACCCACCCACCCCACCCACCCCCCCCCCGTGAAAGCAGCCTCCTCTTAGTTACCCCCCCCCCTAAGTTTAAAATAGTTTTAAACTAAATTATCTGCCCCTAATAGCCGTCACTAGACCCGCTCTATGAATGTAAACATTTAGCGTGAACCACAGTTCACCAGACCATGTAGGGGTGGGGAGGTAGGGAGCGCGCTTACAGCTTGTTTTCTAGCGTCTCACAGAAGAGAATTATATATATAGATAGATACGTAATGCTTAAGCCAAACTTACTGCGTGGTAATGTGTATTTAGTGCCGCGCAATAACATGTAATTTAATCCAGGGAAGCTGATGAAATCGAACAATGGGTGATGGAGGAAACTAAGGATCACTACACCTGTGAGGTGGACTGGACGGCGCTGACCATCGATCACAAGGTCACCAAGTTCTCTCCCAAGGTGAAGGACGGAACTGTGATCAAACACACCCGTGGTGATGTGGAAACAGGTGATTATTTTAAACATCAATCAAACTGTTTCGTCCCGGAGCTCTGTGTCCCATGGGATGGCCGAGGGGGTGGGGATGTGGGGGGGGGGGGGGGACGTAGTAGTGTTCATCGGAGCTCTTGATTTCACAACCCTTATCTCTTTTGTTTTATAGTGTGGAATTTTATTTTCACAACCTTTATGTTTCACTAATGTATTTTTACTCCACAATGCACATTCCTATAAAGATAAAGACACCAAAGATATATATATATATATATATATATATATATATATATATATATATATATATATATACATATTTATTTATTTATTTATTTATTTATTTATTTATTTATTTATTTATTTATTTATTTATTTATTTATTTATTTATTTATTTATTTATTTATTTATTTATTTATTTATTTATTTATTTATTTATTTATTTATTTATTTATTTATTTATTTATTTATTTATTTATTTATTTATTTATTTATTTATTTATTTATTTATTTATTTATTTATTTATTTATTTATTTATTTATTTATTTATTTATTTATTTATTTATTTATTTATTTATTTATTTATTTATTTATTTATTTATTTATTTATTTATTTATTTATTTATTTATTTATTTATTTATTTATTTATTTATTTATTTATTTATTTATTTATTTATTTATTTATTTATTTATTTATTTATTTATTTATTTATAAAATACGTCTTTGTACTCACTTCAGGCACAAAATGGGTTACTCTCTTCTCAAGTTTCTATGACAACAAAGCCGATAGTAAACAAAGTCACGCTTTTAAAGGATCACGTGATACGACTACATGGGTGGACGTGGACCTAGAACAGTATTACACGGTCAACAAAGAGGTAGTGGCCAGCAGTTGGAAATGTATCAGATTTATTATCATTATTATCAGGGTGGTGTATATATATATATATATATATATATATATATATATATATATATATATATATATATATATATATATATATATATATATATATATATCCATTTAGGCGTGTGCCCTGTTGAACATTCCTGATGAATATTTAAGAGTGGGCATAGACAATACCCTCAACCTAAACAAGGTCAAAGGTGAAGTGTTCCAAAAGGTTAAAACATGGGAGATAAACACTCAGGTATGTATATAAATGTCTTTGCTCGTTCAGTTGTTTTAACGCAGTGCTGTTTTTTTTATCACTGGGATCTAAGTATGAGGATATTAAAAAGTTTTATTATCAAGAAAAAAATTTTACAGGTTGAAGTTGAGCCATCGTCTCGAGCCCATGCTCAGCTGTTAGCGAGACAAGAGTGCTCTGTCGTGGAGTTTGAGATTCGAACCACTCTAGCACACCGTAAAGGTCACTCAACTTCCTTGCTATATAACCAAAAAAAATTAGATCTCTGTGACAATGTTTCTCTATAAAATACGTGTTCAAGCTCACTAAATTAAGTTTTATTTTTCAACAGGAGTGCTCCCTATCACCTTCGCAGGCGACGAGTTCGTATTCTATGTGAACATTGAGGACTTACATAAGGCTTTTAGACTTGTGAAAGATGGCGGAGTTCTTACAAAAGAAGAAATGGTGAGTTATTTCCTTTATGTTTTTTTTTCACAGACAAATTTTTTTGCGACACACATCAGATCCATTAATATCATCTTGTAATATATAATTCACCTGATTATTCCGTTTCGATTAGTATAGTGGGTTTTAACATTCGAAAACACGTCACAATTGTATCAGATTTTCACTCTTATACAAAGTAAAGAGGCAGTATTGTGGCCGCGGAAAAAAATTGAATTCGATATTTTCTTAAATCTAGAATGAAAAAAAAACAGTTCTGTAACCTTGTCTGCGTGTATGAACGCAATACGTTTCAGTTAGGTGGACGGATTTTATAGATGTGCTAGATCACTTACGTTGGCTTCTTTAAACTTTTTAGCCACTACCGCTAACCGGACACCCAATAAAAACTCAAATTAATTATTCTTATGTTTATTTATTTTTTTAATTATTAGTATTATTATTCCCAGATAAGCTCAGAAAACCTCTTACACAAATCAAAAAATAGTGATAAGAAAAAAAATATATTTTTATTTTTTATTCTTATTCCCTCCCCCCACCCCCACTCCCCTCTTCAGGCATTTGTGGAGATGGTGGAGGAGAAGTGGCTGGACGAAGATGGCGTGGAGCACTCGACCTCCCACCCCCAGATCATCACCCGGGGCACCTGTGTCTACCTCGGCTGGACCGACCAGAAAGTGGACATCAAGACCAGTCCATTGTCGATGGACGAGTCCACTTCTGATGGGGACATCAGCATCAAGTCCGTCAGTCACAGAGAAGAAGACCCAGGCGTCAATTCATTTGTTGTCGTCGGTTAGCCAGACCATCGTTTGCTACTGATATCGATACCAAATATCCTCTAAACCCATCACTGCTTTGTACAATAGACACACAACATTTTCATTAGTCTTAAGCCAAACGCTTTGCAGTCATTCACATCACTTTACTAGTACAGTCCAACTACATTAACCGATAAAAACATTTTTTTTTTCTGAAATCATTATTTAACCAAGTCTTCGATGTTTTATGATTTCAATAACTTCAACCAACTAACATTAGTGAAAACAAACAATTCAAGATCTGCCTTTAATTATTTTTAATTAATTTAGCTTAGCTATTAAACGAGGTAAAAGTGGATGTTGGTACAGGAATATTAACATTAAACACATAGGAACCATCTGTTACAACATTCTATGTCAGCAAGAAAATATTGAGTCAATTTTTAAAATTGTATCTTCTTAGTGGAAATAGTTTGAAATCATTTAATTTTTGGCGAATTCTATTGATAATTTTCATATTTATCACCAGTTATTTAGGAAAAAAAATTAAAAAGGACACTATAAAATTAAGCATGAATTTTATCAAATTGCATTACTATTTTTAATACGTAGATTTATAAAAGGAATAAAAATGCATTATATTTAATAACAAAATGTGACTGTGTTATCGTTTTTTTTTTACTTTAAATAATGGATAGATCTGCAGGAATATATAGCAGAGCAGTTAGAGTCTGATTTAGATCAACTGTCAGAGAGTCTAAATATAGCACATACCAGAAGAAGTTCACAACACAGACAAAATATCTGGTCAGCTAACAAATTTCTCGATTTTTTAAATTTGCCATTGTGTGACCCAATAGAGTTGATTTGTTACACTTAATGACCCACCTTGAGACAGGTGTGTTAATTTGAAACGTGAAGAACAAAAACAATTCACACAGCTATAGACTGTCAAAAGTCTTGGGACCTCTGCCAGGTTTAATAGATACATTGCACGAATCGGTGAAAGAAAATATTTCAAAAACCTCTGAAACTTCTGGTATTTAAATATTAACTACTGATACATAAAGAAAATGAATTGTGTACTGGCTTATTACACAGACGTCTACAGATTAATCTATTGGGGAGTGAGGTCCAAAGCTATAGTTAGGTATATAGAGAAAAATGAACAGAACAGAACGCTCAACACAAAGTTTAAACTACAGCATACACCATTAAATATGCAACAAAATAAAACAAAAAACACTAGAAATAAAAATCAAAACACACAAAACACAACAAAATAAAGATACACTATACAGCAATTAACTAAAATCGCGACGAAACACAACACAATTACACAAACAAAATAGTAAATTTACAAAAACATGTTTCCAGTTAAATAATCGATCAAAATAAACACATCCTTATCATTGGGTTTACCCGATCAGTCGTTTTCTTACATCTAGTGAATGTTACATTTAGACAGATAGTCTTCAGACAATACTGTTTTACCTCAAGTTACCTAGTCTTAAAAAGTCACAAGAATTAGTAAGAAAAGCAATTTTCTTACAGTTAGTAACCTTTTTTTAATTATACATAATTTATGTCAAAGCATGAGACAATGTTTTCTTATATTAAGAGACCTAGTCTTGGGAAAATAATTGTATACTTAAGCTTGAGACACATTAATTTCATAGATCAGTTTTCTTACCTATTCTCGAGATAATATCTTTACTTCAAGTGACCTATTCTTGGGATACTTTTCTTGTAGTCTCTTCTTGAGAATATTTTCTTATATCAAGTGACCTTGTCATGTAAAAATGTCTTTCATCGAGTCATCAAACCGGCAGCTCTTACATTTAGCTACATATGTTTGATAAAATGTGATATTAAATCATCTTAAATATTTTAATGACTTTCCTTTACAATAAAAGCAAATAGAAAAATTCAATATTTTTCATTTTAAGTTTGAAATTTATTTTGAGTATGAAGTTGTATATACCGCTGTCTTTGCTTACTTTTAAACTATTTTTATTTTTCTCAATTTTAATATTTAGTCAGTAAAATAATGATAAATATTTTAGATGTCAACGAAATCGCAATAGTTTTTTGCAAATTGCCTACAATATATAGATTATTGAAACCTGTTTTATATCACATTTTATCAAACATATGTAGCTAAATATAGTTTCTATTCTAGAAACACTTTAATCAACAAACATGCTTTGCCAGTTTAAAATCTCACAGCTTTTGGATACACAAGTACACGCGAATATATCACACCAACTTGACAGTTTGGTTCTGGGATTCCCGTCAATACAGTGCAGCACAGTGCGCACTTTATTGCGCGTTCCTGATTTCGCTCCTTAGAGATGGGTGCATGGTAGTTCAATGTAAGCAGGACCATTTCCGTCTATGATAGCAACTTGTTGAACGAAGGCAGATTTACTCATCACACGATGGAACCGGATAAAAAGACCGGTAAGAGTTATGTTAATCCTTCCTGCGTGTGTGTGTATGCATGTGTTTATGCGTGTGTGTGTGTGTGTGTCTACCTTAGCTGTAAATACTGTATTGCAGAATCTAGACATCTAGTAGCGCTGGTTACAGTTTTGATTTAGTTTTTAGCTGAGCTGAGGGCAAGATCGTTATAGAATTAGATATACTTACATAGATCAGGTTTCTAGATCTAGATTCAAGATATTTTATCGGAGATAGATCTATTTTGTCTGAGATCATTTGTCCGTGAGATCATTTTTGTCCTTGAGATGACATTTTCTGAGATCATTTGTCCAGATATCAATTTTCCGAGATATATTTTGTCTCGGATACTTTGTCTGAGATCATTTGTTCTGTCACCCATGTAACAGCCTGGATTCATCATTTAAATGTTACTTTTCACGTTACGAGACTGAACAAACGTATTTTTCTTTAAACTTTAAGCAAATAAACTGTTTTATTTTTTTTTAATAAGAAATAAACCAAATGTAATAAAAAGTTCTTGTCGTTCATGAAACATCGCTACCATTGTATCGCTAGTGAGTGTTGAAATTTTTCAGAAGAGACCCAGACTTTGGCAACTTTACCTAAAAAAAAGAATAGTGTGTAATTTTTTTTTCTTGATTGTAACCCAGTGGCTTAGCGAGGTCGGGTGTCACCCGGTACGGCACTTAATGGTGTCACCCCTCCCCCCCCCCCCCCCCCCCCCGAGGCATAGCGACTCTTCCCGGGACAAACTTTCAATTTTCGATTTCCACCCCCCCCCTCTCAAACTTTCGATTTGCACCCCCCCCCCCCCACCCCTCAAATTTTTCTCTATATATTTTTACTATTTTTTGCTTTGGTGTCACCCCCCTAAATGGTGTCACCCGGTGCGGTCCGCACCCCCTATCCCCCTCGTTACGCCTCTGTTGTAATCCATTTAAAAATATCTTGTTGTAAAGGTTCAACTACATGTATAATATTAAGTCGATAATGATTCTTCGAAACCACAGACAAACTAAAATATTTACATTGAAACCATTTCAATTATGTGGCAAATTCATTATCATTCTCGAAACAATAAATTGAAAACATTAATCGTGGGTTATATCATCAGTTACTCATCAGTTACTCATCAGACTGATTGATCACTATCATCTTGTTTTCTCCCCTATTGTTATTAAATAGAGTAACTCTTAAAAATGTATACATGAAGACTAATTAATTTAAGAAGATATAAAATCAGCTTTTATGGTATCATTAGTATGAGGTGTGTGTCCCCCACGTAACAATGGAGGGAGTAGGTTCGTGTCACCACATAACAAGGGAGGGAGTAGGTTCGTGTCACCACATAACAAGGGAGGGAGTAGGTTCGTGTCACCACATAACAAGGGAGAGAGTAGGTTCGTGTCACCACGAAACAAAGGAAGGAGTAGGTTCGTGTCACCACAAAAGAATTATTAGACTCGTGGGTATTATTTCCCCCACACCTCCTTGAAAGCTACACCCCCACCCCCTCACTTCTACTCTCTACACCTCACCACATAACACCCCTCTCTCTCTCTAGCTTGTCAACCCAGCGTCCCAAGCACTGAGAAAGAAGCCTCAAACCCATTGGACCAACCAGAAGAAGACTCGTTTCTTATCTGTTTACTGGATGAGTTCTGTTATATACTCGATGTGTTGCTCCCGACAACACTTACTATGCCGTTCTTTTTCCTGTGGATGATTTTAACAGCTTTCGCGGCTTGGCAGGTCAAGATGACCATCGACTACTTTGAAATATGTGAGGTGAGAAATATACGAACCTACTTATTTCTAATAAACTCTATTCTTTAACTATTTGGGTTGTTAAATATAATGGGCCATAGTGTACATAATTACTTCATGAAATGTTGGTACTAGAATAATAACATGAGAACTGGGGGAAAAGATTGAGGGCAGTTTTAGAAATGTCTAAAAGAAATAAGCGCTTTAACATTTCCTCTCCTGATTAGCGCAATTCGTTGGTATATTGATCTATGGCTGAAATATAAAGTAAGTTTTTGATTAAGTTAATTAAACCTGTTATTTCTGAGTTTTATTTTTTTTTCCCAAAAATATTTTTAGAGCTGCCACAGGAAGTTAAAGGAACGGAATTTAAAACGTTTATTTCTGTTGTTTCAGCTGCTTATGCTAAAGGAGATATCGCGCAGATTAATTGTGAGGATAGTTCTTGTTTATGTGGCATATCGCGCACAATTTTACCTTGTCAATCAGTTCTTTGACGAATGTGTTTGGTAAGAAAAATGTTTGTATAAGTCATGTTCGGAAGGGGGGGGGGGTGAAAATTAGATTTGTTAGTGGGTTAGAAAATGTTGGTTTGCCAGTTAGTGGGTGGATTCGATCATTGGCTTGGTCAGTTTACTTATCAGCAGACTGAATGGTAGCTTTGTCAGTTAGTCATCAGTCAGTTGGTCAATTAGTCACTTAGTCATCAGTCAGTTGGTCAGTTAGTCAACAGTCAGTTGGTCAGTTAGTCATCAGTCAGTTGGTCAGTTAGTCACTTAGTCATCAGTCAGTTGATCAGTTAGTCAACAGTCAGTTGGTCAGTTAGTCATCAGTCAGTTGGTCAGTTAGTCACTTAGTCATCAGTCAGTTGATCAGTTAGTCAACAGTCAGTTGGTCAGTTAGTCATCAGTCAGTTGGTCAGTTAGTCACTTAGTCATCAGTCAGTTGGTCAGTTAGTCATCAGTCAGTTGGTCAGTTAGACATCAGTCAGTTGGTCTGTTGGTCATTGGTCAGTAAGTGAGTTATTGGTCACTTGGTCAGTAATTCTTCGGTGAGTTGGCCATTTAGTCATCGGTCAGTAAGTCAACCAGTCATCACTCAGTTGGTCAGTTAGTCAACAGTCAGTTGGTCAGTTAGTCATCAGTCAGTTGGTCAGTTAGTCATCAGTCAGTTGGTCAGTTAGTCAGCGGTCATTTGGTCTGTTAGTCATCAGTAAGTCAGTTAGTCATCATTCAGTTGGTCAGTTAATTATAAATCAGTCAGTTGGTCAGTTAGTCATCAGTCAGTTAGTAAGTGAGTTATTGGTCACTTGGTCAGTAAGTCTTCAGTCAGTTGGCCATTTAGTCATCGGTCAGTAAGTCAACTAGTCAACACTCAGTTGGTCAGTTAGTCATCAGTCAGTTGGTCAGTTAGACATCAGTCAGTTGGTCTGTTGGTCATTGGTCAGTAAGTGAGTTATTGGTCACTTGGTCAGTAATTCTTCGGTGAGTTGGCCATTTAGTCATCGGTCAGTAAGTCAACCAGTCATCACTCAGTTGGTCAGTTAGTCATCACTCAGTTGGTCAGTTGGTCATCAGTCAGTCAATTAGTCATTGATCAGTTAGTCACTTAGTCATCAGTCAGTCAGTTAATCATCAATCAGTCAGTTGGTAAGTGAGACATCAGTCAATTGATCAGTTATTCATCACTCATTTGGTCAGTTTGTCATAGGTCAGTTGATCTTTCATTTGATGAGCTAGTTTAATCACAACTTGTGCTTATGTCTGTATTGTTCAATTACATGTGTATTGTTTGATCAAATGTGTATTGTTTAATTAAATTTGTATTGTTTTATTAAACCTTAATTTAAAACTATTGAAGCAACTTTACACACTTATTCCATCCCAGGAAATTCCCTACGCCGCTTCCTAAAGAAGAACTTCGAGCCATTAGACAGGAAGGATCGTATTTTCGAGAACTAAGAAAAAAACGCGGTATGGTAAATAGCGATTAAAAATATAAACTATTTGCCCATGCTACCTGGGATACATTAAGACTTCACTCCCCCTCCCACCCCCCACACACACATTGTCAGAACAGCCTTTACACCGCCACCGTCTTCCTCTGAGCGTGTGACGTCATGAATTGACTTCAGCTAAACGAAGTATTTTGAATCGAGAGATTTTTGACACAAACTTAGCTCTATCAAATAACTCAATACCAGTAGCGTAGCGAGGGGGGGGGGATGGGCGGGGGGGGGGGGGGACATATGTCCCCGGGCGCCGACCTTAGGGGGCGCCAAAATGGGTTGGAAAAATAAATTGAAAGGTTGAGGGGGGTGCAAATCGAAAGTTTGAGGGGGTGTGCAAATTGAAATCTCGAGGGGGGGTGCAAATCGAAAGTTTGAGGGGGGGGGGGGGGGGTGCAAATCGAAAAGTTTGTCCCCGGGCGCCGGGAAGGGTCGCTACGCCTCAATACCCATGCCCTAAGCTTAAACAGCAGGAAGCGTTTGATCAACATGATTAATATTGGAGGAGATAGGTAGGCTATAACCACTGGGATTTGTCCATAGGATTTATAATGCAAGGGGAGTATGTCCAGTGTGGGGAGGGGGAGATTTATATTTTATAGCGAATTGGTGGTGGGTTGTATACATGGAAGAGGTTTTTTTTTAGTATTTCCTACTTAAAATAACTATTTTAGTATGCGCGTGTTATATATGCATTAAATACAAAATTGTAAAAAGAAAAAAAAATATTTGAGCCATTTACTAATTCAGCAGGTATAGATTTTAAATCATAGATAACATCATGTCTTACCCCATTTAGCACAATATAACAAAAGTTTAAAACATTAACGTCTTCGTTGTATATAAGATGTGAACCTTTCCCATACAGACAGGAATATAAAAGATAGTCCGGTTTTGACCTTGAAACTGGATGAGGTCATTCGGCGCTACGCCTGGCAGGCGATGTTGAAGTGAGTATCTTAAACACAACACAACCATTCACATAGATGATGTTGAAGTGAGTATCTTAAACACAGCATAACCTTACACATAGATGATGTTGAAGTGAGTAACTTAAACACAGCATAACCAGACACATAGATGATGTTGAAGTGAGTAACTTAAACACAGCACAAACATACACATAGATGATGTTGAAGTGAGTATCTTAAACACAACATATCTATACACCTGGATTGTGTTGAATGGAGTGCCTTAAACATAGTCTAACCATACACATTTTTTTTCAATTTTTAATTTATTTTGGATGTATTTTTATTTTTATGTGCATAAAACTACCCTCAATTTTTTCTTTTGTAATATACAAACTATACATCTGCAGTTTTTTTTATAAAAACCACGTGTTACAACGTCACATTTGATAAGCCACTAAAATGCCGTACTGTAAAACTATTTAGGGAATGTGATGAAGACGAGAGATACAATTTAGAGAGTATTGAGAGAACCTACAAATGCCAACTGGACTGGTCGGTTCTGGGCATCGAGCACAAGGTCACTAAGTTTTCTCCCAAGGTGAAGGACGGATCTGAGGCGAAACTTCTCCGAGATAATGTCAAGCCAGGTGATTTTATTGTAATTTTTTATCACAATGCCTTTGCGCCACGGGAATGGGTATAAATAAATATATATATATATATATATATATATATATATATATATATATATATATATATATATATATATATATATATATATATATATATTCATAACAGGTACACGATGGGTTACGCTGTGGGAAGGTAACTATGACAACCGAACCGAAGGTAGAGTAACTCACGCTTTTAGCGGATCACGTGATACAACAACATGGGTGGACGTGGACCTAAAACAATGTTACACGGTCAAGAAACAGGTAGTGGCAAGCAGTAGAAAATGTACCCGAATTATTATACGAGCCGACCCGCGGCGTAGAATACGCCGCTATTTACTTGTTTTTTTTTCCATATTTCAGTAATTCATAATTTGTGAATTTGACATTACCCTCCCTCCCCTCCCCTGTGAAAACAGCCTCCGTGACTACAGTTTACAGGCGACAGTGAAACTATCAAGCAGAACTTGTTACCTCCACTTAGTTTCAAATTATCCGCCCTTATTAGCCGTTATTAATTCGACTCGGCTCTACTTGTAAATATTTGGAGTGAATCACAGCTCACCAGCTATATTCTTAGAGAGCGGGGAAGTAACGGCATGCGTTTACGTGGTGTCTCGCGCATATATATATATATATATATATATATATATATATATATATATATATATATATATATATATATATATATATATACCTAGGTGTGTGGCTGGTTAAGCCTACCTCAATATTTACAAGTCGGCATAGACAAAGCCCTCAATCTAAACAAGGTCAAAGGTGAAGTGTTCCAGAAGGTTCACACCTGGGAAATCAACACGCAGGTATGTATACCAGTTGTTCATAAAACCCAAGGTGTAAAAATAGTGAGGATATTGAAAGGTTTACCAAAAAAAATTTAAAAATTTCAGGTCGAAGTTGAGCCATCGTCTCGAGCCCATGCTCAGCTGTTAGCGAGACAAGAGTGCTCTGTCGCTGAGTTTGAGATTCGAACCACTTTTCCTAACCGTAAAGGTCACGCAAATTTTTGTTGTAATGTAAATGTGCACATGAATGTAGTATTTCTGCCTAAATACTTACTCTAACTCCCTTAATGATTATCATGTTCATAGATATTTTTTTCTACAGGCTTGCTCCCTGTAACATTCAAAGGAAATATTGAAAATGATATCCTATATGACGTCAACATTGAAAACTTGCTTGAGGCCTTTAGACCCGTGGAAGAGGGCGGAGTTCTTAAACCAGAAGAAAAAGTGAGTTGTTTCCCTTGGTTTCGATATCGGCCGAAAGTTATCGGCAGATTGAGTATGCATTTATTGTTATACGCTTTTGTACCAAAATATCTTTCATTTCCGACAAAAACAATATAGAAATCAACCTGCATCATAAAAAAACAGTACAAACATTTTTTTCAATCTTAAAAAAATCATATTTCCATCGTCACATTAGCCAGGATGTGTAAGTATTCTCTACTGCAATTAGCTATTTTATTATTCGCATATTAATTCGCATATTAATCGACTTCAAAGGATACCGTTTAACGCCTTCCTGTCGTAATAATCTTTCTCTACTGTTATTAATTTGACCAGCTTAATTACCCGCGCAGTGAATGTGAGATAAAAAGAGCTTACGTTGTTTCTCTGGTTGGAGCTGTAAACCAAATCAATCGATAGTTCATGCAAGACATGCACTGAAAACTAAATCAATCGATAGTTCATACAAGACATCCACTGAAAACTAAATCAATCGATAGTTCATGCAAGACATCCACTGAAACCTAAATCAATCGATAGATCATGCAAGACATCCGCTGAAAACCAAATCAATCGATAGTTCATGCAAGACATCCGCTGAAAACTAAATCAATAGATAGTTCATGCAAGACATCCACTGAAAACTAAATCAATCAATAGATCATACAAGGGTTGACATCAGCTGAAAGCTCAATGAAACCATTGTACACACTTCAAATCAAACAATAAATGCGCATACATTCCTGAGTTGCAACATCATTGTTTATACTTATTCTCATTACAAAAATACTATTATTATTGTTATCGATTTTGCTGTTACTACTGTTACTTTACACAAACAGAAAAATTCCTACATAACACATTAGTCTTTTCTTATTTATTCTCCCCCCCCCCCCACCCCAACGGTTTTTTCTCTCTTCAGGCTTGTGTGGAGTTGGTAGTGGAGAAGTGGCTGGACAAAGATGGCGTGGAGCACTCGACCTCCCACCCCCAGATCATCACCCGGGGCTCCTGTGTCTACCTCAGCTGGACTGACCAGAAAGTGGACATCAAGACCAGTCCATTATCAACGGAAGAGTCCATTGATGAAAAACGCGGAATAAACAAGGTGCCCGTCAACCATGCTGACGAAAACCCAAGCGCCAATGCTTTTGTTGTCGTCGATTAGCTAGCTATATGTTCACAGCTAGTTAGCTGTAGAAAAAAAAACATGCTTTTGCTCATTACAAGACACATACATATAATCTTAATTAGGCTTAGGCCTAACGATAACTAACACAGGTAGTTCAGATAGATAAAATACATAATACTTTTTTTTTCCTTTAATCAGAACTATTCTGGTTTTAAATGTTATAAAATGCGCATATTTCAAGAAAGTTAGCAAGAATTATTTTTTTAGTTTAAAATCTGCATTATGTGTATGTCGTTTTAAATGACTCTTGTTTATAAATATTAAAATCACACATACCGTTTTCCACCTCAGCTGGCAATGATACTTAATTAGGCTTAAGATTAATTTGGTTTACGTCAGTTTATCGCTAGAGTAGTCTAGTCCAAATACAAATCGATGGGAGCTTTTTTACGTCGGTTTTTTTTCTCGTTGTATTTTTTTTTTAATTATACGTAACCCAGTTTTCTAAATGTAAAAATTTCCAAATTTTAAAAAAATCGCATGATTGAAAACAAACGTCTGAAGATTGACGACAATATTATTGGTGGTATGTAAATGGTTGGAATAGATTGCAAATGTTGAAATCTATTCATATCTTTCAAATAGATTATAAATAATTGTGGATTAATAGGAAAGTAAACATAAAATTTGAAATGTTGTAAATTAAGCAAGATTTTTTATCAAATTACATTTTTTATAATCTTTTATAGAAATGAATAAAAATGCTTTAATATAATTAAAATGGTGTCTTTATTATTAACTTTTACTTTAAATGACAGCTACCTATATCGTAATTTTTAGAGAAACAGAAAATCCCAGGTCTGGAATGCGAGGAACATAAACAACTAGAAAGCCCAAAAGCCAAAAACATTTGAACACAACTCGTTCATAACAGTTTTGTTCACGCTTCATTGACTAGACAACACTGACCAACTCTGTTCACAACCTCAGCTAACTTTGTGCTAGCTCTAGTTGCCGTTGTGTGCCCCAGTGGGTTCGCCTAGCCTGACATATACCTGACATGAAAGTGTGAATGTAAAGCTACTCGGCATTTCCTCCCCACACAATCTATTTAAATACCCATGTTAAAATACGGACCTTCTGATCTTAATATGTTAAAGAAAACATGGCTCATTTATATGACATATACGCATAGACGCCTCCAGAGGTTTTTATTACGGCGGAGGGGGTGGTGTTAAAGTGGTCAGCAAGAATCCATTAAATCCCCCCCCCAATACCTACAACACGAGTACTTATACTTTTACTTTTACACGTAAAAAAAAATTCAGGTGGAAATTTAAATTTAAAATGTGTAATGTCTTGTTAAAGAGTCTTATGTGGATGTTACGCGAAGCGGCGACAATGAAAGACTGTATTTCGGTAGTATTGTAATTTAGTCTATTTGCTATTGAGTGCCAGTAAAATATGAAAACTTTCTATGGTTATAAAATTGTATAATTACCTTTTTAGGAGCAGTGAACAACATACCAGAAAAGAACTGACCTCACAACAAGAAGCCTAAAACAACACAAATTAAAACACAAAACAAACATAAGTCAAACAGCAACACATACACAATCTTAAGACGGTATCTTAACATTTAATGCCAAAATATTGAGAATATTTTAATGTATGTATTGCACGAATTCAAGGGACAATTTCCCTACACTTAATCACTTGTCTTGAGACCAAAAATTTTTTAGAGACCCTGTCTTGAGACAAGACATATTTCTTGTGATCCTGTCTTGAGACAAGACATTTGTGTACTTATCCTGTCTTATTTAGAGTCTACACCTAGCGACCTTGTCTTGAGACTATTTTCCAACATACCCGAAAAAATATCACAATTTGTATGCATCCACCGACCATACCCCTAATGCAAATGATGTTTTTATCGCACCGGAGGCTATTGCAACGACACATTCTTGGGGCGATGTCCTGATAGAATTGATGCGAAACAGGAAAACTACTTTGATTAATGTTTTAGAATTATTTATAAGAGATAAGCAATATTAGCTATTATTACAATTGATTTTCAAATATTTCAAAATAATTATTAGCACTAGTAAATGGCGATTGTCATTTAAAACCCAAAATCTTTTTTGAAAATCGACGTAACTTTTAAAAAAAATGAAAATATATTTTCAGATGTACATGATAGACAAATAAGTTTTTAACTATTATTTTTATGTAGAATTTATTAACAACGATGACTATAGATTTTTTAAGCTTAAGATTTTAAATTTAAAAAAAAAACTTTCCATACACTCAGTCTTAAACACACCATCGTGACAGTTGGGTTCTGGAATTCCCGTCAATGAAGTGCAACACAGTGCGCACGTAATGGCGCGTCCATGATTTCGCTCCTTAGAGACCGGATCCTTTCCACAGCCAGTGCAAGGCTAAGGAAGTTAGAAAGACCATTTCTATCTCAATTATATGGATTTATAGTGGACAGTTGTTAAACAAAGGCAGATTCATCCATCAAATGATGGAAGCAGATAAACAGACAAGTAAGAGTGCTGTTGGTAAAAATGTTTTTATTGCTGTTTTACGTAGATCTAGATCTAGCTTGGTAGTAACTTTGGCTGTATGCATGGTGTTGAGAAATGTGTCTAGTTTGATAGTAACTTTATCAGTAATGTGTTGAGAGCTGTGTCTAACTTAGTAACTTTGGCTGTATTATGTTGAGAACTGTGTCTAGTTTGATAGTAGCTTTGTAGTATGTTGAGAACTGTGTCTAGTTTGATAGTAACTTTGTAGTGTGTTGAGAACTGCGTGTAACTTTGGCTGTATTATGTTGAGAACTGTGTTTAGCTTGGTTTCTGTCATTATTGCTGAGATGGACAAAAGCAAGCTTTGTATCCAGTGGCGCAGCTACCGTAAAGCTAGCGTAAGCAAGGCATAGGGGCCTAAGGCAAATAGGGGCCCTTTTTCGAAAGTTTGAGGGGGGGGGGGGGGCAAATCGAAAGTCTGAGGGGGGGGTGCAAATCGAAAGTTTGAGGGGGGGGGTGCAAATTGAAAGTTTTTCCCCGATCGCCGGGAAGGGTCGCTACGCCTCTAGGGGGCCCACTAACACTTTTTGCATAGGGGCCCAAAAATCCTAGCTACGCCACTGTTTGTGTCTTCCTTTTATTCAGAGTATGCAGGTTTAGGCTAGAGGGCAGGTTATTATATATTTACCATAACAGCATGGCTCCTGAGTGTCCTTAAAGGTTATTTTTCAGGTATCGAGGTTAATTAAACGTATACAAAATTATTATAACAAGCTATGTTTAAAAAATAATAAACCAAACGTTTCTTTTTTTTTTAATTTACTAGATTCTAGTTGAATTGTTTGTCTGTCATAAAAATTCGTTACGAAATTTTTTCGCTAAAAGTAAGAGGCGCGACATACTAGTTACTAGTTTGTCGTGTCTTCTCCAATTCGGTGTAAATAAAAGTTTGTTTTATAAACCGTAAACTACGTTGTATTTTCACTTTAAGTAACTACGAATAGTAAAATTATAAATTGTGATTCGTGTTGAGTGAAATGTTTAGCTTTTAAGCACCATTATCGGCTCTCTAGGATATGTAAACATCCATCGTGAACTCTACATCGCACGTCCGATCGTTTTAACGTGTTACAGATACTACCAGTTCAGAGGGGGGGGGGGAGGCGGAGGGACATATGTCCCCGGGCGCCGACCTTAGGGGGCGCCAAAATGGGTTGGAAAAATAAATTGAAAGCTTGAGGGAGGGGTGCAAATCGAAACCTTGAGGGGGGGGTGCAAATCGAAAGTTTGTCCCCGGGCGCCGGGAAGGGTCGCTACGCCTCTGTACCAGTTCACTCCGCTGTTGTGATTGAATGGTGTAGACCATTGACTATTTGTTAAGACTAATTGAGATTGTTGTATAGCAATACTTGTAGAAGGTTTGTAGCACCCCCAACTATGGAATGGAATTTCGCGTCACCACGTGCTATGGGAGGGAATAGGTTTGAGCAGCGTTACTTCCAAACTTTTTTCTCTTGAAATTTTCGGGGGTGCGGACACTGTTAAAAGTATATATTTTAAATATAAATTCCTTTTCGTTCAAGGGGGGGGGGGGGGGGGGCGGTAGACTTTCTTCGGGGGGTCTTACCCCCCCCCCCCCTCCCCCGGAGAGATGCCTGGAAGAGACTTTGGGTTTGAGTAACCCACATACCACTGGAGATACTAGGTTCGTTTCAGAGTAGGGAACTTGTTCTTTTCGTCACCTACTATGGGAGTGAGTCATTTTTGTAACACACTCCCCCCATCCTCACCCAATGCATTACCCCCCCCCCCCCCACTAACACACGACTCTCTCTACATCTAGCTTGCCAAACCGGCGCCCCCGGCACAGAGCAAGATGCCACGAAGCCACCCTACAAGCCACCAGAGCGCACGATGCTACAGAGTCTTCGCCACGAGATCTACATCGAGGTGTTGATTCCGTTATACATATATGCCAGGTTCTTTGTCACGTTGGTGATTCTGGCAGCGTTCTCTGGGTGGCACATGCACGTGACCCTTGAGCACTTTGAAGTATATGAGGTGAGTCAATGTCAACTTTGATATTTTTTTAATGCCATTTTTTTACCACATCTTAGATAACCATTAGTTCAATAGTTTACAAAATACGGAACTATCTAATGAATTGGGGATGTACTAGTAGTTTCTGTTTAATGAAGTGTTAGATTGAGACAAATAGTACACTAAAAATAAAAATACACGATAAAATTTCCCTTTAAAAATAAATTTAATTTCTTGAAATATTGGCTGATTTTTTAGACAATATGAGGGTTGTTTAATTTATTTTAGTCTCTGATGTGTTTATATTTACTGGATCATTTTAGTATTAGGACAAGAATTACGAATCATTAACTGTAATATGAGATGTGTTTTATTGTATGCGCAGAATGCTAGCGATTGAAAACAGAGGACTGAATTAGATTGCAGTCTTTTATAAATAAAGGGGATATTAAATATAAAGTGATTTGACAAAGCACCTACACTAGTATTCAACACTTGATCAGTTTGAAAAAGGACAGGACGAATCTCAGCGAAGCAAGAAACTTGGAGAGATGGGGATGGAGGTTGAGAAAACTGGCAAGTTTGTTTAATAGAGAAGGGATGTTATGTAATCCAAGACGATCAAGTAGACAGTGGATACCATCGAATCCAAGAGGATCAAGTAGACAGTGGATACCATCGAATCCAAGAGGATCAAGTAGACAGTGGATACCATCGAATCCAAGAGGATCAAGTAGACAGTGGATACCATCGAATCCAAGAGGATCAAGTAGACAGTGGATACCATCGAATCCAAGACGATCAAGTAGACAGTGGATACCATCGAATCCAAGAGGATCAAGTAGACAGTGGATACCATCGAATCCAAGAGGATCAAGTAGACAGTGGATGACATCGAATCCAAAAGGATCAAGTAGACAGTGGATACCATCGAATCCAAGAGGATCAAGTAGACAGTGGATGCCATGGAAGAGGATCAAGTAGACAGTGGATACCATCGAATCCAAGAGGATCAAGTAGACAGTGGATACCATCGAATCCAAGAGGATCAAGTAGACAGTGGATACCATCGAATCCAAGAGGATCAAGTAGACAGTGGATGCCATGGAAGAGGATCAAGTAGACAGTGGATGACATCGAATCCAAGACGATCAAGTAGACAGTGGATACCATCGAATCCAAGACGATCAAGTAGACAGTGGATACCATCGAATCCAAGAGGATCAAGTAGACAGTGGATACCATCGAATCCAAGAGGATCAAGTAGACAGTGGATGACATCGAATCCAAGAGGATCAAGTAGACAGTGGATACCATCGAATCCAAGAGGATCAAGTAGACAGTGGATGACATCGAATCCAAGACGATCAAGTAGACAGTGGATGACATCGAATCCAAGAGGACAAGTAGACAGTGGATGCCATGGAAGAGGATCAAGTAGACAGTGGATGCCATGGAATCCAAGAGGATCAAGTAGACAGTGGATGACATCGAATCCAAGAGGATCAAGTAGACAGTGGATGACATCGAATCCAGGACGATCAAGTAGACAGTGTATGCCATGGAATCCAAGAGGATCAAGTAGACAGTGGATGACATCGAATCCGAGTACAAGTAGACAGTGGATGACATCGAATCCAAGAGGACAAGTAGACAGTGGATGACATCGAATCCAAGAGGACAAGTAGACAGTGGATGACATCGAATCCAAGAGGACAAGTAGACAGTGGATGACATCGAATCCAAGAGGACAAGTAGACAGTGGATGCCATGGAATCCAAAAGTACAAGGAGACAAGGCATGTCATGGAATCCACAAAGATCAAGATTGAAGAATGTAAACACTGGCGAAAGGCAACATGAAGAGTGTGTGAATGAAATGGAAAGAAAATAATTAGGAACGAAAATCATGGAAGAATGTTTCAAATGGCCTTTGGTCAACAGGGAGTTAAGAAAATGCTAAAGAGAAAATGATAAGTAAAGGAATTGGGTGAAACAAATTTATTTATTTTTTGTTTCAGCTCTTTTGTAGAAAGGATTTATCATTGCGCAGAGCAATTTGGACATCCCTTCCTGCTGTTCTCACTATTTGCGCAAACATGTTCATACTTTTACAGTGTGTTCGCCGGAAAATCAGGTAAGCTCACTATCTGCACTAGGTAGAAGATTAAATTTGTCATGGGTTACTTTTGGTGGGGGGTGGGGGAGGGACGGTGGGGTCTAGCTGTAGTGCGTTTGGAATAGTAAAGGCGCTGGGGTTAGGGCTGACCATACTGTCCCTCCATACACCGACGTCAGTAAAACAGGTGAACTCTACTTCACTTGCTCCATGGACCGTCAGATTCGAAACGGGAAATTTACTTTTTTTTACTGTTGATGGGTGGGTTTGGTCGTTGGCTTTGTCACTCTACTGGTTATTGGAATAGGTCAGTGGACTTGTCAGTGGATTAGTCGGTTTTCTAGTCAGTGAGTTGGTCAGTTTACTTCTGAGTGAGTTGGTCAGTTTACTTGTCAGTGAGGTGGTCAGTTTACTTGTCAGTGAGTTGATCATTTTACTTGTCAGTGGATTGGTCAGTTTACTTATCAGTGAGGTGGCATTTTGCGTTTTACTAAGCCAACACAATCCAAATAAATGTTTTTGTTTCCTAACAAGTTTAATTACACCTGCATTGTTTTATTACACCTGTATTGTTTTATTACACCTGCATTGTTTTATTACATTTTCATTGTTTTTACACCTGTACAGCTTGATTACACGTGTCTGGTTTTATTTCACCACGTCTTTTTTTCTCTCAGCTTACACAAAACCTCCACTGCTATTATCCTAGATTCATCCCAAAACCTCTAATACTGCTATTATCCTAGATTCCTCCCAAAACCTCTAATACTGCTATCCTAGATTCCCAAAACCTCTAATGCAGCTATCCTAGATTCCTCCCAAAACCTCTAATGCTGCTATCCTAGATTCTTCCTAAAACCTCTAATGCTGCTATCCTAGATTCTTCCTAAAACCTCTAATGCTGCTATCCTAGATTCCTCCCAAAACCTCTAATGCTGCTATCCTAGATTCCCAAAACCTCTAATGCTGCTATCCTAGATTCCTCCCAAAACCTCTAATGCTGCTATCCTAGATTCTTCCTAAAACCTCTAATGCTGCTATCCTAGATTCCTCCCAAAACCTCTAATGCTGCTATCCTAGATTCCTCCCAAAACCTCTAATGCTGCTATCCTAGATTCCTCCCAAAACCTCTAATACTGCTATCGTAGATTCCTCCCAAAACCTCTAATGCTGCTATCCTAGATTCCCAAAACCTCTAATACTGCTATCGTAGATTCCTCCCAAAACCTCTAATGCTGCTATCCTAGATTCCTCCCAAAACCTCTAATGCTGCTATCCTAGATTCCTCCCAAAACCTCTAATGCTGCTATCCTAGATTCCTCCCAAAACCTCTAATGCTGCTATCCTAGATTCCTCCCAAAACCTCTAATGCTGCTATCCTAGATTCCTCCCAAAACCTCTAATGCTGCTATCCTAGATTTCTCCCAAAACCTCTAATGCTGCTATCCTAGATTCCTCCCAAAACCTCTAATGCTGCTATCCTAGATTCCTACCAAAACCTCTAATACTGCTATCCTAGATTCCTCCCAAAACCTCTAATCTTGTTATCCTAGATTCCTCCCAAGTGATCCTTTAACTCCTGAAGAACTTCGGAAACTGAGCGCTCCTCGAGACAAGAGGAAAAAAGGTAGTAAGGGAAGCAACCATTCAAAGTAAAATTAAAACATTTTTTTTCTACCTCTACAAAATTAAATTTAAAACAGTGTATGCTACCCCTCCCCCGCATTGTTTCCACCCCGACCCCTCCCGCACACATCGTCTGTTATAAAGGTCTGAACACCCCTTCCCCAAGCTGGCCATCTGACGTTACTTATCAACAACCATTGAACTAGTAAAGTATTTTGCATCGAGTAAATACCTAGCTCTAACATATAACTCAATAATCCAAAACTAACTAAACTCTAGAGTGGCTATTTATGTATTGGCTCACACTTCCTTAGTGGTTGGTTGAATAGTTACATAAGGGGGGGGGGGAGTGTAAGTTTCGTGGGAGTGGTTTTTTTTCTGAGAAGTGGAGGGGGGGGGGGGTTGCAGGAGGGATTCAAATAGTTTCTACTTAAATTCGCCATATACAAGTATTATCAGAGGCGTGGCGGGGGGGGGGGGTACATATGTCCCCGGGCGCCGACCTTAGGGGGTTGTAAAAAAAAATCTTATTTTAGCTGTAGTTTTGCATTATAAATATAAAAAATATATGGGGGTGCAAATTGAAAGTTTGAGGGGATGTGCAAATTGAAAATTGAAAGGTTGTTCCCGAGGGGGGCGCCAAATTGAAAGGTTGTCCCCGTTCACCGGGAAGGGTCGCTACGCCTCTGTGTATTATTCGCGTGCTACATCGACATTAAGTACAACATTGTAAAACTATATTTTGTTATAGAAAGATTGTTTTTACCAATTTAGCAAATATTGTTTTTAAATCAATTAAGTGTTATGTAACATTATTCTTTATAACACTATACTAAATTTAGCACAATAAAACCAAATTAAGAGTTATCTGCCCTCTCGTATTGTATGAAGATGATGCACATTTCTTTTCTCAGACAAGAATTTAAAGGATAGGCCAGTTTTTACCTTTGATTTGGATGACGTCATTTGTCGTTACGCTATGAAGAAGTTGCCAGAGTGAGTAAACACAGCTTTGGTTTCTGTGGGGGGGGGGGGGGGCAACATTTTTAAAAAAGAATGCAGATAAAAAAAAGGAAACATGAATTCCTTACAAAATGTTGTCCTAGGTCTTTGTCTGAAAAATAAAACCATAACATTAGAAGTATTTTTTTCTTTACGTATCTTAGATAACTTCGTTATTACATTTTTATATTATGTGCAAAAAAAAAAACTTTTTTCTTTGCTTCTTGGTGTTGTATTATTAAAAAAATGCATTACCCGAGTAACTATAATGGCCAAATTTACTGCTTCGCGCTTTTATTTAGTGTTGTACTAAAATTAATTGAATGTCGGGAATGGGACATGCACTAAAAGAATTATTGAATGTAGGGACTGGGACGATGTACTAAAATAATTATTGAATGTAGGGAATGGGACATGTACTAAAAAAGAATTATTGAATGTAGGGAATGGGAGGATGTACTATAAGAATTATTGAATGTAGGGAATGGGAGGATGTACTATAAGAATTATTGAATGTAGGGAATCGGACGATGTACTAAAAGAATTATTGAGTGTAGGGAATGGGACAATTTACTAAAAGAATTATTGAATGTAGGGAATTGGACAATTTACTAAAAGAATTATTGAATGTAGGGAATTGGACAATTTACTAAAAAAATTTATTGAATGTAGGGAATGGGACGATGTACTATAAAATTATTGAGTGTAGGGAATGGGACGATGTACTAAAAGAATTATTGAATGTAGGGAATTGGACAATTTACTAAAAAAAATTATTGAATGTAGGGAATTGGACAATTTACTAAAAGAATTTATTGAATGTAGGGAATTGGACAATTTACTAAAAGAATTTATTGAATGTAGGGAATGGGACGATGTACTATAAGAATTATTGAGTGTAGGCAGGGGCGTAGCGAGGGGGCGGGGGCGGGGGTGCGGACCGCACCGTCGACACCATTTAGGGGGGTGACACCAAGGCAAAAAATAGCAAAATATATAGAGAAAAACTTGAGGGGGTGCAAATCGAAAGTTTCAGGGGGGGGGTGCAATTCGAAAACTTGAAAGTTTGTCCCCGGGAAGGGTCGCAACGCTTCTGGGGGGGTGACACCATTAAGTGCCGCACCGGGTGACACCCGACCTCGCTACGCCACTGAGTGTAGGGAATGGGACGATGTAGTAAAAGAATTATTGAATGTAGGGAATGGGACGATGTACTAAAAGAATTATTGAATGTAGTTAATGGGACGATGTACTAAAAAAGAATTATTGAATGTAGGGAATTGGACGATGTACTAAAAGAATTAATTGAATGTAGAGAATGGGACGATGTACTAAAATAATTATTGAATGTAGAGAATGGGACGATGTACTAAAAGAATTATTGAATGTAGAGAATGGGACGATGTACTAAAAGAATTATTGAATGTAGAGAATGGGACGATGTACTAAAAGAATGTATTGAATGTAGAGAATGGGACGATGTACTAAAAGAATGTATTGAATGTAGGGAATGGGACGATGCACTATAAGAATTATTGAATGTAGGGAATGGGACGATGCACTATAAGAATGTATTGAATGTAGGGAAATAGACTATGACGAAAGGTATATGCTGGATCTAAGCGACAAGGAATCTTACACCTGTGATGTGGACTGGTCGGCGCTGACCATCGAACACAAGGTCACCAAGTTTTCTCCCAAGGTGAAGGACGGAACTGTCATCGACCCTCACCGGGGTGACGTAGCTGCAGGTGATTTTTTTTAAACAGTACAACAGCTGCGTGGCCCAGTTTTTGCGCCCCGGGGGACAGGATTGTTGATTAGTTCAGCGGGAATTAAAGCCTTTCAATAACCTGTTGTGTGTGTGGGGAGGGGGGGGGGGGGTAGGAGGGTTAACTATATAACTGATTTATAGTTTGAAAATATGGAATTTTTTTTTTAATTTACCAATACCTGAGTGGTGGGACAAGAGTGGCACCAAGTACTGAAGTAGAGGTGGGTGGGGGGCGTGGTGACAGGACCAGATACACGATCATTATTATTGTAAACAAAATTAAAATTTTCAAATATTACTTCTTTAAAAAAAAAATTCTGTATGAAACCTCGATAGTCATTTACATTGTAAAGTATCAAAAGCCTAATTTGTTGACGTTAAAATGTTTAGAAATAGATACACCGACTATTGAGGAAAATACCCACAAATCTATCCACACATGAAATCTATGACGTATTGATCTTTTTTAAATTACATCTAAGGCTGAGGACACTAAGTCATTGCAAATTAAATTAACCTTTTCAAGACTAATTCATTAATTTATTCATTCCAGGCTCACAATGGGTGACGCTCTTGTCACGTTACTATGACAACCAAACCGATTGTAAACAAAGTCATGCCTTTAGAGGATCACGTGACACAACATCGTGGGTGGACGTGGACCTGGAACAATGTTACACGGTCAACAAGAAGGTAGGTGTATAGAATTTATATCTGACTTATCTTCATGCTTCAATCTTCATTGGGGGCGTATTTTCCTGGTGTTTTGTTTACTATTACACAAAACACTATAGGCAAGTAAAACGATGATGTTTAAACAGATCAGGTTGTAATTATACACACACAGCTCTATACCTGTTATCGATTAATATATATTTTGTCTGAGATCAATTGTCCATGATATTATTTGTCCTGATATATTGTGTACTGATATCTTTTGAAAAAAAAAGTTTCCCTTTCAAACCTGACGGTCTATGGGGCAAGTGAAGTAGAGTTCACTTGTTTCTGTGACCTCGGCATATAAAGAGATAGTGTGGTCAGCACTATGCACAGCCGCCTTTTCTTTCCCTAACGTGAGTTAGGTACCCATCAGAGGTGGATGGATTCAGGGACGGTCTACTGACTTGAACCCGGATTCGAACTCGAGACTTTCGGGGTAACAGTCCAGCTCTTTACCGCTAGACCACTCCGCTAGACCGCTCTTTTGTACTTGAGATTATTTCTCCTTGCGATAATTTGTCATGAGATCATCCGTCCTTAGATCATTTGTCCGTGAGAAATTTTGTCTGAGATCATTTGTCCTGAGATCGTTTGTCATGGAACCATAATTATACCTATTCATTTAAGCGTGTCACATACTTAAGATGAATGTAATGTATGTATACTCAGGTATCTGCCATGTTAAATCTACCTCCAAACTTAAAAGTGGGCAACGACAACACCCTCAACCTAAACAAGGTCAGAGGTGAAGTGTTCCAAAAGGCTCACACCTGGGAGATCAACACACAGGTGTGTTTACAAGTCTTCTAGAAAACTCAGGTTATTATCTTATCTGATTAAATAGAGAAGATACTTGAAGACATTTGGGAGATCAACACACAGGTGTGTTTACAAGTCTTCTAGAAAACTCAGGTTATTATCTTACCTGATTAAATAGCGAAGATAATTGAAGACATGTTTTCACCGAGGTAAATCTTTGCAGGTTGAAGTTGAGCCATCGTCTCGAGCCCATGCTCAGCTGTTAGCGAAACAAGAGTGCTCTGTATATGACTTTGAAATTCGAACCACTTTTTCCAACCGCAAAGGTCAGCTAACATTCTAGATTTTAAATAAAAATAAACATTTACAGGTTCTCCGGTAGACTATCTGTAATAATGTTTCTTTATAAAAAGAGTTCTTGCTCTCTAAAATATTCCGTTATTGATTTTTTCGCCAGGTTTGATCCCTGTTTGGGTGATAGGACACGATGAACACGAGCTCGCATTTGACATGTATATCGAACACCTGCATGAGGCTTTTAGGCTTGTGGAAGAGGGCGGAGTTCTTAAACCAGAAGAAAAGGTGAATTGTCTCCCCTTTTTTTTTTTTAGTTGTTTTGAATGTTTTTGCTAGATAGTGTAGGAGCTCAAAAGCATCTTTTTTTAAAAATGTGATATGTTCGATTCATCTGTCTGTCAGAGGCGTAGCGGGGGGGGGGGGGGGGCGGGGGGTGCAAATCGCACCGGATGACATCATTTAGAGGGTGACACCAAGTAAAAAATAGCAAATTATATACAGAAAAATGATAATTTCACTTAATTAAAAGATTAATTATAGTGAATTAAATAGAGCAAAGTAGACGAATCCCGACACGGGTGGAGGGGGGTGACACCATGACGTAAACCTGCTAATGATAAAGAAAACATGCAACATCCAGCTGAAGTTATAACCGTTTAAAGCAATCACAGTGCGGTGACCCGGAAAGGGGGGGGGGGGTGGAGTTACATCAACTCAACGGTTTTGGTTAAGAATCGTAATAATCTATATGTTAATCCACGTATGAGGTGGGGGTGGGAATTAAATACATTCAGAAGAAAAAAAATATTTGAATACATATACACATGCGTATACACATACTTCAAAGTGTATATGGAATATATATATATATATATATATATATATATATATATATATATATATATATATATATATATATATATATATATATGCTGTCTGTTATGTGATACATCCAGGGAAACTACTTCGACATAATTTGAATATGTCTTACAATTTAATTTGTTTTTGTCCCTGTCACACATAGACCAGACAAGTCTGCTGGCTGGATGGCTCCACTTTGACGCAGATCTCAAACATTAGAATACCCTCAATAAACACAGAAACACACCTACAACAAACATCCAACAGTTATAAACAAAACCCTTTTTTTTTCTTTCTTATATCCCCTCCCCCAGGCTTGTGTACGTATGACGGTCGAGAAATGGGTAGACCAAGATGGCGATGAGCACTCGGCCACCTTCCCCCAGATCATCACCCGGGGCTCCTGTGTCTGCGTCAGCTGGACTGACCAGACAGTGGACATCAAGACCAGTCCATTGTCAATGGACGAGTCCACTGGTGATGGGGACCACAACATGATCAACACGCCCGCCGGTCGCACTGAAGAAGACCCAGGCGTCAATTCATTTGTTGTCGTCGGTTAGCCAGACCATCGTTTGCTGCTTGTATCAACTTGAAAGCCAATCCAATTAATTACAAGTCATACATAAAATTTTAATTAGGCTTAAGCCTAACTCTAAACAGAAATGTTAGTCCTATGATACTATAGCAGTGCTTCTGCTAATTTATAGAAACATTTTTACGTAGTTTTTGCCAAATCACTATCTAATCTAGACTAGTAAGCGAGAATTTTTAAAAATTACCTTGCACGCATAATAAGTATAATATTTTTAACTATATTATGTCGAACGTTTTCCACCGCTAAGTCATGCGTTTTTATTTTTTTTTTTTTTTACAAATGTCCATCAAAAAGGAAACAACCAATGTATTGTGGCAATTCTTTAAATTCGTTATTTAGAACTTGAGAGTAAATTTAAAACATTTTATTTCTTCAGAAATATCTTTGGCAACGTTAAAAAGTCTCGAGCTTTTGATTAAAGAGGAACTAAAAATGAAGTGGAAATATTTTATAAAATAAGTAAAAGGTTTTTTCATTACATTATTATTCTTTTATATATTCTTATATACTCTTTTATAAAATGAATAAAAATTCTTTAATTTATTAACAGTGTGTTTGTGTTATGATTGTTTATTTTTTTTAAATAGCTACTAGAATATTCAGAAAGACAGGAAATATCAGATATATATAACAACTAGAGAGTCTAAACGAAATCGAACACAACTCGCCCATAACAGTCACGCTCCATGGACTAAACAACGCCGCCCAACCCCAGTCACAACCTTATTTAACTTAGTTCTCGCTCTCTTTAGTTGCTGTATGAAATAGAAGTAATGTGTTAGACTTAATGACCTACTTTAAGACAGGCGTGTTAGATCAAACGTGAAGAACAAAAATATTTCACACAAAAAAAAAACTATTGACCTCTCAAACTACTGGGTTCCAATTTCTGTAGGACGTCTCCGTGTCCACTCAATTCTTTTGGGTACCTGACATGAATCCAGGATCAAAGCGCTAGTGTAACATACTTTTTTGCGAACACAAATTTACTAAAACAGACACCAGAGGAATAAGCGTGTGTCGAATTGAATTAGATGTAGCTTATAATCGACAAACTTCTTTACTGACATAGGTTGTTTTTTAATTTAACCTACTATCTATCTATCTATATAATTCTCTTCTTGGAGACGATAGAAAACACCAAGCTGTAAGCGCGTTCCCTGCAACCCCCACCCCTACACGTGGTTCACGCTAAATGTTTACAATCGTAGAACCGGGTTTACTGATGGCTATTAGGGGCAGATAATTTAGTTTGAAACGATTTTAAACTTAGGGGAGGTAACTAAGAGGTGGCTGCTTTCACTGGGTGGGTAGGGGTTATCGTCCTTAACGAGCAACTGATAGTGTTAGCAAATATATTCAGTGGCAGCATTGGTACTGTCGAATTCACAAATTATGAATTACTGAAAAGCAGAGGCCTAGCGAGGGGGGGGGGGGGGGGGCGGACCGCACCGGGTGACACCATTTTATTGGGGTGACATCAAGGCAAAAATAGCAAAATATATAGAGAAAAATGATAATTCCGCTTAACTAAGTGTGAAATAGTCTTTTAAGAGGTGCAAATCCAAAGGTTTAGGGGGGGGGGGGGTGCAAATCAAAAGTTTGAAGGGGGGGGGGGGGTGCAAATCGAAAGTTTGAGGTAGGGGGGGGGGGTTAAATCGAAAATTGAAAGTTTGTCCCCGTGAAGGGTCGCTACGCCTCTGGGGGTGACACCATTGAGTGCCGCACCGGGTGGCACCCGACCTCGCTACGCCACTGCTGAAAAGTAGAAAAAACAAAAAGATAGCGGCGTATGATAATTGGGTATAGATAATATATCAACCAAATTGTTCTACTGATAACTTTTCTATAAATTCTGATATAGATTGAATATATTCGCATCTCACTGAAATATGTAAATTTGTTTTCGTAAATAAAAGCTTTGCTCGCTCACGAAATATCTTACATATTTTAGCGACCAATGCTTTTACTAATGAAAGCGAATTAGTTTTAATTTTACTCTTAGTGTATTTTAAAACTTATTATTACAACGGTTTTTATTTGTTTTTTTTTATTGAATTTAGTAATCTGTTAATTAAAGCTTCAGGAACTATTTATTTGCTAATTATATTAAAAATATAACAAGAAAGTTCGAACGAATTCACTGAAGTGGGTTAAAAGTGAGTTACAAAGAAACAACTTAATTAAAAAGTCTAGTGACAATTTTAGCGCAATTTCCTTATGTTATCTAAAAATAGCTCTGACGTATAATGTTGGGGTGCGTTCAAGCTAGGAGAACGATCGGTTTGTAGGTGTTTATGTAATTTTAAAATTTGTGACCGAACGAAAGGATATTTTTGAAAACTTTCTTCGGCAATATTGTTCTAAATTATGGCAGGAATCGATTGGTAAATGTTTCAAGTCGCTAAGTGGTCTAGTTGCCGAGATATGGGCCAAAAACTGCATTTTTTCGAGGTTTTTTTGCTTTTCCGTGAAATCCAGGAAGGAATTCCGGGAATTTTTTTGGCCCACTGTCATCCTCGGAACTTGCTTAACAAATTTGCTTTTGGAACTAGTCCTCGATATTGCTTCGTTGAGGAGGAGATACGACTTAAAGCTGCGAACACACATCCATCCATTCCCAGAAAAGACGAGTTAATAAACGCAATTCTCCAGAATGGAAATTGCGCTAAAAACATACATTGTAAGTAAAAGCTCAAAAACAAAAACAGGGTAAGTCTAAAATCGCACGTGTTTCACCCACACGTACACACGAAATTAAACAAAACATCGTGACAGTTTTGTTCTGGAATTTCCGTCAGTAAAGTGCAACAAAGTGTGCACAGAATAGCGCGGCAATGATTTTATTCCTTAGAGATCGGCGCATTGCGTAGTCTAATTAGTAACTATCTCTTGTAGATGGAGATTACACGCTAAACGAATGCATATTCCTTTATTAAACAATGGAAACAGATGAAAAGACAAGTAAGAGTCAGGTTTTTTATTGATACTTTGTGTGTGACATAAATAAAAAGCACGTTTTGTAGACCACAGATCTAGATCATCTAGATTATTGACCTAGATCTAATAGATCTAGATTCTAGATCTAGTCTAGATCTCTAGATCTATTTCTTCTGAGTATCACTAAACTTTGAAAATACTTTTCTGTTTGTCATACATAATACAAATAAATCGTATCATTTCAATTTGTTTTTTTTTAACCTGAAATTTGAATATTTTATTAAATAGTGAATTCTATGTTGTTGTTTTTTGTTTTGTTGTTTTTTTTTTGTTTTTTTTTTAGGGGTCTGGGGGGAATGAAAAAAATTCAGATGTAAATAAAAAGGTAATTTTTTTTTTCACCGGTGGGATGGGTGGGGGAAGGGGTAAGGGCTTATAATTATTGCTAGAGCAGAAATAAATTAGGAATTTTAGGAAAAAAAAATAATATTAAAATTCAGCATGTATCAATTATGTAGAATAAAATGAGAGACTTTCATTTCAAACAAAAAAAAAAAATAATAATTTCACTTTTTTATATATAAAGACGTCTTTAATATGTGCAGCAAGTATAATTTTGGACATTCACAAAATTCAATGTTTATATTTTCTTGGAAAATGAACTATGTACATAGTTATGATAGTATGAAAGTTCATACCGTATCCAAATTTGTTACAATTATCTTAACTTTGTTTTCAAAGGTTAGAAATTAATAGTATCAGTGATTGCAGTATAAGAGAGATAAAATTCTAAAACGTTGACATACTTGCAATGAAATTAAATTTTAAAAAACATTCCAATTATGTTTTTTTTTCAATTATTATGAACAAAACCAGTAAGCACTACACCAATATACCGCAGGAAAAAAAATTATCTTAACAACTATGGAAAAACTGAATCTGAATTTTAAGAAATAAATTTACCCTAATTTAATATCCCATTTAACATGTATTTTCCCAAAATGTCCTGATCTGGTAAAATAATAAAAATAATACTAGCACATTATTGCACTTACTATAACAGAATTCTTTAAATAGCAGAAAATCAAATTTAGCCCTGTTAAATTCATTGTAAGCAGACTCTAAATCAAAGAGCATCTGCGTGACCTGTGTCTCATCTAATTCCCTTGAAGCCTGCGTGTTGTTTAGTGTTTCCAACCATTTACGCACTTTTTGTTTGCCTTCCAATTCTTGAGGTAAGTGGCCGAGACGTGTCATGGTTTCTACAAGTTCTTGTAGATCTGGGTGAATTGCATTCATAGCTTTAATGTCTATCCTCAGTTTGTCCATAAGGGGTCTCCATAAATGACGTCACACTCGTAGGGGGGAGGGGGTCCGTAATTTTGTGACGGTGTGTGATAAGGGGGAGGGGGGATCAGATGGTGCGACGTCACATTTTTGCATAATAAAAAAGCAATGTTATAAAACGAATTTTAGCCGTTATTTCGCGTTTTAGAAAACTGTTTTAATAAATTGTAATACGAATTGATTAAAATACTCTATTATGACGGAGTTCAAACAAGATTTTGGAAAAATATCGATGTTTTTAAAAAATTCAACTGCAATTTTTAGGGGGGTTGTAGGCTGAGGTGTGACGTCATTTTAGGGGGGGGGGGGGGTCTGGCCTTTTGTGACGACGTGTGACGGAGGGGAAAGGGGGGGGGGGGGTAAAAATCGTCAAAAAAGCGTGACGTCATTTATGGATGACCCCTAACAGTAATAAAAAGAGAGACTATGTCTGCTATACATTTACTCGTATTTCCTTTGTCATCTTTAATAGTAATAGGCCTGTCTTCTTTGATTCTCTCTAATGCTGCTGGACAATCCAGCCTATACTTTTTCATGAACTCCTCTATTGTAGAAAAGTCACTGTGCACTTGTTTGAAAGCTGCTTTATACTGAACTAAAAGTTTGGAGCATGTAGCTGTGCACTCTTTAGCCAGGACAGCATCTCTAATGTAAGTTTTCTCCAAACTCTGGACTGTGTTTATTACAGCATACAAATCAGCCATGTTGTCATATTTTTCTCTTTCTTTTGTTGTTCTGTACAGTTTCACCTCCTCATAGAGCCCTGAATTATTCCCTTAACTGGAGAAGGAGATTGGCTGTACTTGGGCAAATATGGTTATTAACTTTATTAATATTTACTCACAAAAACGTTAGTATAGATCTAGATCTAGATTTCTACTTCTTTCTCTGCCTTTTATTATTTTGAAGACTAACTTAGGCCTTACATTAAGATTAGGTATTATTAGTATTATTAATTTTAAGACTATTTTGTCATTTGATGATTCAGTTGTTCTAGATACTTCAAATAAACAGGATTTAACTCATGATTTGCAATTGATTTCAAAGCTAAAAGTAAGAATGTGTTTATTTTTAATTTGTAACTTGATCTAGATCTTTATGGCGACAATATTTAATGATATGTTGTTGGTTTTTTTTTAATTGCTTATATGCCTAAACATTTGTTCAATTAGTTTGCTATATTTAGATTTAAGCTTCTGTCTTTTATCAACAATTATAATTCATAAATATTGTTCGAGAATTACACTGTGACTAGCTTGACAGTTCAATTGATCGATGTTACTTTGTTATCTCCCCTCTTGTACTTAAATATAATAGTATCTCAAGGATTAATTTAAAGCAGTGGCGTAGCGAGGTCGGGTGTCACCCGGTGCGGCACTTAATGGTGTCATCCCCCAGAGGCGTAGCGACAAACTTTCAAATTTTCGATTTGCACCCCCCCCCCCCCATCCCGCTCAAACTTTCGAGTTGCACCCCCTCGAACTTTCGATTTGCACCCCCCCCCCCCTCAAGTTTCCCCTCAATTTTTTCTCTATATATTTTGCTATTTTTTGCCTTGGTGTCACCTCCCTAAATGGTATCACCCGGTGCGGTCCCCACCACCCGCCCCCCACCCCCCTCGCTACGCCTCTGATTTAAAGACTCATTTAACTCGAACCTGGTTGTTCGTGGCAGTTTCCGTACATAGGCCTAATCAATAACAGTGTGTTCAACAGAATGCCTACCTGTTTTCTGCCCTAACGTGAGACAGGTACCAATCAGAGCGGGGTTTACTTAGGGAAACCCTGCAGTCTCAAGTCCGGTATACATACCCGAGACATCAGGTTTAGAAGGCGTCCGCTCTGCCCTCCAGCCACGCCGTTCCATTATTTAACTTCTAAATAGATATCAAAAGCAGATGTCACGGTGTTGTCACTATCAGTGGGATTGTGTTAACACGTATCACTAACATGGAGGTTACCGACTTGTACTCAGGCCACCATACTACATGACAGAAAGCTGCTGTCGTTTCACTACATCTACATTCTTCCACTCTCCACCCTACTCCATCACTCTACTCCTTTACCCTTCACTAACACTACTACACCTCTGATAGACCATGAAGTGCCCAGTCTGCCCGGCCAACCAAAAGAGACATGGGGACAGATGCTTGGCAGCAAGTTCAATTTGGCCATGGGTGTAATCTTCACAGTGGTCGCCTACTTTGATTTCAATCTCCTCATAATGTTATCAAATTTAGGGGTGAGTCAAATATATTTCATTTGTTTTTTACGAGCTGACCCGCGACGTAGCATACGCCGCCATCTAGTTTTATTTTCTGCTTATCAGCAAATCATTATTTGTGAATTCAACACTACCCCCTACCGCCCAGTGAAAGCAGCTGTTTACAGACAAAAGAAAAGATCAATCAGAAATTGTTACCTCCCCTTCGTTTCAAATCGTTAAATACTAAATTATCTGCCCCTAATAGCCGTCACTAACCCGGCTCTACGATTGTAAACATTCGGGCTGAACCACAGCTGACCTGGCAGGTGGGGATGAGGACGGTGGCTAAGCTGCGTGGTGTTTTCTATGGTCTCCATGAAGAGAATTATATATACAAATGTGGGGTCGGCAGTTTTCACACGCAGTAAAAATTTAATGGAATAAAAAACATAGGGCTTATTAAAAATGAACCACAAACAAGATGGTGATGAATTATTAGAGAACTAGAATAATGATCGAGTATATAGATTTATCTGGAGGAACAAACATAGACATCAAACAGCGAATAAACATAGCCCGATAAGGACATTGTCCATCTTCGTGCTGCCTCGACATCTCTATCAAAATTAAAATAAGAATCTTCGACTCCAATGAGAATGCAGTTCTAAATTACGGATCTGAAACATTGAGAACAACAGAAACAATAACAAAATGTATTTAGACTTTCTTCAACAAATGCTCTAGAAACATTCGGATATGACTGACAAAATATAAAGCACAAAACATTGAGAGATGTATGGACAGAAAGAATGAAAAATGCAAATCCTCGAAAGAAAAATGGCGATTGATTGGGCTTACGTTTAGAATCGGTACCAACGACAGAGCCAGAAAAGACTGAAAATGGAACCACGGGACAGTCGAGGCAGAAGATGCAGCAAGAAAACATGGATGGACGGGGTGGAAATAAAAAAAAAGATTTCATATTCAATGACAGCTTTAAAAATAATAAATCAAGCTCGTTTGTATAAACCAAAGTATTGGTCGCTAAAAATGTAAGAGAATGTATAGGCGACCAATGCGGGAAATCAACATGGTAGATTGGCCAGCCTTTAACATAGGCATTCTGTTCCACAAGGAACGATGATGAACAAGATGAAACATTTAATGATATGGGGTTTCTGGAATTATTATAATTTTTGTTTAAATAAGTTGATTTAAGAATTTAAATAAATGAAAACTGAAGTAAGTATGCAAAATAAATTGATGGCGATTTTAAAAAATCACTAAAATTAGAAATGCAATAATATTGCTTTTGTTATTAATGGAAGTCGGTGCATTAATGGCTAAATTATGGCTCATTTATGGCTGAAATATAAGCTACTGTTCAGTGAAAATGACTGAATCCAGCATGGTTGAGATTAATTTTATGCAAATACATTGAGCGAAAATGTCGGTATTTGTTTAAAAAAATGTATTCTTTTTTTTGTTTCAGAAGCCTTTTTTAGGACAATCTACTTTGCTCAGATTTATTTTCACTGCATTTTGTCATCTTTTAATTTTTTGCATAAACAAATACATAATTGCTGAGTTCGTGAATTGGTGTCTGAGACAAGAAACCTATTTTTACAGGTAAAGATCAGTCAGTTGGTCCATTAGTCTCATGTTAAATTTGTCATTTGTACTGTTTCGTTCAGACATTTTTATTCCGGGGGGGGGGGGTAATTTTCGGGGGAAGCGAACTAAATTTTCCGGAGGGGCGGACACTAGTAAAAGTATTTATTTTCTATATAAGTTCTATTTCGTTCAGGAGAGGAGGGAGTTAGTCTGTTGTTTTCTTCTTCTTCAACATTCGTTCTTAATTGCAATGCTGGATGGTGTTTCTTTCACAACAATTGAGTTTCACGTGTCAGCATGTTATGACCAGTAGCGTAGCGAGGGGGGCGGGGGGGGGGGACATATGTCCCCGGGCGCCGACCTTAGGGGGCGCCTAAATGGGTTGGAAAAATAAATTGAAAGGTTGAGGGGGGTGCAAATCGAAAGTTTGAGGGGGGGTGCAAATCGAAATCTTGAGGGGGGGGGGGGTGCAAATCGAAAAGTTTGTCCCCGGGCGCCGGGAAGGGTCGCTACGTCTCTGCCGTTGACTCCAACTTTAGGGAGCTTTTCTTTTTGGCTTTGCTTGCAAAGTCTTTGTTTATCCAAGAACAAAAGGCATGGCAGCAGCTGTTTGATTTTGGAGTTTTTCTCCTAGATGTGCAGTATTTCCAATTTGGTCATTGCCTGGGTCAGCTTAATTGTCATTGCTTTGGTCAGTTAACCATTTCAGTGGATTGGTCACTACTAAATTGGTCCCTGGATTGGTCACTGGATTGGTCAATGGATTAGTCAGAGGATTAGTCAGTTGATCGTCCAATGAACGAGGTCAATGACAACATGTCCAGCTAATGTGAGGATTCTTCTGTGAGACATTTGTAACAAATTAACATTTTTCATTATTTTTTTAAGCAAATACAATCCAGAAGACCGCATAATTTTGTTTTTGTTTTCTAACATTACACCTGTTTTATTTGATTACACCAGTATTGTTTCTTTACACCTGTATTTGTTTAATTATATATGTATTGATTATACCTGTATTGTTTGATTACATCTGCGTTTTTTAATAACACCTGTATTGCTTGATTACACCTGCATCGTTTTATTACACCTGTTATGTTTTATTACACCTGTTATGTTTCATTGCACCTGGTTTGAGTAAACCGTTATTGAAATTGTAGGTTCGAGGATTATTCAAGCAACCAGGTTTTTATCCGTCCATGTTGTATTTCCCTCGGCCCTGTTGATGTATTTGTTTATTTAACGATCTTAAAAACCTTAAAACTTCTAGAACCTTCACCAGCGGAACCTCTAGCACCCTCGCTAGCAGGGACTGCTCGGCACACAGACAGAACACTGGCGAAGGCTTGAAATGTGGAAACCCCGCAGGATGTCGTAATCGTGACTTGACATCAAGCCGTGGTAAGGGCATAAGTCATTAATTTTTTAAACAAGATTCGCGGCAATTGATCTGAGAAGGGCTTTAAGAACCCGACCCCTTTGTATCTCTGATATATAAACATGTAAACATCATGTATCTGCCTTGTCAAGACTACTACCAACTAAATTCAACGTCGACTCCCCCCCCCCCCCCCCATCCCCGCTCGATTCAAAATACATGTTTTTGCTTTTAAATGTCGTTAGGGGAGAGAGGAATATATAGATTTTTAATGGTGCTTTTCAACTAGGTGTGTTCATGTGTTCGGTTGTGTGTGTTTATGTGTGTGGTGTATACGGTGTGTGTAGTGATTTTGGTGGGGGGAGGGGGGGGATGGGCTTAATTCATGCAACAAAGCATCTTTGCACAATTGAAGTATCTTTTAAATAATAATCGAAGAAAGCTGAGTTATGAATAAATTGGTGCACATTCAATTAAAGTTGCATATATCTAAGGAATTAATTCTAGACATACTGGCGTCGAAATAAATATACTATAAATATTTTCCTTATTGAAATAAACTTTTTTTTGCATGTTACATCGACATTTTGTTTAAAAATAAATTGTTTAATCCATTTACTAAACCAATAAATTTTGCAAACTATTGTGATTGAATCAATAAAATGTTATGTAACATTGTATCACATTACAGTTCACTTAGAACAGTCTAACACAACGTAACCTTTCTACTGCTTCGTGTTCACAGAGAATAAGTTAAGGAATAAATCAATGCTTCAACTCGATGACGTCATTCAGCGCTACGCCTGGCAAAAGCTGCTAAAGTGAGTACATTGAGTTGACTTCATTCATCAGTGACTCAATAAAAAAATCTGACTACGATCAAGAAGAACTAAAAAAAATAACATATAAGCACATTAAAGAACAATACCCCAGCAATACCTGGATTAGAGTATACACAGATGGCTCAGCTGAAGATGCCACAAAAATGGCGGGGCTGGCGTCCTTATTGAATGGCCAAACGGAGAAAGCTTAGAAAAGTCAATAGTCATTTAGTTTATGGTGGAGGATTTGAACGAACTAGACTGTGATCTCCAGATCTGCAGGTGCCCCATATAGTTTTTCCTTGAGTGGGGTGTATAGGGGCCAGTGTTTGGATAGCGCCTTGCTGTTTAAGGAGCAGTACTCAAAGACGTGCTCTGTATTCTCCGAAACCATGCCATAAGGGCAAGTTTCGCCAGACCCAATTTTTAGTTTCTATTGCTGAATTCTGGGAGTTTTCTATAGCACAGAAAAGGTTACCATTGATAGGTCAAAAGTTTCACTAGTAGATGTTCTTACGACAAAGAAAGCAATACTTTGGTAATTTATTCTAGAATCTAGCTCTACTTTTGTATGCATAAATCTACTTTAATTTTACCCGTTGTATGGTTGTATACATCTTCAGTTGTATGATAAATACAAAAACTGTCAAAAGGTCAAGAGATTCATATAGATTATAGATATAGATATGGACAACCCATGTAGCCATCATCTAGTATCCTAGTGCGTGTCTACATTGTCTCCCTTGGGAAAATAGAGCCTTAAAAGTACATTTATTTCTTTGTCTTGGGGATTCTATTGTTTACCTAGGCTACATAAAGTCTTAAATACAATCAATCATTTCTATAGTCGATTCTATCGTCTCCCAAATATCAAAGCCAAATTTGCCGCGGGGGTACCTCCCCCCCCTCCCCCCCCCCCCTCCCCCCTTGGAAGAAACTCTGGCTATAACAACAAGTTTAATTCAGGGAATCTAACGAGGTGCAAAGGCTAGAGCTGCAGGCATCTGAGGGTGACCACATCTGTCAGGTGGACTGGACGGCGCTGACTATCGAGCACAGGGTCACTAAATTTTCTCCCAAGGTGAAGGATGGAACAGTGATACCGACCCCCCGGGGAGACGTACAAACAGGTGAGGTTTTTTAACATCTTTGTTCTATTGAAAAATTGAGATTTTTAAAAATTCGATATTGTGCTAAAGTTATCTGTATTACAGAGCCAATCAAGCCTGCGCTGTTGTCGCCAGGTGTTTAGGAAACGGCACAGGTTGTTGTGTTTAGGGACGGAGTGGTCTAGCGGTAGAGAGCTGGACTGCTAACCCGTAAGTCTCGAGTTCGAATCCGGGTTAAAGTCAGTAGACCGTCCCTGAATACACCCAACTCTGATGGGTACCTAACTCACGTAAGGGAAAGTAAAGGCGGCTGGGCATAGTGCTGACCACACTATCTCTTCACATACGGAGGTCACAGAAAGAAGTGAACTCTACTTCACTTGCCCCATAGACCGTCAGGTTTTAAAGGGAAACTTTACTTTTTTTTACAGATTGTTATGTAACATACTAACATACTGACTAATCTAACCACAGACTATGTTTGTATCACCGATTAAGGTGCCGACAAAAGTTTATACATTAAAAAAACATCATAGAGCCCGTGACTGTCAATGTATGGAAAGAAGAGTCGAGGGACTGGTTGATTTAGGACCCCCTAGGTGCGGGGGGTGGGGTGGAGCTAATCGTAATACCCTACCAAAAAATAATTTAATATGAATTTAATTTTTAAAATTAGAACATTTTAAATATTGCTTCAGCTTCTCTGTCAGAAACTCAAGTAAGGCGAAATATAAAGACTACATATCGAGAAATCTTTATTTCTCATTAAACAACACAAGTAATCGTCGACAAAAAAACATTTCTGACGGGAGGGGTTTCAATGCTAGACTTAGATTCTTTTTTTTACTAATAGAGTTATTCCAATATAGTTTGTTCCATTGAAGAAAAACAAATTTAAAATAAACTTATTTACGCTAGGCACGCAATGGGTCAAGCTCGTGACGTGTTACTATGACAACCAAGTCAACAGTATACAAAGCTATACGTTTAGGGGATCACGTGACACGACATCGTGGGTGGACGTGGATCTGAAACAATTCTACACAATCAACAATGAGGTAGTGCTAGTAGTGGAAAGTGTATCTGTATCTAAATCATCTCTATCATATATATCACCCCACAACAATCTTTACCGTGTGTTGTTTTTTGGTGGAGTTACAGTAGTTTTATTTATACACGATTTATACAAGAATTTTAACACAGCCAAAGCTGTGATTGAAACAGATTCTGATTATAGGCGTATGTATATATATATATATATATATATATATATATATATATATATATATATATATATATATATATATATATATATATATATAAATAATGTGCTTAGGTGTGTGCCAAGTTAAACTTCCCTCAATATTTACAAGTCGGCATAGACAATACCGTCAGTCTTAACAAGGTCAAAGGTGAAGTGTTCCAAAAGATTCACACCTGGGAGCTCAAATCACGAGTATGTTTTCAGGCTTTACAAAATAAATCAAAGCGTCATCTATAGTAGTTTAAATAGTGAAGATCCTCAAGGACATTTTTGACCGTGCTAATTTTTGCAGGTTAAAGTTGAGCCATCGTCTCGAGCCCATGCTCAGCTGTTAGCGAGACAAGAGTGCTCTGTCGTGGAGTTTGAGATTCGAACCACTTTGTCCAACCTTAAAGGTCAAACTCATTTTTCAAGTTCAAAAATAAAAAGAATCAACATAAGTTGAATTTCTATAATAAACATTCATTCTCTACAAAAACGTAAGCTAGCTCACTAAATTATGTTTTATTGATATTGTTCTACCCCAGAAGCTATTCCCGTGACCTACAGAGGAATTAATAACAATCAGTCCCTGTTTAAGGTGAACATTGAAAACTTACATGAGGCTTTTAGGCTTGTGGAAGAGGGTGGAGTTCTTACACCTGAAGAAAAGGTGAGTAGCTTCCCTTGGTTTTGATTCCCCGAATTGTTGCCATAATTTTTTATTTATTTATTTATTGCATATCTATGCTTTTGTACTAGAGCAGCCTGCATTTCTCAACTTAAAATGATCAAATATACTATAAAAATAATTTAGTTTAACGATGACTTGCATTTTTTTCTTTTGATTACTAGGAGGGATTGTGAGAGAAAACAATTCCCACGTTAAAACATACAATGAAATGCTAACTTTAGACATAAGTTGTCTTTACGGTTTTTCTAGTTTGAGCTTGTAATACCAAATTAATGAACGCATCCTAGAAAATTTGATTTAATAAAAAATGTTTTACTGAAACTGACCTACAATTTGGACCAAAAATAACTAGGTAAAAACAAAAAAAAAACTCTTTCCTACGATAAACAAAAACGATGGTTGAAAAAATACATATTACAACATAGCAAATACATATTACTAATATTTTTCCTTTTCCACAACCCCCCCCCCCCAACCCCCGCCTCTTAGGCTTGTGTGGAGGTGGTGGTAGAGAGGTGGCTGGACGAAGATGGCGTGGAGCACTCGACCTCCTACCCCCAGATCATCACCCGGGGCACCTGTGTCTGCGTCAGCTGGTCTGACCAGAAAGTGGACATCAAGACCAGTCCATTGTCAATGGACGAAAAAGAACTCAATTCATTTGTCGTCGTCCGTTAGCCAGACTGATATACACAGCTGGTCTCGATACTTAATATACTCTAAATCTACCCTACGAATTACATAAGTTTGTCTTTGTTAATTCTATAGTAGTATGGCCTACTATACTAAGTGATGGAAATCATTTTTTCGTTGCATCCCCAAATCAGTACCTAATCTAGCTTTGGATGTTTCAAATTTTCAAAGAAAATAAACATCAATTAAAGAAACCTTTCAGGATCAACACTATGCATGTTACATCTTACATTATTTTAGTTACTAAATATTTTTATCGCCAAACCGTTTTTCATCGCGTTTATATTTTTTTAAAATAGTAATATTAAATAGACAGTATTTTTACAATGCTTCATCAATTAAATTAATTTTAATTATTAAAATATTCTACAGGATTTGTATTAAATAACTTATCAATTTTAATACATGCTATAAATATGATTAAAATTTTGTTACTTTAATCATACAAATTGTCTTTTTTATTAACTTTGACTTTAAAAAACATTTGCTGGAACAGTGGTTCATAACCTGAATACGACTGAAACCCAGATATTCGGGGAATCGGTCTTAGGTATTCGACGGAGGTCAAGTAACACACCCTAGTCATACGATTTATGATGGGATTAGTCGGTGCGGTTGATAGAACTATTTAGAAGGGTTCTGTGAATGCGCTTTTATGAAACAGGTGGGGTTCGGTATCTCCAAAAATGTTAAGAACCACTGTACTTAGAATATGTTGAGGAACAGAAAGTGTCAGATGCGGATTTTAATGAGCCAGGGAGTGTAAACAAAATTGGACACGAAACAACTGGACCGTAGCAGTTTTGTTCAAGCTCCATTGACAAGAATACCAACCAGCTGTATAACCTTAGTTAACATACCAACCAGCTGTACAACCTTAGTTAACATACCAACCAGCTGTACAACCTTAGTTAACATACCAACCAGCTGTACAACCTTAGTTAACATACCAACCAGCTGCACAACCTTAGTTAACATACCAACCAGCGGTTGTCACAACCTTAGTTAACATACCAACCAGCATCGGTCACAGCCTTAGTTAACATACCAACCAGCTGCACAACCTTAGTTAACATACCAACCAGCGGTTGTCAGAACCTTAGTTAACATACCAACCAGCGCTGGTCGCAACCTTAGTTAACATACCAACCAGCTGCACAACCTTAGTTAACATACCAACCAGCTGTACAACCTTAGTTAACATACCAACCAGCTGTACAACCTTAGTTAACATACCAACCAGCGGTTGTCACAACCTTAGTTAACATACCAACCAGCGCTGATCACAACCTTAGTTAACATACCAACCAGCGCTGGTCGCAACCTTAGTTAACATACCAACCAGCTGTACAACCTTAGTTAACATACCAACCAGCTGTACAACCTTAGTTAACATACCAACCAGCGGTTGTCACAACCTTAGTTAACATACCAACCAGCGCTGATCACAACCTTAGTTAACATACCAACCAGCGCTGGTCGCAACCTTAGTTAACATACCAACCAGCTGTACAACCTTAGTTAACATACCAACCAGCGCTCGTCACAACCTTAGTTAACATACCAACCAGCGCTGATCACAACCTTAGTTAACATACCAACCAGCTGTACAACCTTAGTTAACATACCAACCAGCTGTACAACCTTAGTTAACATACCAACCAGCTGTACAACCTTAGTTAACATACCAACCAGCTGCACAACCTTAGTTAACATACCAACCAGCTGTACAACCTTAGTTAACATACCAACCAGCTGTACAACCTTAGTTAACATACCAACCAGCGGTTGTCACAACCTTAGTTAACATACCAACCAGCGCTGATCACAACCTTAGTTAACATACCAACCAGCGGTTGTCACAACCTTAGTTAACATACCAACCAGCTGTACAACCTTAGTTAACATACCAACCAGCTGTACAACCTTAGTTAACATACCAACCAGCTGTACAACCTTAGTTAACATACCAACCAGCGCTGGTCGCAACCTTAGTTAACATACCAACCAGCTGCACAACCTTAGTTAACATACCAACCAGCTGTACAACCTTAGTTAACATACCAACCAGCTGTACAACCTTAGTTAACATACCAACCAGCGGTTGTCACAACCTTAGTTAACATACCAACCAGCGCTGATCACAACCTTAGTTAACATACCAACCAGCGCTGGTCGCAACCTTAGTTAACATACCAACCAGCTGTACAACCTTAGTTAACATACCAACCAGCTGTACAACCTTAGTTAACATACCAACCAGCGGTTGTCACAACCTTAGTTAACATACCAACCAGCGCTGATCACAACCTTAGTTAACATACCAACCAGCGCTGGTCGCAACCTTAGTTAACATACCAACCAGCTGTACAACCTTAGTTAACATACCAACCAGCGCTCGTCACAACCTTAGTTAACATACCAACCAGCGCTCGTCACAACCTTAGTTAACATACCAACCAGCGGTTGTCACAACCTTAGTTAACATACCAACCAGCGCTGATCACAACCTTAGTTAACATACCAACCAGCGCTGGTCGCAACCTTAGTTAACATACCAACCAGCTGTACAACCTTAGTTAACATACCAACCAGCGCTCGTCACAACCTTAGTTAACATACCAACCAGCGCTCGTCACAACCTTAGTTAACATACCAACCAGCGCTCGTCACAACCTTAGTTAACATACCAACCAGCGCTCGTCACAACCTTAGTTAACATACCAACCAGCGCTCGTCACAACCTTAGTTAACATACCAACCAGCTGTACAACCTTAGTTAACATACCAACCAGCTGCACAACCTTAGTTAACATACCAACCAGCTGTACAACCTTAGTTAACATACCAACCAGCTGTACAACCTTAGTTAACATACCAACCAGCGGTTGTCACAACCTTAGTTAACATACCAACCAGCGCTGATCACAACCTTAGTTAACATACCAACCAGCGGTTGTCACAACCTTAGTTAACATACCAACCAGCTGTACAACCTTAGTTAACATACCAACCAGCTGTACAACCTTAGTTAACATACCAACCAGCTGTACAACCTTAGTTAACATACCAACCAGCGCTCGTCACAACCTTAGTTAACATACCAACCAGCTGTACAACCTTAGTTAACATACCAACCAGCGCTCGTCACAACCTTAGTTAACATACCAACCAGCGGTACAACCTTAGTTAACATACCAACCAGCGCTCGTCACAACCTTAGTTAACATACCAACCAGCGCTCGTCACAACCTTAGTTAACATACCAACCAGCGGTTGTCACAAACTTAGTTAACATACCAACCAGCTGTACAACCTTAGTTAACATACCAACCAGCGCTCGTCACAACCTTAGTTAACATACCAACCAGCTGTACAACCTTAGTTAACATACCAACCAGCGCTCGTCACAACCTTAGTTAACATACCAACCAGCGCTCGTCACAACCTTAGTTAACATACCAACCAGCGCTCGTCACAACCTTAGTTAACATACCAACCAGCGCTCGTCACAACCTTAGTTAACATACCAACCAGCTGTACAACCTTAGTTAACATACCAACCAGCGCTCGTCACAACCTTAGTTAACATACCAACCAGCGGTACAACCTTAGTTAACATACCAACCAGCGCTCGTCACAACCTTAGTTAACATACCAACCAGCGCTCGTCACAACCTTAGTTAACATACCAACCAGCGGTTGTCACAAACTTAGTTAACATACCAACCAGCTGTACAACCTTAGTTAACATACCAACCAGCGCTCGTCACAACCTTAGTTAACATACCAACCAGCTGTACAACCTTAGTTAACATACCAACCAGCGCTCGTCACAACCTTAGTTAACATACCAACCAGCGCTCGTCACAACCTTAGTTAACATACCAACCAGCGCTCGTCACAACCTTAGTTAACATACCAACCAGCTGTACAACCTTAGTTAACATACCAACCAGCGCTCGTCACAACCTTAGTTAACATACCAACCAGCTGTACAACCTTAGTTAACATACCAACCAGCGCTCGTCACAACCTTAGTTAACATACCAACCAGCGCTCGTCACAACCTTAGTTAACATACCAACCAGCGCTCGTCACAACCTTAGTTAACATACCAACCAGCGCTCGTCACAACCTTAGTTAACATACCAACCAGCGCTCGTCACAACCTTAGTTAACATACCAACCAGCGCTCGTCACAACCTTAGTTAACATACCAACCAGCGCTCGTCACAACCTATTAACATATTTCTGACTCGATTGTGTTGCCCAGTTGATACATGGCCTTACATCTCAAATGAAGGGAAAATTAATTTGTTACACTTAATGACCTACTTGAGAACAAAAATATTTCACACAGCTATTGACAGTCGTCCATCTTGACAGACTCTGTCTGTATGACGTCCGCGAGTCAACCCTGCTCTATTTGGTACCGGACATGAATCAGTGAAAGTAAAGCTACTAGACATAGTGCTAAACACACAATCTTTTTATATACCCAGGTTAATAAATCATAAGGATTTATTGATTTAATAAGATTAACTACTGATACATAAAGAAACAACATGTCTATAACCTATAGTATAAGCATAAGCGTATCCAGACAATTCCATAATGCATGGTTGTGGCATACGTTCTTGCTATATAATCTGCAGATATGGCCTATGCCTATACCTAACGTGGAAGGTACTAAAACTAAGAGGTTATATTTAAGTATCACATTAAAAACAAAAAAGTTGCAAGCGTGGGATGAAAAATGGTGACCACCATTAGCGACTTTGATCAAATAATTTACATTTCCAACTGCGACATTAATTAGGCAGACAATATGCGTGGCGAACACTACACGATAATTATAGCAATGAACTCGAGGTATGTTACATAACTAGGTATTCTAACCCACATCAACACATTTCTCGAAGGGCAAAAAAAAATACTAACAGAATTTATTTAGTTAGGTATTAACATGAAATCCAAAGCAGTAAATTACAGCGTTCATAGTTTGCACCAAAGTTGTTTTGAAACATTCAGTTTATGTAAAAACTGTTTATCGCCTAATTATCCGTCAGTAAAATAAAAAATACATTGTTACATAAATTATGTCAGTGGAAATAATATGAATAAAACGGTTGTTGTTGTTTCTTTTTAAATTATCTTAGTACAGCTTCCAACTGCACAGGTTTAACTGGCCTAGACACAAATCCAACAACAGTCTCCATCTCAATATTGACGCCTTTCTTTGGCTCCGTTCTCTCCGAAAGCTCAAAACGAAATTCTTTCAACAAGTAGACCATGATTGTCTTAAGTTCCATCATGGCTAACCTTTGACCCAAACAAATTCTTGGCCCGTATCCAAAGGGGATGTAAGAAAATGGGTCACGTTTTGCCTTGTTTTCTGGTGTAAACCTTTCAGGGTCGAATTTCTTAGGTTCTGGCCAAAGTTCAGGGTCAGTCATTATTATGTTTATCGGAATGGTGACGATTGCACCTTTAGGTATGGTCACACCGTTGTATGTCCGGGTTTCTGCAGCTTCACGCATCAATGAATTTACCAACGGAAACAGACGCAGACATTCGTTGATGACCTGCTCTGTGTACTTGAGCTGTGAGAGATGCTCGTACTCCAGATCTTCACCGTCTGGGATGACCTGGTCAATCTCCTCTAGTACCTTCAGCTGGACGTCTGGATTCAGCGCCAGGCAGTATAAGATTCCCTGGAGAGCAGACGACACAGTTTCGATGCCCGATATAATCAATCCAGTTGAGGTTCCAATGATCTCATCGATGCTGAGGGCTTTAGACTGAGGGTCGTGAAGTCGTGGGTCATCACTGGATACTTCCGTTTCTAAAAGTAGGTCAAGCATGTCTCGAGGGGTACCAGACCCATTTTCGCATTTCTTCACTTTTCGCTCCTTGAGGGTAGATAATACAAAATGTTTAAAATAATTATCTGAATCTCGATTGATGTAATCAGTCTGAGGTACAAATTTCATCATCAATGGAATTGCGTGTGGTACAAACTGATTTATTATATTGATGCATTTGTTTATTTTTTTATACGATACGTTAAGCAATGTCCTCGCATGATGAGCGAATTCATTCTCCTCTTTGGAGACGGCGTGGGTCTGAACCCCGAACCCCACCCTGGCTATAACCTCCGTAGAAAACTTGGAGGCCACCAGTTTAACCGAGATGAGCTCTCCCTTGGACACGCACTGCCGGATGAGTTCTGTGAGCGTCTCGGCGCTGGCCTTGATGTGTTGGAGCATGACCTTCATTTTGACGCCGGTAAACATCGGGCTGGTCACGTGACGGTGGCGCCTCCACGTGTCGCCAGTGGACACGATCAAGCTGTTGATGAACGACCCACGCGTCTGTCGAGGGTTGTACCTATAAAAACAAGATAGCTAAACTTTTTTCTATGCTACTTGCTAAGCTCATACATTAAACATTCCCAGCATTAACGAAGTAGGATATAAATAAAGAAAGGGCAGGAGTACAGACTTAGCCATCTGCTGATTGTGTACACATTGATTTATAGCAACTTACAGACATCGAAACTCATTGTTCACAGAGTTTCTTCCAGGCATCTCTTCGGGGGGTGGAGTCTACCGCCCCCCCCCCCCGAACGAAATGGAATTTATATAGAAAATATATACATTTAACAGTGTCCGCCACCCCCCGAAGAAAGTCTACCGCCCCGAAAAATTCAAGTGCCCCCCCCCCCCCCCGGAGAAAAAAGTCTGGAAGAAACACTGATTGTTCATTATCTAGAAAACTCATTTGCGTCTTATTTATATTGATAAAGTAACATGTAATAGATAAAGTAGTTGTATAGATGAGTGTATGTCTGCTTGTCTGACATATGGTTAACATATTTAGATGATATTTTAGCAATAATAATTTTGTTTTTGTTTTATAAAAATCAATCTGCAATGGAGTTTTTAATGTCACAATTGTTCATACTCTTTTCCTGATATAGTAGATGTTTATAAAAGTATATTCAACACTTTTTATACAATTATTGTATGGAACAATCCGAACTGATATTGTTAATAATAAATGCGTACTCTTTTACATCTAATTCGTTTAAATGTTTACCTGGTCATGAAGTTGTCCTTCACCAAAACCTGTTTGGCGATCTCCAAATCTTTGGTGATGAGAGTAGCCCGGTGAGGGTGAAGGCCGTACACCCCAACGTTTTTGCCGTACGTCTGGAACCATTTGTTTATCGTCTGCTCCACGCCATGACGACGAAACTCCAGCATGTGGTCTAAAAATGGTAGTGGTTTTGGTCCGGGGATTCCCGCTCTTTCCCACACACCGTGGTAGCTGGTGGCGTACCAACAGACGCTCAAGAGAAGGAGAAGAATGGCCGTCAGCACAATCTGTGTACACGTCACTTCCGGAAAAACGTCCAACAATTCAACCGACATCTGAAAAAAAATCATTTTCATTTCTTTTTTAAATACTTATCATATACAGATATGTTGCCATTAAAATTTCTCTAACTAGCGGTAACATTTATTTTTACGCTAACAATTATTTAAGGGCTCAATCCATTTCACTTTATTGTGGCCAAACGTATGGATAGTAGCTTTCAGTAATTAATATCTTGCCAATCAGTAACTTATAGTAAGTAAAATCTAGACGCGCTAGTAACTTTCGATACTTTGTACCAATACGAGATAGAGTTTTTCAGTATTTTGTACCTTGTCGGGTTAGTGACCTTTAAGGCTGTTTTCCGCAGTACAAGTAGATATAAGTATTCGCATTATAACGATTTTTGACAAAGTCAATTCAAATAACTGATCGCATTGGTTAAGTAACATCGAAACAACGTAAAATCTAGAAGAACAAAAAACCAGTGCATAATCTTCTGATTGAATAATATAATAATGTATAACAAATGTGTACTTTGATATCTTCAGAAGAACTAATGTATAACAAATGTATATCTAGAATACGACTAAAGAACTAATGTATAACAAAAAATGTCCTTGAATGAATAAGAACTTGTAAAAGTGTGCACTTTGAATACAACAGAAGATGTAATGTTTTTTAAATGTTGTCATGAATGTAATTTACGGTGTAATGTATTTTAAATGTATACCTTGAATTCAACAGATGTATTGTATTACGCATGTGAAGCTCAAATAAAATAGAACATGTAAAGTTGAACAAATATGTACCTTGAATACAACAGAAGAGGTATCACACAAGTGCACCAAAAAAACCACAGAAAAACTAACTCTCCAAAATTTGTGTAGCCTATGTTGTATAAGTCTTTTCCTTTCCGCAACAACACAAGGATTAAATTTAGAGAGTAAACAAGACTAACAGGAGCATGTAAACTCTGACCTCTAAACTCTTGCTACAAACAGTAAATACGAAAACATACGGTCTAAACTTGGGTGACATTGACATATCTGACAGCCGGTGAAGAGCTACATCTGTGTCAGCTGGAAGTCAAAAAGTGTAACAATGTATGTTATCGTGTTTACATCCTATGTTACTTGTAGGTGAATCGCTGAGCAATAGTACAGCGTCAAGTGTAATTCGTGCTAATTACGTAGCTACCTTTACTAATACTCACATTAAAGGTTTCTTTTCTGCATACTATTGCTCGGCCTAACTTGTATTCGCTGAGTTGAAACAGCCGATGATTATATTTTTAAATACGATTTATTAGCTAATCATGTAATTATGACGTAATAAAACACTGCATAGGAACATAATGAACCAATTTTTGAAGTCATACAAAATTGGCTTATTTACATGTCATTTTGCTTAGATATGTAATGATGTTTTAAATGCATGAAGTTTTGCCTTGCTACTGCTATATCGTCCTAAGTTGTCAGAAGATTCCAATTAACAATGTATCGTCCACCCCTCCCTTCTTCCATCTTAAACTAAGCATAGATCTAACCTACACTAATCATTGTTCATAAGTATTGTTCCCAAGAATAAAAAAAACTCTTTAAATTTATGTCTAAAATTAACTCATGAACAGAAAAACCACATGTCTCGAAAAGTTACAACATAAAAGGTGAGCTGTCTATTCTGTCTTTGTTTTCGTTCAATACTTTTCAACTGACTTGGTATAATAATTGAAATATTATTTTTTAAACTGTTGCCTAAATGTGCTTTTGTACCAGAACAGCCTTCCTTTCCTACTGTAATAAGATCACATATTTACTTATCCTACAGAATCATCGCACACACTATCAAAACTGCATTTCCTCACTTTTCAAATAAAACTTAAAACTCGTTAAACTTAAAAATAAATGAAAAATAAACACAGCATAATTGTTTAATATTTGAATTTTTTATTAAATATTTGCATGTGGTCGTGTATATTACAGCGTACTGAAAAACAAAATTGATTTCAATGTTAATGGAATTTCTTATGTGCCAAACCAATAACAATATGTTTATGATGTGTAAAATGCTTAGAATCGCATTCCCATATAATTCCGTTAACCCAAATGTTAATAAATCGTCGGATTCATGTTATAAATGTGGTAATGAAATATGCTTAAAATGTGTAAATGTAATTATTTTTTTTTTGTAAAAAAGCTTCTTTGTGACAAGCTTGCTACTTAAATGTGAGGATTTACTGATGTAAAATGCAATTAAATTAAAAAAATATTATTATTTAACATTTTTACATTCTTCTTTGACTTTTTAAACTCCCATGGAGCATAGACTAAATACAAATTCATTCTTTCTCTTTCCGCCTTGAGCAAATGTTTCTATTTCTTTTGAAATGTTTTAAATTAAAATAAAAGAACATTACTAAAGTTATTTTGTGTTGCTAAATTGAAAGTAACACAACAAATGGATAGAAAATATTCAGATTAAATAAAAACAATCTTGAGATGACATGATTATAAAATTACATTAATCTGTGTCTCTCGTTATGAGTAAATGGTCTATGATGGGTTGTTGTTTGGTTTCAGTAAGTCCTTTTACAAATGTTAAACCAAAAAGTCTCCGGAGTTTATCTTGGAACAGCTTCCACCTCAACAGGTTTAACTGGCCTCGACACAAACCCAACAATGGTCTCCATTTCAATGTTGACGCCTTTCTTCGGCTCCGTTCTCTCCGAAAGCTCAAAACGAAATTCTTTCAACAAGTAGACCATGATTGTCTTGAGCTCCATCATGGCTAACCTTTGACCCAAACAAATTCTTGGACCGTAGCCAAAGGGCATGTAAGAAAATGGGTCACGTTTTGCTTTGTTTTCTGGTGTAAATCTTGTAGGGTCGAATTTCTTAGGTTCTGGCCAAAATTCAGGGTCGGTCATTATCAGATTTATCGGAATGGTGACGATTGCACCTTTAGGTATGGTGACACCGTTGTATGTCCGGGTTTCTGCCGTTACACGCATCAATGAAGTTAACAAAGGAAACAGCCGCAGACATTCGTTGATTCCCTGCTCTGTGTACTTGAGTTGTGAGAGATGCTCGTACTCCAGATCTTCACCGTCTGGGATGACCTGGTCAATCTCCTCTAGTACCTTCAGCTGGACGTCTGGATTCAGGGCCAGACAGTATAAAATTCCCTGGAGAGCAGAGGACACAGTTTCTACGCCTGCTAGAATTAATGCAGTTGAGTTTCCTATTATTTCATCTCTGCTGAGGGCTTTAGACTGAGGATCGTGAAGTCGCGGGTCATCTTTGGCTACTTCCGTTTCTGAAAGTAGGTCAAGCATGTCACGAGGGTTACCAGACCCAGTTTTGGTCTTCTCCTCTTTTCGCTCGTTGAGGGTCGATGATACAATATGTTCAAAATAAGTATCTGAATCGCGGTTGATGAAATCAATTTGGGGCAGCAATTTCATCATCAAAGGAAGAACGTGTGGAACAAAGTGATTAATCATATCAATAGTATTGTTCAATTTTCTAGTTGCCACGTTAACCAGTGTCCTGGCATAGTGAGCGAATTCATTCTCCTCTTTGGAGACGGCGTGGGTCTGAACCCCGAAGCCCACCCTGGCTATAACCTCCGTAGAAAACTTGGAGGCCACCAGTTTAACCGAGATGAGCTCTCCCTTGGACACGCACTGCCGGATGAGTTCTGTGAGCGTCTCGGCGCTGGCCTTGATGTGTTGGAGCATGACCTTCATCTTGACGCCGGTAAACATCGGGCTGGTCACGTGACGGTGACGCCTCCACCTGTCGTCTGTGGCCGCTAGCAAGCCGTTGGCGAAAGACCTCTGCGTCGTTCGTGGACGGTACCTGCAAAACGGGAACAGAATAGTTGTTAAAATGTTGTTTGACTAGATCGTTCTCTTTGTGATTACAAAACATTTAAACGAATATCTCATGCTTTGCGCCTATGAAAGATTGTGTTTACAAGAATTTAACATGAATGTTGCATCTATAACTTTTACATCTCGTAGGTTTGGAGTTTATGACGTTTATGACGGAAAATGAGTAGAGCTGGATTGTTCAAAAAATGTACATACCATAGGCTTACATTTTAATTTTTTTAATTGAATTCTTTTTTTATTGCTTAACAACTTTTTACCGTGCTTCTTGTTTTTGTAAATATTAATACAAATATTTAAAGATACTTAATCTTCATGCTAAAATTGTCATTATTAAATACTGATTGCCGATGCTTTATAAAAAAATATAATCGTTATGGTGAATAATAATTTATTATTGGTGGTAACTTCTTTTAAAATGAGACAGCTTAATGACAATTGTAATTGCTAATTGTTTTTCGGGTGGGGGATAGAACTAAGTAATACATCTAACATTTTGTGACGATGTGTGACGTTGGAGAAATGTAAAAATAGGTGAAAAGTGTGACGCCATTGATGGCCAAACACAAACTTACAGGTAACGAATAAGATCGTTCATTTTATCGAGAATGCATCTGTTATATATAGTATATAATTTTTAATGTAATAATTGTGTATTTGTTTGTGTTTTCAGACATTAAAACTATATTAAATATTTGCTTTTTTTTTTTACTTCATTAAGAACTGGAATGATTCTGGTAATTAGAAAAGCGCAATAGACATATGCTATTATATATAGGACTGTCAAACTTTTACCTAGTCATAAAGTTATCAAAATCCTTAACCAAAACCTGTTTGGCGATCTCCAAATCTTTGGTGATGAGAGTAGCCCGGTGAGGGTGAAGGCCGTACACCCCAACGTTTTTGCCGTACGTCTGGAACCATTTGTTTATCGTCTGCTCCACGCCATGACGACGAAACTCCAGCATGTGGTCTAAAAATGGCAGTGGTTTTGGTCCGGGGATTCCCGCCCTTTCCCACACACCGTGGTAGCTGGTGGCGTACCAATAGACGCTCAAGAGAAGGAGAAGAATGGCCGTCAGCACAATCTGTGTACACGTCACTTCCGGAAAAACGTCCAATAGTTCAACCGACATCTGAAAACAATTATTAAAAGTTATTGTATATTACCCTTGCTGATTTTATACCTAACTGTACTGAATATTAGCCTACTTGTATTGATTATATCCTTGTCTGTACCGAAATATTTGCCTACATGTACTGATTGTATCCTAGTATGTACTGAATATATGCCTTCATGTACTGATTATATCCTAACTTGTGTTGTTTACGTTCCAACCTGTACTGATTAAATCCCACACCTTGCCCTAGAATTTTTTTCTTACCAACCATACCTAGGTTGGCCTCCTTCTTCTTTAAAACAGCCATTTATTTATTGCATCCAACAAAACATGTAAAGACCCAAACTTAGCAATGGTAAGTTATGCTATCTTTGTAGGCTAGCAGCTTCAATTATCTCAATAGACGGACTATTAGCTTTAAGTACATAGTAACTAGCCGAGTTAATAGCTTTCAGTATCTAGACGGGTATGTAGCTTTCGACACTCATGATATAGGCGGACTAGTAGTGAAACGTTTTTAAATTTGTTTTCTTTACATTACGATCTTTTGAAAAGTAAATTAATTGTTAATATTGTTTTTAAAACCCGAAGGTAAAAAAAATGTATATGTTACTTACTTCGGTGATCTTAAACTGGTTTACAGTGTGACACGAGTGAACCTGGAACACGACACTGAAGAACTAACTCCACAGATATAATTCTCTAATTCTCGCTTTTTATAGGCCTCTCTCTGTTTCTGCTGGCAACACGACGGCACGAGCCGTCAGCACAGAGAACGTGTGAACTTTGACCTACTTTTTTGTTACACTTAATAAACGCATAAAAGTGTCAAAAATGTCAGACCCGGTGAAGTACTTCTGATCAGTTTATAGAAAGTTGTAACTAGGTCAGCTCAACACCAAAAAGTGTAACAATATATTGTTTACAGTTTAAAGTTACGTAAAAGATCACGGTACACTTAACAGCTGTAATTTATCATAGCCAAAATACAGTTAAAATTGAATAACAGCGTTGATTTCAGACAAATAGTTTGACAAGACTTATTTCAAGCGCTGAGTGCATTTGCGAAAATGCTGCGTGCTCGCCGTGATGCTACATCCAACATGAAGTTTGTTGGCATCAGACGCTGCCTAGACGAGAAATATTGCCTAGACCCCCTCCCCCTTTCACTAGTCTCACAAACAAAGCCAAACATTCCTCGACACGATCTTCCCCTTTCGTGCCCAAGACACATGGGGCAGATGAAGTAGAGTTCATCTTCTTCAAAGACCTCGGTATATGAAGGATAGTGTGGTCAGCACTATGCCCAGCCGCCTTTGTTTCCCTAAAGTGAGTTAGGTACCCATCAGAGCTGGGTGGATGCAGAGACGCTCCACTGACTTCAACCCGTATTAGAACTCGAAACTCTCGGGTTAGCAGTCTAGCTCTCTACCGCTAGGCCACGCCGTTCCACACCTGCCGCTAATTTAACCTCACAAACTTCTGTTCACGACACTACCCTCTCTTCCTAACAGAGAGTTAAAAGTTTTCTTTGTTCTTAAAATGTACAAGATAAATGTCAGTTCTTCGCACGTTACACAAGTCCTACTCCTCACAATCCCCTCAGTGTGCGACTAAACTAAAACGCGGGCTCAGCGCATTTTGTCAAAACTATTTAGGCCAAAGACAAAAGTAAACAAAGACGTTAGAAAACACGAGCTGAACTTCCTAATATCAAAACTATCAAATCAACAACTTCATATAGACATTCTCATATCGACATCCTAATATCAACTTCCGAATATCAACATCCTCAAATCAACATCCACATATGAACAACTTAGATCAGTTTCCTGTATCAACGTCCGAATATTAACATTCTCACATCATCACATTAACATCCTCATATCAATATCCTGATATTAACATCATTATATCCTCTTAATAATATATTTGTATCCACATCTTTATATCAAGGGCAAAAAGTAAATATAATACTGTTGGATCTCTATATATATATATATATATATATATATATATATATATATATATATATATATATATATATATATATATATATACATATATATATATATATATATATATATATATATATATATATATATATATATATATATATATATATATATATATAATATTTATATAACGAAAAGAAAAGAAGAAAAAACAAAATCGTTTTCAAGTCAGCAATCTTTTAATGTTTAGAGACTTCGAGAGCAAAAAGCGTAACAAAGAACAAAATCCAGGTCATCCACCAACTACGGTAGCATAGACATACCTCCACAGAACACTGACCTAACCGTCCGTTCCAGTTGAACGAGCCGACCTGACACTGTACGATACGACAAAGATTTAGGAATAATCCTGTTCTCATTGTCCGTAGTGGACTCTTCCAAATATGGGGGTGTTAAGTTGTTAAAAGTATTGTAATATCAGATTAAGCGGGGAGTGGGGACCTAAAATTAGCACAAGGGCTATTGTGAGACTTTATTAGATTTTGATTAAGGCTATTTTATTGTTGATATCAAGTAATATTAACTCATAGTATACTATCAATAACCCATCCGCCCTTTTTAAGAAGACTTCATTGTTGTGGCTTAATCGGACATGGATACAATGTTAGACTACAAATTTAGGCTGTTCAAGGAAGTTATGGCTTTTAAAATGTATTTTAAAATTTGTTAGCGATCAACTTATCCATTATCTTAATTAAAAATACTAAGCCCAGACCTAACATTAACCAGTCAACTATTCGTGTAATGTTTGTCGTGCTTATAAAATTCGAAAACTAACTTGCTAACTTACATATTACTTTCATTACTTGTTTGTTGCATGAATGTGTATTGTTGACTTGTATTATATCCTTACATTGTATTATATTATTCATTAGCATCATAAGCATGTATCTTGAGCTTGCATTATTGTATTCTAAACGTGTATCTTTGTTTCAATAATTTATATTACTTTTCTAAATAAAATCTTTGATTAGCATCATTAACTTTTATCATTAATTTGCTACATTTCGTCTCTTTGACTTTTCAACTAGCATTGACCACTTTCACAAAAATAATGACTTATATCCATTATGTCATAATTACTGGTATCTGAATGCCATGATGAGTTGTACACCTATCTACACAAAAATCATAACGCCTCCTTCTCTCCTTGGATATAAATATAACAACAAGAAATCTTATCTATTTAGTTCTACACGTTAAACGAGCTCATACACTCCAATTTGGGTCAAGCTAATCTCAAACCTTGCTGAAAACAAAGCAGCAAGCTTGGAGGTTAAAATTTATAACAATAAAGCAGCAACTGGCCTATAATAACTTTGTAGCATTCTAAATCTAAACAGTCTTCGTTGTTACGCTTTGTTACATTCAAAACAGACTTAGTTGTTTCACTTTATAACTGTGTAAAATCTTCGTTTTTACACTTTATTGTATTTAACCTAAACAGTCTTGGTTGTTATACTTTATAACATTCTAAACAGTCTTCGAAGTTATACTTTACTGCCTTATAAACTATACTTGCTCCCTAGTTCCAGATTGTAGCATTGTAAATCCACAGACATTACTGTTACACTTTCTAACCTAGAAAAGTGCTCAGGCTTGACAACATTGAAAACTACACTGTTTTAGTTGTTACACTTTATAACATCGTAGCCATGAACTAACCTTTTATAACTTTGTAACATTCTAATCTTAACAGTCCACGTTGTTACACTTTGTTACATTTTAAATTGCATTGCCTTGGTCGTTACAGTTTCTATCCTTGTAAACTCCCCAGCCTTGATTGTTACACTTTCTGGCCTTGTGAAGTGCACAAGCTCCCTAACACTGAAAAATTCACTGGCTTGGTTGTCGCGCTTTATAACGTTGTAAACATTGCACAAGCGGACCAATGATTGGGTTAAACAGCCAGATCCGTACTAGGTCTGGGTAACGCCTGCTACAGGGGTTCTAAAAATATTATTCCGTTGACGCTTATTGGCGAAGGACAATGTTATTATGTAAAGACTTTTAATGGGGAAGTTTCACCCAAACAAAGGGAAACGACAATTTTTAAAAATCACAAAAACACTACGATAAATATATACATGTGAAATGCTAACTGGTTATTTTGACCTCACAACTTTAAATAGAACAAAAAAAATAAGCGTATGTTTAAAGAAAAATAAAATTATTTTAACAAATATTTTACAAATGTGTAAAGAAGTATTACTATTGTAAACCTGTAAACAAGCCGATGATAAAGACTTACTAAAGCGAACATGGCACTGCAAACTGACGCTAAAAAAATACTTCTGGTTGGGGAAAACATTGATTTTGTAATGTTTATTGTTTTAGTTAAGATAGGTTTGAAAAGACTTCGTTTTCAAATTTCAATCCCAATGCTATATTTTTATTACCTGCAATAGAAGTTAAATCTTAACAGATTTTTTACTAGCTTTCCTGAAAAATTACCTAAGTTTAACTAACATAAGTAAAACGTTTGGGTCAAATTATTCTTTTTATTTTGTTGCCTCATACATAGGCTTTTATTTATACACTGTCTTATAGCTGCGAGTAAACAAACGTACTTGAATAGGTATACCAGTTTCGTTTGTTTTGTTTGTTTTTTGTTGGGTGGAGGGGTTGTTTATCGATTTCCCGTTGTCAGGGTGACACTCCCAGTCCCCCTTAAATATACCAAAAAAGAATTTTTAAAATTGAGCTACGTTCCCTTTTTAAAATAGGATGAGATTTTGTCACCCCAAATTTAGAACCCATGATTAAAATGAAAACAAATTTTTCTAAACGCGTTTTGTTACACTTTTTGACACTTTGCTTCCTGGCTCCAGAGTTCTCCCACCCCCACCCCACCCCTCCACATCACCGCCACCACCACAAACAACTTTTTTTAAGTTTTTATGTAAGTCACATAGTCTGTCTGTATGTAGGTGGGTGGGTCTTTAGTCAAATCATGGCCAAACTCAATTTGGACCAACTTCTAAATCAGAGTTTACGTTTAAAATGTCCAGAAAAAACATCGTCTAAGATAAAAGCGTTAGTATAATATCTTATTTTCAATCTAGTTAGATTTTAAATTAGCTGTTGAAAAATTCAATATCTATTTAATATTTTAACTTTTACCATTCCTAATTATGATAAAATACAACAATATGAAAAGCTCTATAATAGCAAGTTACAATGAAAGAGAAGGTGGATAAAATGTTTCAGAGGATTGATGAGCGACAAATGCTTTAAAAAAGAAAGTTTGTTATGTCTTCTCCAGTGCATGTAAACGCCTGTTGTCTTATAAGTTTTTACATTTTTTTATCATCATAAACTCTGGTTTTGTTTTGTTTTTATATTTGTTGTTTGTCTTTTAAAGCGAGAAATAAGGGGGTGGGGGGAATTTAGGCCGCCATGTACGCATGTGGATAGTTCCAGTTTTCAAGACACCGCGATTAGTCGAAGGTTAGAGGTCAGAGGTCAGAGGTCTTGTTTTCTTTCTGCACTTGTTCTTGTTTGGTGCGGCGACGATGAATTGCTGACAGAAGGGGGCTATATAAGGAACGACTTATGCTGCAGAATTACTTTGTATAAGAGAAGTGACTGGAGAGTTACTTTATATAAGTGAAGGGACTGGAGAATTACTTTATATAAGAGAAGTGACTGGAGAATTACTTTATAAAAGAAAGGTTACTTTATACAATAAGGGACTTGTGCGGTAAAACTACTTAAACTTCAAGCCAATTCAAGGTAAGATTTGTTTTGTTTTTTATATTTGAACTTTTTTTTTTCACACTTTAGGCAGCAATTAATAAATATTTTAGTTATTTGCTTGTAACATAGGACAAATTATGTGTTACACATTAATGGTAATTGAAATTTTGGTAATGAAATTAATCATGTAATTTAATAAATGTAATGTAATTGCTTTATTTTTTTAATGGATCGCGTTCAATAAGGCAATTATTTCAAACCCTAAGTGACAGTATATTAAATCGCTATGCAATAAATCCTTATAAAATACCTTAATAGGATAAAAAGAATGTAGATATATTTCATTGGATGTATTTTTTTCTTAAATAACTAAGTCCCCCTAAGATGGGTCAGCTATATTAGAGTTAAAGTGATATTATGATCTGGAAATCATCTATAATAATAGTTTCGCTGTCTCTCTATCTATCTATCTGTCTGACAAGAACGCTCTAGAGAAAACACAAGGAATTTAAAAACCTGCACAGTAATTCGAAAAACGAAATATGACGTCGACACATTTAGCGCACAGAGTAGAAAATAATCTCAAACCCAGAGAGTGCACACAGTTATATGACGTCATTGATTATCGAGTAAACATATTCAATACAAAGGCAATTTGGTCTAATCTAAGTGGTTTGCGTGAAGAGTTTCTTGCATACAATTCTTCGGGTAGGGGCGAAGCCCCACCCCCCGTGTAAGAACGTCTGAGCCCCTCCCCCTCCCCAACTCAAAAGAAATTTCCTCATCGATACTCTATAATAAAATTAATGTGTCTAATCTAAAAAGTGGTTTTCTTGCAATGGGACGGTAGACATGTTTTTTTTTTGGGGGGGGGGGGGGGGTGGAGGGGTGGGTGGGGGGTGTGTGGAGGGGTGGGGGGGGTGTGTGGGGGGGGTGGGGGTGGGGGGTGGGGGTGGTGTGTGGGGGGTGGGTTGGTTTCAGTGTTTCTTTCAGACTTTTTCCTCCCCGGAGAGGGGTGGGGGTACTTGAAATTTTCGGGGGCGGGGGTAGAATTTTCTGGGAGGGGGCGGACACTGGAAAAAGTATATAATTATATTTCGTTGAATGGGACGGTAGACATGGTTTTTTTTGGGGGGGGGGGGGCGGTGGAGGGGGGGGGGGTTGGAGGGGTGGGGGGTGGGGGTGGGGGTGGGGGGGCGGTGTGTGGAGGGGGTGGTGTGTGTGGGGGGTGGGGATGGTGTGTGGGGGTGGGGGTGGTGTGTGGGGGTGGGGGTGGTGTGTGGGGGGTGGGTTGGTTTCAGTGTTTCTTTCAGACTTTTTCCTCCCCGGAGAGGGGTGGGGGGTACTTGAAATTTTCGGGGGCGGGGGTAGAATTTTCGGGGAGGGGCGGACACTGGAAAAAGTATATAATTATATTTCGTTGAATGGGACGGTAGACATGTTTTTTTAGGGGGGGGGGGGTTGTGGGTGGGGGGTGGGGGGAGGGGGGGGTGTGTGGGGGGGGATGGGGGGTGAGTGGGGGGGGGGGTGGTTTTAATTTAGACTTTTTCCTCCCCGGAGAGGGGTGGGGGGTACTTGAAATTTTCGGGGGCGGGGGGTAGAATTTTCGGGGAGGGGGCGGACACTGGAAAAAGTATATAATTATATTTTGTTGAATGGGACGGTAGACATGCTTTTTTTGGGGGGGGGGGGGGGGGGGGGTGGGGGGTGGGGGGGGGTGGTGTGTGTGTGTGTGGGGGGGGGGGGGGTGGGGGTGAGTGGGGGGTGGTTTTAATTTAGACTTTTTCCTCCCCGGAGAGGGGTGAGGGTACTTGAAATTTTCGGGGGCGGGTGTAGAATTTTCGGGGAGGGGGCGGACACTGGAAAAAGTATATAATTATATTTCGTTGAATGGGACGGTAGACATGTTTTTTTTGGGGGGGGGGGGTGGGGGTGGGGGGTGGTGTGTGTGTGGGGTGGTGTGTGTAGGGGTGGGGGGTGGGGGGGTGGTGTGTGGGGGGGGGGGGGTGGTGTGTGGGGGGGGGGGGGTGGGGGGTTGGGGTCGTGTGGGTGGGGGTGTGGGTGGGGGTGGGGGTGGTGTGTGTGGGGGGGGGGTGGTTTTTGTTTAGAGAAAAGAGACAGCACTATCAACCTAGCGCCCGGTGTATCCTTCCTCAACGGGCCATTTTTCTCGTAAGCAATATTGGGGTAAGCGTCATCCCCAATCACATGTAAAATTCCCTTACTCTATACAGCTACATATCAGCGCTGATGAACCCGTGGAGGTATTAAAAACGTCCCCAAAGTATCAACATTTCAAAACAGTGGTTGTTTTTTTTTAGATGTAGCCTATGTGTTATGTTTCAAAATTAATTTTTTATGTACATTTTGTTATTATTATTTTTCAAGATGTCCGTTGAACTGTTGGGCAGTTTACCGGAAGTGACGTGTACACAGATTGTGCTGACGGCCATTCTTCTCCTTCTCTTGAGCGTCTATTGGTACGCCACCAGCTACCACGGTGTGTGGGAAAGAGCGGGAATCCCCGGACCAAAACCACTACCATTTTTAGACCACATGCTGGAGTTTCGTCGTCATGGCGTGGAGCAGACGATAAACAAATGGTTCAAGACGTACGGTAAAAACGTTGGGGTGTACGGCCTTCACCCTCACCGGGCTACTCTCATCACCAAAGATTTGGAGCTCGCCAAACAGGTTTTGGTGAAGGATTTTGACAACTTCGTGACTAGGTAATTTTAACAAGTTTTTTTTTTCTGCAAGAATATTTATTCTAATGAAATTTATATTGAAAAATTGAAGATAGGAGCAGGTATTAAAAGACACGTAAAACTAAAAACTGATTCAAATAAGTATGTATTTATCTATTCAGATACCGACCAAGATCGTCTAAAGGCTCGTTTGTGGACGGTATATCTTCAACAACAGACGACAGGTGGAGGCGTCACCGTCACGTGACCAGCCCGATGTTTACCGGCGTCAAGATGAAGGTCATGCTCCAACACATCAAGGCCAGCGCCGAGACGCTCACAGAACTCATCCGGCAGTGCGTGTCCAAGGGAGAGCTCATCTCGGTTAAACTGGTGGCCTCCAAGTTTTCTACGGAGGTTATAGCCAGAGTGGGCTTCGGGGTTCAGACCCACGCCGTCTCCAAAGAGGAGAGCGAATTCGCTCATTATGCCAGGACATTTGTTAACGTATCAAACGATGGTTTTAACAAATGTATCGATTTGATAAATCATTTTGTACCACATGTGCTTTCTCTGATGATGAAAGTTTTTCCACGAACAGATTTCGTCAATATAGATTCGGACAATTATTTTAAAACAATTGTCACCTCAACGATCAAGCAACGAAAGGAGGAGAAAATCAAAACCCATGCTGGTAAAGTACGAGACATGCTTGACCTACTTTTAGAAACGGAAGTAGCCAAAGATGACCCGCGACTTAATGACCCTCAGTCTAAAGCCCTCAGCAAAGATGAGATAGTAGGAAACTCTACCATGTTAATTTTAGCTGGTGTAGAAACTGTGTCGTCTGCTCTCCAGGGAATTTTATACTGCCTGGCACTGAATCCAGACGTCCAGCTGAAGGTACTAGAGGAGATTGACCAGGTCATCCCAGACGGTGAAGATCTGGAGTACGAGCATCTCTCACAGCTCAAGTACACAGAGCAGGTCATCAACGAATGTCTGCGTCTGTTTCCGTTGATAATTTTCTTGATGCGTGAAGCTTCAGAAACCCGGACATACAACGGTGTCACCATACCTAAAGGTGCCATCGTCACCATTCCGATAAATCTGATAATGACCGACCCTGAACTTTGGCCAGAACCTAAGAAATTCGACCCTGAAAGGTTTACACCAGAAAACAAAGCAAAACGTGACCCATTTTCTTACATGCCCTTTGGCTACGGGCCAAGAATTTGTTTGGGTCAAAGGTTAGCCATGATGGAGCTCAAGACAATCATGGTCTACTTGTTGAAAGAATTTCGCTTTGAGCTCTCGGAGAGAACGGAGCCGAAGAAAGGCGTGGACATTGAAATGGAGACCATTGGTGGATTTGTGTTGAGGCCAGTTAAACCTGTTGAGGTGGAGGCTGTTCCAAGATAAACGTTAAACCACAAAACTAAAAAATAACAAAATGTGTATCTCTGTTTATTTTGTATATTATATCAATTAAAATATATATTTGGAAATGTTTAACACTGGAAAATAATCGTAGTATTCTTTTGAAATTAGAAAAAAAAAATAACAAGATAAGTGAAAGAGGGAGGGTGGGTGGCTGTATGGGCAACCGGGGAGCCGGACGTTTTCCCGAAAGACACTTGCCCGAATGCCGTTTGCCCGAAGGCCGATTTCCCGAATGGACACTTGCCCGAATGCGACAAATGCCCGAATGGACACTTGCCCGAATGCGACAAACGCCCGAATGGACACTTGCCCGAATGCGACAAATGCCCGAATGGACACTTGCCCGAATGCGACAAATGCCCGAATGGACACTTGCCCGAATGCGACAAATGCCCGAATGACACTTGCCCGAAGGCCGTTTGCCCGAAAAATGTAAATATTAAATAATAAATAATATTTCCAAATAGACATTCTTTCATCAATTTAAGTTTGAAATTTTGATTATAAACACAAATCTAAGCATAAAACAAAGTTGTTTATATTTTTAAATTTAACTTTTAATTTTTTTAAATCAAAACTGAGAAAGTACAGTAAGAAAAACTTTATTCTTTAATAAATGTAAGGTGATGTTGGCGGCGGTGTTCTAACATTCTTTAGATGAATGTTTTGAACACCTTGTTTAGCCGACGTGTTGCGGTGGTTATATAGCTTTTATGACACGGCGTAGGCGGCGCTGCGTCTAGCAACATTGAACAGAGGCGAGTTTGTTTGTTTCTCTTATTATGCTTAACTTGTGTGGTGATCATTTAACAAAAGAATAAGGCGAGGTCTAGGTGCCAAATTTAAAAACTAAACGTAGTCAAATATGTTTGATCTCCATTTAATGCACCTTGTTAAGACAATGTGTTGAAGCGATTACTTAATAAAGAAAGCAAAACTCATTTTAAATTGCGGAGATGAATGAAAATTGTATTTTTGTCTAATTTCATATATGGAAGAGAAAGTATGTTTCTACACTTTTTAAATATTAAATACAAATTAATTTAAAATGTCTGCGCGGTAATATATAATATTATTTTTTTCACTTTCTTTTTGCGTAGATGTGTTTTGTTTACCAACATTTTAAATTTAAATTGATTACGAATGATTATTTAGTAATATATAATGTTAACATTTTTCGGGCAAACGGCCTTCGGGCAAGTGGCATTCGGGCATTTGTCGCATTCGGGCAAGTGTCCATTCGGGCATTTGTCCCATTCGGGCAAGTGTCCATTCGGGCATTTGTCGCATTCGGGCAAGTGTCCATTCGGGCATTTGTCCCATTCGGGCAAGTGTCCATTTGGGCATTTGTCGCATTCGGGCAAGTGTCCGTTCGGGCATTTGTCGCATTCGGGCAAGTGTCCATTCGGGAAATCGGCCTTCGGGCAAACGGCATTCGGGCAAGTGTCTTTCGGGAATTTGTCGTAGACCCGGGCAACCGAAAGATATATCATGTCTAAAAACGTGAGTTCATGCAAACAACAATTTTTTTAAACTGTATTCTACACATTACATTGAAGGCTACTCATATATCTTTTGCATTTAAGCTTTGTCTCAATGTAATGGTTTGTTTTTTTTCTTTTAATTATTTGTAGTGTTTTAAGCAAGTGTATGATATATTATGTCTAAAGGTGTGAGTTCATACAGAGAACATTATTTTTTAATTGTACTCTACACATTGCATTGTAGGCAACTCCTATATCTTTTGCATTAAAGCTTTATCTCAATGTAATGGTTTTTTTATTCCTTTTAATGATTTGTAGTGTTATGAGGAAGTGTATGACTAATAATCAAAGTATTCATTAAAAACAATGTTAAGAAACAATAATTGATTGCGTTGCTTGTTTTATAATTAGTATTTTCGTGATTCAAGGCACAACACCACGGGGCAATCACCTTAACGAGTCCGATAAATTCAAAGAACGTTTGCCCGATTAAAATTAATTACATTTACATAATTAATTATAATAGTGCAATTTAAGCAGGATGTAGAAATCGTCGTTTACTGACCGGGGGGTAATGTCCTAACTGCCCCTCCCAGGCCCTTCCTGATGGGATTCACTTCTGCCTGCCATATCAAGTTAGAAAACTCACAATTCACTTTTTACGAGCCAATCCTAACGTGGATTATTAGGCCCATGGGATTTAAGTTAATTTATCTCAGAAATAGTCGCCATGTATTAAGGTAACGTTTTTTAAAGAAGTAGCGAAAGACATTTTGGCATGGCCAGGGTTTTGGAAAAAACATATCATCAGTTGTAACGAACAGAGTTTCTTCCAGGCATCTACATATACTTTTGCCAGTGCCCGCCCCCGGAAAATGTTTCTCCCCCCCCCCCCCCCCCGAAAAAAAAGTCTGGAAGAAACACTGGTAACGAACATTAGCGGTAATGGTGAGTACTTGGCTATATCATCCGAAGGGGTTGACATTTGATTGTTTCGTTAAAGTCGGCTAAAATGTAGACAGAGTTTTAATTCGGAAACTAAAAGACGAAAAGATTTACGAGTTGTGAAGAGAATTATTAAATACGAAGAAGAAAAAACTAAATACCGATAAAGGCTTGTAGCCAAATAACGTGGACAGATCTTTTTAAAAAATACATTTAGTACCAAAATGATGATTGTTGTTAAATGACAACTAGTGTTTCAGTCCAGATCTGTTCGTTGGACTACGATAACAAATGTTGTCCTAGTGTACGCTCTATATGTACACACTAATAAACTAGCTCAGCTCAATGTTTTACTCGAGATCCTGTAACTGGACTAATTTCTTTACATTTTTAGTTTCTTCGCGTCTGCGTTTGCGTCTGTTTTTTTTTTTTTTTTTTTTTTTTTTTTTTGCTTTATCTGATGACAAAGTCAAGGCCACAGAGACGAAATGCGCAGAACCAGTGACCCGGTGTCTGTTACAGTTTTTACACTGTTATATAATGGGTTGCTTTTTTTTTTTTTTTTGCTTGCACAGAACGTAAGATAACTTACTTGGCATACAACTTTCAGCATCTTTAAACCTCTTCTAGTATTATAGCCAATTTCAAGCGAACGAAATGGTAACGTATTTTCTTCACACTTCGGTAGCAGTTGTGTTTAGTACACATACGTCACAGTTCCCTCCATCTCCTTTCATTTTAAAGACAGCGGGTTCAAAAAGTGTAACAAAAATGCCAGGCCATCAACGAAGTGCGGTTACGAAGATAACAAGTTTCCAATCGCCCTTGACCTGCTGTTTGTTGCAGCACAGCGGGTCAACATGACACTGCGCGGCATAAAAGATAAGAACTTTGCAACGAATTTTGTCTAGGCTCTCAGTCAGCTGTAGCAACAAAAAATCTGGTCGTATTGCGATCTATGTTTACTAGCTTAGCCATAACACTAAGCATTAAGAGAACACTAACCCGTGATAGGGTTAAATCAACAGTCAACACCATTGTTATTGTATGAACTGACACCCCACCGAAATGAATGTATCACCTGACACCCCCACCACTGTGAATGTATTACCTGACACACCCACCAGCGTGAATGTATGACCTGACACACCCACCATAGTGAATGTATGACCTGACACCCCCATCATAGTGAATATATGTCATGACACCCCCACCATTGTGAATGTATGAACTGACACCCCCATCATAGTGAATGTATGACCTGACACCCCCACCGTTGTGAATGCATGACCTGACACCCCCATCATAGTGAATGTATGAACTGACACCCCCACCGTTGTGAATGCATGACCTGACACCCCCATCATAGTGAATATATGTCCTGACACCTCCGCCATTGTGAATTTAATTTTTTTTTATTCCATCCGGAGTAACTTTTAACATGCACGGAGGAGGGGGGTGCCTAAAAACCGGTTGACTGTGGGTCTAATCTTCTCCATCTTACAGAAAGCAATGCGTTGAAGCATTTGGATGAGTAAATAATTATAGTCAAATTCCATGTCATGTTAGTTAAAAATATGTATGTAAAACAATAACAACAAAAAGATCAAACATTTTTTAATTCAATTTCCATTTATGTTTACTTTATTAGCTTTACACCTCGGCTGTAAGTCAGCATTCAAACATTTCTAAAAAGCTAAGACTATTTTTCCGACACGAAATCTGTTCTCAGAAAACACAGTTGAACCCCAACGTTTCCACTAAGGCGTTGGGTCCGGCAAAAGGATCAGCGCTAATCTGATCGATGACCGCTCTGCATTTGACGACGTCACGGAAACAAAAGGCCTCGACACAACGGCCGAACAGCTCTAATGATGACTGGGCCGAGGTGGGGTTCAGCCTGGTCCAAGTCCTGAGGAACCTCGGCCACATGAGAATGAAGGCGCACATCTGCAAGGCTTCCTTCCTTAAGTCAGTGTGGTTGCACCTGGATATCACGCCGACCAGGTCTAGACAACCAGGCGGGGAGCCGGGGCTGAGGATTGTGTTTTAATACACTTTAATCAGTGAATTTTTAAAAATCATTCATAATTTTTCATGGATCTATTTTTGTTTTTAAAAATTATAATATCAAAGACCTTCTATGCGTGGCCTTTGTCAGAAGACATACACTTTTTAAAAAGAAAAATGGGATGCTTTTAGATACCGATGTCCGATAATAGACTCTTCCTTAAAATAGGTGGGTTGGGTTGTTAGTAGTATTGTAATCTGGACTTATTTATGGTTAGAAATTTTTAGGGTTAGGCGAATGGTAGGACCAAGGTTGGGGTTAGGGTTAGGGACATGGTTAGCATTGACATTAGCCAGCCATGTGTGTATTTAGTTAACTGCCAGTAACCTAACACCCCTTTTTTAAAGAAGATTCCATTATCAGACCGCTATAAAAATTCCCTCGAAAATGATATTGTGTCGCATTATCGTGTGTAGTTTTCTTCAATATATTTTGCAATATATTTGAGACTATCCCTAACTCCCACAAAATACGTTATGCCTTCCCCCCACCCCACCCCCCCCCCCCCCCTCACACTCCCATTTCTCCTATACGTAGTACCAAGCCAGAGAAAGAGCCCTAACCCCTGCTTCAAATATTGAGGTGTGACGTCATTTGTGGACGACGTCATTACTAAAGTGTACTCACAAATTCTGGTCCGCCGCCCCATGGAGGGACCGTACGATCATGGCTTCTTCTGGCGCCAGGTTCAGTCTATTGGCCACCTCCCCCAGGGTGTGGCCCGTTAGCGGAAGTGCCATGACATTGTCAAGTGACAACCAGTGCAAGACTATAAATAGAACAGACCTGGTTATGCATAATTGTGCTTTTGTGTGAATTAAGTGATCTTCTTCTTCTTCTTCGTTCTTAATTATTAGTGTTGAAGGGGATCGAGATGTATCTGCCAGTGGGATTGAACTCGAGACTTTGTTCGAATTTATCAACCATGTACTTTTTGCCGACTCGACCACGCCTCCAACACAATTAAGCGTTACGTGTCAATTGGTTATGCGCCATTGAGGCCATTGACTCCGATTTCAGCCTGCTTTTCTTTTTGGATTTGCTTCCATAGCCTTTGTCCAACCAAGAACAAACTACAAGGCAGCAGTTGTTTAATTTTGGAGTTGTCTCTCCTAGAATTAAGTGATGAAATACGTTATTTTATATATTTATTAACATGGTGATAGTGTGGTATTACTACTCACCAAGATAGTATAGTACATCTACTCACCAGTGTAGTACAACTACACACCACTTGTGTAGTACAACTACTCGCAACGATAGTGGAGTATAACTACTTAACACGATAGTGTTATATCACCACTATAGTGCAGTACAACTACTCACCACTAGAATAGTGTTACTACTCACTACAATAGTGTAGTATCAATACTATAGCATAGTACAATTACTTACTACTAGTTTTTGTGAAGGCAACAGAAAGCCCCGGAATCTGCGTCTGGTCCTTCCCTTGATTGATGTTGACGGGCCTAGAAAGTTGCATGATAGTTAGTCAGCTCAAAATCCTAATATATAGTAAGTTTAAAATAAACAATGAAGGTATATTTGCTTTTTTGACCCATTTCTATTTTAAAAATATATCTCTCAAACAGTATAGATTTGAAAAAAACATATTATCTTTTCCTGTTTGTGCCCAAGACATAAAGCAAATATGTGTTAGGCTAGTATAACAGTAGAACTAAGCAGTTGTTTAGCTTACATGGGGAGTAAAACATCTATTTGTGTTTTTATTTAGGTAGGCACGTTAAAAAAGCAAGTGCTTAGTTTCTATTGTATGCTTCACGTCTGTGGTTTATTTGTTGTATATGTTGGATATTCTCGAGTAGGCCTATAAGATAAGGTAATAAACACACGCTTAATATTAAATAAATTCGCTTACAAGTTCCGCCAAAACATTTTTACATTAAAATGAAAATCAAAATACATTCGCACCATACTGTCTTCAATTGAATTGACATAGATTGCAAAAACTCCAACAAGAAAGAAGATTAAAATCACAAAAAGAACCCCGGTGATAGAATTTTCTAGAAACGACAAACGGTGCAGCTGAGGAAACGTGTACCGGAAGTGTATCCTAGATCCGCATCTGTCGACGTTTAGAGTGACCCTGTTGTTGTCGTCATCGTACACAAGCTTCAGTACCTGTCCAAAGGCGTTTACTGTTGGAGGGTCACCCCAGGGTGTCCGCTCGCTGCCTGTTGGCTTACCCCAGCTGACGAACTGGTGACGTAAGAAATATTGGCCCGTTATAATAAAACTTTATTTAAAATGTTTCTCCCTCACTCACTCTGCCTGTATATTTTCAATATCACTTTTGACTTTCTCACTTTTTTTCTTTCTCTGTAGTTTTTATAATCGGATCGAGTACTTTTCTAATGCATGGCAGCCAGGATTAAGGATATAATGTGTTGCATCCATGAAGTTACCAGATATACCCGTGAGGTTCTGCTAGGTTTAAACTCCATCACCCAGTACATTGCGAAGCCTCGTTTAGTGCTGGGTCTGAGGACGGTCTATGGTCTCGAGCCTGGGTACCGAACACTTGACGTGCGGGATAGCAATCGTATGTTCTACCATTAGAGCACTCCTTCCCCAAAATTGTATTTAAACTAAACAACATGAGAAAAGTGATCGGGTAGGTTGACGATGCTAGAGTAAGTCTTAAGGCTTCACTGTTGATTAGTAGTCATGGCGGAATTTAGTTTTTAATTATTTTTAATCGCTTCTTTCAAAATATCAAATCATATTATCAGTCTGAGTAAGAAAGAGTAAGTATGCATAAGGATTATATTTACACACATCATAATAATATTGTTACATATAATCACCTCATAGACTCCGTTGGACGCTGACCCTATAACCCGGAACGAAGCTCCCACGTGCACGGAGTGAGATGTGACGTTGATGAAGACGTCGAAACCATGGATGAAAAACTTGCCCCTCACTTTAGTGCTGAAGCTGTAGACCTTAGAAAAAAAATGTGATAAGCTGTAAGCGTCGATAGTAACCGTAGGGCATTTGGTGCCAGTCTTTGGTTTAATGATTCTATTACCTTTTTATCTGGTATAGGAAATTAAAAAGAAGTACAATCTTGAATCAAAAGCCTCTTCTGAATACTTATTATGCGTGTTAAATTGTTAGCAACAGCTAACAGGAGTCGTATTTTAAATTTTGAAAGTAGCTAAGAGTATTAAAATTTAAATCTCGTTCATCATAATGCTCAGCAGGCCCTTTTGTCGTATGGAAGCTTTTTATTGTGACGTTTTCAACAGATTCATCACCCCTACCTAAAATAACCCATCGCGTTGGATCGCAATAAAAATAACCCCAGAAAAAACGCTTCCTTACGGCTCCCGTCACTTACTTACGCAACTTACCGAAGATAATGTTGTGTTACCTTTATTGTACACACACCAGCAGATGTGATGTAATCGGTAGCTAGAAACTCCATGTCCACGTGGGTCACCAAATATCGACACGGCATGGGTAACTCGGTCCTTTCAAAAGCAAAACTTATCACCTGCGGGTCATTTTTTATCTCAGCGTATGCGTCGCCTACATTAAAAGACAGGAGAGACATTGTTAGATATACAAACAACACAATCACAACCAAACAACCACAACATAACCACAACCAAACAACAACAGCACAATCACAACCAAACAACCACAACATAACCACAACTAAACAACAACAGCACAATCACTACCAAACAACCACAACATAACCACAACCAAACAACAACATCACAATCACAACCAAACAACAACAGCACAATCACAACCAAACAACAACATCATAATCACAACCAAACAGCAACAGCACAATCACAACCAAGCAACCACAGCATAACCACAACCAAACAACGACATCACAATCACAACCAAACAACCACAAAACAACCACAAAACAAACCACAACACAACCATCACAAAACAACCACAAAACAACCACAACACAGCCACAAAGATCTCACATGGATAGTAGCAGGCGAAGTTGCCTCTGCCTTTGTCCGTGTCGCAGATGCACGTGTTGTTGATGCAGGAGGCCTCGCCTTTCAGACACACCCTCTGGTTGTCCTCGCATAGGTCCCCGCCAACTTTTTGTTTTTCATGGCAAACGGTGTGAGGTTTATTAGTTTAATTACAATAAAAGTATTCAAGGAACTATTAAACCATTATTTATTCATTGAGCGCTCTTAAAATAGTCGTTTGTTTATAAGTTTGCAATACATAAATAAGCCTTAATTAACGGAAATGTTTCTTCACCACACTTCACTAATAACTTAGCATGTGTAAACCTATTTAATTACAATCACTTCTAGCTTAAAAAACGAGACAACCCTACAATACGTTAGTGTAATTACTCTAAAGATCACCACGATTAAGTAATCAGTTTTGTTGTTCAAAGCGAGATTACTCTCTTTTTAATTCTGTTATATTTAATGTAACCTATTACATTTTCAAATTAATATCCAGTTTTAATTAATTTATTTTTTATCAAAATGTATTTTTGTTAATTATTGTAATTATCATTATAATCTATCTCGTTAATTCATATTGACGGCCCCAATAGCTGCGAATACGTAAGCTTAGTTTAAATTAATTTTTATTTTAGGGTCTTAAATATTTCTTATTTTTTAACACGTTTTTAACACGTTTTTAACACGTTTTTATTAACTCAGCTTCGCGTGTGTTTGTTGTTAAAATTGACATCGAAAATTAACCCACTTCTGATTGCTCAATAGATCTGAAATTTGGCATGTAGGCTACTTTCGCCTAACAATTTCAGATGCAATCATAAAAACTAGCAATTAGAGACGGTAATTAGCTTAATTTAATTACGCCCCAAGGACCATAAAATTGAGGACATGATTTCTAAAGATACCGACAAGACTGGAGGCTTATAGACACAGTTACTTCGGCCCCAATCGATGTGAGCGCGCTGGCCGTGATCGTATAGTGGTTAGTACTTCGCGTTGTGGCCGCGACAACCCAGGTTCGAATCCTGGTCGCTCAAGATTTTTTTAGTCCGTGTATTTATAAACACTTAGTCAATTCATACTTAATCAAGTCATTAGATAAAGTAGAAAATAAACTATATAAAAAACTTTTTTAAAAACCACGTTTTTCATGTGTAGCAACGGACTAAAAAGGAGAAAATAAAATACTTAAAAAAAACTTTTTAAAAAACCACGTTTTTCTTGTGGACTAAAAAGTAGAAAATAACTATTTACATACATTTGATGACAAAAAACGTGGGTCGGGCAGATGGGTCGGGAAATTTGATGGTGAACGTACCCACGTTTTTTGTCATCAAATGTATGTAAATAGTTATTTTCTACTTTTTAGTCCACAAGAAAAACGTGGTTTTTTAAAAAGTTTTTTTTAAGTATTTTATTCTTAACTCAGCTTCGCGTTTGTTTGTTTGTTTGGATGTTTGTTGTTAAAATTGACATCGAAAATTAGCCCACTTCTGATTGCTCTATAGACCTGAAATTTGGCATGCATGCTACTTTCGCCTAACAATTTCAGATGCAATCATAAAAACTAGCAATTAGTGACCGTAATTAGCTTAATTTAATTACGCCCCAAGGACCATAAAATTGAGGACATGATTTCTAAAGATACCGACAAGACTGGAGGCCTATTGACCCAGTTACTTCGGCCCCAATCGATGTGAGCGCGCTGGCCGTGACAAAAAACGTGGGTCGGGCAGATAGGTCGGGAAATTTGATGGTGAACGTACCCACGTTTTTTGTCAGTCATCACAAGAATCTGCACAGCTCGAGGAAGCACAAAAGAAAAATTTATTTTCTACTTTTTAGTCCACAAGAAAAACGTGGTTTTTTAAAAAGTTTTTTTTAAGTATTTTATTATTAACACGTTTTTCTTAACTCAGCTTCGCGTTTGTGGATTTGTTTGTTTGTTGTTAAAATTGACATCGAAAATTAGCCCACTTCTGATTGCTCTACAGATCTGAAATTTGGCATACAGGCTACTTTCGCCTAACAATTTCAGATGCAATCATAAAAACTAGCAATTAGAGACCGTAATTAGCTTAATTTAATTACGCCCCAAGGACCATAAAATTGAGGACATGATTTCTAAAGATACCGACAAGACTGGAGGCTTATAGACACAGTTACTTCGGCCCCAATCGATGTGAGCGCGCTGGCCGTGATCGTATAGTGGTTAGTACTTCGCGTTGTGGCCGCGACAACCCAGGTTCGAATCCTGGTCGCTCAAGATTTTTTTAGTCCGTGTATTTATAAACACTTAGTCAAGTCATACTTAATCAAGTCATTAGATAAAGTAGAAAATAAACTATATAAAATTTTTTTTTTAAAAACCACGTTTTTCATGTGTAGCAACGGACTAAAAAGGAGAAAATAAAATACTTAAAAAAAACTTTTTAAAAAACCACGTTTTTCTTGTGGACTAAAAAGTAGAAAATAAATTTTTCTTTTGTGCTTCCTCGAGCTGTGCAGGTTCTTGTGATGACTGACAAAAAACGTGGGTCGGGCAGATGGGTCGGGAAATTTGATGGTGAACGTACCCACGTTTTTTGTCAGTCATCACAAGAACCTGCACAGCTCGAGGAAGCACAAAAGAAAAATTTATTTTCTACTTTTTAGTCCACAAGAAAAACGTGGTTTTTTAAAAAGTTTTTTTTAAGTATTTTATTTTTGCTTTATAAAATTTAAAGTTTTTCGATGTTTACAGAATTTAGAGAACATAAACTATGATAAACCGTTAACAAATCTACACACCACACACAAAACAAGCCTATTTTTAAATAGAGTGGTGTACTTGCCTCCTGAGCTATAATGCGTTTGGTTGCCTTTTGAAAACCGTACGGCAAGTAGACATAGAAAAAAGACACTTGTTTGGAGCATTTTCAAAAGTTGGACTGGAAAATCCGAAACAAACTATCTGAAATCTGGCCAAAAAATGGTCATGCTATCAACCCCGCTTTAGAACACGCGAAGTGTGTTGATTGTGGTGCACAGACGAAGTGGTATTAGAGTTATATCACCGTGTGCTTATTTTGTTTACAAAGCATTCCCCCACTGACGTTAATTGGGCTATCTTGTGTTTTCTATGTATTTTTGGTGTGATGTATGATGCACCGAGTATCAAACTATATCCAATAAAATGACAATTAAAATACTTCAAAACAGATAAAGTGGTCCATAGTTACATCGATATTCAGTCACCTGTCAGAGGACTTTGGTGATTTTAATAGTTTTTAATTGTGTTATTGATGGACAGGTTTGTTATAACCTCTTGAATCAGCTGCGAGTCATTTTCTTTAAATATGCCTCAGGTGCAGATGTTAATATTTGCGTTTGACACTTTTTTGTGTGTATTGTACAAGAATCGCGTTTATTTAGTGACTTATTATTATTGAGTTATGCTGTGGCTTTGTGAGAGGATGTAGGGAAAAAAGTTACAGACAGGAGGGTGTAGTGTATGTGCTTTTCTGTCATCTTGGGGACGGCGTGGCCAAGAAATAGAGCTAACCCCGGACCCCCTGAGTCCACCCAGCTCAGATGGGTACCTGACTCACGTTACGGAAAGGCGGCTGGGTATAGTGCTGAGCTCGCTATCCCCTTATATTCAGTGGTCATTGAAACAGATAAACTCATCCTCATCTACCCTATATGTTTTGGGCACGAACGGGAATGTATTATAATTTCTGCCATCTTAATATGCTTTTAGACAGAAACACACACACACACACATATACAGTAGCGTAGCGAGGGGGGGGGGGGCGGGGGGGGGACATATGTCCCCGGGCGCCGAGCTTAGGGGGCGCCAAAATGGGTTGGAAAAATAAATTGAAAGGTTGAGAAGGGTGCAAATTGAAAGTTTGAGGGGGGGGGGGGTGCAAGTCAAAATCTCGAGGGGGGGGGGGGTGCAAATCGAAAAGTTTGTCCCCGGGCGCCGGGAAGGGTCGCTACGCCTCTGCATATATATATATATATATATATATATATATATATATATATATATATATATATATATATATATATATATATATATATATATATATATATATTTATATATATAGGCCATATACATATAAAACTACGTATATATATATATATATATATATATATATATATATATATATATATATATATATATATATATATATATATATATATATACATATATGTGTGTGTGTGTGTGTGTATTAAGGCGTGTGTGTATTAAGGCGTGTGTGCATGCTTGTGCTGTGTGTTTGTGCGTTCTTGTGTGTGCATGCGAGCATGCGTAATTGTATGTGTGTGTGTATGTTCGTGTGCGTTCCCGTGTGTGCACGTATGTGTGAGTCTGTATGAGTGTGTATACCCCATCTTATCCGTTAAGCAAATACCAGCTCTGCTTTGCAATCAAAGCGGCGAAAACTATCGACCAACAGCTCTGAGTTTGACGGCCATAAATGTATGAACGTATGGTATGACATGCAACTCGCTGTGCGTGAAATCAGCTTTAAAATAACCCCGTGTGAGTGGGCAGACTAAACGTTGACACGTTCGATATTTTTCTTACACTCACATCAAAGACCTGAGACGTTGAGCAAGACATGTTTGAGCTAGTTATTGACGCACATCATTGTGTGCAGCTGGATTTTTTCCAGCGTTGGGAGAACGTACAGACAGCAACGCACAAGGCGGGGGAGGGGGACCGCAGCGTGTGATACCATCAAAGTGGATGACACCAAAAAAAATTGTTTGTTATAAGAGCATCGGTTTTTATCCAATTAATTAACACTGGATGACTAAATGATATTACATGGAAAGGTGTGACACCAAATTAGCATATAGTGTTTTAGTACATTATAGATTCTACTAGGCATGCTGCCCAGCTTCGCTTAGGCTTTCGAAAACATTGAGAATTTGAATGCTTAATTAATTCGCCCATATAAGGCGCCGGTCAGTCGTTGTCAGTTTTGACCCCCTCATCGTAGACTTTTCGGCCAACCGGCCCCCGTGTTCTGTCGCCCCAAGGCAAGATCCTGCCAAATTTGAATCGCCTGCGGCGCCGGGAAGTGCCCTATCGGGCACCCGACAACTTAGCTTTATAGATCATCTAGATCTAGATCTAGAATCTCTAGATCTATATGATCTAGAATCTCTAGATCTAGATGATCTAGAATATCTAGATCTAGATCAATATCTAGATCTAGAATCTCTAGATCTAGAATCCAAAAAGATAAAATAATTTTTTTAAGTTTAGGCAGAGAAAATCGTATTGTATACATTCCATAGCGTACATAGCTCTAAATCATATTTGAATGAAAATGTCATTTCTTTTTATTCTAAACTCGGAAGATGACGTCATCAGTTTCGTGCTCTTTTTTTAGTGTAAACAATAAGCGACGTCACTGTTAAATGCGTTCTTGTCCCAAGTTTAAACACTTTTCCGGTTGCATAAATAATACTGTTTCTCTACATTCGAATACGCCTTTATTTTTTATTTTTCTTCTTTAAATAAAATTGTGGTTATACATTTAAAACATCTAACATATTATTTTCAACAAAAGTCCGTATAAAGGTATCCATATATCGCTGCCGATTCTGACGTGATGTCCGGCGAAAATATTTTGCGGACAGACAGACAGAGAGAGAGAGAGAGAGAGAGAAGAGCGCACATGGCCTTTTATATATTAGGACATGACGCCTAGATGTTGGAGGAGGAGGAGGGTTGGTGACACCCTATGGTACCACACCAGTTGTCACTAAATACGGGGAAAACAAAATTGCTACAAGTTGTGGGAGCTGTCCACCCACCCACACACCACCACCACCCCTGGCACAGCCATTTTCCCAAATTACTTAATGACTGAGATTTTATTGAAAGCGGGACATGTTGACTTGAAAGGCGTGTCATAAATTGTTTTTAATAGTTAAAAAATATACTAAAAATTTGAAAGAAACAATAAATATATTTTCTGACGAATTCGGAACAATTAAGCAATGACGGTTCAAGTTTTTATATATTAAAGGCAGCTTAAGCTACTCAGGGAGAATATTAATACGGTTCTTGAATTATCATACCTCTAATTAATGTATGTGTTTACAAATAGGATTTGTGTCTTTGTTAGGCAAAACCACAATCATGGTCGCCATGACACATCATACCCCCTAAACCCACTCCCCCCCCCACCCCCCTCCTTAATCCACTCATTTCTCTAACACCCCCCCCCCCCCAATGTGAATTAACTGCTGTCTATTTGAGACAATGCGCACCCTTTTGTTCGCGTGTAGCTGCTGGAAAGTCACAATGCTCTAACGATTTTCTGTCAGCAATTGGTTTCTCTAGCTCATAAAGAAAACCCTAAGCTAACTATTACTTGTATATCTACTTTTAAATCAGAGTTTGCATGGTGGGCGCTAAAACAAAGCTAGTAATCGCAGGTGTTAATTGATTACTTTTTATTTTTGTGACCCTCCCACGTGAAATGGTCATATTTTTACAAACTTATACCTGGGTCCTGGAAATTGTGCGTTTGTAAACAAATTGTGTCACTTAGTTCTGACCCGTTTCTACCGAACATATTTCTTTCAAACCTAACACATGAGCAATCTCCGATATATCACAATGTCACCCTAATTGGATGTTACGTAAGACGGGCGTCCAAAAATTATGTCATAATCATAGACGGTTTTTAAACTTTTGTGACGTGGAGGAGAGGGGTTAAGAAAGTCTGCTGGCAGACTTAAAATTTTCAAAAGTTGGCTATTTTGTTAACTGAATTTTGCCATTCTTTAAAGAATATTTTTGTGAATTGCAATACAATACACATTCTTTTTTTTTTCGACTTTTTCGGTATTAAATACCAATTATCGATGTTTTCGGAAAAATCAACCTAGCTATAAACAAACAAAAAAAACAACAAAAAATCATTTGATCAAAAATTGTAATACTAACTGTATTTGTAATATTTCCATTTTGTTTGGTTATTTTCCTTTATGCATAGAAACAGTTGTTTTTTTTTTATGAAAGAGACAGAGTTAGCAGAATTAATTTAAAGGGGGGGGGGTGTCCTCCGTGACTGTAAGTTTATCAGTTTAATGACTGGACTGCATTTTGGTAATGAGGTACGGGATATGTTAGATTCATTTTTCTCACTTGCGATACGTTTGACACGCCAATATCCAATACCCAAACGCGTTTATGGTTACATTTAACTATCAGTCTCCGTTATTAGACGTATTTCCAAGGTAGACAACCAGTGCTATTGAAATGGCTGAGTAGTGAACAACACTGATAATAAAAGTAGCTGCCCTTAGAAATCATGTTGAAAATTAAATAGGCCTACAGCTCAGAATTAACTTATTTATAACGTGCTCGAAAAGTATTGGCAACTAATAAATTTAAAAACGTATGAAGTGGCAGTTGATCGATGTGTATGCTGCAGGGGTACATAAGCCTAATTGACACACACATCAAATCACCGGGTAAAACGTTAAAAAGTGGTGTTGTAAATATGAGTAAGTGTGTAGCCCCGACCTTAATGATTCACTAGCGCTTTTAAAAACATTGTAGTTTTTTTGCCAAAAGACATGAAATGTGCTGGATAAACTTCTTGAGGAAAAACCAATTGATAGTATCAGTATCAATACTTTTTAAACTGATCAGCAGTATGTTTTCCTAGCAACAATCACATATACTGATACAGTCTAGGGTTACCATAATGTTATCAATGACTCCTGATCAATGACTCCTGATTTTCTGCTAAGAGCTTACACCAAAATCTTACATTTTAGAAATGGGTTCTAAACAGGCTCATATTAAATTAACCATCATTTTAATGCTGAATTTTATATTATAAATAAAAAGTCACAATATATTCTTTTCGTTTTAAAAAAACAATATTTTATTGGTATAAAACTAGACTGACATATTCACATAAACATCGCCATTTTGGAGTGTCATAAAAGTTGTTAAAGAAGTCAGTCCAACTTTATGAAAAATACTCTTGATGTAGAACAAGAGCAAAGCTTGCCCTTGCTCTAATGTTTATCATTTTACATCTTCAGGAGCAGTGAGTTACAGCCAGTAGGATTTTTGCTTGAAAATAGACAGCTGCCATTCAAGATTTCTCAACTAGCACGATTGATAATGTACAAAAAACCTTTTTAAACATTTTTTTCATTAATGCGGAAAAAGACACTAAAATATTTTCTACTTCTTACTGAAGGTATGTCAGACATTTGAAAACGCTTTTTGTTACATTATTACTACACATGAAACATGATTCTCTGCAAGCTTTGGGGTAACAATAGAAAAACTGGATGTAATGTAACATGTACACATAGGACTCCCACATTGAGAATTGAGCCAAAATTTGTGGTATACAGCTGAGGTACTTCTCTTACAAAAATGATTACACTTACAGCAAGAGAATGTTCCTATAACCTGTTGAACATGTAGCTCTCAACAACAATAACAAATTCATCGGCTTGCTATGTTAACAAAATTGCAAAAACGCTGATGTCACTAATCAACAATTCATTGATATTTCACTTATTTTCAGTCTTATTTGAGTTAAAAAATGCATTTTGAAATTAGTGTGGTTTAAAATTCATTTACTACCCAACTGAATTATTCAGCTATGATTTTGGTAAAAATTCTATTTGATTTGCAAAATTTTAAACAATGTGTTTATCATTTACAATATAATAATTTATAAGCAAAATAGAATGAATTCCACTTCAAGCAGACAAGTTCCCTTGGTAATAATTTAAAATAGGTATTTTATTTTCAGATGTTCATCACTTTATGATGTTAATATCATTTACTGTGGACTTAACAGAACAAAATCATGAATTTGTGCCCTGGGATCCATTATCTGCTGTTGTGTCGTACTCCCCATAGCCAGAACCATTGGTGACATTGGCAGCACTGGCAGCAAAGGGCCCTAGTCCATACAGGTGACCAGAATATTTCTCTCTTTCAATATTGTTCTCAAAGTAGAGCTGAAAAAATTAAAATATAAAACTAAGTTAATTTTGCATAAATCTGATATATTACACTTTAAAAGTAGGGCAACTGTTACTAGGATCTTATTCAAATGGACAAAAAGAGTACTTTCAAATTTGACACATCCATTTTTGTTATTAGTTAATTTATTTTTTACAGCCTTAATATAATTTGTAGCAACTGGTATAGTCATATTGTCAGAAATGTCTAATTTTAACTCTGAATCAAATTGTTTTAATAGTGATTATCATTCATTTGTTAACTTGACTATCTACCCTGAAACGTAACACTGTATAAAGTTAGGATGTTATTGTAGTAAACAAATGAGCATTTATTTAAAACCAATTAATTAGCTTTAAAGTACCTCTCTCATTTTAAAGAAGGCCATTCCAGTGAGCAGACTATCACTTCCAGCTTGATGTTGGGGACCTACTCGTTTTATCTTCAAAAACAGAAAAAAAAAACATGCAAAATGTAATGGTCTCAGTAAAATTTGATTTCAAACCTTAAATATCTTGCGATTATTTTTATAAATTAGTATCAACATGAAAGTGCTCTAAAAACTACCTTTAGTCCTGATCAGATTATTTGCCATGACTTACCTGTAGATAATCTGAGACTTCCTGTAATCCCCCTTTTAGATCTTTGCAAGATTTCATTAAGTACTTTACATCATAAATGTCAGGACAGTGTAATCGAAGTTTTGAAAAAAATTCTTCATCATCCTCCTCCAAGTCACTATTTTGTAACATTTTAATGAAGTAGCCAAAATCATAACCACTGAAATAAACAAAAGTTGAGCTTCTTTTTAAAATTTAAATAGAATTTGTATACATCTTACACATTATTTGCTATTAACTGAACAACTGTTGAAACTATACATTATAAGGCTTTGTAGTGTCTGCCTCTGGCTAATTGAACATTTTTGTTTTTACACAAGCTTATACTACCTCTATATCTATACTAAACATGTAAGCAGCCTCCTGCTAACATTGGACTATTTATTTAGTATGTTTCTCTAAAACTAACTTCTAAACATTTATTTTTACCCATCTCTTGAAATATTACATTGAATATAAAAAAAAAGCTACCTGTGAAATGATAAAAAAACGTTTGGCTGAAGAACAACACCAGCGCCAATTAATTCTGCAGCAAAGTCAAATGGATCCATACCATCTCTCTCATGTCGCTCAAATTGTATACCTGATTTGCGGAGCAGTTCAATTGATTCTTGTGCATACATGTCATCACTGTTAAAAAAACAAAGCGTAAGTTAAAATAACTAGCCATGTTACAATTCAAATTATTTTTAATCATAAAAAAACTTGCTAATCAAAATCCTTTTAAAAAGTTAAAACAAAGTTAAATCCTACATAAAATTGATTAAATCTTACTGATAGTGTGTTTAGATATATTGCTTATTTTTAAACTTAAAGTTTGAGTTAGATTTATATTATGTTGAGTTATGGAGAAATACCCTTGCCAAGGTGGCCATAAAGACAAGCTTTAATATTTGTTTAATATAAACAACTTAATATTTGACATTATTAACCAATCGACAAAGAATATTGTTTTTACCCTAGACAAAACTTAAAATTGAACTGCCATGTTGAGATTGGTTGTGCTCTATTTCCATCCTCATCAAAAAAAGTAAATCCAATTTGTATGATCTTTAATAGATTTACATTGCATTTCATTTGGTGATATGTGTATTCTTGAGTTGAGCGGAACTCTCCAATAGGTCTTGCTACAACACCTGGAAATTCTGTATCCTATAAAAGTTCATTAAGTTTTTTAACATAATAATCCCATGCTCTTAAAATCGAATCTTTAAAATAATGAAACTTTAAGAAGTTCATAAAACCAAAAAAATATTTTTTAACATTACCATAACAAATCTTCAAGATAACTAATAAAATTAATAGAAAGAAGATAAATGCTTTGTATTTTATTTATACCATTGCAATATATCTATGGGTTTTGACAACACGGCTGATGTTCCGTAACTCTTCCTCCATGTTAGATGCCCAAACATCTCGTATTCCATGATCCTCTAACACTGCAGGCATGGTTCTATGTAAAGCTACTTTCCAATATACATATAGTTTAAGTATGTTTCATCAGTGAGTTTAATCTGAGGAACATAAATTTATATTGAACATCAATCAGTAACACAATGCTTTTCAAAAAGAGCTATACTCTTGTACATGATTGATAGTTTAAGATGTAATTATTGAGCATAATTATGTTGAATAATGTTCATATAGGCCTTTTTCAATAATTTATTGGCTTTATAAAGCCTTATTGGACTAAATAATTAATGATCACACAATTAATTTAATTGTTTGTGAGCATACCAACCACCACATTAAAAGCAGAATTCCATTTATTGATTTCTATTAGACAGCATCTAAAAAGTATCATATTGAGTAAGTTTTTGATTTAGTAACAAAATCTCTAGATTTTGTTTACTAAATTACTTAATTTAATATTTATTGTAACTGACATGCACGACACACCTCTACATGACAACACATGTTAAATCACTCTTACGTTTGAAGCAAAGGCAAACCACAAATCCGGTTTTCGACTTTTTAATTGGCTATGCACCAGAGTTCCTCACTAGTGATCACCAAATAGAGGTCACGTGGTATAAAAAAATTAATAAATTTGGTTGTCATTCAAATGTAGTGTTTTATAAAAAAGTGGTTTGCAATATTTGACCAGGGATCAGCAGCCTTTTGAGACGGAAGAGCCAAAAGTTACAATCTACAAAATTTTCCAATTTTTAAAGAGCTAGTAACATTTGTATGTGCACTTCGATTGTGGAAAGCATGGAACCATTGCCACGTGGCTGGCAACAGCACAGTTGTGGGGCTGAGCCTAATGCCTAGCGGCTGACATTATTACCGACCCTGCCATAGACTGATAAACCTAATAGTTCTACAGACTCATTTTTGTACTCCCCTGGTTGATTTTTAAAAGTTCTATTATTTTTAATGATGACAACTTTTAAATTTAGCCTTCACTATGCAAAGCAAAATATAAAATGCTTTTCTGGCATATTTAGCCCTGCCACCTATAGCGTGTTTTTATAACGTGAAAACACGCTATTTTGCTCGTGGTAAACATTTTTAAAAGTAATTCTCAGAAGGTCTCTGGAACTACGACAAAAAATCATTGGAAGTCATGTATCCAGTCTGTACGCCATATTGTTGTTTGCAACCAGCCACACCTCCAGGGTAGCGAGCAATACTATTAAATTAAGTCTATTAATTACACCAGCAAAAAATACACTTCATTCAGTAATCAAAACATTTCAAGTCCTAACCGCCAACTCACATAGCTTCCCCTTGCATTCATCTAGTTGGTCCCCTGAACATTTCATTTACCCCAATTATATAATAAAGTTGAAAAATGCACCGCAGTCTAGGCCTATCCTTTATTGTAAATCAAATGTATCATCTATTCTTGAAGAAAAATTCACTTCATACTTCATAATAAAACAACATTTTTAAAAGTAAAGTTTAGTAAAGTAGGTCTATTACGTATTAGTCTATTGAAATGAGAATTTATTTTTTAATTAGACCTAGGGTAAAACTCCATTTTAGCGTATTTTATTCGGCGCTTTAAGTTCACCTCCTAGAGTCCTAGAGTATAGACTCTAGAGGCGGCTAGTCCATGTTTTCAAAATTCAAGACGTCTGTAGTTTCAATTTGTAAAGTTGTTCGTGGTGGTTGTTTAATTGAAAATTTTAGAGCAATGTGAAAAGTATTATTTATTCAAAAATATATTAAAAGACATTTCGTATTATGTATTTAAAATTAAGAACTTGTAAAGCTACGTACCAGAATGGAATATTGTTTTGAATCGGCTTTCAAGTCGAAATTTTATCCTTCCGTCCACTCCAAACTCGGTGCTTAGGCTAGGCCTAATCAATGTCTTGTAGCTCTTCTGGGCGAAAAGCTATTATAAGCTTAAAAACTTAAAATTTCGGATGAGAAAACAAGAAAAACAAAGAATAGCTCTATAAATTTTAATGGGACTTTATGGTTATGCTCAGTGTTTGCAATTGACTTAGGGGTCATCCATAAATGACGTCACGCTTTTTTTGACGATTTTTACCTCCCCCCCTCCGTCACACGTCGTCACAAAAAGCCATTTTCTATAGCCCTGGAAGTGCCAACGCATCTACTATTACATGATAATATACAAGAAAGTGGAGATAACTTCCGCTTTATTTATTTTTAAAGAAAAGCGCATCAATAAAATATGTTGGTAACCTCTGGGTTACGGTAGTTTATCTCAACCTTGCTGTTCACCCCGCCGTGCGATTCTTCTTGCATGAAAAGGTTAATCTTCCCTATCGACCGACCCAGTAGCGTACGCAGGGGTGGAGCAGGGGGAGCGGCCGCTCCCCCTCTGGCCATTTTCAGCAAAGTGGCGCCTTTTTGGAAACTTTTTAAACTCAAAGTATTAAACAATGATATTTGTTAAAAAAGATTTCTTTTCATGCAGCAATTAAGCATTATTGTAATAGTCTAGTGGTGTCTACGTTTACAACGCGTATTAACAGCTGCATCAGTTTGCCATTCTAAAAATAACCATTACGATGCATTACAATGTTTAAAAAACCTCTACGGTAGTACCACTTGGCAAGAGGGGTGTTAAGTTTAAGGCAACTGTATAATGTATTTGAATTAGAAAATGTTATACATAAAACTTCACACATAATTATTTTATATATACAGTTTGAATCGTGTGATTGATTTTTATAAAAAATTACAATACAGAAACAAATACAACTGATGTGACACCTCTATTTAAATTTACTTATGAGCAAACTGCGTAGTGGTGTTGGGAAATTTTGACAAGGTCAACAACGTCATCACGATGAGGTAGTAGTATTCTTACAGTTTGGGCGATAGTGATTACGATTACAAATTATATGAAACAGTTACAACCCCCTCCCCCATGGACCCCTCTGTAAAAAAATATTGTCATAATACCACTGCTACTTATTTAAATCTATTTCTGTAATATATATTTGTGTAATATATATATATATGTTTAAAACAGTCATCTAAAAACTGACGTTGTGTTCACTCTGAGTTGGTTATCTCCCCCCCCCCCCCCACACACACCTCACCACTACAATTGTGTAGAGCAGGGGTCTCCAACCTACGGCCCGCGGAGATACTTTTGTCCATGGAAAAAACGTTTGTTGGTTATGGCTGAGGAACTTTGTCCAGAAAAATCAAAGAAATACATAGAAGAAACTGGCCCCCGAACTGAAATTTGATAGTTAATGCAGCCCTCGGACTGAAAAGTTTGGTGACCCTTGGTGTAGAGCGACATTAATGTCACACCTAGGTATACACTTGGTTGGATAATTGACCTAAAGTGAACGGACAGTGGTGAATGAAGTTGAACCCCCCCCCCCCCCCAACCCACCCCGAAATGATCTGTTAAGTAGGCCTACATGTAGAAAAACGCGTAATGATGTACCAAAGTACCATGAACGTAAAACTCTGTGAATATTGTTTTTGCAATTACCAGTAAAAAGGTGTGTGATCAATGCAGTGATCTAACCCATACCTATCACTATGTTAAAAAATTATCTTTAAAAAACACAATGAAGCAGTAGTTAATTAAAATATATGATCTGAATTAAAACACTGATATTTAGTTAAATGTATGCTGTTATTCCGAATGCCATTCTATTATATCGAAAAGCGTGGTTTTATACCAACTCTGATTTTAAAAACTTTCAATATGTTGTGATACTTTAGCATTTATGATGACGATATATTAAATTCTGATTATAGACAAAAACATTTTATAAACACGAATAGTGTTAAACAATTTCATTATTTTCTTAAGTAATTATTTATTTGTTTTGACATTTATAATTAAATGTGTAGATATATACATATTTATATTAAGAGAGTGATTATTTCCCCTATTTCACTTGTCTAAAATAATTTCCCAGGAATTATTATGTAAGAATTTTTTTTTTACATGAATTACAAAACAGAGATTGATACAATTTTTGTTTTGTCGGCCTACATTGTGTGTTTTTTCTTATTTCTTCAGAGTGCTACTTTTAATTTATTTTATACCATAGCGAAGTAATGACATACAGCTAGTTATTATATATATATATATATATATATATATATAGGCCTATATATATATATATATATATATATATATATATATATATATATATATATATATATATATATATATATATATATATATATATATATATATATAATACACGTATATAGAACGTGTTAAAAATTCGGCGCCTTTTTTTGCTCTTTTCGCTCCCCTATAACGAAAACCTGGATACGCCTCTGGACCGACCCCTCTCCAAAGAATGATTAAAATGCATCTGTTTTTTTTTTTATTGTTTATGTAGTCCAACAGGTCTCGCTTATGAAAAAAAACGAGATGGAATTTATAATTATACGAGCCGACCCGCTGCGCATCATACGCCGCTATTTAGTTGTTTTTTTTTTTTTTTCTACTGTTCAGTAATTTATAATTTGTGAATTCGACAGTACCAATGCTGCCACTGAAAATATTTGCTTAAAAACACTAAACCCCCCCCCCCCCCCCCCATGTGAAAGCAGCCTCCTCTTAGTTACCTCCTCTAAGTTTAAAATCGTTTCAAACTAAATTATCTGCCCCTAATAGCCGTCATCAAACCCGTCTCTATGATTGTAATATGTAAACAGCGTGACCACAACTCACCAGACAATATGGGAGTGGGGTGGGGGTGGTAGTGATAGTGATAGAGAGAAAGAGAGGGGACTGCAAGGAGGCGCTTGCAGCTTGCTTTCTAACGGCTCCCAGAAGAGAATTATATATATAGATAGTAAACATTCACTTTTAATAGTGTCCGCCCCCCCCCCCCCCCCCCGAAAAATGTTGACTGCCCCCCCCCCCCCCCCCCCACCGGAGAAAAAAGTCTGGAAGAAACACTGCTTATCATTCGTGGTGAAGGAAGTATTAATAAGTTAATGGCATAATGATGGTGATGGGATCCCTAAATCAGCATCACATTAAGATGAATTATTTTAGTCAGGCATTTTAGCCTAAAAGTTTGTTCTATAAGTGGGTCGTTCTAATTGGCATCTAAGTTTTTTGTTTGTTATATTTTTAATTTTTATTCTTTATAAGGAGCTATCCATAAAGAACGTCACATGGACACGAGGGGAAGGAAGTTAAAGAAATGTTCCTTACTTAATTAGACCTAGATCTATGTACATTTTTAAAAAGAATATGTTGAAAAGCCAGTACTTCTGCGTTAAATTTGAGCTTATTTCACAAAAGGGGGTTAGGCTAAAAGAAGATTTAAGTCTTCGTATTATAGGTTTGAATTTTCGTGACGGTGCAACGTAACTGATGGGGATCAATAGAGTCACAAGGTGTGGGAGGGGTAGGGGTGTCGATCGCACCAGGGTACACCGTCCAAAGAGGAAGCATCAGCTTCGAGTATCATCCGACTTAGTGACGCCAGTGGCGTAGGCAGGGGGGGGGTTAGGGGTGTCATAACCCCCCCCCCCATAGACCCCTCGGTATATATATATATATATATATATATATATATATATATATATATATATATATATATATATATATATATATATATATATATAGTATGAGGGGGGGGGTGCAAATCGAAAGTTTGAGGGGTGGGGGGGGGGGGGGGGGGTGGGGGGTGGAAATCGAAAGTTTGAGGGGGTGCAGATCGAAAGTTTGTCCCCGGGTAAAAATTGGAACCCCCCTTGAGACGATCCTGGCTACGCCACTGAGTGACGCCGCTGTGAGAGACGCCGCTATCAGTTTGACTTCATTTTTTTTTTTTTGGAATTCTCTTAAATTATAGCCTACATACTAATACTAGTCTTCCGTGTACACTTCTATATAGAACTATAGACTATAACACAGTAGCGTAGCGAGGGGGGGGGGCGGGGGGGGGGACATATGTCCCCGGGCGCCGACCTTAGGGGCGCCAAAATGGGTTGGAAAAATAAATTGAAAGGATGAGGGGGGTGCAAATCGAAAGTTTGAGGGGGGGGTGCAAATGGAAATCTCGAGGGGTGGGGGTGGGTGCAAAAAGAAAGTTTGAAGGGGGGGGGGTGCAAATCGAAATCTCGAGGGGGGGGGGGTGCAAATCGAAAAGTTTGTCCCCGGGCGCCGGGAAGGGTCGCTACGCCTCTGCTATAAAATTACAATTTGGCATTTTAGACCAAACACCCATATATGACGTTAGATATTTTTATAGACCATCCCATATTATGTTACAAACTCAGACTTCATCTGAGGGGGGGGGGGGGAGAGGGGAAATGAGGGGGTGTTTATCGACTTCACGAGCTACTGTTTGTATTTTAAAGCAAATTATTTCAGTCGCAGCATTGGTAGTGTCGAATTCACAAATTATGAATTAACTAGGCATACTGCCTAGCTTCGCTTAGGTTTTCAAAAAAATGAGGAATTGAATGATTAATTAATAGGTGATTGGCTGCTATGTTAAATTCTTAGGGCCTAAATCTATACAGTGGGGTAATTTCATGTCACCCAATTATTGATGGAATATTCGCAAACTTATTACTCACACGGTTATTAGAACTGCAAGGGGTTTCTTAATAGTATCAATCAAATATTATAATAAATTACTTTCGTGATTAATTTTTAAAATTTCAGTACAATGCAAAACTTAATTTATAACAAAGTATTATGATTTTTGTTTTTTTTTCTTAAAAAGAGTATACAAAATGTTTAAAAATTATTACATTAAGATGTTACCTCCCCTATTCATAGACCAAATGACCAAATCGTGTATAATAAGAATCACTCGCGGTCAATTTTAGCCCTCGTCGAGGGTTTTAAGTCTGACCAAGAGTTTTTCCATACGGCGTAGTCATCTATAGAGGTGTATACAAAAAATTAGCCAGATGTAAAGAGGGTAAGTGCCCTAAAGTCCGTTTTGAAATTACCCTCTGTTTTTCCCATAAAATACAAAGATTATATAGGGAAAACGACTGGTCAGTTTTGACCCATTTAACGAATTTTGCCGGACATGTCGAGTTTTTTGTGACACCCCAAGGCATTCTCCTACCACCTCACAAAATTTCAAGGGGGGTCGTCGGAGGAAATTTTTTTTCGTAATAGAGCTCATATAAAGAGAATTTCACTCGCGGTCACTTTTCAGCCCTCGTCGAGGGCTTTGAGTGAAACCGACAGTTTTCCCTAAAGGTCAAGACATTGTCCTAAGAGTATGCAAAAAATTAGCCAGATATATTGAGTTTAAGTTCCCTAAAGTCTGCGTTGAAATGACCCTCTGTTTTTCCCATAAAATACAAAGATTATATAGGGAAATACAACTGGTCAGTTGTGACCCCTTTAACGAATTTTGCCGGACATGTCGAGTTTTTTGTGACACCCCAAGGCGTTCTCCTACCACCTCACAAAATTTCAAGGGGGGTCGTCGGAGGAAATTTTTTTTCGTAATAGAGCTCATACAAAGAGAATTTCACTCGCGGTCACTTTTCAGCCCTCGTCGAGGGCTTTGAGTGAAACCGACAGTTTTCCCTAAAGGTCAAGCCATTGTCCTAAGAGTATGCAAAAAATTAGCCAGATATACTGAGTTTAAGTACCCTAAAGTCTGCGTTGAAATGACCCTCTGTTTTCCCATAAAATACAAAGATTATATAGGGAAACACAACTGGTCAGTTTTGACCCCTTTACGAAGTTTTCCCAGAAATGCCGAGTTTTCTGTGACACCCCAAGGCGTTCTCCTACCACCTCACAAAACTTCAAGGGGGGTCGTCGGAGGAAATTTTTTTTCGTAATATAGCCCATATAAGGCGCCGGTCTGTCGAGGTCAGTTTTGACCCCTTGTCCGTAGACTTTTCGGCAAACCTTCACCGGCCATCGTGTTCTATCGCCCCAAGGCAACATCGTGCCAAATTTGACGCGCCTGCGGTGCCGGGAAGTGCCCTATCGGGCACCCGACCACTTTGCTTTATATATATAAGATGAAAGTGGAAAATAATCTAAATAACGGTGTATGCTCCGCCGCGGGTATTCTCTAATCTTTATTATTATTATATGCCCATAATATTAATAAGGGCCATATGCCCTATAGGGTAAAGGAGGGCGTTAAGAGCCACACTTTTTAGCACCTGTACATTTTTAAAGATTTCTACTAATCTAAGAATTTTTTAGAATTGAAAATATGGCAAAATTATTCTAACATATCTTACACAATATAAAAATAATAAAAAAGTCTATTAAATATACTTTAAATGGGTTTAATTGAACATTTATTTTCATACCCCCAAAACCAGCATTTGGGGTGAAAGGAGCCGGGCAATGGGGCAATAAGTATTAGATCTATCTCCTAGTTTAGACTAACTCCGCAATAAAAATAATTAATTTCTAACCCCAAAATAGTTAATGCTGTGTACACACACTTTAACTGATACTAGCTATCACTAGGGCCCAATGGGCCCAGTCTACAATTGATACAATTGCAGGTGTACATAGGGCCTACAGTCTAGTAGTTTACAGTAGGCCCATTAGTTACTAGTATGCCTAGTGTGTAGCTAGTATACTAGTGTGTAGCTGTCCAGAGTTAACATTCTTGTATGTAAAAAGGGTTGGTACTAACTAATCTGCCTTAATGCTTTCCCCTGATAAGCCATGTGTGCTTTACATTACATAATATGACATGGAGGTGAGAAATGTTGAGGGGAGAGCAGTGGTACTGGTTTCCCCTTTGTTCTCCTTGCTGGACCCTGAGGGCCATAAATTATATAAGGAGATGCTATCTCTGGTTGGCTGAGATCTAAGAACTAAGTCCATGTTACCTACAAAGAGATAAGTTTTATGGTGGGTTAGATACAGGTGGGGTCTGGCTATCATGGAGGTGAGAAATTGTGAGGGGAGAGCAGTGGTACTGATTCCTATTTGGTCTCCATCCTGCTAGACCATGAAGGTCATATATTACATAACATGCCACCCCAGATTGTCTGAGATCTGTAACTGTAATCCATGTTACCTACAAAGAGATGAAGTTTTATGGTGGGCCAGAAACTGGTTGGGCTGGGTATCATGGGGGGTAAGAAATTGTAAGGTGGGGAGCAGTGGTATTAATGTGTCTGTTTACTTCCCTGCTGGACCATGAGGGTCATAAATTACATAACATACCACCCCAGATTGGCTGAGACCTAAGAACATTTATTCCTGTTACCTACAAAGAGATTAGAAGTTTTATGGTTGGTTAGAAACAGGTGGGGGCTGAGTCGGCTGTATTGCCCCTTAGGGGTAATAAGTACATGTACCATTTTAAAAATTACCTTGCTAACATCAGATGGCTGAATTTTTACTTTTTAGCAGGTTAGAATAGTATTTCTATCATTTAGACACAAGTCTGTTTAACAATTAATACATTTTGTGTTAACTATTCCTATACCTGTGTCATATTCAGTGGTCTAATAAATGAGAAACTTGCACGTAGGGTTTCAAGAGCCACATAACAGTATCTGTTATAACTTTTCTAAACAGGCAAGCTAGTGGACAAAATTAATGTATTCATGTAGATTTAGTTATTATCTAACAAATAAAACCATTATGGTGATGATCAGTCAAGTTTTACTCTGATAATGATAAAAACTTTATAGCATGGTAAAATGGGACAAATGTCGGCCATTTTGTTTTGGCACCAATAATCACTGTGCAAAAAAAATTCACCAAAATAAAACTATTCTAGCCATAGCTATAAAAATAGTGTTAAAATGTACAACAACCAATGCTCTAATACAGGAACAAAGAATGGGCTTGAAAAACTCATTTGGTTTATTACAAAGTGAAGTTTCCAAAGTTATGTCTATTTGGAAAAAAAGTTCACAAAATGGTTTTATGGAGATCTGAAATTTTAGGGAAAGAGCAGTGGGATTAAATCCTGTCACATACTCGCCCTATTGGACCAAGTGGGTCATAAATTACATAAAATGAATCCTCTGCTTCTCTGTTATCAAAGAACAGCAGTGGTTGTTACTTCAGAAGTAGATTAGCAGTGTTATTGGGGGTTTTGTGGGGGTGGGGTGTTGATTGGGGCTTAATACCACACGGCTCTTAACGCCCTCCTTTACCCTAATAAACTAAAATTGAAAGTCATTTTATTTAATTTATTTTATGCCACTAGATCTAATGTTAGGGGTGAACAACTATTCAAATTGAAAAAAAAGTATTACATTATGAAATGGATAAAGCTTGGATTATTAAAACCTTCTAGAGATTTAATAAATAATTGCATAAAAAATTAAAAGAGCGATATACCTAGCTTTCGGAGAAAAACTGTGACGTAATGCACAAATGACACTTTCAGTTTCCTGTCATATTTTCGCATTTTTTTGTGTGCCCTTTGATGCAGTTGCACCCAGGATAGATTTCAATGAGTCATTTTCTTTTTTTAAAGGAGTGACTGGCTAAATCTGAATGATCATGAATCGACTATTCGGGGGTAAAAACAAAGGATCATCAGCTACCAATCTTCAAGCTCAAAAGTCGAAGCAAGTGGAAAGTCTTAAGAAAATTGGGTAAAAAGATAAAATTAGAAATCTTTATTCAATTTTTTGGTAATCTATCGTTTTGGGTACGTAAAATCGCCCGCGACTTGTAATGTGAAAAACAGGTGACTCCTTAAATTGTAATAATTATTTCACATTTTGAGGAGGATTTATGTTTTGAAAAATACAAAAATATTTCCTTGTTTCATTTATGTACCTGTTTTTAAACAATTGAATTAAAACTTTTCAGTAATAAATGTACACCAGCGATGTTTCCAACAGATGCAACCATGCTCATTTACTATAGCAGCCATCTTGTTAAAGTTTTATTTTTATTGACTTATAGCGAGATTCAGGCGGAAGTCACTCTATTTTACAAATGGCTGCTGTTTATATAGCAAATCTTGCTTGCAGACACTGCTGTTTAAAGTTAATTTCTGGCATATATTGATATATTTAGCCATTGATTAAGGTTTATTATTCATTTATCTATAATATTTGACACAAACATATCACAATATACTTCTATTACAGCCTTGACAATGAGGTAACGTTTTCGTACATTAATAGCCGCGGGCGATTTTACGTACCCAAAACGATAGATTACCAATTTTTTTAATTAGTCTTCTAATCTAGACTCTAGATCTAGAATCTAGTAGATCTAATCTGATCTAGATCTAATCTAGATCTAGATCTCTAGAGTAGATCTCTAGATCTAGTGACTCTAGCTAGTCTAGTCTAGACTACTCTAGACTAGCTAGAGTAGTCTAGATCTAGATCTCTAGTTTGTTGCCAAAGTACTAAGTAGTAAGTAGAATGCAGTAGATTAGTAGAGTTACTAGATCTAGACTAGAATCTAAGACTCTAAGAATATTATATTCTATAATTTATTTTCGAAGTGACTACTCGGAAGAAGATTTTCTTCCCAACGTCTCCACTCCACTTAGTCGGCAAAAGATAGCTCTGCGCATGCACAGTGACCTATGGCTAGGGTTAGGGCTAGAATTAGGGTTCGGGTTAGGATTAGGGCTAGGGATAGGGCTAGAATTTGGGTTAGGGATAAGATTAGGGATATGGTTAGGATTAGGGATAGGATTAGGGCAAGGGTTGGTGTTAGGGTTCTGCGGTTGTAAACAAATCAAAAATATCGCTGGGATGGCAAGTCGTAGTTTCTCTCCATTGCGCATGCGTATCTTTTTCCGGCTAGCATTGGCCATTTATTTTATAGGCCTGGCCTAATGATTATTATAGTCATTAAATTAATAATTAAGTAGATAGTAGGATCGCGGCCTAATCTTCGACAAGACCTAAACTCTAAACAATTCTAAAAAATAAAATAGGCCCTACTTTAAAATTTATTTTTTAAATTATTAAGCCCATTTATTTATTATATTTTGTTATCTGTTTTCTAGGGCTGTAGAAATACTAAGAGACCAGGAATACAGAGTCAACGTTAAACAAGGTTCAACAAATCTCTCTATTTTGATGTAAGTATCTGTAATTTAACAAATGGCTAAACATTTTACCGTGATAAAAGACATTTTAAAAATTACATTCATATATCAACTAACAAGTAAAGTCCAGAGTAAATTATATATATATATATATATATATATATATATATATATATATATATAAATATATATATATAGGCCTATTATATATAGACCCCTATATATATATATATATATATATATATATATATATATATATATATATATATATATATATATATATATATAATGTTTATATATATACAAACTTTTTAAAATGGGTAACTTTTAAGTTTATGTGCCTTTAATTTAAATTCAATAAGCATTCGTACATTTTTTTTCTTCACAGTAACTTGCCATCACATTTTCCTAGTGACAAACCTGTACTCACTGTACAGCCTGCTGTCACACATCCATGGGTAGACACACAGATGAAAGTTGTGGGGTGTAACAGTATTAACAATGTAGAGTACATCATTTTTCTAATGAACCTTATTTTTTAAAATTATTTAGTTAAAAACATTTTAGTTTAAAATCGATCCCTTTTTTAAAAGTAGGTATTGTAATCATGTGGTTTAAAAACGGCCTGTCAAATTGGCTTCCAACAAATAGGGTCAAGACAAATAGGCTTGTGTCATATAGTCTCCTGACAAATTTTAGCTTCTGACACAAAGGCTCACGTCATTAGAACTCCTGGCAAAAGGGCTTCTGTCAATACTGTTTCCGTAGAGACAATATGTCTCCCGGCAAAAAGGCCCAACTTAATATGATCTCTGCCAGTAGAACCCCTTCAACAAAATACATCAGAGTAAGCCAGCACACTTAAATAATACAGTGTATGTAGTTCTTGGTCTACAGGTCTTATATTTAACATTTTATCTAATATAAGAAATAGTATATTTTTAAATTTAGGGGTCATCTAATTATGATATTTATCAAATAAGTCGGTTGTGGGCTGTTCCAACTCATTGTGTGGGGAAAAGGTCCATTTGGTACATTTATATTCAGTATGCTTATAGGTTACCAAAACAAAACATACCTTATCCTGTAAACATCATACATATCATTTGTTCAAACTTCTGTGCTCGATTCCAAGGGATTAATAAAACATCAAAATTTTAAAATTAGTGGCCTTTGCTGTTAAGAGCTCCGTTTGTTGCTTCATGAATTCTGAGATGCTTAACAATTTGATATTAACAAATATTAAAATACTTGGTCATTTTTACTTCTTTTGGCATTTACAAATATTTTTTTTATGTGGACTACATTATTGTTATTCTTTTTAAAGAGTTTTTATACAATTTTTTAATTAATTTCCTTCTTTGTTTAGTTTTCCATGCATTCAGATCTCGGGCTTGCTGTACAGAATGTGCTAGAGGAATTCAAAAAGACACCACCAGTTATTCTACCCCAGCATTAGTAAGTTTGTTTTTGAATAAAATATCTTATAGTTTACTACCTCTCTGTAAAAGGTTCACTAGTGTGATTGGAGAAAAAAGGGAAGGCAAAGACGTCACTGAATGGTTGACATCAAGCTGCCTGTTTTTTAACTACTCGCAGCAGCAGAGGACCCCAATATGATTATGGGATGAATTGAATTACCTGTTTACAGATTTTATTCTATATTTTTTATATAATTTGTAATCAAATTGTTATGGAACCCAATCTTTTCATCCTGATTACTGAAACCACAGGCTTTATTTATACAAAACAGTTTTAGTTATTACTATTTCTCTAGACCCAATCAAACCCCTACAACTGATTTTAACCCTAATTTTGACTAGGACAATAACTGTAACCCTGACACAGTAAAGCAGCAGAAGAAATTAATCTTGACCCAATACTGTATTGTCCGGACAGTGTATTGTCTAACACTTATTTTTATTTGTTTTTCTTTTCTAGCAACTTAGGGTCCAGCATCCCTACTGTTGGCTCTTCAGTCGCATCACCAAATTATACACAATGTCCTTACCCTGGTAGTCAGCCTTCAGTAATTCCTCCACCCCTCCCCCCTCGAAGGAATCAAGGGACTGTGGGTGACCTGGGATTGGATCAGTTGACACTTGGGCACTCACAAATAACAAACATATTGTCAGAGTTCCCAGCTCTGAAGGATATGAAGTAAGAAGTTGATCATTGGATCTAGTGTTTAATTAAAATTTTCATTCTACAACTTCTAGTTGAATAAGCAACTACTTTTTTAAAAATATAGTTTCCTTCAGATGAAAATACTAAATATAACATCAGTTGTAAATTTAAAAACACTACTGTTTATTTACATTTTTTAAAAATTTCCATATCTTTATTTTTCTTTCTTTCCACATGTGATAAGTGTGTTTTTTAAAATACATTTAGCTCCTCAGATATCTTAACGAGTGTTGCATGTATTTTCAGTAATATTTAACATTTTAAAAAAACTTAATTACTTTTGAGAAAGTTTACAAAAATGCTAGTTTGTAACATGGAAATATTTATGTTATTTTTTATTTTATTTAGACTATTTGAACTTGAGGAACTGATGAGTGATGAAGAAAAAATAACAGAGATGGTCCAAAAGTCACAAGAATTGATAAAGTTTACTCAACAACGAGAAGAGCTTTCCTCAGCTTGTGTTCATTTAGCAAGTATGAATGTGAATTTTATTATTAAATAAAAATATATTTGACCATATATTTAAAAAAAGAATTTTTAAAACAAGAGTAGACAAATATAGGGATAATTAGACTAGATATTAAAGATATAAAAATCACATGCATTTCAATATCAGTTAATCTTTTCACATTAATATTCATTGCTTGTCTTTACTATTACTCAAAAGACAGAAGATTTTTGTCTGAAAGTTTAAGTTACTTTTTTCATTTACTTGCAAAATTGTCTTTTATGCACTTACACTTCTATTAATTTTTTAAAATTCTTAATAATCAATAAGGCATATTGAAATTTCAGAAAGTAACTTATCCAAAAAGCCTGCTATTGACAGTCTTAAACAAAGTATAAAAGAAAAGGTAGTAATCATTGCTAGATATCTGTCTTAATGGTATATTGTTTTAAGTTTGAAAATTGTTTTTGTAGATGGGCTCATTTTATTAGTTTAATTTTTTGTTCATCTTTTATCACATTCAGAATATTGAACTGGAAAATTTAAAAGTAGAATTTGAGAAGCACTGTGAGCACCACATGACATTGTCTGACCAATACCATCCATTACATATACAATCAAATCTTAAAGTAGCTGTTATGGAAGCGGATGAAGAATCAGAAATTATAGCAGAGCAATTTTTGGAAAGTAGGTTTACATATTTTAAATTATTTAGGTTGTAACGTAAATTATGTACTAATTACATATTGTTTTATTATTAAAGTGTGCAATCTCATTGAAACATTGATATAATTTTTTGAATGATTGTTTTTTAGATGTGCCTTTTTGTTTTTCCAAATAAGTCAATATTAAAAATGATTCGCATACTTACAATTAGTGAAAATATTTTTCAAATTTAGCAACTCATAAATGAAATGATCTTATATAATTTTTATATTTATATTTTAACAGAAGAAATGGATGTTGATGAGTTTTTGAAAAAGTTCATGGAAAAAAGAACAGTGAGTTGCTACACATTATTTTCTAAAATTATTTTAATGCTAGAATTATTAGTTAATTCTTAATAGTATATTAATTATATACCATATTTCAAAACTTATTTTTCCCATCTAAAGAGTATTATTTATTATTTTTTAGTTGTGCCATTTACGTCGAGCTAAAGAAGAGAAACTGAACCATATTATATTATCTCAAGGCCTTCGATTCTAAATACTGATTTGTTATCACGCTTATATCTTGTATTTACTTAACTCATTCCTTGTCAAGTATTACTTATTGTAATTTGCATTCTTAGTGAGGCACTGGAAAAGCAAACAAAGATTGGCATTTTTTAAAATGAAAATTCCTGTGTTGTGTTTATATATTTTATTATAAAATTTTTGTTTCATTAATCTACTTATTAAAAAAAAACTGAGGGTTAAGTAGTGTTTACAATAACTACACTTGTAATGTTCTAGTCAATCACTTTAATTGAACTGTATGATTGAATTTGTAGTTCTATCAGTTTGATGAGGTTTGTTACCTCTCTTTCCACTAGTAAACTACCATAAAAGGTTAAAGGATTTTAAAATTAAAACAGATTTACATAGAGAAAACAAGTAAATTAATATAGAGCCGCTATTTCCAACCTTTAAGTTGCAACATTGTTTTATTAATGAATATTTTGTTACCAGTGTTTAGATATTTTAAAACAAAATGCTTATAGGGAGTTATATTTTTAAAATTATTTGAATCAAAATTAAGATTGTATTATTTGTATATGGGTACTAAAAAATGTCCTCGACTTAAAAGAATCAGCTTAAAACCCGGATAAAAAAAATAATAGTTCTTTTTAAAAAATTAAATTATTGTTGGGATTAAATAATAAATATGCTGCTGATAAATATTCACTGTTATTGATTTTAATTTTTAGCTATTAAATTGTTTTACAAAAACCATTTGAACATGTAAAATCATTTCCATAAAGAAAGTAAATTTACACATGTATTAAAAATGTGTTTTAGTTTCATAGAAATTTATTTCTCGTAACCTTTCTAAGAAGGTTCATTTGGTATTGTAAAACACGGAATATCTTGGGATAGTGTGCTCACGAAAAGTGAAGGTTGAAAACTAAATCTAAGCAATTCCCTTAAAAAAAGCTTTGCAAAATTCTAATCCACATTAATAGATTCAACAACAATATTGTCAGATACATGAATAAAGGTTGTGCACTTCTCTTTGTTGTTAGGTTTTATGTATATGTGCAATTTATAAGACGTTTTTCATGACACAATTTATGTGAATAATTTTGTTTTTGCAATATTTAAGAGATTTGCAAACATTTCTTTTGTCAACAGAAATTTTTAATGAAATAATTTTAAAAAAAATGAAATTCTGATCTTATTTCTGTTTTATTGACTTAAAAACAATCCACCATGAAAACCTTGTCTGTAAATACCTGCTTGTATGAGAAAATTATGTCAGTATTATTTTAAAAGTACAGATTTTTTAGAAAAATTTGTTATGCAAATTCATAAAGCATCAAGATGTTACCCTGTTGTGTGTATTAAAATTTCAAAATCCCAATTTATATTATTCACCAAACCCAAATTTCTAAATTAAAGTCTAGCCTTTTATGTCGTGTACATGTTTTAGTAATAAATTGTAATTTTCTGTATTTGAGCTGTAATTAATTCCTAATATTTTCCCTATGTTGTAGATGGGGTTATAATTATAACCTTGCATTTTAAAATCTACTAGATAGACATATGCACATAACCAAATCAATGATTCCTAAAAATAAAAAAAAACATCATGTCTTACATTATTGAGCTTCATTGTATTAATTTTAAGGGGAAAAATTCTTGAGCATTGTATATGTTTGTGTATTGGAAGTTAATGATCTGTTAGCTTTTTAAAATGTAACAATGCTTATTCATGTGAAATCCAATTGGTTCATTATTTTTGTTTTCTAAGGTTTTAAATGCATAATTTTGTATATTAAAAACAATAAACGAAAAAAATGAAAGCTTTTAAGCTATATTTATAATTTATTTTTGTTTCTTAGTTCCTTATATAAAACACAACATAATGAACTATGTTTACAAGGGTTCCCTAGGGTTTATTTGAAATGCCTTCTCAAATATTTGAACTATCAGTCAAAACTAAGATTTTTTCAATTCCATGACTTAACAGACTGATTCAGACAAAGCAGTGAAGGTTAAGTAAAATGTTGGGCCACTAGCCTAAGACTTCTAGTTTTGGATTACGCTAGGATTTTTATAGACATTTATAATGTTCCTGGACCAATCCAACTGGAAAAGCTGATATAATTTAAACTTCCCTTTTTAAAACTGGTGAAATAGAGTACATTCGTTTCTGTGATCACTGCATATGAAGGGATAATGTGGTCAGCACTATGACCAGCCACCTTTACTTTCTCCAACGTGAATTAGAGCAGGGTGGACTCAGGGACATTCTACTGACTAGAACCCAGATTTGAACTTGAGGCTTTCAGGTTAGGGGGCCATCAATAAATGACGTCACGCTGTTTTTGACGATTTTTCCTCCCCCTCCACTCCATCACACATCGTTACAAAAAGCCAGACCCCCCCCCCCCTTAAAATGACATCACACCTCAGCCTACAACCCCCCCCCCCCCCCCCCCCCCCCCCCCTCAAAATTGCAGTTGAATTTTTCTTAAAACATCGATATTTTTCAAAAATCTTGTCTGAACTCAGTCAACAGAGTATTTAATCAATTCCTATTACAATTTAGTAAAACCGTTTTCTAAAACGCGAAATAACGTCTAAAACTCGTTTTCTAGCGGTTTTTTATATTGCAAAAGTGTGACGTCACACCATCTGAACACCCTCCCCCGTTACAAAATTACGACCCCCCCCCCCTTACGAGTGTGACGTCATTTATGGGCGACCCCTTAGCAGACTAGCGCTCTACCGCCAGGCACGCCGTTGACATGGACTGACGGCTAGAAATGGTGTCAGTGCATTAATATTATGCTAGTTACATTATATCATGGCCACAGAAATAACTAAACAGATCTAACTGCCTTAAAGAGGAACACAGCTGACTATAATTTGTTGCTAAAAAGGGCATCTTTTACCTGAAAAACAAATAACTTCTTAGGCGATATTTATTGATTGAATGCCATTCTCTTACATACTCTTTATTTATCGAGTCTCCCTATTGTCAGATATTGTTAATCTGAAACAATAATGTCCAACATAATTTTGACTTATTTATGTTGGCTTGAACGTTTTTGCTTTAGGCTTAATGATAATGATGATAACCTTAGAGCTTAGGGATTTAGGCTGTTAGATTTGCGTACTTAATGAAAAATGTTCTTTTTTTTCCCGGGTTGTAAAATTGGGAAATAATAAATATTTAATAAATCAGTCTAGATCTATCTGGTCTAATAATAAAAGTTCAATTTGAAACATTAATGTTTCTAATATTACTGATTAATCTGCTTACAATAAATGAATCTGCCTAATAATTAATTTTTAAGATCAAAGCCAATTTAAAGAAATATAGACCAATATATATAGTTATTTATTATTTAATATGTAGGCCCTAACCCTAACCCTAAATTATGATAATAAAATGTAGATACTCGTTTAAAAAATGAATAATAAAATCTAATATTTTAACAACATTATTTATTTACCATTTTTCATATAGATATGAGGGGCGTTTAGTAATTTACCTATAGCTTTAATTTTTCAACGTAGGCTTCCAATTTTCATTAGTAAATATCGTTTCTCGGCGTTTCTGGTTCATCTTGGTACTTAGAATCTAGGTACAGTCTAAAAAATGGGTACTATCATGAGGGCAGTTTACTTGTCCTTGTTAGAACAATGGAGAGTATCTGCTAGTAATATTAGAATTCTAGTGAGCTTTATGACAAGAAAAGGTAATTCCTGAATAGCACATTGCTGTCCCTTATGCACTGTTGTGCCTAGGATCAAACTGAGCAACAGTTTCTGTCTTGTGTCTAGATCTAGCAAGTGACGCAGTTAGTCTGTCCTGAGTCTACTCTAGTCTACCTCTTGTTGTGGGGGGGGGGGGGGGGGGGGGGGGGGGGGGGGGGGGGGGGGGGATTCCGGTAGTTTTTAATAGAAGACAAAAGTTTCTCAGCTATAAGCAGACATAATGGTGTGGTTACAAAGGTGTATTTTCATTTTCAAAATAGGGTAGGAACCCTGCTTCTATAATTCTAGTAACTTTACTATTTTAAACTATTTTTGTAGGCCTAATCATGCTAATCATTTTTACACTATTGTATTTTCGTAATGTAGATTTTTCTACTTGGCCTAGCAGCTAGCTAGATCTAATTAATTAATGCAAATTCGCTGCAAGCCAAAAATACTAAACAAATTATTATATTTGACTTTATTATTTATATATTTTTTTTCAATTTTTAGATCTACTAATTAGTTTAGGCTTTTCGATTCGTGAAGTCTCGTTCTTGCGGTTTTGAAGCACTCGTGTTTTTGGCGGACATATAAAATATCGAATCATTTCTTTCTCATGAAGTACATGATAGTTAAAATTAACGATTGTATCGTAATCGGATAGATTTTTACTCGAAACTGCCCATATATTTACGGGGCGAATAATTAACATTTTAATAATGGCAGCTTGACCTAATTTCTTTATTTGTCTTTAACGAGGCTGTCGAGAGAAAGTCACGCTTACGTAGCTTGCGTTTCGAGTTTTGAGGGTGTAAGTGATCACCCCTCAATAATGCCATTTTATTATATTCTTGTTTGGTGAAAACGAGGCGCGGGAAAATGTGTGCTGCGCTAGAATCCAATCATTTGGCTAGATTTATGACTGTTTTTTTATGTCACACCTAAAAATAGAATGTTTACGCTTTCTTCATTGATGATCGTTTTTATTATTTTTTAAACTGAAAGTATGAATTATTAGTTAGATTGCAGGTTTTGTAACTTGGTATACTTACCATTTATCAATTTTAAAAGCATATCATCCTGATTGTGTACAAATATACTAACATAGTCATAAAACACAGAAACATCAAGTTATAATTGCGATGTGCCACACCCGGGCCACACCCCCTCAAGAAAACACGTGTTTATTAAGCTGTTTATCTCACTTTACAACAGTAATTAAGATTAATTTTCCAATTTTTATCACTTATTGGGTAAGATTAAGCACATGTTTACTAAAAATAAAAAATGAAACAAAAGCAAATTCTGTTTTAATGAAGGTCACGGGTCAAGTTTTTTTTTTTTTTTTTTTTTTTTTTTTTTTTTTTTTTTTTTTCCTTTTTTTTTTTTCCTTCTGTCAAGTTCAGTGGATGGGACGGAGTGGTCTAGCGGTAGAGAGCTGGAGTGCTAACCCGTTAGTCTCGAGTTCGAATCCGGGTTCAAGTCAGTATACCGTCCCTGAGTCCACCCAACTCTGATGGGTACCTAACTCACGTTAGGGAAAGTAAAGGCGGCTGGGCATAGTGCTGACCACACTATCTCTTCATATGCCGAGGTCACAGAAACAAGTGAACTCTACTTCACTTGCCCCATAGACCGTCAGGTTTGAAAGGGAAACTTTACTTTTTTTTTACAAGTTCAGTGGAGGGTGCCACAGACTGACCTGACTTCGGAATTTTTTTCAGTAATAATGACTTTGCGCAGAAAGTTAAAATATGCTAAATTAGCTTAGTTTACTAGTGTTCTAGCTATTATTGATACATTTTTAATAAAAAAATCATTCTGTAATTCTCATCAAAAAGCTTATACTAATGTAAATCTACTATTAGACTACTATTAGATCTATATTTATTCCTGTTTCCTTTTGTCACGCTAAATTAAGGTTTTTACTCTAGTCTAAAGTTCTAAACTCTATAAATAATTTTATTAAATAAACTATTCACTATTGTCTCTACACTCTCTAAATTCTAAATTTAAAAAAGGCCTAGATTTAGATTAGTCCAGTTTAGATCTAAATTTCTAGTAGTAGTTAGTTATTAAGTTAGTCTTTGAAGTTGAAAAAGCCCCTGGTGGGGGTTGGGATATATTGATTGTAGGAAAAAAGTCACAGGAAAAACCCCACAGAAAATAGTCACAGGAAAAACGGTCACAAAATATGTGTAATGTGTAGGCTGTATTCATGGAACTTTTAAAAACTTTTATGTATTAGGCCTAGATTTACATATTCAACCTACGACTAATTAAATGTAATGCAAGTAGGTTGTATACATGTTTTAATATTTATAACATGTACAAATATTTAGTAAGAAGTATGTTGGTTTTAATTCCATTATACAGAAAATATTAATATTCAATAGAATTGAATAGAATGTTCCAACCTTCTTGGTTTCAATTGTGTTTTTTAATATACTTTAAAATTTAAATTAGTGTGAAATGGCATAAAAACGTAGTTATTGTGACTTACTGTCCTCAACCTGTACTGCCCACATTTATCATGCTCATTACATAACAACAAAGCATAGGATCAAAACAGAAAGTCAACATGGTACAAAGGCTGTCATTGATGCAAAATGCCAATAACACACAATATATAAGGATGGACAAGGCCACATGCTTATATTTCTTTAATAATTAATTTTTCTACCCTGTATTTATGTAAAGTATTTGAGGTTGCTGTGTAAGTTATCTTATAGTATTTTTACTTATTATTGTTATAAACCATAATGCTTTAAAAGTTTATAGATATGCTACCAAAAAAATAAATAAACACCACCCACATTAATAAACCCCCAAAACTTTACAATTCTCAACAATTAAATCAAAATATTTGTTAAAAATTTGTGTGACTTTATTTTTGTGACTTTTTTCTTAGCAAAAACTGACTTTTTCCTGTTGTTTTTTTTCCTGTGATTTTTTTTCCCCATTTACTCTGATACTATCTAGATCTAGTCAACATTATTAATATAGTAGTAAGAAGGCCTATGGCTATGCTGTGTCTATAATCTATTAATTATTAATAACGAGCCGGCCCGCGGCATAACATACGCCGCTATTTAGTTGTTTCTAATTTTCAATAATTCATAATTTGTGAATTCGACAGTACCAACGCTGACACTGAAAATATTTCTTTAAAACACTATAAGTAGCTCGTTAAGGACCATAACCCCCCCCCCCCTTCCTTCCCTCCCCTACGTTTAAAATCGTTGGCTCTGCTTGTAAACATTTAGAGTGAACACAGCTCACTAAAACCATGTAGGGGTGGGGAGAGCGTTTGCAGCTTGTTTTCTAACGGCTCGAAGAAGAGAATTATATATATAGATACTAAGGGTCAGAACTAGATTCTAGTTTATAGTAATAATATCACAAATTGAAATCTGAAGACTCTTTCCAATTAACCCTATTATAATGAGTAATTTTTTATTTTTCCTATATTGACCCCTTAATTTTTGTATGTCAACTTATGTTCTTTCCTTATCTAGACTTAAATTACTTTACACTCACAGTTGCATACAATTCTTACACTGTATTTTACTTTTACCATCCCATATCAACACTTGACTTTCCAGCTATACAAATGCTGCTCCAAAGTGATGCACCCAAAGAAAAATAAAATAGCCTAGCTCTTCTCATTGGGTCACTTATGCAATGCTCAGTTATGCTGTTACAGCCACTAAAGTATTTAATAGATATCTGTCCTGACTAGATACCCTGATCAGTAGTCATGATGTGTCAGAAGGGTCATTCTTAGACTACATCTATATAATTTATTAATAGTATTTGTAATTCAGAACTGCATATTTCAACAAAGACAGCCCAAAACTTTCCTCATTCTTAGCTGTAAAATGTGGTTGACACGAAAATGGTTTTTTTATTTGTTGCTAACAGATCCACCATCAGCTCTTGCAATAGCTGGTTGTCCATCAGCAATTTCACCCTCTGAAGATCTTCACAAGTCATCAAAATCCATGTTAGATTCTATTTTTGATGGTTTGCTACTAGCTGTACCGAAACACAGAAGGTCTATAGAAAAGAGACTTTACAGAAAACACAGATACACTGCCTTTATGGAGTATGGAACACCAAAATCAACCATAGTTCCTTGCTTGGAGTGTGGCAACTATAGAGAGAAAGGACATCTGTGCAGTAAGTTAAATCACAATTTCTCAATTTGTTAAGACTGTTTACAAATATTTACATAATTTCTTTGAATTAACCTTAATGAATTTGAATTCACCTGTAACAAAAGAACAATTTCCATCTTTAACAGAGCATTGTTATGACAAAGTTTGTTTAGAGACCAAGGAAATGAAAGCTAAGTTGGGAGAAGATATCAAGTATAATGTTCCAATGCAAGAAATTGAGTTTGTTTATAATGGAGAGGCGGCTGACAACAGTGGTGGTAAATTGGTTATCAATATGAACAAGTCAAGACCAAGTTGGTTTTCTAAAAATTTACTTAATAAAACAGGTTGATGTAAATTTTTAGCAATTTTGTCGTTTTATTTATTTCAAGAAAATATGCTGCAATAATTCATATTGTAAAAGAATGTAATAAACAAGGTAACAATTATTTCATCCAAATATACAGTTTATTTAACTTGCATTTGTAAAGTAATTGATCTTGCAACAAATCATTTAGAAAAGTACAATAAAGAAATGCAAACTGAAATTAGTTCTTTACAATGCAATATGAAAAACAGATTCTCTTTTATACCATTACCATACTCTGTTTTCTATAACCTGTTTAATTCGCAAAGTTTTATTCCCTTTATCCCATTCCTGAGATGGTTTTTTACAAGAAATATTAATTGCCCTTTGCTTTAAAAAGAGCAAAAAGTTACGCAATTGTGGCAACATTTTAGATGCACAATTAATAGGTGTTGATACTTAAGATGCAATATTAATTTAAACCTTTTGAACCCCCTTGGCTCATTTCAAAACTGAAACACTTCATTTATTAAACAATCCTTTGACATAACAAAGTACAACTGTGGTCAATACTATTCAGAATTTATTTATCACAAATGAAAATAATAAATCTCTTCAACTGCTGGTCGTTTGGGCAGCACTGTCTTCTGGAGCATCAGCAAGTGTATCATAAATATCAAAAAGTTTAGCAACTTCATAGAGATCTTCATTTCTAGCTCCATCCCGAAGTACCTACAAATACAATTAAATATAAATATTCATTATAAAGTACTGTTTAATTTGTGGCTTATTCAAAGTTATGGAAATGTAGCTAATAAAGTTCCCTTACGAACCTGACCAGTTCCATGGGGCAAGTGAAGTGGAGTTAGTCGTATGCTCTACCATTCTACAACTTACTGTCAGTAGCTAACTCAGTGATAAATCAATGCAAGTGAATATAAAAACTTACTTGTCTGGCAATTGACATCTTATTGAATGTGTTCCAGAGAAGGATCCCTACAACTGTTTTCTTGTTGTTCAAATAAAATACAATGCCTTTGCCATAATCTTCAGATTCTAGGGGGGATGTGGTATCTTGTCCAATTACAGGCACTGTGCTTTCAACTGCTTTCTGAATAAATTTGAAATTTTATACATTATTTTATATTATTATAATCAATCTTTCAAGCAGCTGATTGTGACTAACATCAAGAAAAAAAAAATAATGTTAAAATATTTGCAGAGGTCTACATATATCATTTTTATGAGGAATATACAAACCTAAATTTACATTGCATTTTGAAAAAAAAAAAATGACAGAAATTTAAATACCATTTCAGTCTCTGATCTAAGGCTTTCACCAGTTGCTTCTACTACGGCTTTAGGGTTATCTTTTTCAGTGGCTCTTGCAAACACAGCAACAGTTGGAAGCGAGGAGTCAACAATACCAATAGCTTCGTACCCAACATCTGGGCCCAAATCAGACCTAACAAAACAAAAACATGACAGTTTATACTCAAAAACTTCATTAAATACGGCAAAAACACACAGGCAGCTATGATATTAGAATTTGAAAAATTAAAGATTTTACCAAAACATGCTTTGATGCCAGTATGGTTTGGCTGCACCTGTCATGTTCTCTCCAGCCAATCTTCCACTCACTACAGCATGATCATGATGCTCCACTCTACGACGACCCAGTTTCATATCAAAGAAGCATGCAGCATCTCCAGCCTATGAACAAAACATAATATATATACCTTTTATAAAGCTATTTATTTATTACTTTCTTATTAAATTTACAACCCTCAATGCTAGCAAAAAGCAATTGGATTAAAAATTTGTTTAAAATAGAAACAATAACATTGAGATACCTACCACCCATAAATCTCTCCGAGCCTCAAGTTCTGCATTAACTAAGAAACCACCATTAACTGGGTCTATCTCAAGGTTTGAAGATTTAGCAAGGTCAACATTTGGCTCAAGTCCTACTGCAGCAACTACACAATCAACACTGACCTAAGATGTCAGAACAACAGTATCACTATTAGATCTTATAAAAATTATATTCAAAATGCATAAAGTGTATATGATATAACCTAGAAAAGCCATTTTAACAAACAGTACAATGCCAATATCTGATTTAGCTGTTCAAACACTTACAGTGTTTCCTTCATTAGTACTAATGACAACTTTCCCATCTTTAAAAGCAGCACCAGTGACTGATTGGTTAGCCATTATAACAACGCCTTCTGTTGATTTATAAAAAATTAACCACTTTTAAAATATGTACATTCTTTAGCATCTGGTTTTTATCTGGTACTTTTTATCTGGTACTTACCTCTCTCTACTTTTTTTGTGGTCCATTTGCTCAAATACTCAGGCAAGATACGACCCATGTTGCCTAAAATGAAGTAAAAAACAAAACAAACATTCAACTCCTCCTGAACAGGACAGAACAACTGAAAATAAAACAGTTATGCACTAGAATTAGAATAAAGATTTAATGTAAATTCAATCTCACCCTTTTCTGGGAATATCTGATAGACCTTCATTCCTGTTTTGCTAGCTGAGGATAGTAATAAATGACAAAAAATCAGTTTTTAAATATATTATTTAACATTTGTGTCACACAAACTGACCAGATGTTATAAAGTGAAGTGGAAGGTATAAAGTATGGCATATTTTTTATTTTGGGTATGTCTAATACAAAATGATAAAAAAGGTAATTTTTTTGTTAGAACTACACTTATAGGTAGTGGTGGTTGGAAGCAATGTTCCTAGTTTTGAACATGCAGCGCTGTTATTTTGTAAAATACATATACCCTTGTACAAGACTTAGGACACTGCACACACACAAAATACATGTTGCACACTAGGTTTTTCTTCTTCGAGTTAGAGGGAACGTTGGTCGGGTGGGTAGAACTTGGTGATATCATTTTAGGAGTGGTCTTATGGGACAGGTGATCAGCTATGGGACATAACAGTCACTTGTAGACGAACAATAATGTTCTATTTTGTCAACTTATTTGTATATGGTATTTTAGTATTATCAGTTGTGATATTACTCAGAGAAAATAGTTGGCTAAGAAAACATCCCAAATTTTTTTTTACAGTAAGTAAATTAAGTCAATTAAAGATGTTGCAGATTGTGATATTAGGACCACTGTCCTTTTATAACTCAACTTGTTCCAGAATAATGATAGCCAGAAACGATCAGAAAGTTATTTGAGCACATTCGCAAAAAGTTAAATACTCTAGCTAGTGTTTGAGTATTATTTTTTTCTTCTTTTTAGCTGGCCTCTGTAAGTCTTAGAAAACATTTACCAAATTATCAAAATGCAATACCCCTTTTCCCTAAAGCACAAGCGAGTTCACTGCCCAAGAAACCTCCTCCAACAATGGCTATAGACTCTGATTTCTTGACAATGGCATCCAGCTTTTTAAAATCCTCAATCTGAGGATTAAAAGACGAAGTATTTAAAAATTCTTTCAACTTTGCAGTAAAAAAAAAAAATAGATTGAAAATAGACAAACTTAGTTTTAATAGCTCAATTTTGAAAATCTACTAAAACCTTTTTCTAGATCTATTTAAAAGTTAAGAAAAAATATTACATTTCTGTACAGCACTGTTCTTTCTTTGACCTGCGCATCTGCTTTTTCTAAAATAGGCAGATTTTTAGGCTTTCCACCTGCAATTTGAAAAATAGTATATGAAAAAAACTAAATTTTATAACCTTTCACCAATACATGTTGCACACATTTATTTAAAAGACAAATGTCAAATAGTAAAAGAAAAACAGTAGATTTCAATATCAATCCTTTAAAAACAAGCAACCATATTCACCTGTTGCAATCAGACACTTGTCATATTTAATTTTTTCGCCACCAGCAAGCCAAACGGTTTTCTTTCCAGCATCCAGTTTAACAACCTACAATAAATTTGGGAAGAATAAGTTCAATATGTAGAAACTGAGACATTTCTTGATTCAAAATAGTTTTTAAATATTGCCAAAATAGAAGGAAAAAAATGTATATAATAACTAGCCTTTTTGCCCAATAATAAAGCAATGCCTCCATTTTCTAAGCTATTTAGCTTTCTTGGCTCTGCAAAAAATTCTTGAGGTTCATAGAAAACACTGAAATTTTAAAATATGCATGCTGTATTAAATCTATATGGAATTATACAAGTGTTAATCATAGAAGACAACAAATCTAGATGGTAATTGATTTCAAGAACAAAGGCTTCTAATCTGAGATATTTTGTACAACTTGAGGATTATGTTTATAGTTAGTGTTTGGGTTTTATTACTATAATCAGTTTAAGTAGGGATCTGCAATAGTTTAGTATTGTAAACAATTTTTTTACCTTCTTTTCTTCCCATTCCATTGCCTGAATTGCATATTTTCTACTTCTAGCTGATCTTCATTAAACCAAAGCTCTTTTGATAAAGGTGGACGCATGTATGGGACAGCTTGTTCTTCACCGATCACAAGAATCTAATATATACATTATTATAATTATAAGCAGTCAAACAACAAAAACAATAATAATGTATGGTGGCAGTAAATGATGAGTGAATCACCCACCTTTGCTTTAGGGTCCCTGGACTTGATTGCTCGGAATGCACCAAAAGCAGCAGTTCCTGCACCAATGATGAGATATTGAGTCTCAGATGGAATTTCTGGCAATGTAGTAAGGTCTATTTCTCCTGCGCTGTTAGCCTTTATGTTACTTTCCTCTGTTGGCACTGGTGCACTTGGCTCATCGCTTGATGCAGCATCTGTAACACATATTTTAAATTCTATACAACATGAATTTAATATGTAAAAATGATATACAACAATAATGTAAAATATCAATGCTATATATAAAATACAGTAAAATTAAATTAATAACTGAAGTTTGTTAATTATTGATGGTTACGAATATTTTGTTTACACAAACAAAAACTATAACTTATTATAAGGGAATTATTTTCTCTCAGAATTTTTTTTTTTTTAAAATATTGTACTTAAGGGCATGGGCGGGTGATAAAAAACAAAATTAGCCAAAATGCTTATTTATATGCTATCATATCTAGCATATAGTTTTAACTTAAAGAGTTAAATCTAAAAATGTTAATATGGTTGCTGAAAATTTCCTGCCGATGCCATGGTGATGGCAGCCATCTTGGATTTTTTTTACAATTTTAACATTGAAATAACCTTAATTATTAATAAAATTTATCAAAATTTTCTCGGTTATTCTCTTATACCAACAAAACGGATAAGAACACATTTTTTGAAAATTTTTATGCGTTTTTCTTTCACAGTTAAAATGGTGTAATTTTTGCACAAATTTTGATTAAAATTTGTATCACTATAATCCTGCAAGTTTTTATTAAATTTGCATAAGCCATTTTTGAGTTATTTTGATGTTAAACAGGTAAATAAAAAATCCAAGATGGCCACCATCACCATGGCAACGGAATGAAATTTTTGGCCATTTTTTAAATTTCTAAACTTAATTCTTTGAGTCATAACTATATGCTAAATATTATAGCATTAGGTTTAGAAATAAGCATTTGGTTATATTGGTTTTCATCACCAGCCCATGCCCTTAAGGCAGAAAAATAAAATGAACACAAAAATAATATATTTCAAACTAAAAATTCAAACAATAACCAACAACTAATTTGCTAATAAATCTAATCATGTAGATGAAGTCCAAATGCAGTTATACTATCCTTATTTCAGTCATTGAGAAAAACAATTGCTTTAATACCAATGATACACAGAAAAGTTGTTTTCAATGATTATTTTAATATTTATGTATCATGGAATGGCCTCTACATCACTAGTTTTTAAGCATTTAATAAAACCCATTTCACATACAGAGAGTGAAGCCTGAAAAAAAAGTTTCAATATATTAAAATATATAAACTGAAATAATCTGCCACATAACTGAATTTCATTTATTGTTCTCACAACAGATCAACACCACCCAATTAAAACTGACTTATAAGAATTCTGGTGCTATTAAATCCCTCCATCTCAATAACAATATTAGACTAACTAAAGTATGCAATCTTCAAGCTGATCAAAATGAATAAGTTATTTAAATTCATTCTTATCTTCACGCCACACAAAAATTTTACACAACCAACAGTTCCCAATTTCTACTTTAAAGTTTATCTGAGTCAAAATTTTGTAATTTCTAAATGTTAAATATGTCAATCAAAACAAGCTATTTAATTATGTTTCCCAAAATCTTTGGCAAAGTTTCTGACCTGAACTAAATGATGCAACAACACCTGGACCTGAAAGACCAGACTTGTATTTGAAGCTTTTATAGTCAACGGTATGTAAGTACATGCATCCAGATTTATAAACCTGCAATGACAATAAATAGATTTAAACAGAAAAACAACGTAAGTAACAAATTTATTTATCAAAATTTTTAAAAAGTAACAGTTATTTATAATAGATATTCTCGCTAAATCTAAAATTTATTCAATTTTCAATTTAAACATGACAACTAAATAATAGGCATCCACATTTAATCCATTAGGCAGCCATTAATTTTTAGGGTTTTAGCTCATTTTAGGCTAAATTAATTTAAAATTTCCATTACAACCATATCATATCACCCTTGTGTTTGAAGCCACAGCAAGCCATGAATTAGATTTGACTTTTTAACTGGCTAAGCACCAGAGTTTCTCACTAGTGATCATCAAATAGCGGTCACGTTTTTTTTAATTGGTTGTCATTTATGGAGTTACTTTTTCATAGATTGATAAACCTAACAGTGCTACAATATTCAGTTCATTTTTGTACTCATCTGGCTGATATTTTAAAGTTCTACTATTCTTAATGAAACCAACTTTTATATTTTAACCTTCATTCTCCAAAGCAAATTTTGAAATGCTTTTCTGGCACCTATTGTTTATTTTTATAAGGTAGAAAAACCCACCATTTTGCTAGTGGCAAACATTTTTCAAAGTAATTTTTAAGGATTTCATTGGAACTAAGACAAAACATCATCTGAAGTCATGCGTCTAGTGTGGTCGCCATATTGTTGTTAGAACTAAGAAACCAGCCCCGCTTCCAGGGTAGTGAGCAATACTAATATTACAATTAATAAAGCAACACATAATAAAAAATTATTTTAGAAGGAAGAGAATGTTCTGAGATAGTATAAAGTATAAGTATAAGCAGCTATATGAATGTTAATTTATGAAACATTCAGCAAATAAAAACTTTGGGACTTTGATACTATTGATGAAATAGAACTCACAATATAATATGTAATGCCAAAGGCTAAAGCGCTTGCTGCCAACATCATGTTCAACTTTTTCTGTTTGTTGCTGTAGCTCTCCTGCCAACTGCCTTCAGGTATTGGCATACAATCCATGTGGTTTTTGTTTTCGAGAGCAATTTGTTTCTGGGTCTTCCAGTGAGAAGGCACACCATGACTCCCCATACATCTTGCCTGGCAGTGTAATGATGCTGAAGAAAGGAAAAAAGTAAATATTTAATATATAGTATACTAGCCGACCTGCGGCGTATCATATGGCGCTATTTAGTTGTTTTATTTTCTACTTTTCAGTAATACATAATTTGTGAATTCGACAGTAACAATGCTGCCACTGAAAATTTTTGCTTTAAAACACTATCAGTAGGTCATTAAGGACGACCCCCCCCCTCCTTTCCCCCAACCCCCCCCCCTGAAAGCAGCCTCCTCTTAGTTACCTTCCCTAAGTTTTAAATTGTTTTAAACTAAATTATCTCCCCCTAATAGTCGTCACTAAACCCGGCTCTACGTTTGTAAACATTTATTAGCGTGGACCACTGCTCACCAGACCATGTGGGGGTGGTAGGGATATGCTTAGAGAGGAAGAGAGGGGCTGCTAGGTGCACTTACAGCTTGGTGTTTTCTAGGGTATCCAAAAAGAGAATTATATAAATAGATAGGCCTATACTCGGCTATAGGCCACATTCTAAACAAAAATTAATGTGACTTAAAAACTACAATATTTTCTGGCAACTTTGTCAATACTGCTTAGGCCGTTCGTTTCACAGCTTCTGGGTTTGTTGTTTTGACGCCATCGCACGGCTCATGCGCTTACCAAAAAATGGCGACCAGTTTCGCTTTCACTAATGGGTAGAGGGATAAAACTAATGATTACGAAGCCATCGTTAATTTAAGAAATCGGAACTATCAGTTTCTATTTAAGTCTGTTATTTAAGAATTGTCGGATCTACTTTTGGCCTAATTTCTTTGTCTCGCAAGCGGCGCCTTAGTGAAAGTAGCTCTATATAATTCTTATCTTTCGAATCAAATAACTATAAAATACCGCTGCTATTTTTAACCAGACTATTGCTATTTTTTACTTGAAAGCATTAATTTTACACACGTTACAATAAACTGGTAATAATTTATTGTAGGCATGAGATATGCTCTGTAAGAATAATAATGCCATTTTATTATAATCTTTTTTGGTGAACACGAAGCGCGGGAAAATGTGTGACGCGCAAGAATCCAATCATTCGGCTAGATTTATGACTGTTTTTTATGTCACACCTAAAAATTGAATGTTTACGCTTTCTTCATTGATGATCGTTTTCATTATTTTTTTAAACTGAAAGTATGAATTATTAGTTAGATTTCAGGTTTTGTAACTTGGTATACTTACCCTTTATCAAAATTAAAAGCATAGCATGCTGATTGTGAACAAATATAGTCATAAAACACAAATATAAAGTTACAAACAATGTGATGTCGGGATGTGTCACACCCCCTCAAGAAAACACGTGTTTATTAAGCTGTTTATCTCACTTTACAACAGTAATTAAAATTAATTTTCAAATTTTTATCACTTATTGGGTAAGATTAAGCACGTTTACTAAAAAAACAAAAAAAAACAAAAGCAAATTCTGTTTTAATGAAGGTCACAGGTCAAGTTTTTTTTTTCCTTCTGTCAAGTTCAGTGGAGGGTGCCATAGGCTGACCTGACTTTAATATGCTAAATTGGCTTAGTTTACTAGTGTGCAAGCTATTATTGATACATTTTTAATAAAAAAATCATTCTGTAATTCTCATCAAAAAGCCTACACTGACTGCTAGAAATCAGGTAGTGAACAAGACTGGTCACAAGGGCAATGAATTATGAACAACACAAATAAAGAAAAATAAATTATGATACTTATCAACTAAGGATAAAAACTAAATTAAAGCAGATTGATCGGAAAGTACTTACGTAATTTAGAAAATATAACTGATTTTCTAAGTACACTGCAATTTATTAAGGAAGATAGCTGCGTAAACGCGACTGCCCTTTGCATTTTGTTGTTTTCAAATGGCCAGATAATCTAAATGGCAAATGTGGAAAACCTAGAATCTAGCAAGAATAAATGTTAAAAAAAAGAAAGCTCATGTATTTTTAAAACCAAGCAGTTAAATGTAACTTAGGATAAGTAGATCTAGGTCTACTCATTATTAACAAAAACATTTGATTTTTTTCACAATAATTGATATAGATTTACTTGCTTGTCCGATGAACTAAACGGTTGGCTTATTTTGAAATACTTTCAATCTCTAATTTGCCGTCATATAACAATATAATATCCTAACATTGCCGGTATGAAAGCGAAAGTGGCCAGGAACAATACAGATCTAGATCTAGAATCTAGAGCGGTTTTCACAAATTGTATCAGGATCTTATCTAGAGCTAGAATCTAGAAATCTAGTAGAATATAGATCTAGATCCTCTAGATCTAGATTTAGATCTTGTAATATCTAGTCTTGATTCTAGTCTAGATCTGGTTAAGTCAACCTGATTATGTATGTATCCAAAGCAGTCTAGATCTAGATTTAGTCCGAATCTAGCCTAGTCTGCCAATGCTTCTTTCTATTCTTCGCATTACTGGCCGGTTTAATACTTCTATTAATAGTATTTAAATATTATTATTATAAGTTCATTCATAATTAATAAACAGGCTTACATTATTTTTATAATTTATTTATTATAATTTATCTATTATGAATATTTAATTAATAATTTAGCCTAATACTAATTCAGTAATATTATGATATTATCTTAATCTTATGTTATCTAACTAACTAAACTTGACTCACAGTTGTATTTTAATATTACTTGAGCCAGTGACTATCATCATTCTATGATTCTTAACTTAAAATGAATGAAGTAGTTTTGCTTTTATCTAGCTTATTTGTTTTTTTTTTTTAACTCGGCAGATCTGTATGGAGTGTTATGGTGCTACCCTTGCCTGCAGTAGTTGGCAGTATATATATTGACTATGATTGAAGTCAAGTATGAAATGAAAATCTTCATTATGGCCCACTACTCTTGCCTACAGTAACAGTTAGAATCTAGTACTACCTAGGCATAGAGTAAAATTAAGATAGAGAAGTCATTAGCTGAGGAAGGGCACTACTCAAGAGGAACAACCAAGTAGATCTACACATTTATCTGCTCCTTGCTGGCTTTTTGTGTTTTGTGACTTTGTCTATGTCAGCAGAACTTATCATAAAAAATATATTTCAGTTTATTAAAGTTTTGAACAAAGCATCAACTGATGATGTAAATGCTTGGACTGTGGCATCCTACAAAAATGCTCTTGGCTGGGCTGACTATTGCCATGAGGTGAAGTAAGAATTAAAAACAGTTGAGTTGATAGTTTGATAGGCCTAGATGTAATAATTTAAAAAAATATTGTACTATTTATAACGTCAACCATTAAGTAGGGGAAGTCATGGTATAGAGGCTTGAGACCATCGTTTGTTCTCTGACCTAACAGTCCCTCACATTCAAACCAGGTGGTGCAATGCATGGGGAAGTTAGGGGGAGCAGAATTCAGAAATTCACAGTCTAACAGCTAGGTAACATGGATGAAATTCTTAATATTTAAGCATTTTCCAGTCTGCTTGGCTAATGAGCTGCTTAAGCTGGTATATATGAGAGTTGTAGTCGTAGGTAGAACTAGGGATAGTTATATGGTTTTTAAGATTAAATATTTTCTTATATCTGTAATTGTACTATGTGCTACTCATCATGGCCTGGTTAATCATTGAATATTTTTTCAGCTGAAATTGTTGAAAATTTTGAATTATTGAAATGTCAAGAAATCGCTTACAGGTCTACAGTCATATAAAAGGCCAAGTTTATGAAGAAGACTTAAATAAACAGTTGCGACAAATGACAGTCCTTCTTGGCCAAGTTTCATTTATTTGGCTTTCAGTAGATAGCCTTGGAAATGCTAAGCATTTACTTGTCAAGGTAACTGTCATTTAGTGTTAACCAAAAAGAATATTATTCATATATTCACTAAACTTCAGATTTTAAAGGAATTTTTTTTTTAAAGTCATGAAGATTGTAGTTAAAGCTTAATCAATTACTAATCAAATCAAATAATACAACTCTTGTCACAAAATCTTGAAGCATTTCATGCTGCATTAACTTATGATTCCATTATTGTTTTTTAGACTCTAATATCTAACACATCATTTTCTGATACATCATGGAAAATATTATCATCTTTAATGGAGGAAACATCCGACAAGGTGATCTTAGACAAGGTAATATTTTATAAATATTATGTGAAGTAATCAGTGTGATAATGATAAATGATTAGCTTCATGTTGAGTGTATTGGTTCAAAACTGGGTAATAGTCTTGAGGATGGAAGATATAGGTACAACTCATACATAACAAATGTATAGTTCTGGAAAGAAAATACAAATTCATGCAGTTAATTCCTAATTTTCATATTTGAATGCTTATGGTTCTTGACATCACAATAACTTGAGTTAAAATTACAAAACATTTGTGAGAAAAGGAAATCCTGGTGAGCTAAAGAAACACACGAGCTATAAAAGTGCCCTATTAATTCTGTCTTCACAAGAGATAAGTTAATAGGTAATCAGAAGCACAATCCAGACACCTGGTTGTTAGCATGTTAATTCAGGTATTGTCATAGAGACCATGATAATATGGCAGCACAGTAGTCTCAACCATAGAAAAAAAAGTGTGAGTCAGGTTCAGATCAAAACATATAACTTCCCTTACTTTTTTTTCCCATTCTTTGTGTTTGAATTTTAAACCATTTAAACATACATCAATTCAATGATATAATTTTATCATACCAGGTAAAAAATGTAACAATAGAAATGGACATTCATGATGAATTAGTCACTTTAAATGCACACCTTTTGCACAAGCCAGATGATAAAAAGGTGCTGACACAACATAAACTGAATCTTTTAACTACAACTTTTTTAAAGTACTTAGTATTGACTGGATGTGAGGCTAGAAAACCTGAAAGGTGAGCTTTATAACTTGAACTTTTGATGTGTTATTTATTTTTTATTTACTTTGTAAAATCTTGTTAGCTTTAATTCCCTTTTAATAATACTTTAATATCAAATTTTAATTCCATGATATTGTATTTTACTCCGGGTATGTTTGTTTTTTATCTGACCAAAGATTTTTTCAATATAGTCAACATAAATTATATTTACATTTATTTCAGGTATGATTCATATTGCCATCTCTTATTTGATAAGCTTGCCAGGTCTCAAGATGGAATGGTACTTTCACAAATTTATTTTATTTTATTATTTAAAAAATAAGCTCTTTAAAATATGCTTTAGATAAATGTTGTAACAAAAAGTTTAATTCATGAACTGTAGTTTTAAAAAAAAGCTATTGCAGCATATGTGATTTTAGTACTCATGGCTAAACAGTTTATAGAAGTCTTTTTAAAATTCTCTTTGATTTAATTCTGTGAAAAAAGCCCTTTTTTTAAAAATACCAGAACTTAATAAATTGTAAAATAAAACGAGTAAATATTATGATTCTTTGTTTCAAACATAATTAACACATCTGTTTTTAATTTATATATGATTAATAAGCTTTTAGTGTCAATCACTCATAGTGATATGGTAGTGCTTTTATTTGAATTGTTTACAAATATACTAACAGGGCATTGTCATGTGTTCTCTGTGTGCTACAAGTGAACAGCAAGCTGAGGAGGAAGAGAAACAGCTACACTCTATACAGAGTATGATGGTTGGTCATCTGCATCAGATAATAGAGGAAGATATTGATAAATGGTAAGCAGTCATCATTGTAGTTAATTAAAAATTAGAAGGCAAGGAAAATAAGTTTTATAAATGAGTGTTTAAAAAATTCAAAATTGCGAATTTGATTAAAAAATTAGAATCAATTAATATTAATGTTGTTGAATATATATGATTAAATTTACGTATAAATTTATAACAACTCATAAAATTTAATAATAAATGAGACATTAAAAATTAAGAGATATTTAACTCACTACATTCCATTTAAAAGAATGGTTGATGATCTCATTTCTACAGCCCTCTCTGGACTATCAGCCCTAAAGTGCTACAGAAAGCTGCAGCAGATAATAAGCAGTTTTTTATTTTGTATTTGCATGCATTGGTTTCATGGACTGAAACTTTTACTCCATTATTGGATAAAAATATATTTATTTGGAGGTAAGGTTTATTGTAAATAATGAAAGTCAAAACTAGATCAATAGTAATTTTATTTCTATTATTTTATAAATGAAAAAATAATAAGTTATAGACATATTGCACAAGTACATTGTTTGTGGGTTTATAATTATTTAGTATTTGCAATTTTTAAAAACTAAATAAGTTTATACATAAATTCTGAAGTCATTTTCTTTATCTCACCAAGTGAAATTCAATATGTAAAAATATATTATTAATTTAATGGCATGTTAAACTTTAATCTGCTTTTTTTGTCATTTATGAATATCCAAAATTGAATGCAATTTTTTAATATAAATACAAATGAAGTTGAATTTAAAATATACATACATGTATTAACAATATGTTTAATAAAGAATAAATACATATATAAATATGTACATACTATCATAAGTTCCTTTTCAAAAACCTAAGTATCAAAAATTACATTTCAAAATAACTTATTTCAGAAGTGCCTCAGGACACAATGTTGACTACCTGACAAAACACTTTATATGCCTTCTAACGAACCCACCTACGAATAAAGAAAGAAATCAAATTGTACTTGATCTCCTGGTTGACAAAGTGAGGGAAACTGATTTTACTGTGTGGCAGGTACTGGCCCAAAAACTGACATGTCTGCTGAAATAATTAACCCACTAAGTACAGTCAAAGCAATGCCATGTAGCCAACAGAATAGCATCTTAGGAAACATTTACAAAATAAATGAGCCCTGTCTAATTTTAATGATACTAGTATTGTCTAAAATGACACTTCTTAGGCACAATTTGCTTAGAATATAATTTTAGTGCCACTTTATCATACAATTTTGAACAGCAAAAAAATACTGATAATAGAAATCTGAATGTTTTATATATATATATTATATATATATATATATATATATATATATATATATATATATATATATATATATATATATATATATATATATATATATATATATATTGTATATACACACTATATGAAATGGTGTAAAATATAATTATGTACTAAATCTATTTTTTTGGGTTCAAATATTTTTGATTTTGAAAAAAGGTATTTGTTGTGTAAATTAAACATAATTTCATAAAATCTTTTATTTATTTGAGTTAAATTGTTAAATACTGTAAAATGTTTGTAATTTATTATTAAATGAGGACTACATATTTTGTTTTAGTTTTCAATAATCACTTTGTAAAGAATATCTTGTTCTACTTATGTCAAATTGTTACTGGCTTCAAAATGCAATAAAAATATCATATTCCTTTAGGTTATGTAATTATTATATCATGAGTCACTTTCATTTTTGAAACTGCTATCAACATCCTCCGTTGAAAATGTTTTGTGTTGAATAACAGGTATGATGTACAATACTATTCATGTCAGAGTTTCATTCTTTTTCATATTTGATACTCTATAATGTTGGTTAACTAAATTTTGATTGTTTTTCTCATTTTTTATGATAAAATTTATATCACCAGCATCAGATCTCTTTTTATTTCTTGTTTCGTCATGAAAAATGTCCTTTTTAATACTGGGTTCACTTGAAATATCATCTGTATAGTCTTCAGGTAACAGTCGGTCAAAAATAAATCCCTCCACTTCTTCACCCCTCAGAGACGCCCTTACATTTTTATGGAACTCAGATTCATTCATTTCCTGACCATCAAAAGCGACATTTAAAGCATCCAAAAAATTAGGATGGTAAAATAGAAAGAGCACAGCCATGACGCAACCATCCAAGCCAACACCTGGTTGCCAGTCTTTGTCCAGCAGGCTTACACAGACAATGTTTTGTTCCCCAAGATCAATGTTTGGGTGGTATATGCTATTCAAGCATTTAACTATTGGAGCTTGTGCAGGATATGACACAGGTGCTTCAACCTAGGGAGAGACAAAAAGATGATAAAATGTAATTTTACATAAACATAAAGCTTGTTAAATTATACTAAATAATGTAACAAATGATCACATGATGGACAGCAACTTGTATCAGATTAAAATAATTCAATCAGAGCTTAAATTTATTAGTAAAATGCAAAGACATCTTGTTACTAAATTAAACTAATAAGGGATTGTGCACCCCTATATATAATACTTTTTAAGCTTATTGTCCAAAAGTCACAAAGAATAAAGGCATATTTATCCAAAGTTTAATGTATTTTTCTCTTTCTAAACTAAAATGCCAGTAGGCTAAGCTTAGATTGTATTAGAATACAAGTTTTCAACCATTAATAAATACTAAATAGTTCTAAGTAATGATAGTTCTATCTTCAGCACTCTTTGTAAACCCACCTGGAATTTTATTAAAGCTCCTTTGTAATGTCCATCTTTAGGAGTAACTTGAATGTAAAAAGCTTGTTTGGTATCATCTGAAGTGTCATCAATATGAAGATTAACATTTTCTATTTTTACTTGACCTAATGTTAGTTTGTCAACTGTGTGATTAAGTCTTTGAAGCTCTTTCCAAAATGTACCACATTTGAATGCCATTTTTATTTATATAAAAGGAAAAGTTGACTTCGGATTATTTGCAGGTAAGTTATTAAGTACAAAGTAGGTCTACAAAAACTTTCTATTATCAATCAATAAAATCTATTTACTATTCAATACAAATATTTTGTATGAAATGTAGTCAAGTAGGACCTATACTAAGTCCTTATACTCAATTATACTGATATACTATATACTCCCAATATAGATTTATAATACAGTATCAGTCTATAGACTCTATATTCACGTATATTGAGTTTATACTATTTAAAATTAATAATTAATAATAATTATTAATTATAGATCTAGCAGCTACACACAATCACGACAATCACGTCTACAAATTATATTTTATATTGTAGGCCCTATAACTATAATTAATAATATTAATCTCCGAGTAGATCTACAACTTAAAACTAATTTTGTTAAACTGCCTTCTTTTATACGGTTATTGCTGCAAGTATTGCGTGTCAGACCGATTGCCATTGGATTTTCCTTGTTCAATCGGTCTAGAATGGATACTGCAATAACCACGAAATTTCTGTTACTTGAAGCATAATGTTCTATATTTAGCATGACCTCGTGTTTGTGTTTACCAACAATGACCGGTGTAGATAAAAATAGCGGACCGGTATTTGGTTAGTCTTCTTGGTCTGATGCAATAGATGTACAATCCGTTTAATTCATAGCCTTTATGCTTTTTCGATAATATCTGAAAAAATTAATTCTATGTAATGAATTGTTATTTTTTTAAAAATACCCAGTTTTGTTTATTTTAAATATAAGAAATTTCAAAGATAAATAAGAACTATTGTTTCGAAACAAAACAACACAACTCTTCTCACACATATCAATTTACCCTTATTTATTTTAATGTACAAAAGAGTGCTTTTTTTTATACAACACGACAAAACTCAAAACAGCTCATCCATGTCTACAGATTTATTTTAAAGATCTAGACTCTATCTAAATTGAAGAGAGATAAAATATGGCTATTTCGGAATTTTTAAAGCAATATTCGAGGTAGATCTTTAGAACGTGTTCGCTTTTTAAAATTATGACTCATTAGGCCTAAATACTAGATTCAAAATTAAATAAATATTAATAATAATAATAAATAGGCCCTACTAAATAAATTTTTGTAAATTAATTAAAATAATTAAGATCTAGAATCTAGATCTACTCACAAATAGATGGGCCCGTACTAAGAAAATCAACAAAATAAAACAAAATTTTGTGATTGCCTGATTTCTTCTTCTTCGTTCTTAATTTTTAGTGTTGGAAGAGATTGAGCCTTATCTGCCAGAGGGTTTGAACTCGAGACTATTTCGAATTTTTCAACCATGAGCTTTTTCCGACTCGACCACACCTCCATCACAATTATTTCAATTAAGGCTTAAATTATTATTAAAGGATACGTCATTACGTGTCAACTAGTTATGCACCATTGAGGCCATTGACTCCGATTTCAGCCTGCTTTTCTTTTTGGATTTGCTTCCATCCATAGCCTTTGTCAAACCAAGAACAAACTACAACAAGGCAGCAGTTGTTTGATTTTGGAGTTGTCTTTCCTAGAAGAGTGGTCGTCTTCAGCTAACGGGCCTCATCTGCCCGAGGGAGCGAACTTGAAACTTTTTTGTTTATCAACCATGAGCTTTACCAACTCGACCACGCCAACCCCTATCGCGGATGTGATTAGGCAGGGGATTGGGGGATTTTTATTTTTTAAACTAAAGTTATCTGAATTTGAATGAGATTCTAGATGATTAGATATAATTGTTTGATTAGTTTGAAGTTTAGAATTGCAACTGATAAGTTACTTACTAGTTACTAGTTGTTAGGCCCCTATGTCAACTGTCATCTATGTTTTTAAAATTTAGCACTACATAGTACAAGTCAAATGTCATAATTCTATATTTCTATAGGCCTATTTAACTATTTAATTCTATAGGCCTATAATTAACTATAATAATTCTAAATCTATTTTTAAAATTTCAAAGTGCCTATTCAGAAGCTTTCCCCCCCCTCCCCCCCTCGGCAAAAGGCAATGATTGAAGTGAAAAGTTGCGCAATAGGCTCAAACTAACTAATAATAATTAATAATAATAGCTGCACAAAAAATAATTTTAAAAATTTTAAAATCTATTTTAATAGCCTATTAAAATCACTATACTATCTAAGTATTTATCGTGTTAATCCTTATCCCATCAAAACAACACATAGGCCTAAACAACGAACATTTGATGTAGATGACAAGAAAAAATAGGTAATTGTAACTAGGCTTGTCGGTATCGGCCGAGTTCGCTGTAAAAACATGACTCAAATATTCCCATCATTTCTGATACCGGGCACACGAGATTTGGCTTTGCATACTAATAAGTTTTTAATTTATGGTAAATTAAATAGTTTAAAAGGTCATTTCCTAATGTTAATTCAAAAATAGAATGGTGTTCCCTTTGTTTTAATGGTTTTGCGATCTAATTGCATTCTATCTCTGCTTTGGTCTTTCCCCCTGTATCAAGTTTAGTTTCAAATATGTCAAAACTCAATTTTTGAAAAGTTTCCTCATAGAGAAAGTTTCCATTGCAGATACATCTTATGTGAATAGAAATGATAATTGTTTTTGGATATTTTCATATTGACATTAGTAAATACTCATTTGAAAGTAGTTACTTTATGACTATGTAGGTCACGTTGCTACCATTGTTAAATTTTTCATCCCGATCTGCCGGCTTTTAGTTTTGATACACTAACAACAGCATTCTTATGTAATGTGCAAACAAATCTCCTAATTGTTGTTTTAAAATAGATCTACATATCTTTCATTTTTTTTCAGATTTAGATCTAGTTTTGTTTGAAGTACAATTTTGCCAAATAAGTTTTCCCTAAAATTAAATTTTGTCAGACTATACAAGAATCAGGTGTAGGTTACTATAATATTAGTCTGTTGCTATATACTAGCTGTGTGCTAACTGTAATTTAAAGTTCTACTTACCCTTATTTATAGTTATATTCTGAAAATCAGAATTTATACACACATAACAACATTGATCTGATAACTGCATTTCACTTATAACAAAATGGCTTGAAGATGGACTACTATTTGAGCTAGAAAGAAAATCTTTTTTGTTTTGTTTTCATATAGTTGAGCTCTCTACAAGAATGCATAATTTTTATTTTTATATAATGATTTTTTTTTTTACCAAAATCCCTATTGTATTTAAAATTAGTTGTCAGTTTAGTTGAGTAAAGCTACACTTTTCTTTCTGTTTACAGTAAACTTTCAGGAATAGCCAGTTTGATGATTCTATCAGGAGTGATATTTATCATCCTATTCACAGTGGTGTTTTTTCTTCTTCGGATCTGGCTAAAATGGAAAACAAAATACTTTACTGATGCAGATGGAAAAAAGAAAATATCAATAGCTTTTTTCCATCCCTACTGCAATGCAGGTGGTGGTGGAGAGAGGGTCTTATGGGTAGCTGTTCGCTCCATCCAGAAAAGGTAATTAGACTTGACTTGTGTATGGGACAATAGTTTAAAAATTAAAAAAAAAACATTCTCTTTTCAAATTGTTTTATAGTAAAGTAATGATTTAACAAACTGTTGTAACTTTGTTTTTAATTTTGATTTGTTATTTAAATAAATATTTAATGTTTTCCAGATATCCAGCTGTTCAGTGTGTGATTTTTACTGGTGATACTGGTGCTTCACCGGAGGAAATTTTGGACAGAGCTCGACAGAGATTTAATATTGTTCTGCCACAGAGAGTAGAATTTGTCTACCTCCACTACCGCAGTTGGGTTGAAGCAGTGAAGTACCCATACTTCACTTTGCTTGGCCAGAGTATAGGCTCCGTCTTTCTCGGCTTTGAAGCCCTATTCTCCTTTGTGCCAGATATTTATATTGACACCATGGGCTATGCATTCACTCTTCCTTTGTTCAAATTTGTTGGCGGGTGCAAAGTAGCTTGCTATGTGCATTACCCTACAATATCTACAGATATGTTGAGCAGAGTTTTTCAGCGTGTTGAAGCTCACAATAATGCATCCTTTATCTCCAAGAGCTTGTTTCTGAGCAACCTCAAGCTTATTTACTATAAATTATTTGCTTATCTATATGGTGTTGCTGGCAAAAGGTCAAATGTCATAATGGTGAATTCTACCTGGACCTACAACCACATATTAAGTTTGTGGAACGTGCCATCAAAAACTCACATTGTTTATCCTCCATGCGATATTTCTGAATTTATGAGCACTCCATTAGTAAGTGATGAAAACAAACCAAAACAAATTTTATCCCTTGGCCAGTTCCGCCCAGAGAAAGATCATCCTCTACAGATCCAAGCGTTCCACAAATTTCTGATGGGATTAGATGAAGCAAAGAGAGTAAACTTTAAGCTGGTTTTGGCAGGTAGCTGCAGGAATGAAGAAGATGAAAACAGGGTAAAAAACTTGCAACGTCTCTCAAAAGAGCTTCAGATTGAGAAAAATGTTGAGTTTCACCTGAATGTTGCATTCTCTGAGTTAAAACAGTTACTAGAGCAGTCCCTCATCAGCATACACACCATGTGGAATGAACATTTTGGAATTTGTAAGTACTGCTAGCTTGGTTTTTTTTTTAATGAATTTACCCTGATAATCACATAATTTAGCAAATAATTTAAAAAACAAACAGAATTTATAAAGTAGCATTCTTTTAATTTTTAAAAATGAAAATAGTTAATGGTACCTGACTCAAAAAAATGTGAAGCTGACCATAGTGCTGGCTATCCTTTTATAATCTAAAAGACACATAGATTGTCTGTCTGGTTTGTTTGGATACTGTACTTTATTTTTTACTTATGTTTTTAACAATAATGAATAATTAATGGTTACATTTTTTTAGGTGTGGTTGAAGGCATGGCTGCTGGCACAGTGATGCTAGCTCATGATTCTGGAGGTCCAAAGATGGATATTGTAGTTACGTATGAAGACAAGCCCACTGGGTTTCTAGCTCATGACGTCGATTCTTATTCATGTGCAATTAAAGAAATCTTTGACATGTCCCCTCAACAGAGGCTGGAGCTGAGACAGAATGCAAGAAACTCGTTAACTAGGTTTTCAGAAGCGGAGTTTGAAGTTGCTTTCCTGACTCTGTGTGAGCCTTTACTTAGAAGTACTGGCATTGTTGCTTGAATAGTGTTAATGTTTGATTTGCTAATAAAACTTGTATGCACCATTCATTTTATTTCTATTAAATTTTCTTACAAAATTTGTTGTTGGGGACTGTGAGGTTGGGCAGAAGAGCACTTGATTACTAATCTTAAAGTCTTAGTTCTGATCTAAGGCTCAAGTTTGAGTTCATCCAGCTCTGATGGTTACCTGACAGCTTGACTGAACCATTCTCTCATATCCCAGAAAAACATTAACTCTACTTCATCTGGATCACTGACCAACTGGTCTGCAAGCTAATTTTTTCTTTCCTTTTGTCTGTGTCAGGTTATTGAAATGCTGCCTTATAAATATAATTTTAAGAAAAAGAAGAGACAAACAATTAATAAAAATACAGTGAAGATCAAAACTATGGACATGGCTGTGTAATGTTGACTCTGTTTTAAGTACTGAATAAAATAAGTTCAACACTCTTTAGTTGGGACGTCTTAATGGGACGGAGTGGTCTAGCGGTAGAGAGCTGGACTACTAACCCGTAAGTCTCGAGTTCGGATTCAAGTCAATAGACCGTCCCTGAGTCCACCTAACTCTGATGGGTACCTAACTCACGTTAGGGAAAGTAAAGGCGGCTGGTCATAGTGCTGACCACACTATCTCTTCCTATGCCGAGGTCACAGAAACAAGTGAACTCCACTTGCCCCATAGACCGTCAGATTTGAAAGGGAAACTTTTACTTACTTTTACTCTTTAGTTGAGCAAAATTAATGCATAGTATAAAAATCTGATGAAAGAATTTAAAGCAATAATAAGATAACTTGCTAGAAATATATTTGAGTGACAAATGTGCACCCCACCTGCATCAAATGGCATATTTATGATTCTCATTTAATTAATTTATCCATAGATCAAAACCTTCACTTCTCAAAACCATATCCCAGTTTTAGTTGTTTTAATACATTTAGGCTATCATTATAAAATAGAAAGCTTAGTAAAATTTAAATAGAGGATGAGACGGGTTCTAGAAACGATACATAAGTCCATGGTCAATGGAAATATTAAATGGATTATAAATGTTAGCTTGCTACACAAAGTTTACTCACAAGTTGAAATGACTAAATAATGACGTGGTTTACTTGAGGGAACAAAATGCTAATTGGAACACAAGTTCATATGCTTAGAATAACAGTTAATTCAAAACGATGGTTTAAGTGTTATAAATTATAAGGACAACTTACTCTACCTCTGTGGAAAATTAAACAAATATTCGTCCATTAAAGGGTATGAGTTTAATTACATAAAAGTATTAAAAGTGTAGTTAATTAAAATGAACAAGATTAAAAAAATAAAAATTTAAAAATGAGTGGTCAAAGGGAAATAACCTAATATATTTTATTTGTTTCTAGCATTGTCATGGTAACTCCCCTTTGACCACTAAGCCATCTTCATGTTTTAATAAATCATGCTAGGTTGTTTGGCTTAAAAAATGTTCAAACAATGAATATATATATATATATATATATATATATATATATATATATATATATATATATATATATATATATATATATATATATATATATATTTATATCCTTTAATTCGTTTCTTATGTATAAGAGACCTATATCTATACGCTTTTTTCCCTATGTCAATTCGTTTAAACATATGATCTTGTGATGTTTACGTTTGTCCTATTTACCTGTTGTCTTCCGTACAGATTATGGGTGGTCAGCTACAAATTTTTTATCTTCATGGTCGTTCAACATTTTTGCCATTAGATTAAATGCTTGAAATGTGTGGTGTTAGACTCAGTTTTGTCTTACTTTAATAAAATTAAAAATAAAACGTTCTCAATTAGTGGTCAAAGGGATATAACTAAATATATTTTGTGTATGTGTAACATTTTTGTGGTAGCTCCCCTTTGACCACAAATAATCATGCTTTTAGCACAATCTCTAAAAATAATTTTAAAATATTTTAATAGCAAGCTTTTATATGATTATATCAACTAAAAAGTAGACAACATGATTTTTGAAAAATATAAAACAATGCACTAATATTTAAATAATTATAAAGAAATACGTGTATCTCGTCTTAATTTTTAGTAGGCCTACTGCTAATCAATAGATAATAATTTATTAAAATGACCACTCTTTTCTTTATAGTTATTTTAAGAATAGTGCTTATAGGCTTATATTTAAAGAATATAGAATCTAATTCATTTTCTACTTTCTAGTGCATTATCATATAAAAGGTTGGTAATTATAACCTTTAGTTTTTTTTTTTCAAAACTTTAATTTTTTTTTAATACAGCAGATTTGCATGCCCGTTTAAATTACATAGACTATAGAAGATATCTAGATATGAGATCTACTTTTATCTAGATTCTAGAATCTTATTGTAGCTTTCAGTTTTAACTGTAGTGACAGGCTTAATTTAAAAATGTAGACAAATAAAATTAGCTCAGCTGGGTAGACAGTCGTTAATAATTAATATTAATATAGAAATCTAGATCTGGATCTAGATTCTACTTTTATAATTTTAACTTCGGACGGTAAGCCTAGTGGCCTAGTGCAGTTTTGACCTACTTTAATGAACTGCACCATACCATAGTTTACAGTTAACCCATAGTGGCAATAGTCAACAGATATTTTTTAAATGTTACATAAAAATGTGGGTCAAAGTTTTGCTAGTGTCATTCGGCTGCTGTATTACATGCCCTACTAGAGTCTAGTCTAGTCTATAGAACAACCACCTAACTTTAAATGTATGCTGTGCAATGATTAAGTGATTATGGTAGCAAAGCATTCTTCTAATCTAAATCTAAATTTACGCTATCGGTGTGCATTAAGATAAATCTGAAATAATCTAGAATCGAGTATCTAGTTCCAGGTTTCTAGATCTAGAACTAGATTTACTCTGATTTAGATCTAGTAGAGTCTAGATCTATATAAACATATTTAATATTACTATAAATTGTACTATGTAATAGTATATAACTAGTAACTAGAATTAAATATAGACCTAGAATCTATATAATAAGACAATATTTACTATAGTATTTTCATTAATAATAATTGTAATTAGTTAGGCCTATTAAAAATTATACCTAGATTGTAGGCTAATAAAAATTAATTTATTGTGATTATTTTACATCATAAATTAAATTTTAATAGCCTATTAATTAAACATTTTCAGAGCAATATTTGACCATGACTATGGCTGAAAAGGCAGTACATGATCTGTATGAGGAAGTTTGGAAGTGGAAACTGTTAGAAAGCCCTGAGCTCTCTTCTTTTTGTGGCTACCATGAGTATGATGATAAATGGGATGACATCAGCGAAGAAGCTTACAAGAGAAGAGAGGTAGAACTAGCTATATTTATCATTTTTCTAACTGTTCTTTAGAATTTAACCTGAGGTGTAACAGGGGGGGGGGGGGGGGCTTCCCACCTGAAAATATTTTCAAGACCATTTACTGAGGTTTATTTTAAAAATGCACCGGTAATAACATTTCCCCCCACAACTTATTATGGGAAATTCTGAGATGACATGTATGGATACATTTAACAGTTTTTTTTTAACCTTCTCACAGTTATTATTTTTTTTTAATTTATAATTCAGGTCTGTATACAAGAATTCTTGGAAAAGGCACAGTCCATTGATACAAGCTCATGTACTTGGGAAACCAAGATTAACTACAGCACTCTTGTTGATGATTTAAAGCTGTATTTACAAGGAACAAGATTCAAAAGGTAAACCTTGAAAGCTAAAATGTATAATGTAAAAATTGATTATAAGATGAATGTCCATATTTTGTAAAGTAAAAAACATTAGTAAGTTTAACTTTAAAAGAAATAAACATCCACAAATTTTAGAAAACTATTTGTTTTGTTGAAAACACTTTTTACAGTTACTTAATGCCCATAAACTACATTGAAGGCATCCATAATGACTGCAATCTCACCATTTCATATATGAAATTTGAAACTGATGATGATTTCTATAAATATATCTCAAGACTTGAAAAACTTCCCAAAAGGGTATGAATTATGATATAAGTGATTATGATAGCAAAGCATTCTTCTAATCAAAACTAACTCAAACGCCTGTCGGTGTGCATTAAGATAAATCTATTCTAGAATCGAGTATCTAGTTCCAGGTTTCTAGATCTAGAATCTAGATATATATATAGATATATATACATACATATATATATATATATACATATATATATATATATATATATATATATATATATATATATATATATATATATATATATATATATATATATATATATATATATATATATATATATATATATGACATTGTATTTTTGTTTCAAGGTTTTAAAATAGATGATTATAGGCAAGAAATGATTATCATCAAATATAAGCCTACATTGTAGTTGCTGTTTACCCTGTCTCATTGTTTTTTTTTTTTAAATTATAATAGATTGAACAAGTTATATCTGTTTTAAAGAGGGGAGTTGAAGAAGGTGTTGTCATGTTTTCTGGTTCGGTGGTTAGTATTTTAAATTATAATATTAATTTGTTAATGGTATTTTGTAAAAATTGCTGGAAAATGAAATAGTAATTATTTACTTAACTGAATTGAAGTCAATGGCTTATATGGTATATAACAGGTTGACATGTAATAGTTAATTGTGTTTTAGAAAAATCCATCCAACATTACAACTACAACTAAGAATGCAGAAGAAGAAAACTTGGTTAATTTATTGGGAAAAAAAAGATTCAGAAGCTCTGTATCTTGTTGCTTTTGTTAGTCATACTTAACAATATTCCCTAAAGTCTTAATGAAAAAAATGAAAACCCCCATGTTTACACAATCTATGATATCAAAGTGTGTTTCAGAATTTAATACCTAGTCAGCTGGATAAGTTTGTCAACACCCCATGGGATGAGCTGGCATTGTTCAAACCAATGACTAAAAAATATACAAATATCCCTGAAGAAAAATTGTAAGTAGTATGGTTTCCTTTCTGGAGTTATTTAAACAGTCATTATATTATATTATTAGCTTCCTTAGTAATAGAACTTCTATTTCACAAATCATATAGTTTTGAAAAATAACATTATTTTTAAGAGAACAATTTCAAACACAAGCCAAACATCTAATTTCAACTGGAGTATACCCTGCATTAATGAGACTGAAAGCATATTTGGAAGAGGTATTTACAGTTTAAAGCTCATAACTAACAAAATATAGGAATTTTTTATCTTACTTGTTAGGCTGTTTAAATTTAAGCATGAAAGTATAATGAATATATTAAATAAACTTTTATTTTCTTCTAAAATAAACCGGGAGTGATCTCCCCTAAACTTTTTCGAATATTCTTATATAAAATAACAGGGGATGGGAACTCGGGCTATAGACATGATTTTTAATCCATTTTAAATACTTAAAGTTTTAAAAATAGAATAAAATCTCGTAGACAAATTAATTGCACACCAAGTGAACGCCAAATAAAAAAGCGCATAATAGTGCGCAATATTATTAGTACTTTTAAAATTTACATTAGTTTTTTGAGAAATCGGAAGTAGCGTAAAGTACTACTTCCAGTCAACAGAAATTACTCAAAATTTAACAGAAGGTAGAGAATTGGATCTTTTACTTACATGTGAAATTTCATTTATCTATCTGAAATAGTACTCAAGTTATAGGCTTTTGAAAAATTCAAAGTAGGAAAAGTACCACTTCTGTTTATCGGAAATCGCTCAAAAGTTGATACAGATCTACGATTTTGATAAAATACTTATATATGAAATTTCATCAACCTAGCTGTAACGGTACTCAAGTTATCGTGTTTACACACGGACAGACAGACACACAGACGGACATACGGACAAGATTGCAAAATTATGTTTTTCCGTATCAGTGAGGTGTAAAATGTCGAGATTTGTAAAAATCTCGATTTTTTTTTTTTTTTTGCACGATTACAAGACTTTCTCTATACTTCGTATATACGAGAAAGTAAAAAAAGGTCCAGCTTTTTACTAAACTGTTATTGATTTTTATCAGGAATATTTTTTGCATCTGAGGCCAAAAGAAGGGATTAATTGTCTTGAGAATGGGGATCAGTGGTATCAGCAATGCTTGGATTTTCATCTTAGCTGTTCAATGACACCACAACAGGTTCACGATCTTGGCCTCAAAGAAGTTGCTCGCATACGTGAACAGATGTTAGCTATTGCTAGTAAAGAAGGACTGGGTGAAACTTTTCCAGAGATCCTGGCAGCAATTAAAAAAAGGCAGCATAAGTTTTTCAAAACAGAAGTAATTTACTCTTTTTCCCCCCCCTATTTTGTATATTTGATGAAATAATATTTTTAAAATGGTTATGTCCCATTAAAATTGATGTAGTAAAATTGCATTTATCATTTAAATAAAATGTCTTATAGGTTCATGTATCAAATAGAGAACAGATTTAATCTTGGCAAAATTTTAAAATATCAAGTAGTAATCATATCCTTTGCTGCTTAGGGTTAATCTTTTGTTAGGTAGCAAATCATATTTTATTTCTAAAAGACTTCTGTCACTAAAATATTTTTTTACTATAGGAAGAGGTTCTGGACTATGTAAAAAATCTGTGTTATAATAAAATAAGGCCCAAACTTTCAAACATGTTTAATGGACTACCTGACATTCCTATGGTGTAAGTACTTACTTTTTTTTTTAAATAATGAGAATATGTAACTTAAATCTTAACATGTTTAAATTTAACTAATTTAACTAAAATATATTTTCAAAAAAAGAATTAAACCAGTCCCTGATTTCATGAAAAATGCCCCAGCTGGATTCTACCTAAATGGAACTCCAGATGGGTCAAGAGAAGGTAGTTACTGTATCAACACACACAATCTGGATGCCTGGTAAGAAGAGTTTACACTCTTACTTCCCTTTAATAGATTTTATAACAAAATTTAATTGAAAATATAGAATCTACTAAGTAAAGGTTGTTCATAAATGAGTTCTTGCTTTTTAAATAATTTCTACTCCTTTTTTCCACATAAACACACTATATAATATATAGTAACTGAACTGGGCCTACAATTATGTATATTGATGCATTTTTGAAAATATCTGCTTTTTTCGTTTAAAATTTAAAAAAAAATGCATTAAAATCTCATTGTTACCAAAGTGTGGAGCACTTTACCCTGAGCCCCCCCCCCCCTTTTTTTTTTAGAAGTATGATGCCATTTATGGATGACCAATAAAATAAAAATAAAATATAATTTTGTAAGTTTAATGGGACATTTGTTGTTTTTATATGTTGTGATCTTGTAACAATCATCATCTTTTCTATTACAAAAGTATTGCTTTGTTTTTTTTTTAAATCTGCATAGCATGGCCTACTGTTATATTTTATTTTACAAAGATACTTTAATTTACATCCTACAGCGCTTTAGTTTTTCACTAAATATTCCCAGCTAATTTAGATCTTATTTTAGTATACCTTTCCAGCTGCCTGCTTTAAGTTTGCATGAAGGAGAACCAGGTCACCATCTACAGGTAATTTGCCAGAGTATTTTGAAATAACACAATATGCATGTTTTTGTTTACAAATTGAAGTTATTTCAATAATGTTAAACAGAAAATGTAAACATTGTTTAACATATGAGTTAGACTTGTTTAGTTACCATAATTTTTGTTCCCACTTTTTTAACAGCCCCATGATATAAGTGATTTGAATTATTTCAACAGAGCATCTACACATTAGGTTCTTGTCACCTGCCTCAACTACGCAAGTTTGCAGAAGACAGCAAATATTATTTGGCACCTGGAAAGTTTGCATTGAAAACAGCTTATATTGAGGTTTGAGCTCCATAGTTCTTAAAAAAATAATAATATGTAAGCTTAAATAAATCATTTGGTGATTGAGAAAAAACAGAGAGGAAGGCAGAATTTCTATCCAATTATTCATTGTATCCTAGAAACACAAATCTTGGTCTCTCCTGTTTCCATAGCATTAGATTCAAAGCAAGTGTTATAGTAGAAGAAAAGAGGAAATACTTTAATTGGATTGAAATTCCTCTCTGTGCTTTGTAAGACTTCTATAAAATGCTATAAAAAAACTAAAATTTTCTTTTAACACGAATGTAAAATCTTTTAGAGTCTCTTAATCATCAGTTTAATTTGTATGCAAGCAAGTAGCATGATTGCCTAATGGTGGAGTATAACTATGATTTGATTAATGCTCATTTCCTGCAAAAAATATTATCATTTAATTATCAATGAGTCAAATACTATTTTGATTAAATTTCTGTTTTGAATATTTATTCTCTAAATATATCCAGGGTTGGGGCTTGTACTCCGAAGGACTAGGGGAAGAAATGAATATGTATGAGGATCAACTGGATTTGTGAGTTTTTGTGAGCGTATTTTGTCTGTTAATTTTTTTAAATGAACTAGAACTATGTTAAGAAAGGTACTTACTTTTTTTTTCATTTCATTTTTGAAATATTTGTTTTGTAATGTCTTTTAAAAAAAAAAAAATCTTTTACAAGGCTGGGACGCTACAGCTATGAGATCTTTAGAGCTGCCAGGCTAGTTGTAGACACAGGAATTCACTGTTTTGGGTATGTTATGTATGTCCAGAACATTCAAAATAAAAGTCATTTTGAAAATTTTTAAATTTTAGTATTATAAATTATAAGTAAAAAAATTGTTTTTACATTTCTTCCAAAAAAGCTTTAGTTCTGTTTCATTTTAAAACTGTTTTCCTCGATGTTTTTCAGGATTTTTTTGTACATTAAACACAAAATTAGGATATAAGCTGTGGACATAATTTGTTAACACAAACATAATTCATCATTAACACAGACTTAATTCTAATCTATTCATTTAAGGGCAGAATCAAAATAATCTATCCACTTAAGGGTAGAATCAAAATTTTATTTAAATGTTTAAATGCTTATAAAATGCATATTATGGAAAATATATCTGACATTTGTTTAGATGGACCAGAGATCAAGCATTAGCTTATATGACCAACAATAGTCTTGCATCTGAAAATGGAGCTGCCAGAGAGGTCGATAGATATATAACCTGGCCAGGTCAAGTATGTATCAAGTCATGTAGGCCTTACTGTCTTTATGCTTCATGATGTTTATTTTTTTAAATACTGAAACTAAAAAAGAATATGTTCTAACTTTTATTTAATTTAGGATATTTGATAAATATTTAAACGTTTGTGTTTTTAGAATCTGAAAATTGAAAAGGGCATATTGCCAAATTTGAAAAGATTTACTAATTTAATTTTTTACATGCAAATTTCTATAATTAAATTGGAATCCTATTTTAGGCTTGTGCTTACAAGGTTGGTGAGATCAAAATCTGGGAGCTAAGGCGGAAAGCAGAATCAATGTTAGGTAATTTGATAAACACTTCACTTAAGTCACAGCCTAGTTTAAAGAAAACTTGTTTAATAGATGGGTATTTTTTCCCCAATATTAATTACTTTTCAGTAATTCATAATTTGTGAATTTGACAGTACCAATGCTGTCACTGAAAATATTTGCTTTAAAACAATAAAACCCTCCCCCCCCCCCCCCGTGAAAGCAGCCTCCTCTTAGTTACCTCCCCTAAGTTTAAAATAGTTTCAAAGTAAATTATCTGCCCCTAATACGTGTCACTAAACCCGGCTCTACGATTGTAAAAATTTAGTGTGAACCACAGCTCACCATAGCATGTGGGGGTGGTTGCAGTATGCCTAGAGAGGAAGAGAGGGGACTGCTGGGCGCGCTTACAGCTTGGTGTTTTCTAACGTCTCCAAGAAGAGAATTATATAAATAGATTGTTTTGCTCTTAAACATTTATTAAAAATAGTTATGCTCTTAAACCTTTTTTTAAAATGGTTATCTTAGTCTTTATAATTTCATTGGCTTAGAGTGGCTATATTACCAGTTAAAAGTCTAGTGTGTAATGGTTACAGTAAGACATTCAGTACTAATAGAAATGTTGATATTTGAAATGACTTCATCCAAAGATATATAATTAAAAATGTATTTCAGGTAATCGATTTAACCTAAAGGAATTTCACCATAGAATCCTTTCATGTGGCAGTGTGCCTCTACATATTCTGGAGAGAATTGTTGATAATTATATTTCTGAAAAAAGTCTTACAAATCAGCAAAACTCTCAGTAATATGATTTTACAAAACTTTGATGTTATGGCTGAGAATTTTTAAAAGGTACTGCACTTAAGAAAAAGTCATATATTTTTTAAATGTATAATAATATATTTTTCTTTACATATTAAGGTTAATACTACAATTTTGTACTTTAAACTTAAAAAAAAATGATGTACCTACATATTAATAAATTATGTACTGTATAACTTTGAACAAATTCATGAACAAAGAATACCATCTTCATTTTAAATTTAACAATTCATAGACTTTATATTATATTTTGTTATATCTTATATATGTGATACATTTTATGCACTAAAACCTGTTAAGCAGTTTTTTTATACTAGTTTTATTTACTTCATATCTTTTAATAATAACGTTTTAATTATCCATTATACTTTTACCAGTTTAATTTACAAAAATGTGCTCAATTTTAGTGGATACTAAAAATATTGAAAAAAAAAAGATATATATAAAGGGTGACTGTATATAGATATACAAGCCTATATATAAACATTATAGTTGTAGTTTTTAATCCCTTGATATTCCAAGTTGCATAATAAAAGTGCTCTTACATTACCAGGGTAATTATTTTCTGCTAACTGTTGAAATTATTTTTTGTGTTTCAACCTCAGCAATTTTTATAGCAATCTTCATAATAAATGTTTAACTTTATACTGTTTTGTAATAGAATGGAATAATACCTTTTTTATACAGAATGTCTAGCCAGCAGAACTATGTTCTTTTTTTACAATTGTGTGATACATTTTCTTGATTTTCACCTTTTTGAGCATTTAATTTTAATGCTGATTATAGATATCTTTATTTTTTTAGCAGTTGTTACAGTATTTTCTGATGTTTTTAAAAATATGCAGTTCTTAACCAACACAAAATATAAATATAATTCATTGTAAAATTTTTATAATCTTTTGTTGAAAGTGATAAAACTTGTGCTAAAAATTGTTAACAATACACAACATTTGTGTTCAACATATAGTGTATGTAAATAAATTACTTTTTTTTTTAAATTTTAGATTCCTTTAGCAGTTGTGTCTTATGTCATGTGTGTATATTAGTATAATATTATTTCTATTAAACTATACTCACTGACAGCAATGTATCATTATGCAATAAATGCAGCATTTTATGCTTTTAAACAGAGGTAAAGCTGTAAAATCAAAATAAAATTGTTTCTTAATAAACATAAATTGTTTGTCTGAATATATTTAAATTAATGTCTACATTAATGTTAAGCATTTATGATCCCCCCTCTCCTTTTCAATCTACACGCTATACAACTAACAATTACGACCAACTATTGTGATGTTGTTTTATATAAACTATGGAAATCACATCATTTTTTTAAGAAAATATGTTACAACTTCAATTAATACAGTTGTAAAACCTTATGTTTTAAAAATATGTTAGCCATATATGTCAATCTACTCCTCCAAAGATAAATAGAAAAGGAAGTCAAAGGCAGTATTGTAGGATTATAACTTAATATTAATTGCATTGCTTTTTTCATCTCCCAATATATAAAAATATATCAGAATTATAAGCCACCATCCCAGCACTCCATGATTATAAATTTATATATATATATATATATATTACATACATATATAGGCCAATATATATATATAGCCTAAATAAACATATATACATACATATATATAGGCCTTTAATTATGTATATATATATATATATATATGTATATATATGGTTTTTAAATAAATATTTACATATATAAAACAAAGATAACCTAACATGTGCACACTCATTAAAGTAGGCCTAGAATTTTTATAATCAGTGTAGGCTGCAGCTACTAGGACTAGATCTAGATCTAATTATTTAATGCTTAATTATCAAGCACAACAGACCATGACTGTTCCACATTAACAGATTTCTGTGTCCTATTTATTATTTTTTTGTGTGTGCAAGAAGCTGTCCTATTATTTTGATGTCCTTCCAGGAAACACTGCATATACAAGAAATATCTATTAACCAACAGGGGAAAGAACAGAGGAAAACATCAAGAGGTTAGAAAACTTTGAAACATTGTTTTAATTACATTGTTAGATGGGAATATTTTATTTTTAAATTTTGCACCTTGTATTGTCAATTATGATATTGTTACAAAACTAATGCAACAAGCAATATAATATGTTATAATTATATTATCTTAATATATTACCTATTACCAAAAAGTAATAGTGTTCTTTTAAATAAAGATGTAATGGATATGAATTATATTTTGTATCAGGGGATCAGTTTGAAGTCATGTCTGAGAGTGATATAGCAGTTCTTGCCTTGTGTGATGAAGTCTGGAATTGGAGATTAGCTCAAAGTCCAGAAACAGCTTCCTTTTGTGGCTTTCATCAGTATGATGATGCATGGGATGATATTAGTGATGAGGCTTTCAAAAAAAGAGAGGTAAAACTATGTCCCTTACATAATTTAGTAGGTTTATTATCGATGTAAAAAAATGTTTTGATGAAGGGGAGGGTAAGGGGTAAAAGTCAGATAGGTAAATGTGACATTTTTATGGAAGACCCTCAGGCATTGCTGTGTAATTTGTGGCGAAATGTAGAACCTTATTTTTAAACAGAAGAATAATCAATTAAATAAATACATTTTGTTATTATTTTAGGATTGTGTGAAAGAGTTTTTAAAAAAAGCTGAAGGAATTTCAACAAATTCCTGTTCTGCAGAAGTGGCCTTGAGCCATGTTTTGCTTGTTGATGATTTAAAGCAGTATCTCAAAGGTGCACAATTTAAAAGGTAATGATTTGTCTAGTTATTTTGTGTCTGAATGTACAGAAAAAAAAAGTTTATTTAAAAAAAAACCACCAAGAAAAAATACTAAAAGGTAACAATTTTGTTACTATAGGTCTTTGTTACTTGCAATTCTTGTTACTTCATTATTTTTGTAACTGTGCATCTGTTGTTTTTTTTTAAACATTATACCTATATGCTACTTGGGTGATATTTTGGTTAATCTTTTTTTTGTAATTATGTAGTATCTTAAAAAATGTTTTGTAAATATTTAATTATAATTTAATCTTTTTACAAGTGTAGGATTATTCATTTTAATAGATAACTAGTAACTATGAAGTAATAAATAATTGAACTCACTATTTTAAAAATCGGATTCTTAACTTAGACATTTTCAAATCTTTTAAATTAAAATGTAGTTTAAATAGCAAACATTATACAAACACAAAATAAAAAGTATAGCGAATAGTATGTATTTATTTTCATAAAGTTAATTTAGGAATGTTTCTTCATCAGTTACCTGATGCCTATTAATTATGTAGAAGGTATACACAATAATTGCAACTTAACGATCTCTTATATGAAGTTCAACACAGAAGCAGATTTTGAAAAATATATCAGACGGCTAGAAAAGTTGCCTAACAGGGTAATAAGATTTTTAATTTATAAAAACTAATGTGTAAGTTATTTAAAATTGATTTTAAAAAATATGACTTACTTTTTAGGATTTAAAAAAAATATTCTACAGATAGAACAAGTAGTTACCAATTTACAGAAAGGCATAGAAGAAAAAATAGTTCTACATCTGAGCTCTGTGGTGTGTAAACATTTTCAAATATTATAAACATTTATTTGCTGGAGATATAGTAAATTTAATAATCATGTCATTCAAATTGATTGCTCAAAAGATTGCTGAACTGTTTTAATGTGGATATGATTGATACACTGCTTGTCTCTAATGTACAGGCTAGAGTACCAAAGCAGATAGATGACATATTGAATACCCCAGTAGAGGAACTTGAAATCTTTAAGCCGTTTCATGAAGATCATCTTGCTGTCTCTAAAGAAAAACTGTGAGAAATATTTTGTCTCTCCAAGTTTTTAATTTAAAGACTATTACAAATTTATCTACAATATTTAAGAATATATGTTTTAAACAAAAGAGAATGAAAGTATTTGGGCCCTACTGGAAATCCTTAGTTGTTGTTTTTTTTTTTTTTTTTTTTTTTTTCAGGAATAAAGTTTTAAAAAAATGTTCTTTTTTTAAAAATTAGTTTTTAATATTAAAAGTAAAATTTACTTTTTTAATTGGTTTTCTCCAGAGAATCTTTTCAAGCTGAAGCCAAAAATGTGATCATTTCTAAAGTTAAACCAGCATTTAAAGCTTTAAAGGACTTCTTAGAAAATGTAAGGCCATTATTAATAATTATTGTTATGAACCAGACTTGTTAAATATTTTGTCTTTGATTTTAAAACTTAAAACAAAATAACTGTCAATTTAAAATCCTTTTTTGTTAAGTGAAAATAATAGCTACATTTTATTTGCCTGCACAGTAATTTAAATTTGAGTAACACTTTTTACTGAAAGGAATATATGAAACACCTGCGCCAAAAAGAAGGAATCAGCTCTTTAGCAAATGGAGAAGAGTGGTACCAGCAGTGCCTTGACTATCATCTCAGCTACCCAATGACACAACAGCAAGTTCATGATCTGGGTCTAAAAGAAGTTGGACGAATAAAACAACTTATACTGGAAGCTGCCAAGAAAGAAGGGCTGGGTCAAACTTTGCCTGCTATTTTAGAAGCAATTGTTGAGAGGCAGAAGAGTTTTTTTAAAACCAGAGTTAGCCCCTAGTTTTTTCTTTGGTTTTAGATTATAAATTTTTTTAAAGTCTTAATTGTTTTCCTTTATTTACTATTGTTTGGATCCGTATAATTCAAAGTTTATGAATAATATATTGTTTAATTGTAACAGGAGGAAGTCCTTGCCTATGTTGAAGATTTGTGTTACAACAAAATCAGGCCTAGACTCTCCCAACTTTTTAAAAACTTGCCAGATTGTCAATTGATGTGAGTACACCTTTACAGCAGAACTATCTCTTACTAAGGGGCAGTTACCCTGGGGAGCAGCAAGGTTAAGTTTTCACCATAATGTTATAAACACAAGGTCCAAAGCATTTCACAAAGCCCTTAATTTTTGTTAAGCCTATTATTATTAAGCAATACATTATGAAGAGCTGCAAATTGAAACCATTTACAACTCCAATTGATTGTGCTTTTCAATTTTCTTTTATATCATCCAAATGTTAATTCTGTGGATGAGTTGCTGCTTGATTGCATGTTTTAATGCTATTTTTCCTGCAAGTATTTGATTGAAGGGTACCAGTATTTAGCCAGGGAACGATTCAGTCATATTTTGATAATGCTGCTTTTAAGTAGCCTCTATTTGAAATATATGAAGATGCAGAGTTGCTGCCCTTTTCCTTAGACCTGTACATAGTTAAGTAAAAACTTAGATTGCTATTATCTAACCTCTCCAAAAGGTGAATTAACAGTGTTAACTAGATCCAAAACTCTGATTTAGAGTAAAAATTCCCCATTCAATTTCTTAAATAACAAGATGTTATTTCTAACTTTTGAATAATCTACAGATCTTACTTTAATACTCTCAGCAGCATATTAATTTCTTTTGAAATAATGTGTTTAATTAATTTGCAGGATAAAGCCTTCACCTGATTTCATGAAAAATGCACCAATTGGAATGTACCTTAGTGGCACACCAGATGGATCCAGAAAAGGAGCTTATTTAATAAATAATCATAATTTAGAGGAATGGTATGTTGACATTTTCAAACATTACCTAATTATATGAATCAATTTTTTTTTAAATTGAAAATTCTTTTGTTGACCAGCTACCCATATAAGATACCGGCTCTCAGCCTGCATGAAGGGGAACCTGGACATCATTTACAGGTCAGAGGTCATTGTCGCAAATATGAATTAGTCTGATTTCTAAAAAGTCATAGTCAATTTGTTATGTATACCTATATCTATAATTCAAAATAACAGAAGAAATAAATAAATTTTAGTGGTATATAAAACTCGTGAACACATTGAACACAATTTTCATTTCAGATTGATTCTGCCTTAGCAGCAACTCACTTGCCAAATTTTCGCAGATATCTTGACGATTTAAAATTGTATCTAACTCCTGTAGCATTTGCCCAAAACACTGCATATATGGAAGTGAGTAATTAAATCAATAAAATAATAATTGGAAAATATGTTACATGAAGTCCTCAATAGTTATTTATATACACAAGAATAAAATCTCATCAATATTGCAAAGCTAACTAGACAAATAAACAATCCTTTCCTTATTTTTTTGATGCAGTAAGATTGAAACTGAAGAATAATAATAGCCTTTCAATTTGAAAAATTCTTTTTGAACTTTAGGGCTGGGGATTGTATTCAGAAGCTTTAGGGGAGGAGATGAATATTTATGAGGACACATTTGAATTGTAAGTTATTGCTTTTTAGTTGTTCTGTGTTTTAATTTTTTTTTTTTAATATCACAATGATGAAAATGAATATATCTGTTTCTATATGTATTTCTAATTAACAAAACGTGTGACTAGCAGAGAAAAGTATTGCCTTTTTAATTACTTTTAGCTGGTGATTTTAGCGATTATACATACTACACAAATACATAAATATTTATTTAGTTCATATTGGAAACACTATAAAGAATAACTTTCTATATTATTCATTTTTAGACTGGGTCGCTACAATTTTGAGATTTTCAGAGCAGCAAGATTAGTAGTAGATACTGGACTTCATGCATTTGGGTAATTATATGGAACTGAATCAGCGTATTTATAAAGCATTCCAAGATTAATGGATGATCAATTACTTTGTATTATTTTATTTGCTAAACAATTCAACCTGTATTATTGTAAACTTTTTTTATGTCAGCTGCTCCTCAACTTGTCTGAAATACATTCTATTAAACTTATTTTTTAAAGTTGGAGCAAGGAGCAGGCTGTACAGTACATGACAGACAACACACTCTCTGTAAAGTCTGAAATGATTACTGAAGTGGACAGATACATTTCATGGCCTGGCCAGGTGGAAATTGCATCATACACATCATTAGCTTCACTATACTAAAAATCTATAATTAATAATTTCTTCTTGTTTATCATAGTTAGAGTTAATTGTTTTGTTAAAAATTATTCACAAATAATTAGTAATATGTTTTTTTATTTAGATTGCATTAACATTGTCTACAAGATACTTGACATGGATAGGGGGGAAGCTGCATAATCTTGTTTTTCTTTAGCTTTCGAAGCTGAAGAGTTCTTTTTTTTTGTCACTAAAATGAATGGTTGAATGATTGTTGAAGTCTCCTGGGACTATTTTTCTTTATATTTTCTAGGCATGTGCATACAAAGTTGGAGAAATTAAAATTTGGGAACTGAGACACAAGGCTGAAGCTAAATTAGGTGAGTTTTTAAAAAAAATTACGACAAATAAATCTCTTTTTTTTTTTTGTCTGCTGTGTGAAGGCTGTTTAGCCATGTCACAATGAAGTTATTTTTAAAAATTCAATTTAAAAATAAAAGTTTTTTTTTTTGTTTTCAACAGGCAGTAAATTTGACATCAAAGAATTCCATCATTGTGTGCTTTCATGTGGCAGTGTAACATTAAGTGTGCTGGAACACATTGTGGATAAGTTCATTGAGAAATCTTGTTCTGATGCTAGTGAGGGGAGATAACTCTTAGCACAATGTTCTTCTTGCTGTAGGCCCTTATAAAAGTTATTTTGTAACAAATTATTTTGGCACATAGATCTATGTGTGCCTGGACAATACTAGATTATTTTAACATTTTAACCAGTGCAATTATATTAGTTGTTGCTATTTCACATATAAATGTACTTAATATTAAAAAACCTACATAGAATTTTTATTATTTAAAATCTATGTTAAGTCTTAAGTACTCTGATTCAGACTTTTGCAATAGAATATAGAGAAATGTTATATACCAAGAAAGTGATTCAGTTGATTGTGAAATGACTGACAGTATTTATAGTATCTTTTTTAATAGTTAATTATCATGTGTGTGCTGTAAGAGCTGCGAAGTAAAATAAAATTGCTACATTTATGTTACTTTTGTTAGGCATTGCTACAAATTTTGATTATTTAATCAATATTACAAAAAAAAAAAAACCCTTAATTTCTAATTTGTCATTTTCTAAATAAAAATGCTATTACATTTCTTGTTTAATCAAGGGCTATGTTCTGTCCGTTGTTGCTTACAACAAGATAGTAGCAAAAGAGCCATTGACATGTGGTCTCATCTCAAAGTGAGATCAGAAATGCTCCTTATACTACTTCAGAAAGTACCTAAGTCTGATAATTAACATGTTTTAACGAAAGAAGAGTTCCAATTATTTTAATCCAATATCTAATAAAACCAGAGTTTCTTCCAGGCATCTCTTCTGGGGGAAAGTCTACCCCCCCCCCCCCCCCGAAAGAAATGGAATTTATATAGATAATATATACTTTTGACAGTGTCCGCCCTACTGGGAAATTGCTGTGCTGTCTGCCCCCCCCCCCCCCCCCAAAATTTTAAGTGCATCCCCTGGGAAAAAATTCTGAAAAGCCTGGAAGAAACACTGAATAAAACTAATCAAATAGTGTTTCACTCAGACAAAACAAATTCATAATCTGAAATATTTTAAACCATGAATTAGAATAGACAATTTTCTTTTTAAAAAATTGGGTTGAAAGTATTTTCTTAATTCTCTTATCTAGTAAAATCTAAATTCCATTACATTTAGGACCACCATTACTGCTTTTCGATAAATGCTTTATATTGTAAATTACATTTCTATGATTTATTGTAATTAAATTAAAGCACTTTGATTACTTTATTGAATAAGCTGGTTTTAAATGTAGCCTTGCATTGTGATGACTTGTTTTTTAATAAAATGAAAACAGAAACATTAAAATAAAGAAAATTGTAAAGTTTATTGTGCAATTTTTTAACATAGTACTTAAACAAAAAACATGTACTGATCTTTCATCCTTGTCTTGAAGTGTTTTTATGAATTTACTCATTTGTTTTTATGCATTCACTTTCCTCTTTCTAACATGATCATATTTATCTGATATAGCTAGACATTAGCAGGTGACTTTTATGTAAGGTGTATTTTAAAATGTTTTTTACAGTCTGAAATAACAACTGCAATTTATTTACACAAGTTTATTTATACTGATATATGAATACATTTATTATTTTATGAAAAAAAACTATCCGATTAAGAGGGTGAATCAGATTAGAGAACATTATTCATGCTGCACAGTTACTGAAATAAACAACCAAAATATAACAATGATTAAATTGTTTTATAAAAACTAAAACGATTCAGATTCATCAATGTCATAGCGTAGATAAATATATATAAATTTAGACTGGTAGAGATAAGGACGGTGTAATCTGAATATTGACGGTAGGCAATTTGGTTAGAGAGTTTTATTTGTTTAATAGAATATGTTTAGCATGAGTGTGACGCGACAATAATAGTGGATGTAGAATTGGCGAGCATTGGACGACAATGTCTAGATCTAGATATAGATTCTTTTTAAAATATAGTATAAATTTATAAAATAATATTCTCTTTACACTCTTTACAAACTCGTAATGACCCGTCTACCTAGACAGTATTTTTCTGACACTGACAAGAAAACGAGAGCATGTGGTCACAGAGCAAAACAGCGATCTAAGATTTTTGAATATATGGTTATATAAGCCTAGGCCTATATATAAAAAAATCGGTAATCTATCGTTTTAGGTATGTAAAATTGCCTGAGGCTAGTAATGTACAAAAAAGTTATCTCATCGTCAAGGCTTTAATAGAAGTATATTGTGATATATTTGTGTCAAATATTATAGATAAATGAATAATAAACCTAAATCAATGGCTAAATATATTATATATCAATATAGGCAAGAAATTAACTTTAAACAGCAGTGTTTGCGAGCAGGATTTGCTATATAAAAAGCGGCCATCTGTAAGTTAGAGTGGCTTCCCCTGAATCTTGCTCTATAAGTTTATTATAAAATAAAATAAACAAGATGGCTGCTATAGTAAATGAGCATGGTTACATCTATTGGAAACATCGCTAGTCTTCATTTATTACTGAAAAGTTTTAATTCAGTTGTTTAAAATCCAGGCAGAGGCGTAGCGACCCTTCCTGGCGCCCGGGGACAAACTTTTCAATTGCACCCTCCCCCCCCCCCCCGTCGAGATTTCGATTTGCACCCCCCCCTGTCGAGATTTCGATTTGCACCCCCCTAAACCTTTCAATCTATTTTTCCAACCCATTTTGGCGCCCCCTAAGGTCGGCGCCCGGGGACATATGTCCCCCCCCCCCCCCCCCGGCAGCTACGCTACTGAATCCAGGTACATAAATGAAACATGGAAACGTATTTTTCAAAACATAAATCCTACTCAAAATGTAAAATAATTATTAAAATTTAAGGAGTCACCCGTTTTTCACATTACTAAATCTAGTCGCGGGCGATTCTACGTACCTAAAACGATAGATTACCAAAAAATCAAAACAAGATTTAAAAAAAAAGAACAAAATAGATCTAGATCTATGTGCTTGTTTAGTTCATAACTAAAAATAGTAAAGCAAAAAACAAAACATTTTTTCCGCAAATTGTGTCTCGCTATTTACCCGTGATTCCGCAGGTGTCTCACATTTTCTTCACGCAGTTTAACGTCTCGCCTTTTCGCGTTTTGTAACACGGTTTAACACCTTTGTTAAAATTAAAATGCTTTTACTTTTAGCTTTGTTTCCATTACTTTATCTAGCTAGATCTACTAGATGTAGAAATACATCTTGATGTAGAATCTAGATCTCTATTCTAGAATAAGATACAAGTATTTCAGCCTTCGGCAAAAATAAAAGTTTTGGCTGTTGTATTTTTTATATTTACAAACAAATGTTGCCTAGTTACATCCTTGACTTCACTTTCATACTTTCACTAAACCACCGAATTTGTAAGTAAAAGGCAAACCGATTTTTTTTTTTACATCTTCTTAATGGAAAAAAAAAACATCATAAGAAATTATTTCATTTGGTTAACCCTTTAAAATTTTAAAATAACAAGATCTAGATCTAGATTCTAGATCTTTTAGCATATAAAAATAAATACACCAAGTACGATGCTATTATTTATTAGTATTACTAGGCCTATTGCACGCTTACGTGGCATATGAAATTGCTGTCATATGAAAATCGAAAGTAGAACCAAAGAAAGTCACTAAAAACTAAAAAGTAAATGTTTAAGTATTTAAAACAGTATTACTATTAGTATTATTACTAAAAATAGAAATACTATACTTCTATCTCTATAGCCATAGGCTATTAAAAATTATTAAATTATTAATTAGTAAATTAGGCCTATTAATAATTTATTAATATTAGGCCAAAAATTGGTAATCTATCGATAATCGTGTTTTAGTTTTAGTACGTAAAATCGCCCGCGGCTAGTATTAGGGTAATCTATCGTTTTGGGTACGTAAAATCGCCCGCGATTTGTAATGTGAAAAACAGGTGACTCCTTAAATTTTAATAATTATTTCACATTTTGAGGAGGATTTATGTTTTAAAAAATTCAAAAATGTTTCCTTGATTCATTTATGTACCTGTTTTTAAAAAATTGAATTAAAACTTTTCCGTAATAAATGAAGACTAGCGATGTTTCCAACAGATGCAACCATGCTCATTTACTATAGCAGCCATCTTGTCTAAGTTTTATTTTTATAAGCTTTTAGCGCCAGATTCAGGGGGAAGCCACTCTATTTTACAAATGGCTGCTGTTTATATAGCAAATCTTGCTCTCAGACACTGATTTATGTTTATTATTCATTTATCTATAATATTTGACACAAAAGTATGACAATATACTTCTAATAAAGCCTTGACAATGAGGTAACGTTTTCGTACATAAATAGCCGCGGGCGATTTTACGTACCCAAAACGATAGATTACCAATATTAGTAATGTACGAAAAAGTTACCTCATTGTCAAGGCTTTAATAGAAGTATATTGTGTTATATTTGTGTCAAATATTATAGATAAATGAATAATAAACATAAATCAATGGCTAAATATATGAATATAGGCAAGAAATTAACTTCAAACGGCAGTGCAGAGGCGTAGCGACCCTTCCCTGCGCCCGGGGACAAACTTTCGATTTGCACCCCCCCCCCCCTTGAACTTTTCATTTACACCCCCCCCCCATCAAACTTTCAATTTGGCACCCCCCCTCAAACTTTCAATTTGGCACCCCCCCTAAGGTCGGCGCCCGGGGACATATGTCCCCCCCCCCCCCCCGTCCCCCCCTTCGCTACGCCTCTGCGGCAGTGTTTGCGAGCAGGATTTGCTATATAAAAAGCGGCCATCTGTAAGTTAGAGTGGCTTCCCCAGAATCTTGCGCTATAAGTTTATAAAAAAAATTCGACAAGATAGCTGCTATAGTAAATGAGCAATGTTGCAGTTGTTGGTAACATCGCTAGTCTTCATTTATTACTGAATAGTTTTAATTCAATTGTTTAAAAACAGGTGCATAAATGAAACAGGGAAACATTTTTGTATTTTTCAAAACATAAATCCTCCTCAAAACGTGAAATAATTATTAAAATTTAAGGAGTCACCTGTTTTTCACATTACTAGTTGCAGGCGATTTTACGTACCTAAAACGATAGATTACCCAAAAATTAATCCTCTTAGTAAGTATAGATGCCCAAATGGCAAATGAAATGGGATAAAATTCTACTTTTTAGCCTTATTCTTCGGGAAAAAAGTATCTCTATCCTCATTTGCCTGGGACCTCAACTAATTTTTAATTTTACAGCTCTACACAGTGACAATACACATAGTGCAGATTCTGTCATGTAACCAAACAGACAAACAAATATTCAAATAAACATACAAACTTGTAAACAACTTGAGTTTTAGTAGTATATGGATGATGGTGTGGCCTAATGATTAAATGGTACAGCCATTGACTGCTAACCCATAAGTATCAAGTTCAAATCCGGGTTTAAGTCAGTATAATGTCCCTGGGTACCTGCATTGCAATGGAATAAATTTGTTATATATATTAGACATGCATAGTCGAGAAGTAGAGCACATGATTGCTAACTTCGAAAGACATTAAGTCATCAAGCCTCGTCCCACAGAGAAAACTTTTAAATCAAACAACTGCTGGACCTAATTGTATGTATAACTTAAAATACATTATAAACTAGTAGAATAAAAGACATTTAAATTAAAGTAGCATTATTTCATTGTGGTATCAGCCCTTGGATGGTGTCACTATGTACAGTCTGCATCTTTCCCCCCCCCCCCCCCCCCCCCCCCCCACCTTCTGATGCTACTGGAAGTATGTGTATGTACAGTGTAGGCCTACACATGTATATATATATATATATATATATATATATATATATATATATATATATATATATATATATATATATATATATATATATATATATATATATATATATATATATATATATATATATATATATATATATATATATATATATATATATATATATATATATACATACACACATTAATTCTTCCACAGTTTCACAGTTAAGTAATTTTAATTCTTGAAAACACATTAGTGTACTAGTTTATATTTTTTATTTATTTGTATATTAATGTGCAACATTATTACTATACTAGGCATGCTGCCCAGCTTCGCTTAGGCTTTCGAAAACATTGAGAATTTGCATGCTTAATTAATTCGCCCGAGGGTCGGTCTACGACCTCAAGAGTTATGAAGAGGTTCCTCCGTGGACATTTTTTTATCGATTTATAGCTCATATAAGGTACCGGTCAGTCGAGGTCAGTTTTGACCCCCTCATCGTAGACTTTTCGGCCAACCGGCCCCCGTGTTCTGTCACCCCAAGGCAAGATCCTGCCAAATTTGAAGCGCCTGCGGCGCCGGGAAGTGCACTATCGGACACCCGACAATCTAGATCTAGATCTAGATTCCTAAAAGAATTTTTTTTTTAAGTTTAGCCCGAGCATAATAAAAAAAATACATTAACCAAGTTGACTTGGTGTGTCTCGAACCCGCATCACTTGCGTGGAATAATGTACACTAACATTTTCGCTATTTAGGCACCTTATAAAATACGGAGAATGAAACACGTATTTTAAAATCTTAACTTACGCGAATATGCCTATTCTTTCAAATTAATTTTTTTATCCCAAATTAGCCAGTTCCAAACAAAGATTTTGAATAAAATAAATAAGTCTTGAAATAGTTTAGTCCTAATATAGAAATTTATTTTTGGAATTGATTTTAGAGAAGTTAGAGTCTAAATCTAGATCTTAGCGTCTACGTCTAGATCTAGTTATTGCGTAGATTTAGATTTAGATTTAGTCTAGATCTAGAATCTCTAGATCTAGAATCCAAATAAATAAAATAAATTTTATGAGTTTAGGCCGGAAAAATTGTATTGTATACATTTCATAGTGTATGTAGATCTAAATCAAATTTGAATGAAATAGTTCATTTCTTTTCATTCAAAACACAGCAGATGACGTCATTAGTTAATGTATAAGCAATAGCGACGTCACAGTTTTATGCGTTCTTTTTCACATGTATTAATGCTTTTCCGGTTGCATAAATAATACTGTTTCTCTACATTCGAATACGCCTTAAATTTTTATTTTTCTTCTTTAAGTAAAATTGTGGTTATACATTTAAAACATCTAACATATTATTTTCAACAAAAGTCCGTAAAAAATTCTCGATATATCGCTGCCGATTCTGACGTGATGTCCGGCGAAAATTTTTTGCGGACAGAGAAAGAGAGAGAGAGAGAGAGAGATGTGCGCACATTGGGCTTTTATAAATTAGGATTAGACTTACTAAAACTCTTAAAAATATAGACTTAAGTACCATTTGAAGTGGTCAGATAAAATACACATTAAAAAAACTTAGGTCTTATCTTTAAGTTAACTTGATGATACAAGTTTAGTTGTTAAGCTTGATAAACAAGCCATCATTAGCTGGTCATATAATGTTATACATAAAACAATTTAAAAGGAGGTAGGCCTATTAATAAGTTATGTTATCCTTTATGTAAAATAGATTATAACTAGTGACATAAAACTTACAAAAAATAACCAAAAATCCTATTGTTTTATTTAGTCTAATATATACTTACATTAGGCCTATATATCACATTTTATCTTTAAACTTGTCTAAATCTACAAACTTAAATGCAATCTCATAGTTTTGTAACAAAAAAAGGTATGAATTATGTTACTTAATTGGTTAATTAATATCACTATACAGTGTTTATTATGAAGCCTTACTTTTTATCCCATTGTGTATTTTTACAAAACCAAACAACTTTTTTGTCTGAAGCAAAAATATTTTTTACAGAAAATACAATTGCGCATTATGAAATAAAAATTCACAGACTATAACCATCTGCAGTTGTTTGATTTTTGAGTTGTCACTCCTAGATGGGTTACTGTCCCCAGCTATCCTCATTTGCCTGGGGCCTTAAATGTCGGACTTATCTGTTAAGCAACTGTTTACCAGCCCAACCACACTGATCCCTATCAGCTTGTAATGGGGATATCTTTACTGACATAATGACAAAAGGTTGCCATGTCTTGGTTATCAACAAAGACAAATTACATAGCATGGGGCGCTATGACATGACTACTTCCCTCTCACTAGATTACAGGGATTTAGTTTCAATTTAAAGATTTTATTGGGAGGTGTACCTGACATGCAAAGGAGAAGAATAGATGAACTCTGCTTTATCTGCCCATCATGGCAGACAGGGTAGTTACTTTTTACAAGCTCTTACTTAGGTCACAATGTCTGTAGGTTGTGGTCAAATCTTGAGCCTGAATGCTGAACCATTTGTTAAGCTCTTTCACCCAAACCTTTTAGATTAATTAATTCCTGGTGGCAACACAAGAATATTTTCAATCTACTTAGATTTATTAGACTTAGATATTTAATTAGCCATTATATTAAGTTAATTTGAATGTTATTATAAACAATTAATAGATGTAGATAGTAAGTAATAGTTTTACACGCGCTTTTCTTTAAAAATTGCTAGTTATACAGACATATAAAATATAGACCCACTCTCTTGATCCCTGAGTTAGCTAACCTAACAGTAATGAATTTCTGTGCAATAAATTTTTCAGATTAGGTGAACACAGTTTTAAGCCATGTCTGTTAGCGATAAGGCAGTTCTTGCCTTGTGTGATGAAGTCTGGAAATGGAGATTAGTTGAAAGTCCGGAGTTTGCATCCTTTTGTGGCTTTCATCAGTATGATGATGCATGGGATGATGTTAGTGAAGAGGCTTACAAAAAAAGAGAGGTAATTATGGGATGGTGTCTTTTAGCTGATTTATTTATTGAGTCCATATTTTTGTTCACAAGTCAGAAATTGTGTGGGGTGAGCGTTTTAAAATTAGAATAATTATTAAAAAGAAACAAATATAGCAAATACATTTCATTACAATTTTAGGCTTGCATTAAAGAGTTTTTAAAAAAAGCTGAAGGAATTCCAACAAATTCCTGTTCTGCAGAAGTAGCCTTGAGCTATGCATTGCTTGTTGATGATTTAAAGCAGTATCTCAAAGGTGCACAGTTTAAAAGGTAAAAAGCTACTTTTGTTTTAAAGCAAGCAGTAGAAACTTTGAAAGGTAAAATAATTAGTTTTGCTGAGCAACTATATTACTTAAGAGTAATTAAAATTATACAAAATAGGATGTTTCAAACATATTATTAAAAGTATTCATTCAAATAATTTCAGCATTTAAGTACATTTTTTATCCAGATAGTCATTAATCATTGCAATAACTTTTGAAATTGTAAACTTTATTTTGGGCTTGTCAAAGCATAATGATATAATGAAAAATAAATTATAGTAAAATAATAGGGAAAGCATAAAATACATGAATAAAAAAAATGATATTTTGTAACCTCAAAGAAATGACTTAGCAATTAACTTTAAGAATAATGACTAGGGACAAATTAATTCTGTACATATAGTTGTAATAATAACAATATTTGAAGTTTAAATGTATTTCCTCATTCTCATAAATTAAATATAGGAATGTTTTTTCATCAGTTACCTGATGCCCATAAATTACCTGGAAGGTATACACAATAACTGCAACTTAACAATCTCTTACATGAAGTTTGATACAGAAGCAGATTTTGAAAAGTATATCAGCAGGCTAGAAAAGTTGCCAAAAAGGGTAATGTTTATATTTAAAGCAGATTTATTTATTGTCTTTTGTCTATCATGAAAAGAAGTGAACTAACTTACAAAAGAAGACATAACAACTTTGTATGAATATTTTTTTTCAGATAGAACAAGTAGTTACCAATTTACAGAAAGGCATAGAAGAAAACATAGTCCTACATCTGAGATCTGTGGTGTGTAAACTTTTAAACTTGAGAGAAATAAATATTTCACGTCTTAACTTTGGATGTTGGCTAAGTAAAATACTATTACTCATATACTTTGATATGTTTTTTTTTTATGTTACTGTGGAATGTAAAATGTATAAATTGATTATTGCTATTGAACAGTCCAGAGTACCAAAGCAAATAGATGACATGTTAAAAACTCCAGTAGAAGAACTTGAAATCTTTACGCCATTGCAAGGAGATCATCCTAATGTCTCTAAAGAAAAATTGTAAATGTTTTAATATAAATTTCTCTGAATTAAATATAAATTTAACAAAAAATTAATATTTTTCAAATATAGTATACTGACTATTTGATTTTTTAGATTTTAATTGTATAAATTTGTCTTACTTTCATTGGTTTCTTTATTTTGAATTTCATGTTTCTATTTCCAGAGAATCCTTTCAAGCTGAAGCCAAAAATTTAATAATTTCCAAAGTTAACCCAGCATTTCAAACTTTAAAGGACTTCCTAGAAAATGTGAGAATATCTCCTGAAGTTGATTATGTATCAAATATTTGAAAATATGTGCAAATTTTTTAGAATTTGATTTTTTAACTCATCATCAGTTAATTAAACATTATACTCATAAAGTTAAGTATCATTGTCATTTGACATGCTATAATTGGTGTAATATTTGTCAATAAAAGGAATATATGAAACACCTGCGCCAAAAAGAAGGAATCAGCTCTTTAGCAAATGGAGATGAGTGGTACCAGCAGTGCCTCGACTATCATCTCAGCTACCCAATGACACCACAGCAAGTTCATGATCTGGGGCTAAAAGAAGTTGGACGAATAAAACAACTTATACTGGAAGCTGCTAAGAAAGAAGGGCTGGGTGAAAATTTGCCTGCTATCTTAGAAGCAGTTGTTGAAAGGCAGAAAAGTTTTTTTAAAACAAGGGTACACTTTTTTTTAAATTTTAGTATTATTATATTAACATTTCATTCTTTTCAAATTAATCTGATGATGGGGTCGAGTTGGTAAAGCTCATGGTTGCTAAACCAAAAAGTCTTGAGTTTGAACCCTCTGGCAGATGAGGCTCGTTAGCTGGGAACAGCCACTCTTCTAGGAGAGACAACTCCAAAATCAAACAACTGCTGCCTTGTAGTTTGTTTTTGGTTGGACAAAGGCTATGGAAGCAAATCCAAAAAGAAAAGCAGGCTGAAATTGGAGTCAATGGCCTCAATGGCGCATCACCAGTAGACACGTATACTTAATTGTGTTGGAGGCGTGGAGTTTAATGGTCATGTATTTATATCATATATATTTTTACATCCCACAAAATATAATAGTATGTGTACCTTTCATTGCTAATATTTTTTATAGTGATTTATTCTTGTTTATAATTACATATTAAAAGTGGAATATAGAATGTGCTGAAAAAGTATAAACCTAGGCCTTAGATAACAGCTAGTTGTATTTTAAATGATATTTTTCTCCAAACCAACAAAGCTGATGCAGAGTATTTTACATAATTGTTTTATGTTAAAAAAGTAATCTGTTGCTGTGGACAATGTCATTATTTGTCATAAGACTGCTTGTGGTTTGTGGTTTCTATTGCTGTTTGCATCATCTCATACTCAAAGCAAAGATACTAATTTCATAAATAAAAGAATTGTGACTTAATTGTTATTTAGCTCTTTTATGCAGGATCAATTATATTTTTATTAAGTTGACGTTGTGTATGTCCACTTGGGCCCACATTTCCCCCCAGTCCACATGGGTCCACAATAATTGACTTATGCCTGAGCACCCACTCCTGCCAATGGCCATCCTAAATGAATGATCCCTAAATAGTTTATTAATAAATAGTTGATAAACTCTGGTGGTGTGTGTAAAGACATAGTAGAATTGTGTATTTTAAATATATTTAAAATAGCTTTTCTAAATATATCAGAAGTAGCTATGTCATTTTTGTATTGGTAACAGGAGGAAGTTCTTGACTATGTCAAAGATTTGTGCTACAACAAAATTAGGCCAAGACTAGCTAAACTTTTTAAGAACTTGCCAGATTCTCAAATGACGTGAGTCCATGTGGTGTTTTTTAAATATTTTAAAGAGCATAGTTTCTCATTATATAATTAGCTATTGAATGATTGGTGTTTCAATGTTAAGTTCATTATTATGTTTAATGAAGATTAGTTAATGCAAACATCCTTAATATGTTTTATAACTAAAAGAAATTAAGTATTATCTGCCCAAATTTAAATTATTATAAAAACTTTAACCACCTTTATTTCTAGTATAATACCTGCACCAGAATACATGAAAAACTCACCAGCTGGATATTACCTTGGTGGCACACCTGATGGTTCCAGAAAAGGAATTTATTACATCAACAATCACAATCTGGAAGAATGGTTTGTTAAATTTACTGTCTGTGTACATATTCAAAACTTGTGTAATTAATTAACATCATAATTAAAAAAATAATTATACATTCTTTTGTTGACCAGCTATCCGTATCAGTTACCTGCCCTGAGCCTGCATGAAGGTGAACCTGGACATCATTTACAGGTCAGAGGTCACCTGCATTAATTTGATTTCCTAACTGTTGTTAAGCCTTGGTCAGAAATAGTTTCTAAATTCAATGCTTCTCTCTGATTTAAAGGCTGAGTATGCCCTAACTGCCACTCACTTGCCAGATTTTCGCAGATATTGTGAGGACATGAATTATTATCTACCCCCTGCCAAGTTTGCCCTGAACACTGCATATGTAGAAGTAAGTTTTTTAAAAATGTACAGAAATTGCAGGCCATGTAGTAAATAATCTCCTAGTTTTATACTCAAGCATATTCACAAGTGTTTTTCGTCATATAATATAAATTTGCTCTAAAAATTTGCTGTTTATTTATTTTACCCAGGGCTGGGGATTGTATTCAGAATCATTAGGCGAGGAGCTGAATATTTATACAGACACATTTGACTTGTAAGATATTTTTTCAGAAATTTTAGACATTTTTTAACAATGTTTTCAATAGCTGAATGATATTATGAATATGTGAAAAATGAATGGAGAATTTAAACATGTTTTCTGGCTTATCACCTATATACAAATAACTTTAAGATGAAGCAGACATGAGTACAAATACATAGGCCAACATGAAATTGTCAGATAATACATAAGACAAGAGTATCTGTTTGATTAGCCAATGCATTTATTTTCAGACTGGGTCGTTACAATTTTGAGATTTTCAGAGCAGCAAGATTAGTGGTAGATACCGGACTGCATGCATTTGGGTAATTACATGGATCTTTCATTAATATTATATGGCATTATAAGATGACTAATTCGTTTACGTTTATATATCTTGTGTGCCTAAATAATGACAGTGCTTGTTTCTTAAACACCCTAGTTTATTAGGAGGATAAAAAAGATTTTAATTACATAAATTCAGTATGAGCTGTTATTGAAAGGTTGTTAATCTAATTTTTTTTTTTAAAAGCTGGAGCAAGGAGCAGGCTGTACAGTACATGACAGACAACACACTCTCTGTCCAATCAGAGATGATTAAAGAAGTGGACAGATACATTACATGGCCTGGCCAGGTAAGCTGGTCTCAGGTTTTAATCAGATTTTTACCCACCATGATGATTATTTTAATAATCTAGTCATATTAACTTCTTTACATTGATCATTAAATTCCTGTCTGTGTACATTTCTGTTTCTAGTGGTACTTTGTAGTGTTATTTTACTTCAGTGTTTGAATTAAGGCACTTATTCCTGTCTTTTATTAGGCTTGTGCATACAAAGTTGGAGAAATAAAATTTTGGGAACTGCGTCACAAGGCTGAGGCTAAATTAGGTCAGTTTTTTTTTAGAACTGCAAAAATTGTTATAATCATTGTACTACAATCCCCAAAGTTCACACATAAGCCTAAATCTCTTCTAACAAAAGAAATAGCACACTTTTTATGTTCAAGATTACTCACATGAATAGAAATGTGCGCTAATTTTAAAATAACTTTGATGATATGTTGATTATCATTTTGTTAAACGGTTAACATCTATTTAGCTATTTTGCATGTAGTTATTTCATAGGAAGAATTATTTGTTGAATTTGATTGTTATTTGTATTAAGTTATTTAAAATATAATTTTTTATTTTTAGAAAAATGCTATTTAATTACCATATGCTTATAAATTCTTTTTATTTTATTACAAATACTATGGGGTCATCCATAAATGACGTCATGCTTTTTTGACGATTTTTACCTCCCCCCCTCCCCTCCGTCACACTTCGTCACAAAAAGCCAGACCCCCCCCCCCCTTCCTAAAATGACGTCACACCTCAACCTACAACCCCCCTCAAAATTGCAGTTGAATTTTTTTTAAACATTGATATTTTTCCAAAATCTTGTCTAAACTAATATAATTTATTAAAACAGTTATCTAAAACGCGAAATAACGTCTAAAATTAGTTTTCTAACATTGCTTTTTTATAACGCAAAAATGTGACGTCGCAACATCTGACCCCCCCCCCCCCCTCCCCTTCATCACACATCGTCACAAAATTACGGACCCCCCCTCCCCCCTACGAGTGTGACGTCATTTATGGATGACCCCTATTTAATATTCCTACTTATGTAATACTTTTTGGTTTAATATAAATAATAAAAAAAATTTATTAGTGGATTTAATAAATGTACAAATAAATTATTATTCTTTTCAGGGAGTAAATTTGATGTTAAAGAATTCCATCATCGTGTGCTTTCATGTGGCAGTGTGCCACTACATGTGCTGGAACACATTGTGGATAAGTTCATTGAGGAAACTAGTTCTGCTTCTGGTGAGGGGAACTAACTCTGCTCAAGTTTTGTTTTTACTTCAGAAGTATAAATAATCAAATTTCATTTTTTGTTTTTGTTTTACCAGAGAGTATTATTCTATACAAGCTTGAATAAAGATTTTTTTTACCATTCCTATTTGCAATAATGTGTACATTTTGTGAAAAAAATCACACATTTAAAATTAAAATATAATGACACTTCATTATGTTTAGTTGACAATATGAAAAAAGGTAATTTCTTTTTACAATTGCTGCTTTTATTCAGATTTTTAAAATTTATTTATAAATGACGTGCAAATATGTGTAAATGAAGATGAATTATAAAAGAAATATTGCCTTGTACATAATATTAAAAATATCAATAAAAATCCAATAGCTATGTCATTAATGTGATGAATGCTCTGTAATTGATCCAGTACATCTGTGTGTTCATTCTCATTTATTATTTTCTAATAAATAATAGAACGTAATGTGAGCAGATGACTATTGATGACACTTAAATTAACAGCATAATAGTTTTAAAATCCATTATGGCTATTATGCAGACATTTATTTATAAATATTTTTACTAGCCAGCCAGGGTAAACTACTCATGATAGTGTCCTAATTTATAAAAACAACCAGTGCCTTTAGAACGTTTAGAGAAGTAGCTACTTACTAATTTATATATCATATTACCATTCGTAGTGTGGTTTTTTTTTAATTTTATTTTTAAATTTGGTTTTATCTAGAATTAACATTCAAATACATTCAAATTGTACCAATAGAAGCTTTATATTTTAATAATGTTTGTATTTTCCAGTTTAACATTCCAACAGAATGAGATTTCATTAGATTTAGTTTTTTATTCTACCCTGGTTATATTTTGTTCTTTTTTAAATGTATTTTTTATTTATATGAATTTTAAATATTTTTTACTAAGTTGAGAGTAATAGTTATATTAAAAACGCTTTACACTTACAGTTAAGAAAAGAAATAAAAGAAATAAGTCTGTATCTTGTTGCTTAGTCTTTAGAAAATCAAGTCGGTTTAGTCTGTTTTAAGTGAAGATATCTATTGAAAGTTAAATTGTTGGATCTTTAGTGGGTTCTTTTGTCAGAGGCCAAATTGCTGTTGATACTTTTGCAGCTAGTTGCTTTATCAGTCAGTTCTGTTTAAAAAATTACTTTGTAAATTGCAAAATACACCATAGTATTTAGTACCTATTGGTTGATAGAGCAGATGGAGTAGAGTTTATCTATTTCTGTTATCTCAACATAAAGGGATATTGTTGTAAGTTCTATGCAAGCTGGCTTTACTGTCCGTAAGTCAAGTGCTGGGTGGACTCAGGGACGCACTAATGACTCAAGCCTGGGATGTGAACTCGGGACTTTTGGGCTAGCAGTCATGTATTCTACCAAACGCTGGTTCAGGCAGTGCACAGTTTGAGCACGTGAATCTTACAATAACAAAGAAGTTTATTACGGATGTTTGGACATCACAATTATTGTACAGCCTTGTCAAACCCTAGCTTGAACTCAACTGATTGTAGGCCTCTAAAGCATTAGTGTGTAAAAATGTATTACTATATGCTTGACAACGATTAAAAATACAGCCAGGAGACAGGTCTTTGGTCACTACACAGCAGCAGAATTAACTCGAACAAAATTTTCAGCCTTAGCCTTGTAATTTAAAATAATCATTGCAACATTAGAAAAAAACACGATTTGGCCGAGATAAATATTTTGTGATTTATAAACCTGCATTTTAGACATCAACAATCACAATCTGGAAGAATGGTTTGTTAAATTTACTGTCTGTGTACATATTCAAAACTTGTGTAATTAATTAACATCATAATTAAAAAAAATAATTATACATTCTATTGTTGACCAGCTATCCATATCAGTTATGGATTATGTGGTACTTATATAACATTTACCCCACAGCACAATAGTGCTAATTTATCACAGTAATCATCTGATGCGCCGAAAATATGCACACAATGTTTGCATGAAAGCAGAAAGACAGCAGTCTATCACAACTTTGAAAAACAAAAACTTGTTTTGCCGTGGTTCAGTCTGTGAGCGGGAGTGCTAGATCTAGTATTTTATCATCACAGCTTTGGAAATACATTTAACTCTCGCATTACCGTCGCTGTTAAATTGGACAATACCAGGTACCAAAGTGTGTCCGGTTCTTCGCGCGGCCATTCGCTGACCGCCAGAAATTTGCAGTTGGCGCCATTTTTTTCAAAACAGTCTTTAGCGACGCCGAGCTGCAAGGAGAGTTGCGGCAGGAGGTCGATAAACGTCGTGCCCCCAACGGTGGCCGGAAGTATACCGAACAGATAGACGTCATCAATCCAAAAGAAAGGGTTGATCCTTGCAGCCTTCAACATCGGTCGTATGAGATCGCTGGTGATGATAACGAAATATCCATTGCAGTAGTCAAATGGATAATATTTATGACCTCTGAACTCGTCTTCCTCCACCATCCACTTCCCCGCCCCCCTAAGGATGATGCTTGTACCATTTGGTCTGAGGTGGCAAGCAATATGGCGGGATTTATTCTTATACAACGGTAGAACTTCTTGAATAAGTTTAAACGGGTTTATGAAAACGTCGTCGTCAATTTTGATAACAAATTTGGCCTGGGGACAATGCTCAGAAACCCATCTGTACCCCAGCACGCCTTTGTGAGTGAGGTTGTGGTACGAGTCGAGGAACCGCCCCTGGACGATGTCTTTGTGGGTCATGGCCTCCTCCTGGATGAGTGTGGTGGCAGCGAGACTTCCGGTCTGACCCAGCAGGAAGACGACGCGTTGTGTGACCAACCCAAACAGCCTGGCCGAGCCGTACGTCTCGCGGATGATTCTCCGGCGAGGATAATTAAATATGGCGCTGGGGAGAAAAATTTCTTAGCGAAACGTCGAGGTAGTTATGTCAAGAATGTACAATTTTATACCAAAATGAACACAAATCGATCTTACATTTTTATAAATAAATAAATTCGATTGTTTTGTTATCTAGTCTGTTTTTTTGACAATGTCTTAAACGATCCTTTACTAGATGAAACGATGTCTATGTCCTTTGTTACCCAAATCAAGTGAAGCACCATCAGTTATGTTGTAAAATGTCATGGGCAGTTAAATTTATGTAGTGGTAAAACCCATGTCTGTTTTAAATGTACAGCTTTTGTAGTCCTAGGCATACCACACTTCATCCCCATCACCATCTAGTTTCGCTACAGTCCCCACTTCAAACAGAAATACTTCAAATAGCGGGACTAACATGAAATGGGTTGACCCGTAAGAGTGCCTACCTGTGTACGACAATAATATAGTCGATCGGCCACCCGGGCGGGCATAAGTTGACACTGTTGATGAGGTAGGGCGAGTCCAGAGTTAGAGGATAACTTAATCTGACCACTGGTCGAGCTGTTGATGTGTCGGGTTGCATTGTTGGTGGTTCGTCTCGTGGGACGTTGAAAAGAAAATCAATCGACCCGTCGGCATTTTGTCTAGTGATACAATAATAATCACGGTAGGGCATTTAAAACTTTCGGATTGGGGGGGGGGGGTCGTCTTAAACGTTGCGTGAAAGCTCCTCTGATAATAATAGTGTGGGTGGATATACAATGATGATTTATTTAAACTAAAGCAATTATAAATTAAAAAAAAGCCCATCACTCGGCCATGCTGAGTTAAATGTATGTTTTCGACAATCGTTAATTAAGCCTGTATAATTTAGTTTCATTTAAATAATGTAGATTAATCTTTAAAAAAAAGAATTTATTGGGTTTAATGTGGGAATTAAAACAAATCACAGAACGAGAAATACTTTTAGATTTACTTTTGGTTGGCCTAAAGAAATATATTTCTTCCCTTGGTTAATGCTCAAAAACTTTCAAACCAATAACACTTAAAACTAGTAAATTTAAAGTTGAAAGCTTTCCTATAAGTATCCACCAATTCACCGAAGAAAACACACACAAACATACATACGCACACGCATACACACACTTTCCCCTCAACACCCAACACTACCAGAAACATATATCTACTCACTGTACATGTTTAAAGATGGCCCTGACCGTCTCATTACCAGAGGTCAAGGACAATGTGATGACCTCGGTGCTGGGCGTGGCTATCTGCCAGACGGTGACACAGACGGCCATTAAAAGCAGGGAGCCGGTCAAACCGCGCCACACCGCGGATCTATTGAGGTGGGCGCCTATCTTACCCAGGAGCTTCTTCAAGTTCCGTGGCATGAATTCCGTTTTAGCGTCCAGAGAATACATTACTTTATGTCACCCTTCCGACTAGTAACGACGTAACTAAATTAATGTCACGTCATCTCAACGGTGTAGGTAGTCGCTTTTCTTTCCGTTGCGAGTCACCAAAGTAGCCTATTAAGAAGTAAATATTTTAAAATTCAATTCACGAGGATTAAATACTATCAGATGAAATTAGTTCACCTGAGTATGTGGTCACCGTAAATGTCTTGATAGTCAGTTATAACGGCAGTTATTACTTTCACTAACAAGAAGAGCTGAGTCGACTTTGAAATTTACTTTGTTGAGAAGAAAAAATAAAAACAATGATACTTACCCACCTTCACTTCAAATAACTACATTAAAAACATAGGTTACTTACTACCTTTTGAAAATGTAGTGATTTCGTGCCGTGAAAATAGCCGGATCAGTAGATCTACACATTTTTGTCTAGGCCTATTATGTTTGGATTAATTGGCGGTTTTCACTATAAAAACAAATGTTTTAATGTTTGAATCACACATTTTTGTCTAGGCCTGTTATGTTTGGATTAAAGCGCCATGTGTAAGCTATTAGACGGATCACACATACGCTCACATGTTGAAGTAAAACGTTTTTTGCTAGCCTGTTTTGTTAAGATTCAGTGTTTTATTTCCTGAAACTAGTTGATCAACCAAAATAAAATGTATATTTTAGGGAGAAGAAAGCGACGACAGCTGGTGTTAACATTAGAGGTGCGGGGGATTTTGAATTTTTTTCATGAGGAACAACTGATATTTTTTTGCCTTTGATAAATAAAATGGCTTGTCATTTTAAAACAATTTAAAGACGGTTAGTAATTTTTACATTGATTGTTAGGGTTAGCCTATAATACAGGTTGTCTGAATGTACTGAAAGTACTACTTCCGGTCAACTGAAATTACTCAAAGTTTGACATAAAGCAGAAAATTAGATCTTTTTCTATTGTGTGAAATTTTGTTTATCTATCTGAAACAGTACTCAAGTTATAGGCTTTTAAAAAATCAAAAGTAGTATAAATTCCACTTCCGGGTACCGGAAATCGCTGAAAAGTTGATACAGAACTACAAATTTGATATGAAATTTTATCAACCTAGCTACAGCGGTACTCAAGTTATCGTGTTCACAGACACACAAACACACGTACAGACATACGTACCAAATTGCAAAACTAAGTTTTTCCAACTCAGGGTGTAAATCGTCGAGATTTATGAAAATCTCGATTTCGATTTTTTGCTCGATTACAATACTTCCTCTATAGATGTCTACTTCGTATACGAGAAAGTAAAAATTTTCTTAATGTCGAAGTGTTTGTTTCAAGCTTTATTGATCACATCTGGTAAATACTGCGGTTAAGTGTAATCAATTTTCCGCTTATTTAAATCTATTGATAAAAATACATTTAATTACATAAATACACTGCATACTCCAAAAATCTAAAGTAATGCAAAAACGATTACAATACTACCTCTATACTTCGTATACGAGAAAGTAAAACATAAATATGTATATATATATATATATATATATATATATATATATATATATATATATATATATATATATATATATATAAAGAAATATATATATATATATATATATATATATATATATATATATATATATTGTTACGACCCCAAGTGAACTTTACCTGGGTTTGGTCCCATCGAGGAGGGCCAGGTAATTAAAATGAAATGCTTAGGCATGTTAATGCACTGGCCAGCACAGGCCGTGAGAACCTTTGGGCCGTGACGGCCACACCGGATTGGTTACCACGCTGTGGGCGATGCATACCTGGTGTCTTGGGGTCCGAGCTATTAACGTGGCCAAGAACTCGTGATTTACGGTTGGGAAAACCTGCCAGATCGCACAGGGCCGAGATGGACGGTCATGTCCTGACCTGACCTGACCTGGGGGTCAGGCTCGATTAACAAGGTTCCCACACTAGCGAGGGACGACTTGAGTACTTTAGGAGGGTAGACCGGAGACTAGGGGGACACACTCGGACGGACAGACACTCGGGACACGCACTCGGAGACGGACGTACTCGTCTCGGATAGCTAGGCTTAGGGGAGACAGACATGGGTCGTCTCCGTGAGCTAGTGGAAAGCCACGACATGTTTTAGACTTAGGCTAGGCTAGACGGTTAGGGACAAGTAGGGTAGTCGTACTAAGTACTTTAGTTGTTGTAGATAGTTGTGTATTTTTCCTATTGTGTTCCATGTGGTGGCGGGTTAATGTTAGATGTTGTATTTTGTGGCGAATAAATAGAGATTACTGAAGTTGGCTTTTATTTATTTTTATTTTTTCTTCTTCTTGTTTACGATCCCCTGACTAGTTTGAAAGGATTAGAGAAGGGGGTACGTAACAATTGGCGGCTTGCGTCCGGGATAGGACAGACAACGAGTTGAATAGTTTCTTTTGATGCCATGTTCAGTTGGGGGCTCACGAGCTTGTGTTTTAGTTTTAAGTTTTAGGAGTAGTGAGAGTAAAGTTGTTCACGGAATCAGGAGAGTTTTCCAAACATTGAGTAAGTAGCGAGCTTATCACCTTTGTATTGACACTGAGTTTATTTTGCTTGATTTTTATGTTGGTCCAGTAGAGCTGGAATTTTTATTTTTATTCAGTATAGCTGGAGGGATTAATGCCCAGTATACTTGAATGTTTTTTGTTTGGTCCAGTGGAACTGGAGTGTTCGGGTTTATTCAGTACAGCTGGAGGGTCATTCCCAGGTACGTGAATAAATTCGTAATTTTTATTTGGTTTGCTCAGTATAGCTGGAGGGTCCATTCCCAGTATACGTGAGTTAATCGTTTGTGGTCCAGTGTAACTGGATATTTAGTTTGGTTGGCCCAGTATAGCTGGTGTCTACCTATTTGAAGTGTCAAAGGTGATAGCCCTACTTTTAATGTTTAAGTTAAAGTTTTTGTTGTGAGCCACATTTTTTAGTAGTTAACCGCCACCATTTAGCTGGATAAGTTCCGTAAGTGTGAATCATGGACGTAATGAGTTTTATGGAGTGTCCAACTCTAGAAGTTTTAGACAGGTTTTGTCGCGTAGAGTTGTTGCGACTAGTTGAGGAGCTAGGACTAGAGGTTGATGTCTCGGATAGAGATAGAGTTCTACGAGATCATATTTGTGTTGAGTTGGTAAATACAGGTAGATTAGAGGAGGAGTGTCTAGACTCGATAGAATATTATGAGATCGGACGTATTAGGGTTGAAGAAATTGAGAGAAAGTTTCAAGTTAAGTTGTTAGAGATCACGAGAGAAAAAGAGGATAAGTTGTTAGAGATCAGGAGGGATATATTCATGTTAGAATCTTGGAAGGAAATTAACATTAAAAGTTTAGAGAAACTGTTCGGACATGAAGTTAAACTATTAGAGATCAGGAGGGAACGGGATTTACTTAGGCTATGGGAGGAGGCGCATCTTAGTGGGTTGTTTGACTTTCCAGAATCTGTCTCTGTTTTCTCTCAGGCTAGTGTAGTAGTTTCCGAGGATCGGTATAGAGATGAAGATAGTTTGTTGTCTGATAGAGTAGGTAGTGAGTTTTGTCAGTCTCAGACTAAGGCTGCCACTAGCTTTGGCTCAGTCCCTGAAGTCGACTCTAACCTAGCAGAATCAGCACAAACGTCAAAACGTGCTGATAGCTTACGAGTCGAAAGTTGTCTGCCGACAAGTACTGAAGGCAGTCAGCAAATTATTGGTTTAGATAAAATCACGGCGACCACTCTGTTATTGGCCAGTCATGAAAAGGGGCTGTCAATATCTGACCCAGTGGATACAACCACCGATGATATAACGGCAACCACTCTGATGTTGACCAGTCATGAAAAGGGGCAGTCAATATCAGAACCAGTGGTTACAACCCCCGCTGAAATCACGGTAACCACCGAGAGAGTGAATACCCATGAGAACAGGCTGTCCTCGTCTGAACCTGAACCAGTAACTGTATCTGATCAAGACCTTACTACTTGTGGTCTTGAAGGCGTCATGACCTCACCTGGAGGTCACGTGGATGGTGTTCTACATCCAGAGATAGACGAGTCAACGAATCTTTTGCCAGCCTCGGTAACAGACGAAATTGTTACCCATTGTCTTGGAGGTGAGCCTAACACGGGCTGTCCTCCCATGATCCCAGCAGTATTTGATTTCTCCCCGACCAAGTCCAGCAACCTGGAGGCCATGACCTCACCTGGAGGTCACGTGGATGGTGTTTTACATCCAGAGATCGAGGAGACGGTGAATCTTTTGTCCGCGTCGGCGACGAGCCAAGTCATTACCTCTTGTTTTGGAGTTGAGCCTAACTCAGGCTTCCCTCCCCTTATCTCGGAGCTGATTTATTGTTCTTTGACCGACCCGGGGAAGATCGGTAATGTGACCTCAGCGGGTCACACTTCTCCCGTCAACCGAGAATGTGTACATGTGAGCGCATATCACCTCACTTTCACAGAGACGGGGCGTGAAATCGACCTCTCTTTGTGCGGCTCGGTGTATTTGTTGTGGGCGGATAATATCTCCGTCACTAAAATTGTTCTGCGCCGGTATAAAGTTCGGCTAAAGATTTATATTTACGGACTCATGATGACCCGCAAGACGGAAACATAATGACAATGTGTACCTTTGAGTTTCAAGCCTGTTATAGAACTGTTTCCTATATTGACTGTTTCATGTTTTCCCAGGATGCAAGTGTTCTAATCAAAATGAACTGTTTTCAGGCTTAAAGAATGTACACTTTTACATGTCTTGTTTGAAAAAAAAAATGTGTTATTGATGTTTTACATGCTGTTGAATTCGTGACAGTTTTTAATTGTATTGACAAGTTTTGTTGACTGATGACGTAACTATCAGTAAAACGAAGACTGTTGGTTTTCAATCTTAGCATTATTTGCGACAGTGACACATGTGTTGCAGATTTGCTGTTTTATTTACTTTGATGTCTATGTTTGATGACATCGTGTTTGGGGTATTTAGTCAAACTTGTTATTGTGACTAAATCATCCACGT